GCGCTGGCAAGGGGGGGGGGGGGGGGGGGGGAGGGGGTGTCTACTTACTGCCCCAGTCCTCGATGCGTTGGAGCATGGACTTGTCCACCGGAGGCGGGGAACTGCTCTCGTCGGAAGCCATTGGAGGGTGTGGTGGCGCGGCGGCAAAGTGCGCAGAATTGATAGGGGGAAAGCAGAAAAGTTGCTTGGTGTTGACGGCGGAAGCTTGGCTGGGCTTGGAAAAATTATGATGTCGTCACTGCTAGGCCAAGCTCGGGTCCTGACCAATGAGCGGTGGGCCTGAGCAGAAACGGCTGTGTTGAAGCTGCATAGAACGCGAGACATTGTGGCCTGACGACTGATGGGTCATGGTCTGAGAAAAGGCATTGTCGCGAAATTCTACATCTTTGTTTATTGCTTTTTTCTGGCAATTTTGTTGTATTAACAGACCGACTGGAAGCAGTGATGGACTGATCGTTAAGTAGTGTGCCGGTAACTGGTAACTGCTAAAGAGACAACCTGCTGGCCGGGATACTACGACTTGTCGTTATATACTTCGTGGGTACAGTAAGGAGACAATCATATGAGATTTAATTCACATTCTTATACGTATATATTACTTCACAAAAACTTTGTTTTTGAAAAAAAAAAAAAAAATACAGTCAGGGCCTCCTACGGTTTTGGTTTCTTTTCCTGCTTTCTTTTTCCCCGCACGTAAAAGCGAGAGGGGATAGGAAGACTAGAATGTAAATGTTGGAATAGGTTCGTATTAATAGAATAGGATAATATCATCAAATTGGTTAAATTCTGGTTGTTCTTGTTATCCATACAATTCGTCCCCTTCCGTCTTAGCCTTTTGGAAGCCCTCGAGGCTTCTCATAGCCCCCGTTAAAGTGGGGCCTTTCCTGATCCAGCCAATCACAGGCCGCCTTCCGATGCCTGCTTGCACAGGCTCAACAGTAAAACAGCATATTGCAGAGTGCCTATTACCATAATGAATGCAAGTATTACCGCCGATGTCCTAAAAGACTCCCAAAATTTACGCTTATTGCATGCCTTTCCCCGAATGTGCTGTTCCTCTGGCCACGCCCCAAGCAGCTTGCCGCCACCCCATCGACTTGCGCCGCCTCAGCCGTAGCGGGCGATGTAGTACCTTTTGGGGCTCATCAACCGCCCCTCACCTTATCATTGCCTCATAGTATCATTGCACCTCTGTAGTACGAGTCAAATTCTAGCATTTGTCTTGTGCGAGGGATCGGACCAAGCTGTCGCCACGGTAGAGGGGGTGTGGCCTGTCGCAGCCAGGAGAATCTCCAGCAGCGCTGCTGCAGGCAAGGGGGCAGTTGAGAAATGCACAGCGGCACATGCATCGGCAGCCATGGGCAGGAGCGCCCCCAAGCACTGTGCACACAGAGGTGTCTGCGAACGCCCGCCACCCCGCGCCTGCCATCGCCATCCCTGGCCCCCTCAGATTCAGGGACGCTTACTGTGACTCATGGACGCAGACAACTACCGAACAGCGCGTGCCTAGCCAAAAAGAAGGCCGTCTCAACTGGCCCTTTTCTGGGGTGGCTTGCAAAAGAAGGCTGCCAGTGGTAGGCTCGTCTAGAGGACCAATCAGCTTTCACGAATTCTGGTCGATCACTGAACTAGGTGACCAGAAACGGCAATTCAACCAGTAACACTAAACGCAAGCCCCCCCTCCGGCCGCTGTGATGCAAATATAGCATTGACAAGGCAGAGTGTCATGATGGAATGGGTGTAAGTGATGAAGCACGGATACTGCTTGGCACGCCCGATGGCGCTCTGGGAAGCGCCGTGCATGCGTGCTTCGTCTTCGGGAGGCGCAATATTTCGACCTGGCTAATTCAGCCCTACTGATTTGACAAGTGCCATCAGCGGAGCGCCCATCTGCAAGCAGGTTGATGAAAGTCGATACGATATGTCGGGGGCTCATAATACGTCCCAGTCTTCACCCCCCCCTTCCCTCCCTTCACCAAGCCCAACATGGTAGACGCAAGCAAGTGACCGACAAGTCGCCGCGAGAAAGAGGGCGTCTTCACACCCAAGAGGAGAGCGGTATCCCGTCCTTGCCGGAAACATTTTCGTGTCGGACAGCCCTCCGCAGTAATGCTGTACGAAGCTGCGCCTTACCATACATACGTCGCACAAACCACAGCCGCATCCTCATTCGCTCGCCCCTTGCGGGGTGTATGCCTCGGATCAAATTCCACACGATCACGTCTCTGGTAAGTGCTGCGTAACTTGCGCCGGGTGTGCGTCAGCTCAAATGTAGAAGTAAAGTGCCTGGTGCGCATGCCGGGGCTTGGACGGGGGACCGGCCGTATCGGCCTTTGGCGCGTCGCGCCCCGGATCTCATCTGACCGCCTCAGCTGCGGGCCTTGTGCCGTGTCGCATTTTTAGTTTTATTTTATTTGATCGTATTGGGCGCATTCATTTGGCACGGCTGCCTAGCGAACAGGAGATCGGCGCTCAAGAGGCCGAAAGAGGTAAGGCTGAGCTCGTCTACCTACATGAGCTTAGTCTGTGTTGCTATTCTGGAGCGGCGGTATGCCTGATCGGCCGGGTCGTGCACGGAGCAATTCGTACAGGACGTCAAATTCAGTTTCGCTTTACTTTTCTCTGTTCCGCTTTACATCGTCATTGGCCATGCCGTCTCACTACCGTGCGAAATCAGCGTTGTTGGGTAATGGGCTCTGACACAATCACGGCGTTCTATCAGCATTTCCTGTATCCGTATGATTGCAGCCCATCTTTGTAAGCTGCCTGCTTGCCCCTCGTCCGTGCTCAAGTTGTCTGCAGTACCTGGGCATGCCCATTTGAACCATTTCAAGGATAGGTCATGAATGAAGAGTAATTGTCGTCGCTTTTGTCCAGTCTATGAATACTATATACATCAATTTGTAATGGGTCCGTCCAGTCGCTACTTGTAGTTTCAAACGCCTCTCCAGAATCATGGTAACGTAGATAAAATTGAATGAAGATGTGACCCCGAATAAACAACACCAAACACGAAACTCCGTTTCTCCCGGGAACAAAAAGTGCTTGCAAAGAGAATAACGAATCCACTCTTGTGAAAGAACAAAAAACTGTCGTAACATGGTGCCAATTCATACCCAAGCAGCCAAGAATAAAATGGCATCGCTCATGCGCTTCTTTACTAGCTAGCGGTGGTACGGCCAGATGTCCGCTCCTGCAGTCTGTAGGCTGGCAAAGGCCTGGAACTGCATGTACTCGTCGGGTGGTGTCAGAACCGGGAACGCGTCCGGGTTCGACACGGTGGAGATGAACGAGTTGTTTAACCCCGCCGACGTGCCAGGATCGCCACGCTGGTAGGAGGCAGCAGGCGGCCAGGCGGCGCCCGACTGGTAGCCGCAGTCGTGGTAGGGCATCGAGTATGGCATGTGCTGCGCAGTCATCCCGACAGCACCCGGCGAGTCGTAGGGGACCGAGAGGGTGGCCGCAAAGTCCCCGGCGCCGCCCTCTGAGATAGTCGCAAAGCTGCTCGCAAGGCTGTACGGGCTGCCCGCGACGGAGGAGGGGGCAGGCGACGCCATCAAGTCCGCGTCGGGCTCCAGCGAGGATCGCGACTGGGCGGTCGAGGAGCAGTTCGACTTGCGTCGCGACTGCGAGCCCTTGCGAATGCGGTGCTGCTGCGGTTGTTGGAGGTGGTGGCTGGTTTGTGTGATTCGTCGCGAGGGCGAGCCCGAGTTGCTGGTGGGCCGGCTCAGCGTCTCGTCAATGGCGCTGCTGCCGTCAGTTGAGCATCGGCTGGCCCTCTTGTTGCCTCGGCGGGAGCATCGTGCCTCGCTGCGGTTGTAGACGCAAGGATGGGCACTGGAGACGCAACGGTCGCAGCCGTCCTTTTCACCGCTGCATTTTAACTGAGAAGAGGAGAAAATGATTAGTGGGCTATCTTGGTGGGAAGGTGCTGTTGAGGACGAGAGCAAACGGGGGTCGGAAAAGCCTGTTTGTGTTTTAGGCAGCTGTCAACGGCCCGTCGTGGCGGCCGCGCAACTCGCACAACTTCAAACAAGCAACATCGATGTTCAGCACCGGGATTGCTCACCTTTTTCTCATGGCATCGGTCGCATGCTTGGTGTTGACTGGATCGAGCAGAGATTGGATCATATGCCAGTCGGATATTTTGCACCTCTGAGGTGTCGCGGTCGTATTTCCAAGTTGCGAACATGCTGAGGTTCCTGACGTGGGGGTGCGTATGTGTATGTGTGGTATGTATTTGGGTGGCGAGTTACTCCAGCAGTCTTCCTAACTTTCTGTATAGATGTTGCTGCGGGAAGATAACGAAGGGCGAGATCATCAGATTTATACAAAAACAAGCGCTCTTTGAGAACAAGACTGGTTTGAACGTGGACTTTTTGACACCAGAAAACGGGACAGCCTTACAGGTCGTCCTTATATACCAAAGCTGCATCTGCCCTCTGGGCGACCCTAGCGGCAAAAACGCAGGCGGATTGGGGGCCAGCATTGATTGGTGTGGGGGAAGGAAACAACCAAGAACGAGGGCGAGGAGGTGTCCATCTATCATGGCCTCTAAATCAACCACTAGCCCGGCCGGCCGTTGCAGAGGCGGATGTACCTTCACGACCAAGGTACCTGACATGAGATTTCATTTAATGTGGGCGCGCTTACAAGACTCAATCCCAGTTCACCCACCGCCACACCCACCACAGAAGCCCAATGCGGTTGAAGGAAACACCAGCCGCTGAAATAACACCCACCACCCTCGATGGAGTCCAAGGCTGCCACCGACCCTCCTCCCGCTCTGTTAGCCAACCAAGTCGCACCTCCACCCTCTCCGTTCGTTCAACTAATGCAACACCCAAACAGGGCCCTCGGGCCTGCGTCACGGCTCTCTTGTGATTTCGGGTTACCGTTCAGTCCGTCCCATATTGAAGCTGCTCTCTATTGGGGCAGAAGTAGCTGCAGCAGGCCTCTCCCTCGTCCCCTCAGCGCCCACTGCTCAGGCAGGCCATTGAGCTCTTGGATCTTCCCATCGCGCCCAATAATCCTCTAGCTATCGGTATCTGTCGGTGTTTGAGCGTCCGATTTACATCCACCCGGGCCAGCTTGGCAAAGTGCAGTGCCACTTTGCGATCTAGGTGGAACAACTCGCATTTCGAACCTCGCTCATAGCAGGGAACTACCCCAGATATACATACTGTGACTGATTCGGAACGTTGACTTTGAAGCATACTGTCTCCGACCAGGGCGGGCATTCGAAGGAATGCCACCACTGACTAACTTGCTGTGGGGGGCCAGACGCCTTGGAAGAGCCTCAGCTGAGTCTTCTTGCTTCAACTAGAAGCTAGCGATGCCGGCACACACCGTCTTCTTGCACGCCAAAACTCGTGCCATGCGAGGTTGCAGTGGCAGGGACGTCGATGGCTATTGCTCCTAAAAATGGGACCCCGGAGTCTCCATGGCGGAGTTGTCTTCCACGACACCCTGCCGTGCCTTCCAAGCATCCCAGCATAGGCGGTTTGCGGGGCCGGCTCCAAGTTTTTTGGGTCCGCGTAGCTTTTCGTCAGCCTGTGATACCAGGGCCAAGGATGAAGTGACCAAGTCAATATACACAGCTGGCTCACTCTAAGGCTCAAAATAGGGGCTCCGAGACCAATCGTCGATTTGTCTTGGTTCTTGTCCACAGCAGCGTGATTCAGATTATGCTTTCAAGTCAGCCAGAACCACTCGACGACTTGGGAAACTACCACTACTGGCAAAATCGAGGCGCCGCCCACAATCCGGGCACAGAGACCATTTGTCAACGGAAGGGGGCCACCACCTCTCGTAGTTATTAGCCCACGTTTTTTGTGGTCACTTCAGGCTTTGAGTGGTACCCCTGCATCTTTCCGATTGTCCGCGAAGAGGTTCACTTTGACAAATTCAGTACAACTGGAGATCAGGGCATAACTATGACTCGGTGCACTCCAAAAGGCAAGCTTCTTACCCACTGGCAAGAAGTTCTCCGCCAGGCGTAGGCATTCCCGCGTTCCTGAGAACCTCGGCCGACGACCTCAGACTTCGGGACCGAACCACACAAACGGGCCGCCTCGATACTATTATGGGCGGAGCATCTTCAAAAGTCGAACTACACACGTTGGATGTGTCTTGGGGGCGCAAAACTTTGCCTATTCAGGCTTACCTTAGCTCCGGTGGCAAGACTATGCTTGCACCTAGTCTGAGCAGGTGGTATGAGGCTGCAATGGCCTGTTGCAAAATACCAGGGCTACCAGCCAAGCAGCAGTAAGAGCTAACCCAACTTGAACTCTTTGGACGCTTGACAAAATCAGTTGCCTTGGCATTGGGGGTTCAAGACGATTGGTACAATTTCTTCAAGACGGCGATACAGGCTACCCTTTTTAGGTGTACTAATAAAATACAGACCTTTTTCCAACGGAAAGGCCCTGGCCTGCCCTATGCCAACTGTATGGTCAGTTGTTGATGTAGAGGTTCTTGCCCCCGGTCAGCTACTCCTCTGAGAACCAGGTTAGACTCCATGATTCATTACAAGTCAGCAAGCTCCCAAATCCTGTGTCATGGCCAGCGGACCGGATATTGCCCGTTATTCAGGTCAGCACATACGAATTTTCGACAGTGCTAGCTGGGGTGCGTTGTTGATGGGTCTACTTACGACTATTCAGAGCCCAGCAGCTTGACCTCGGCGCTGTTCCTGGAGGCTTTTCAATCAATTGGGCCTTCCTCAAGGGGCTAGCACAGACTCGAGCCTCATCAAAAAAAGGGTCGTTGCATCATCTAGATCCCTTTCTATTCTCGTCTATCAGACCAGGAACAATATCGGGTGGCGGATTGAATCAACGACCAAACGAGCAATCACATCCCCAGCCGTGGTCCGAACACAGTGGTAGTAAATATTTCACCACATCGAATACTAACTAGTTAGTTACTAACACTAGGTGGTCATCCTGGCTGCATCGAGCGGCCGACCAGGGCTGCGCATCCTGGTTCAAACTGCCGCATGCTTTAAGGACAAGGCTTGGTGTCGTTTATCTTTTGGGTAAGTTGTAGGGTATATATCATTCGCTCTATGATGATGTAAAATGGTTGCTCAGCTAACAAGTCTTGACAGAACTGAACGAACGCCGACGCAGGTCGCTGGCAACTCCATTTATGGTTTTTTTTTTTTTTCAGAAGAAAAAGACCTGGGCACTGAAGGAACTTTGGAATCTCACAGCATTATATAATCCTTGCCACTTTGATGTTATGATTCGAAAGCTTTGCGGAAGTTCAAAGAAGCTGTATTACAGAACAAGGCTGCAGGTGCCACCCCATATGCATGTCCAGTCTATGTAGGCGCGAAAGCCACCGCAGCAAAGATTCAAGAAAACCACTAATTACCAGTAGGTCAAAGGCCTGGAAAGCGCGCCAACGCGCAGAACTATAGCCCAACCGCGTGATATCTACAGATGACGATAGGGCCGAGGTCCACTGAGGACGGTCGCATGCACAGAGGGGCCAACAGGTTATGTAGTTTGCGGGAGAGCGCCAGTCCGATGGTGTAGGTAATAATAAGGCTACAGATACACATCTGAGAAGAACCAATTGATGAGCTGATTACAAGCGAGGCAGCCTGCGTCCGTTGCTCTACAGTTCCGCGCATTTTCGCAGGTGAAGAGCACACCCACCGAAGATTGGTTGGCAAGCGAGATCATCCTGGAATATAGTGTACACCGCAGAGGCCGCCCTTGCATTTGCTAACAATTTTGTGTCAGTGGCGATGATGAGGGGGTTGACAATGTTTGAAATATATTGTCTCCGACCAGGGCGAACATTTCAAGGCGAGTGCGGGACAACAAGCCCGCGTGGGGGTACCGGTCCCTCGCCTCTTCGCGCCGGCATGGCTTTGAACGCAGCACGAGATGGCGGCAACCATGACCACCAATCCCCCTGACTTACTCTCATTGCACTCGAGCAAAGAAGGGTACCCATTCGCAGCTACTATCATGAGAGTAAGGATGCGGTACGTGACGTGTGACGGGTTGTTATGGCTTACATTGCAAGGCCCAGTGTCAGACTATAGTTACTGGCTTGGTAGGCTCCGAGTCCGAGGCGGAAAGTCTCCGGCGTAGAAGGTACGGAAATTCAATCGCCAAGGATGCAAAATGAACAATCTACTCAACCATTGCTTGATAAGCTTGGTTTAACACCCCCCAGCACAGCTAGTCTGCTTGCTAATGAATTCAGATGAGGTCCTGCAGGCCACTAGCAAGCCCCGTGCAAGCGCCGCCGCTGCCCCGCGGACTTTGCTCATCGACTCTGGAAGCAGGCATTCGGGTTGCTCAGCCTCACTAGCCATCGTTTTGGCAGAACATGCCCAACGCCTTTGCCTCCTTTTGCGTTCAACGGGGCGCAGTTCATCAGGGACGTGTGCGGCATCTTTGTCATGCCCACCATCGCATCGTCTTTACGGGACACGGAGCGATTCTTCCATTCCTCTTCTGTGCGGCAGGTCGGTTCTATGCATAAATCCATTCGGGCGCCACTTTAAACGAGATGATGTGGTTACACTGCGTGTTGCATTACACACACACCACTCCCCTCCAAGGCACACACACTCAACTGCGAGGGCGAGGGCACGTCAAGAATTGGGTCCGCCTGCATGGTGAAGAATGAATGATGCATCGGCCGGCACGGAACAAACTTGAGGGTGTGAAGAAAGCCGATGCGGCAAACTCGCAATGGTGAGTCTGAGCCTGCACTCATCCTCCCACCACAAAGCTACGAAATGCTGCTGCCTATCGGGCGAGAGTTGTAGGAAGAGGCGAGAAGGTTGAACAATGTTGATCGGCAGTATATCAAGGGGAATTATTCGCCGTATTACACACCATAGTTATGTTTCCGCGCAGTTAGCGGCATGAGAATGAGCGGCAACGCAACTTGCAATTTATGGTCATGTTTTGTACTGGTGGCTTGTCACCGATACCTCTCCCAAGTTATTCTTCATGCGAGGTGTTCTTGGCTGCACCCCCCAACCACACGGGCTCAGTCGATCAGCAAGAAAACGTGCCAAGCTGTCAATGCGTCCTTGGGGAGCCCTGTATATATCCGTAGCGTCAGCGCCCCAGGCACATGGCTTGTTCTTGGGGGTGGCTCGACCATGATGCAGAGTCATGGTTGGTCAGACGGAAGGGCAGGGGCAGGATCGAGCGGCGTTTAACATGACGAGACGCTCGCGTTGAAATGAGCACCCTGCAAGCCGGAAGCGGATGAAACCATAATACTTGCTTTTATAGACCAGATATACGCATCTTGGACATGCCTGCATCGTGGTGTCTTATAGTCCATGAGTTGCTATTACCATACCACGGATGACTCGCATCACCTATTTACTGGGAACTAGTAAAAGAAACCGCCTTCGAAAGAACCTAAATCTCACCAGCCCCTGGTCGTTCTCTGCCCTACCATCCCAGATGCCGGGGCTAAAGGAGGGGCGTGTGTGTTATTGTTGTTACGTGGTGAGCCGTTAAGTGGACGAAGACGGCGCCATGTAAGCAGCGAAAAAGTTGGATCATACAAGGCACGCAGCTGTATCTTTAAGTTGGCTCGAAAAAAGGAACCAAATCTGCCTTGCCGTTTTTATTCTTATTGGCTCTGGAGACGATGCTTTCCTCCTTTGCCTCTCGCCTTGTGCCGCCTCGGGCCTTGGCTTCCACGCGATCTTCTATTCAACTCCTTTCGACCGCCCCCTTTTGTTCTCCACATACCAGCTTCAACTTGGCGCTTCGAAGTCATGATTAACTGACCAATAGCAATTGATTGTGGCTCGAAGGGACAAGAAAGGGCGGCTCGTGGAGCTTGGCGGGCTGTATTCTCGAAGCGGTTGCCCGTATTTGGCCTCGCCAATGCTCACGGCATGCCCACAGTTCTAGAAGACGAAGAGTCTTGGCATAGGAGGAGTTGGCTTTCTTGGTGATGCTGATGTAATTCTGGAGTATCGTTTCGTGATGTTTATATGAATCACCGGTCGTGTTAGTCCAAAGACATAAGTGAGGCAGGGGGTGATAACATGTTGAACCGATGCTACATTGCATGTGTTGGTGTATTATGGTGCTTTTGTCCATGAAGAAAGGCAAATGGAAAATACATTAACCAATTCTTGCTGCTTGTGTCGGATTTAGGTAGAACTGCGTCTCGCAGGAAGAAGTGTAGGGCAAAGATGACCAGGTATTGTTGACCTGAGGCAGCCACACCACGGGTGCGAATCACAAACGGCAACTGCTCAAACGGTGAGCATTCAAGCTTGCAAGCATCACTTTTCTTCTTCTTCTTCTTCTTCTTTTCACAACGGCCCGCACTTGACTCTCCCAACCCATAAGAATGCGAAGCCGTATCCTTCCGCTGTGGCACAGCCTCCTGCGCCTCCCGAGACAGCAGCCCTCGTGGTACCGCGACCGTCTCCGCGAGGAGCTGCGGGAGCGTCGCGCGGCCACGAGCCCGCTGCGACGCCTCAGCGAGACGGCCGACGTCCTCTACGTGCTCACCCGCGCAGCCCACGACGGGCACCCGCTGCGCAGCCCGCCGCCGTCGCTGCCTCGCGGTGTGGTTTGCGCGTACATGGTGGCCAAGTACACGTCGCGGTGGCTGTTTTACCGCGCCGCCGCCGCGATGGCGGGAAGGCGGGCGGGGGTGACTATGAGCCAGGGAGTGCGCGAGGTGATCAACCCGGCAAAGAAAAGCAAGGTTGGCGAGGTGGCGACGCGGCATGGCCTGGACCGCGCCGAGTTTGAGCGGGTGTGCTTCCAGTTGAGGAAGTTCTGGCCGCTTCTGCCGTGACACTGACCGTGCCTCACCGAATACGAGTGCGTACCACTACTGCATCGGGCCGGGAAAAAGCCTGCGAGGTCGGTTGCTCGTGACTGCGGTTCAACAGGAAAATATAAGACACACAGGTAGGCCCGTCATGGTGTGGTCGAGCAACCCGTCGCCTTTTCTTTCTCACACTTCCCGTTCATTTGTTCCCCAAAGTGTCTGCACAATCACGGCAGAATGGGTACAATGGCTAGATGTCAGCCTTTTACCCCCATCGCTGCAACAGAGATTGGACCTGGGCCGGTTCCTTCCAAGCAGTCCATGGTCATCGGCTTGTACGGGCTTCCAGGATCCGGAAAGTCTACCCTGATCGAGGGACTAAAGCTTCACCTTGATCAAGAAAACTTCCTCTTTTACGAAGGGTCCGAGTTGATATCCAGCATCGTCACTGGAGGCCTCGCCGCCTTTGACAAGCTTGACGAGGAGGAAAAGCGCCGTGTGCGTGAACGCGCCATCGGCGGCGTTGCGCAAGAGTGCTCTTCGCGGAACCGCTCTGCCCTGGTCGCCGGCCACTACATGTTCTGGACGGAAGGGGAGTCGCAAGGTCATGTTGTCGCGACCGCGAGCGACTTGAGTGTCTATACGCACATAATATACCTCGAAGTTCCGGCGCCTGCCATTCTTCAGCGCCGACTGGACGACATCGGCCGATGTCGCGAGGCGGCGTCTGCCGCGCACCTACACCGGTGGCAGCGAGCCGAGATAGACCAGCTCCGCGGGCTCTGCAGGCACCACAGCATTTTCTTTTCGGCTGTCCCGCAGCACAGCAGCCCGCTTCCTTTCACCCTGAGGCTGGTGCGCCATTTCGCTCAGACAAATGCGAGCTGCAACAATGCCCTCGTGGAAAGCAAAGTCGAAGCGGCGCTGGTGGGTGAGGAGCGCGCGGAGACGGTGTTGGTAGTGGACGCCGACAAGACCCTGGCGAGCGAGGATGCCGGCGCCATGTTTTGGAAGGCTGTTGACAGCTCGCTTCCGAACAAGTCGGACGTCTGTCCGCTCAAGAGTCTGTTTGGCAGCCCGCTCGGCTACTCTGAGGCCGCGTTTATCCAGGCGACGCTCATGTATGAAGAGGCTGCCGACGACGTGAGCTTTGAAGCCCTGTGTGACAAGGTTTCATCCTCCATCACTATACACCCCGAGTTCATACGTCTCTTTCAGCTTGCCTGCGGCCATGGCCACATGCGAGTCGTTGTTTTGACCTGCGGGATTCGTCGTGTCTGGCAAATGGTGCTGGAAAAAGCTGGCTTCGGGAATAGCATCAAGGTCATCGGCAGCGGCAGGATTGCAGATGAGGTTGTCATCACACCGCAAGCAAAGGCACAGGTTGTCAGGAGCCTTCGGAAGAGATCAGGCCTGTACGTATGGGCGTTCGGAGACAGCCCGCTCGACTTGCCGATGCTGGAGGGGGCTCATAGGGCTATTATTGTTTCTGGCGATGCCCAAACCCGAAGCCGAAGCATGGAGGATGCCTTACGCGAGGCCATCGAATCTCGTGGATTCCACTGCCACCAAGTACTGCTTCCGCCGCACGCCGCGCCGCGGTTAACCGCCACAAGGCTGCCGCTGCTATCATTCTCTGATGCCGAATTTGTCGAAGAGCTCGTGCGTCGCCGTGAGATAGAGGTGGCTGCCACAACCTCCAAGATAGCGTCGGCCTGCAACGGCGCCGTCATCCACGCCACGCACTCCGGCGCTGCGAAGCTCCTCATGTCTCCGACTCGAGATGCGTCCATCTCCGGGGCGGCGCTAAGACAGGCTCACCAGGAGCTCGGGAAATTCTTGGCGTTGCAGCTCCTCACCGAAGTCATCGGCGTCGAGGCCATCGAGGTGCCCCATGTGCAGGGCCACCAGACGACAGGGTTCCGCCTGGCTCACGAAGCGCAAACCACCATCGCGGCACTCATGCGCGGCGGGGAGCCCATGGCCCTGGGCATCGGCGAGGTCTTCCCCAAGGCCATGTTCTTGCACACGTTTCGTCCGGAAGACATCGAGAGTCAGCACCTGAGAGACCAGAAGAACCTGATTCTTGTGGATTCGGTGGTCAACAGCGGCAAGAGCATTGTGGAATTTTTACGCCACGTCACGCGGCTCAAGCAAGACGGCCTCGTTAACGTGGTTGTCGTAGCAGGGGTTGTTCAGGAGGAATCGGTTGCGGAGGGTCATGTTTTGCGAACGATGCTGGAGCAGCATGGGGTGAAGCTGGTGGCGCTGCGCTTGTCGAGCAATAAGTTTACGGGGACCAAGGGTACCGATACTGGCAATCGGCTGTTCAACACAACTCACCTGGCCTGAGTCAGATCCGTAAGTAACTAGTACACTTGAGTAGCACACTTGAGAGACAAGAAATTATGTATGTACGTGTGAACAATTCTATACAGGGGGTACAGTGCCTCCATATTGCATTCATTGAACTGCAGTAGCATAAGCTAGCCTGTAACAAAAGAAGACTGAACGCCAGAAATCCCACAAAAGCAATAATACATAACTAGCCAAAGTCTGAAAGCCTGGCCCATCATCGCATCATCGCCTGAGTGAGGGAACCTCAGCTCTTGATGTATTCCCTCGGCAATGTTTGTCTCCCCCTCCTCTCTAAACCTGGAAAATGAAAACAGGTAAAAGAACAACTCCGCTTGCCAGCATCTATGAGTAGTAGGTAAAATGCAAGTCTAACACAAAGCACCATCCAGACGGCTTGCGCCGGGAGTGTCTGTAGCTAGGTGCTCTTCCAATGCATAAATGTCTTTCTGAGTGGCTTCGTTCTGGGGCAGATGAGTACATGGCCCCGTTTTTGCGCCTTGCCGTCAAAAGTTTTCAGGCGCAGAAGGGTTCGACGTCATCTGGGTTCCGGATACGATCCATATTACAACGACAACTGTTGAGAATAACAGCGTACGTACAAAGGTACCGACCCGAACAGGACTGTATGAAGCAATCTCATCTTCAACTCTAGGTATCAGCGATGATTGGAAGGCGTTGATGTAATCAACATCGCAATCGCGGACTTTGGGAGATGCAAATGCCCTGTACTCGTCCAAAGCGGGATCGACTTCCCAGCCGGCGACTCTGCGGGCGGCAGCAACAACACAGCCGGTGCGATGCTTGCCGTGGTTGCAGTGGATGAGAAGAGGATAGTTTCGCTTGTCGAGGGTAAGCTGAAGAATAGCAGCCATGGTATCGAGTGGGATAGCCTCCTTCTTGGTGCCTTTCATGTCGAACTTGACTTGACGGATGCCATTAGCGTTAACAAAAGCTGCCAGCTCGTCCTGAAACTCCTCCTTATTGGCCAAGGTAACGATGGTCTTGAGCTTGAGGCTCTTGATGAATTCAAAATCGTGCTGCTTTGGATAGCTGCTGCGATAAAATCCAGGTACAACAATGCCGAAATTTGAAGGACGACCGTCCACGGGTACAACAGGGTACTCGACCGCCTGGTGGATGGTAGGCAGTAGGCTCGATAATTTGGCTGCCGGGGTCGTGTCAGAAGTGATCAGCCTTTTTTGTAGAGGCAATCTTGACTGCATACCTGACTTTTCAGGAAGAGTAAAATCCCTGGTGGTACCGGCGCTGTTCTGATAGCGCACGGCAGCAGCTGATTCGATGATGGGCGCGCCATTGCGTAATCCTTCTTCCATTTCCGTGGCGTATTGGAACATGTCCTCTCTGAACGAACTGCGGGAACTCCGTCTGGATTGATATGAAGATCCGGAAGATGAGGAGGAGGATGCCAAGGGCGCGTAGCTCGACTCGTCAAAGAAAATAGCCTCTTCAGCGTAGACTCGAGAGTTACGCTTGGCCATTGTACGCTGCGACGGCGGGTAGTTCGGAGGTCTCGGCCACTAAAAAGTAGAGGCGGGAGGTTGCGAATCGCGTCGAGGGAGGAGGGTAAGGAGGGAATGTATCGCACAAGATGGTTCGAGGGCGTTTGGAGATGTAATGTTCGGGTCAAGCGAGTGCAGGAGGGGTGCTGTTGGATTCAATAGATATCCAAGTCAGGGCCCGGGTGCAGCGCTGGCGTGAAGCTAAAGATTGGGACACATCTTGATGGTAAAATTGACAAAAGAAGGCATCTTGTCGGTTTATATGTGGGAGGAGAATAGTGATGAATCAGATCGAGCGTGGCTCGGTGAGAGAGAATGGTTGACGTGGGATGGTAGAAGCGAAGAGGGCGAGAGAGGCAAGGATGGGGGTTTTGATGGACAGGACCCGCGTGTGAAAGACGAACTGTGACTAGTCTGGAGAGTTACCTCAAGAGCGGGCTGGCTTGGGTGCTGTCTGGGTGAAAGAGTGGAAACGGGCGAGGTACCGCGAAAGCTGGAGAGCAACCAAGAAAAAAAAGGGAACCCAAAAAAAACTGGGTTAGCGTGCATAGCGCTGTATTTGGGTTTGGCACAGTGGATAAGGCCCCTGTGGCTCGTCGCGAGGGTAGCCACCCGGAACTCCCCTGTAAAGCCACAACAAGCGCCCTGTAATACAGTGGGTAGCAGCATAAAGTACGCTATTGTTTCCCTGTCAGGTATCTCCCCTAAATAAATACCTGAAAAAAAAGTTGAGATACCTCAGAGAGAGAGGTAAAATACCGAAAGCCGAGAGATACTACCTAAGATACTTAAGAGAGATGAGATACCTAAGAGAGGTGAGAGAGCCTGAAAGTGCAACATTTTACGCTCTACACGACGCTGAAGCCAGTGGAAAATGGGAGGCTGCGTGGGCGAAAAATGTGGGTGGGGACCCTGGATCGACACCAATGATGTAGGTATCAGCCACGGGTAGTGGGTACTTGAGTCTGCAACAAAGCTCTGGTGACGATACAGGTACCGTGGCACTTTACGCGTTAGCAAGGCAACGAGGCAAAGTGTTGCAAGCACTGTATGAATCTGGGATGCGGGTGACTGCTTTGGCGAAGGAGTCACTCGGCATTGTGCAGAAAATGAAGCAAAGTGACTGCAATACAGAGGGAGCTTAGAAACCCCTTTCACAAACAAGTTTTCGTATTCTTGCCGTGTCGCTGTGATTCTCCTTGGCTGGCAGAATGCAGTCATGCCTTGCAGCAGCGCACAGCGAGTTGCACAGTACAGACGAACCAGCAGGCCCCCCGCCCACCTCGTTCTTTCAACTCTCTTCCCCCCAAACAACCAACCACCAACCTCTTGGCCGCTCCCCGTCACCACATCCCCGAACCCTGCTAGAGCCCACCACATCATCTACTATGCGGATCTGCCCTCCTCATCCGGACTGGCGTCATTGTCCAAAGAAACAGGTTCACCGGCAGCCACAGCCTTGGTCGTCCTGTGTACTCTATCAGTCGTACTCTACACGCAGCCACGCAAGCCAACATTGACAACGCATCGTCACCATGAACCCTTCGTTCTTTTCACCCAGCCCGTCATTCCAACTACCAGTTGCCCTCGAGTCGCGCGTCATTAGCGTGTCAAGCCGCGTGTGCCACCGTAAACACTACTAACTGGCGTCGCTCGCTCGTTCGAGATTCTTTGGCTTGCCCTACCTGGGCTAGGAGCTGGCCTCTCGCCAGCCGACACCTCCGACGTTTTCTTACCTTCTCAGTTTGCTCCCCAACGACGGTGCTGCAGTCGTGCAATACGGTACAAACAACTACAATAACAACACTACAGACATGGTACCACCATGCCCTTCTCCGTACCGAGCAGCAACGCAAACGGAGTCAGCCCGCTACCCTGCATGTATTGCCTCTCAGTCCACGCTAGTGGCACCATGTCTCAGGCGGACAGAATCCCGGGGTATGCCTGTCCGTCTCACAGCTCAAACGCCAGCTCAGCAGCCTCACAGACGATTGCTCTCTTTATTAACCCGAACTCGGCGCTCGTCGTTCCAACAGCCAGAGTTGACGTCTTTGGCCTCGTTTCCAAGTGTACGCCGTGGAATCGTGCCATGGATTTGCTACTGATCTAGCGTCAATCTTACACTTCTAGCGTGTGCCACAACGCGAGATGCCGAAGCAACAAAAGAAGGCAAAAAGCTTATTAGTTACCTACCTACCATTGCCGGCCGCCAGCCTTCTGAAGAAGAACCAGCTCTTTTTGCCCTGTGCGACACCTGCAGCGAAATCCGCTAAATCCGTTGCCCACCAAGACAGGGCGCCTCTTACGTTTGGCATCCTCACCATATCGCCCATGCTTCTCAGGTGCATCAGGCCATCTCTACACTAGCACAGGAGCTTAACCCGATCGGCTGCGGTGTTTTTCCCCTGCAAGTTCTACCATTTGGCTCCATCTGTGGTGGGTAGAGAAAGGGCGCCCAAAATAAGTCGTGGAAATGCGGCTGCTCTTGTTGGACGCCAGTGCCACTTGGAACTCACAGGGCTCTGTTACTGCCATTCACAGTTCAGCCAGTTCGGCCAGCACACGAAATACCCTGTCCGAGGCCAATCGGACCGGTTGCCCGCTTCTCCAGTGGCCTTGGCCATTGCGCCGTCTCAATAATAAAGCAAACTGTGCTGGTGCAGTCAGTACATGCAGGGCAACATCGTAATTACGGTCAGCTCGGAGATGGACAGCCGGCATGTTTTAGCCCCAGCCTGATCTCTTTGCTTGGCGGTGACTCTGCAATTCATTCTCATGAGGCTCTTATATTTCCAACTCTATTATTGTCCTTCGAAACTATCTCACGCGACAGGCTGCCGCAAGGGGGATAGACACCGGTTCATCGCAAACTCAAGCCACGACACCATCCCATCAATTCCAGAGGATTGCGCTACTCAACCCCTCTAGCTCTGCGCCAACCAAACTGTGTTTACCGAGACAACGTGTCAATCAGGATATCGTTGCCTTTCTGAGTCGCATCGTCATCAATATATTGTCCGAAGTTTTGATAGTTTCAGCCCTTCACTCGCGTGCGCTCTTCACGCGATAGCCTGCCATATCTGTTGACCGAGCGTGCCCTTACCCTAGGCTGGCTGGGACATGGCTCGATTCGTCACCGAGGGGAACGGAGTCTTTTACGATCGAGTCCGCCAAGTCATCAATCTGTTGAGCCGGGGTCGAAACCCTTGATCGGCGGCTCCGTTGAAGAATCTTCGACATGGTATCCAACGTCCATCGGACTTTGGAGGAAACATGGATTTCTGCTTTCCACTTGGCCTTTGGGCTCTTTCCGGTAGCTTTGGCGCGGGGCTCCGGAATTGGAAAGCCCAACGCAACGGCATTCAGGACCGAATTTCAAACATCAGTTATCAGTTTTACCGTCAATGAAGGCGTCACATTGCACGCCGATGATTTACGAAGGATGCGTCGGAGAAGACACGGCCAGTCCGCCGTTGTGGTTAATGGGAAAGAGACTTTAGCTGGCAACGCCAGGATACCTGTCGCGCCAGTCTAAACCCATTCCGCTTCGAGACTTACCCCAGCTTTTTCCGGTTGCGCTTTCACTAATGCATCCATCAAAGTCGGGGTAATGCGTGGGCGACGCCTCGTTGCGGATGAGAATGGCCATTCTCAAACGATTGCGGACAAGGCGCGCCGAGGAGGGCACTGATCTAGTTGCGAGCTCAAGTCACCCTGGGCCGGCTGTTCAGATCCTGAGCGTCGAGTCGCCGCCGGATGACACGAAGCCTGAGGATGGCGGATGGGTAGCCTGGACTCAGGTCGCGGCAGCATTTGCTTTATACTTTCATCATCTGTATGCTTAGCAACCGCTCCTTAACGGCTTTAGCCCCATGCGGTATACTAACACATCGTTTTACAGCGGCCTCTTGAACAGCTTTGGCGTCTTCCAGACGTACTACGCCAGCCATCTCTTCAAAGACTCGTCCCCGTCGGCGATATAATGGATCGGCTCCATTCAAGTATTTTGCCTCATGGCGATTGGCGTCATCGAGGGGCCGCTCTACGACACGGGTAACTGCCGCACCCTCGTCTTTGCTGGCTTCATGCTCACCAGCATCTCAACCCGCTACTGGCAGCTGTTCCTCGCCCAGGGCGTCTGCACGGAGCTTGGCACCTGCTGCCTCACTATCCCCTCAATTGCCATTGTGCCCATGTACATTCGCCGCCGCCGCCGACGCGCGACAGCCATGGCCACGGCGACCGTGGGCAGCGGCCTCGCGCCACGCTCTACCCGCTCATCTGTGAGCGGGCGAGGGTCAGGCTCGGTTTTGGCTGGGCGGTGCGCATCATGGGCTTTGTCGCCCTCGCATGGTGTCTGTTCGCGTTCGCCATCATCAAGCCGCGCGTGCAGCAGCAGCAGCAGCAGCAGCAGCAGCAGCAGCAGCAACCGCGCTCACGAGCGACCACCTCAACATTGTCATGGCGCTTCTACATTGACAGGCAGCCGCCTCGGCATGGTTTCCATCATCAAAGGCGCGGGCTCGCTCATCGGGCCCCCGATATCCGGCGCCATCGTGAACGCGACGGGGGCAGTACCTCGGCGTGCAGCTGTTCGTGGTCTTTGGCATCATGATCACGGCGGTGGTGTCGGTGGCGATGCGCGTGGACGTGGCGAGGATGGAGATGAAGGCAGAAAACGAGGATACGACGCGGCACATAGCTTTAGAGACGGGGATCTTGCAGAGTAGTAGACATGTAAATTGAGAGGGCAAAACGGCTCGGTAGCACAGCTCAGTAGCCTTTGCTCGCGTTCTTGTATATATGTGTATATGTTATGATTAACCCTCTTTTCGCCCAATAAAAGCAAACTAATGCATCTGTCCGCTTGCTAATATGTACCCAAAAGAAAGCATACCTCATTGTATAGTAAGTTAAACCATGACACTAAATCAAACCGACAACTCCTTTCCCTGCAAGCCCTTCCGACTCCCTCCCCATAATTACCACCCCATCCTCAATCAGGCCCGCAATAGCCTCACGGCGTGATGCGCCAGCATGACCGCTAACACGCCCGCGCCGTACGCGCGCACGTCCACGCCCGCCGTCCACGTCTCCCAGCCGACCCAGCAGACGGCCGCGAGCTCACCCACGCCGAGCGCCGAGAGCGCCGCGTCGACGACAAGCCTCGACCGCTGCTGCCGCGGCCCCGCCTCGTCGTTCAGCTCGTGGTGCGTGCCGCCCAGCGCGACCACGCCGGCGGCGACCGGGACGATACCTTGCAGGACCCCCGTCGCCCGTGCGGGGAGCGTGACGAAGGAGGGGAGCAGCCAGAGCGGCAGCAAGACGGCGAGGACAACCAGCTCGACCGGCCGGGGGCGGACGCCGCGGACGCGTTGAGGGTCTGCGCGCCGCCGCTCCACGCAGGAGGGAGAGGACGGGGTGGACGAGAGAGCGGCGGGCGCCGGCCGGCCACGTCGTGGTTGCCGCTGCTCCTGCGCCTGCGCGCGGCGGCCGAGGGTGAAGCTCTCGCCGAGGAGGTCGGCGAGCGAGTTGGCCTCGTCGTTCTCCTCCGGCGCGAAGAAGCTGGGGTTTCGAAAGCTCGTGCCGCCACCACCACCGCCGGAGGAGGGCCGGCTGCTGCGCCCGTCTCGTTCACCGCGGAGGCTGGCGCTGAAGAAGACGTCGTCGCGCTCGGCGGGCTTCTGCCGCAGGACGGGCATGTTGGGTGGGTTGCGCAGCTGCCGCGCGGGCGTGGTCGGCGCGGGGGGCACCTTGAACCAGAACGGGTTCGCGCTGCCGCCGCCGTCGTCGGCGTGCGTCGGGGACTGGCCAAAGGGGCGGCGAGCGGTGGCGGCGGTGCTGCGGTCGGGGGTGTCGCGGAACGCGCGGTGCTGCGGCTGGCTCGGTGACCAGTCCATGGCGTCGCCGTCGTCGTAGTCATGGACGATGGGCGCCTGCTGCGCGCGAGGTTGGAAGGCGGATGGGGATGCTAGCGGGGGGGAGTCGTGGAAGCCGCGCCGCCGCTGTTGCTCCTGCATGAGCTTGATCTGGCTGGGCGGGACAAAGGCGCTGCCGGACGCGTAGTTGGGCGTGCCGGGCGTCGCGGGCAGGGACGGGGAGGGGCGGCCCTTGCGCGGCGTCGAGTCGAGGGCCTCGTTGAAGAGCTCCGAAAAGGTCTTGGAGTCTTCCTCCTTGCGCTTGGCCGGCGACATGTTGCGGCGCGGCGTCGGGGGCTTGTCCTCGGATTTGAAGAGCGGCGTAGTGTCCACCCTGATGGATCTGCTCGCCATGATGTAAATCTAGGCTCGTTAGTTTCTTGTCAATCCACCGGCGCGGGAAAAACTTCGCACTTACAAAACACATGATGCCCGCGGTAGCTAGGTGCGCGCTCAGCCGCGCACCCTGGGACTGCGCCGCCCCGCCCTCCATGCTCAGCACGCTGCGGAAGAAGATGCGGAGGAAGACGATGAGGCCCTGGAACGAGTACCAGCGCGTGAAGCCCAGCAGATGCCGCGTGAATCCCCTCGAAAACTGCACAAAGTGTGGGTTCCACCACGACGAGAGGACCGCCGCGGCGATACTCAGCCGCATCAGGGCGTCCCCGCCCGGCAGCCACGCCGCCGCCGCCGCCGCTACCGCCAGCGTTGTCGCGTAGACGCCCGCGTCGTCCGGGTCGTACATGCCGTCGTCCGGGCGCTCCAGGGCCTGGATCACGCGCAGCGCATGCCAGAGCAGCTGCGCCGCGAGGCCGCCGCGCCAGAGCCACCCGCCGAGCGCACTGGCGGCGTCGAGCACACCGGCCCTGCGGGTCGTCGCACCGGCCGCGGACCGCCGGCCGCGGCTCTTGTCCATCATGCGGCGCAGGTGGTCCGTCTTGGCCGTGTAGCCGGCCTGCTGTATGCGCTGCTGGACCCGGTCGGCGCAGCCGTCGCAGACCTGCGGGTAGCGCCTCTCGAGGTTCCGCCGGTAGCGGTAGTAGTTGCGGTCGAGCTCCTCGTACTCCGGGTGGGACGGGTCGTCGGGCAGGTACTGGGCGAGGGAGGCGGTGAAGAGGCGTTGGTTCTTGAGGCACTTTTCGCAGAAGACGGCGTCGGGCGCAGCGGTGGTGGTGGCGTGTTGTGGTCTAGCGAATTGCGAGGGCGCAGCGGCCTCGCGATCCGTCGCGACGGGCGGGTCGGTGATGTCGCCATACTGGAGGCTAGGGTCAGCAAAGTGTCCAGGAGGAAGCAGGGTGTTGGTATGCTTGGTAGACTGACTTGGTCTAGGTAGTTTGTGGCGTCGCAGGAGAGGCAAAGAAAGTCGGTGATGATGCCGTCATACTTGAGGCCGGTTTGCTTGCCGCAGTAGAAGCAACTGAGATGCTTGGTTCGTCCTATGCGCCGCATGGCATGTGGAAGACGCCGCGCATAAGCAAAAAAAAGGTCTAAGGTTCGGGTCTATTGCAGAAGCAAAGATACTCGCTCGACCAAAAAACAAAAAGGCAAAGATGTGACGATGATTTAAAACTCCTGATGTGAGTAGAGTTGCTTGTAAACAGGAAGAAATTCTGCCAGGCGGTCAGCCGATAATCTTCCACTAAGACCGAAAGCTTACAGCCGCGGACAGTGGATTGCTTGGCGTCAAGCGCCGAGAGGTAGTTATTGGTAGGTTGGTGGTAGGTATGACGAGTGAAAACTACCTTGATTTCTTTTGGTGGTTTAAATTAGAATAGAATTAAAGTGTCAAATAGTTTTAGCTATTTTTTTTCTATATTTCTTTTCTATATTTTTTTTCTTTTGATATCTAGCATGAAACGGGCTGGGAGGTCTTGCACCTTAGCTGCCTGTGAGCTCCGTGTCGCTACCGCAGGGTGAGCTGTCATGTCACTATCCGTCCACCTTCCTTCATCCCTCTCTCATCATCTACACACAACCACATCGCCAAACTCACACGCGCGCCTCCCCGCGCCCAGCATGCCAGCATCATGGCATCCGTACCCGCCGCGCCCGCGCCTTCCTCTCCTCCTCTCCTCATCACCGTCCGCTTCTCCAGCTCCCTGCCGGACCTGACCACCGACGTGCCCTCGCCCTCTTCCACCACCGTCCTCGCCTTCCGCCACTCCCTACGCGCGCGTATCGCCTCCCGCAGCCGCCTGCGCCTCATCTACCAGGGCCGCATCCTCCCCGACGCCGCCTCCCTCGCCAGCGTCCTCAAGCCCCTACCCGCTCCCCCTCCCGCCCCTGCCCCCGCTCCTCCTGCTCCGACTGACAAGGGCAAGGCGGTCGTGCGGCCGCCGCCGCCGGTCCGCGTCTACCTCAACTGCTCCATCGGCGACGAGCTGACCACTGCGGAGCTCGACGCCGAGGAGGCTGCCGCCGCCGCCCCGCCGGGCGAATCGGCTGCGGAGGCGGAGGAGGCGACGCGGAAGACGACGACGAAGCCGCGGCCGCGCGGCTTCGACCGTCTCTTGCAGGCGGGCTTCACGACGTCGGAGGTGGCGACGCTGCGCACGCAGCTCGCGTCTATCCGCGCGGAGCGCTTCGCCCCCGACGAGGCGCCGCCGTCGCCGGACACGATGCGGCGCTTGGAGGACGCCTGGATCGACGGCAACGCCGGCGACCTGCCGCCGTCGATCTCCTCCGGTGGCGGAGGTGGCGGGGGCCGCGGGCCGCTCGACGACGACGGCTCAGACATGTCCACCGTCCTCGACGTGCTCATCCGCGCCATGATGATTGGCTTCTTCTTCCCGCTCGGCAGCATGACATGGCTCCTGCGCCAGGACGTCTGGGGAGATAAGTGGCGCATCTTTGTCGGCTCCGGCGTCGTCCTCAGCCTGACCGTCGGCATCTTCATGACCATGGGCGGCGACCGGTAGGGCAAGCAAGCGGTCAATGCGGGTTCTTTCTAGACCGTGAATTTTCTGGCAATTTATTTTTGTATTATTTACGCAAGGCGTTCGGGGCGCAGCATGTATTCCTTTTACTGTGCCGACGCAGGATTTCATATTCATTACCACCAGACATTTCGAAACAGAAAAGATTTTTCTTATCTATGCTATTTGACTTCATGCTAAACGCCAATGCTTCGACGTCAGGTCTCTAGCATCCGAGACCGCTGTTGGCTTTTCTTTTGTGTCTACTTCATAATGTTCTGGGTTGAAAGTCCGAATGCCGATAAAAACTCCATTACGATCATATAATACCTTGGTTGCGAATGACAGGAAAATACCACACAGCGCTGTACACAAGCAAAACATACACACACGACCAACCACCTCTCTGCGATTGCGCTACAGGTAAAGACTCTGCGCGGCCACTATGTCGCGCCGGACCTTCTGCAGGCTCTCGTCAAACTTCTTGGTCAGGTCGTCGTTGCCCATGACCTTGGCGGCCTGGGCCATCTGCCGGAGCAGCTCCTCCAGGCGGCGGAAGAGGCGGATCAGGGACCCCTCGTAGACGTTCGTCATCTTGCAAATCTCCGAGAACGGCCGGCCCTGCGCCCACGCGTACACCGTCTCCATCAGCTGCCACTTGAGGCTCGTCGCGTACTCGTCCTCGTTGACGTCCAGCTTGCACTCCTGGCTCACCTTGGCCACGATGCGCGCCTTGGCTTGCACCTCGCGGTACGGCTTCTGCAGGTCCTCCTTGAGCGCCGTCGCCTCCACCTTCTCGTCAAAGATGAAGCAGCTCAGCACCGCCGCGCACGTCTCCGGCGACATCTCGTTGAAGAAGCGGTCAAACAGCAGCTCCGAGAGCACCAGCTCGTGGCCCTCGGTCGAAGAGATCTCGCACGCGACGCGCGCCTTGAGCTGTACCACCTCGCCGTCATTGATGAAACCGAGGCGGCGCAGCACGCGCTTTCGCGACTTGAGCTCGTCCATTTGGGCGATGCTGTGAGCCTTGGCAATTGACTTCTTCTTCGTCTTGATCTTCTCCGACAGTACCGTCTTGGCATGGTATTGGTCCCATAGAGAGGGCAAGAGTGGCGACAGGTGCAGAGGGTTAGCCAGCAGGCGCGATTCGAGAACTTCGATCTTCCGGAGTAGCTTTTTGAACGACTCGTCCGTAATGTCCATGTTCTCGAGCGGGTCAAGGATGGGCAGGCCGTCGGGGAATCGGCGCTTGACTTCGGCAAGAGACTTGTTCACCGTTTCGCGGTCCTTGTCGGCTTTGAGGCCCTCCTTGGGCATGAAGAGGCGGATTTGGCTAATCGCCTTGATGCAGGTCAGCAGGCAGGGAACAACAACGTTGATGGTAGTTTGATCCCCGTTGGCCGGCACTAGGCCGGTAGGCATCTCGGCAGCGGGCTGCCCAGGGACAATATCAGCGCTTGAAGCAGATATCGTGAGCAGAACGTCGATGATGTACGACTCTTGGGGAATGTGCTCTGGCTCGCCAAGCTTGGGGCTGCGGCGTGGGTAGTGGTTGACAATCACGCCCCAGCCAAAGTCTAGCCCACCAGCCACATTGTCCGGCGACTCCTTGGGGTTGTAGATCTGCACTAGACGGCCGGGCTGCAGGAAGTCGAGGCTGTAGTTGGGAAGCTGGATGACCGATCGCATGTCTCTCGTATAAGCGTTAAGCTGTTGGCGAATTTGATAGTAGTCCTTGATGGTAGCTTCGTCCGCAATGGTGGCGCCGTCGCGCTCCTGCTGCAGTGCCATGAGTTCCCTCTCCAGGGTGGGAACGCTGGCCGCATTCTGGAATTGATGGAAACATCTCTCAAGCATGAATTCGGGGGAGATGGCCTCAATTCTCAGCAAGTTAAGAATCATGTTGTAGCCCAGATAAAAGGCGGAGTTCAGTCTGTCCTGTTGGCCAGTGACGATTTCTTTGGCAGTATCAGGCTCCAGCTTGTCATCAATCATCATGATGACAATACCTCGCGCATCGAGACCACGACGACCAGCACGACCGGCCATCTGCACGTACTCAGAGCAAGTGAGCGGGCGGCGCTTAACCCCGTCCCACTTGGTGACTTGAGTAAAGACAACGGTCTTGGCAGGCATGTTCAACCCGATGGAGAAGGTCTCTGTAGCGAAAAGCACCTTAATGAGGGTCTCCTGAAAGAGAATCTCAATGGTCTCCTTCAAAATAGGCAACAGACCGGAGTGATGGACACCAATTCCGCGCATAAGCAGGGGCAGTAGGTTCTTGATTTGAGGCAGGTCGCGGTCTTGCTCCGACAAGCTTCCTATAGCATTGTTGAAGACACCTTTGACCAAGGCCTTTTCGGAATCGTCATTGAGGCTCATCTTCGAGATGCTGATGGCCATGTTTTCGCATTCTCGCTTGCTGAAGTTGAACACAATGACGGGGTTGAAGCTCTTGCGGATCGTCATGCGAATAATCCTGCTCATGTCGGAGCCCTCGTCGGCGCCGGCGCCGCCCTTGTGCGTCTTCTTCTTCTTTCCCTTGCCCGTTTGCTTGGCGTTGATGTCGTTGGGGTCGGCACCCTTCTTCTCTTCGACCTCCTTCATTACTATGTTGAAGTTGTCTTCGTTGAAGTTGCCCTTTTCATCGACAACAATGCGCGCGCCGGAGCCGCCGGCAGGGTAAAAGTAGTTCTGCAGCGGCGTGGGTCGGAAATCGGTATACACGACGTGGCATGCTTGGTGGTGGATCTTGGCGATCCATTCGGCAAACTGGAAGGCATTGGGAATGGTGGCGGACAGGAAGACGTATCGAACCTTGTCGGGCAGCATGATGATGGTCTCCTCCCAGACAACACCTCTCGTCTTGTCACGCATATAGTGAATCTCGTCATAGACGACCCACGCGACTTCTCGCATAATCTCCGAACCTCGATACAGCATAGATCGCAAAATCTCGGTCGTCATGACCAAGCAACTAGCCGTCGGGTTGATGGTAACATCACCGGTCATCAGACCGACATCGCCGAATTCGGCCTCAAAGTCTCTGTATTTTTGGTTGCTCAGGGCCTTGATGGGACTGGTGTAGATGATTCGCTGATTGCGCTTCAGACACTGCGCGAGGGCGTACTCGGCCACGACCGTTTTACCGGCAGAGGTGTGCGCCGAGACCAACACACTCTCATCGCGCTCAATTGACGCGACGGACAGGCTTTGGAATGGATCCAGCTTGAATGGGTATGTGCGCGCAGGCTCGGCGGGCGACTTGTGCTCGGAGAGCGGGACGTATTCGTAATCCAGGTCTGGCGGCAGTGCAACCTGGTGCTGGATATTGTGAGACAGGATGAGGGATGAGTCCTGCGGGACAAAAGTCTGAGCTCCAGCCACTTCTCTCGACTCTGCCGTCTCGAAGCTGTCTGTCATGACGGGCACGGCGCCGTCGCCCTTTTTGCGACGCTTCTTGTCCTGCTGGCTCGGCGTGTCGGAGTCGTCCTCCTTGACCGCCTCTCCGTCCTTGGAAGCGGCATCGCTCGTCTCACCCATTTCTGTATCTTCGGTGGTATTCTCCTTCTGGGCCGCGACCGCGGCCTTTCCGTTCATCGCCTCGTCCGCCTTTCTCTTCTTAGTCTTGTCTTTGCGGTGCTTGATCGGTGCTCTCTCGTCTTCGCTCGCGCTCGCGGGGTCGGCGTTCCCCTCGAAAACATCAAACATTTCATCCATGTTGGGCAGCGGTGTGTAGCTTCACCTGAAGCTTTCCAACAACGGGTGACTGGGATAGAAAAAAGTTGCCCTAGGTTGGGCAACTCAGCTGAAAGTTTCCTGCTCGTAAAGATAGAAGCGATCGACTTCAAAAGAGCGACTGCAGAGCAAAAACAAATCCCATTTGCCGTCCCTGAATCTTAAGTGAAACAGTATAAAGGTAACACACACAGCTCCTCCAGAAGAACGGTTGCAGTAAAAACAGAGCAATCGAGACGCCCGTCTAATGTGGGCGGCGCGGCAGAACAAATAAAAATCATAGAATGCTCCAACTAGGCAAGCGGTGGGACCCATCGAGATTTTACGAGTCTACCCAGGCTTGAAGAAAAAGGTACGTACCTTTTATGGCCTTATAATCACGTGATCCAATGCCGACCAATGTCTTTCCACCTCTTACCAGCTTACCTGCTTTGCCGGAACGGTCCTCCCCGAACGTTGAAGGTATTCGCAACTCCAAAGCTCGCCACTCCATCAGTCAAGGTCCGCCACGCCCGCTCAATGCACTCTACAGGGACGCCCCCGAGCTAATTGAACCATTTCGCAGATGTTCACCCGCGCCGCCGCCCGCACCACGACCACTCTGGTCTCCCGCCGTGCTTTCCACGCCACCCGGGCTCGCATGTCCTCGCCCTACCACTACCCCGATGGCGCCTACTCCAACCTGCCCTTTAACCCTCACAGCAAGTGGTTCGGCGTCGGCTACTGGGGCTTCATGGCCACCGGTTTCCTCGCCCCCTTCGGCATCGCTGGTACGACGGCCCTCGCGCGCGAAATATGGAAGCGCGGCTTGTCAGCGAGTTCGTGACGCTAACACTATTAACAGTCTACCAAACCTACAAAGCCGACCCTTAATCGACTCTTCGAAATAGTATAATTGGTTGGATGTCTCTGATTCCTTTCAATGGGGAGCCGGAGGACGCAATAAGGCGACGGACAAGTTGTGATTAAAGAAGCTCGGATAGATTTTCTCGCAGTCACATGCACCGACTGTAACATAATTTCATTTGTTGATGCAGTTGGAAACTGTTCATCTAACTGTGAATTGTGCATGTTGTGGTATTGATCCAGAAGATGGCTATCGAGTCTACCAATGGACTCTCGTGCAGCATTAAATTACAGAAAGTGTACAAGTATATACAAGATGATCCTGTCACCGCTTTTCCCCTACTGGATAATTCTATTCCCCATCATTTGCCTGAGTTTTGCGGTGCTCTCGAAGATACGCCAGGTCGAAATGTCATCCGCCCGGCCAACAATCTTATCGCAGATGGCAAGGACCTCCAGACGGCGCTCCATGGGGACATCCCAACGCAGGGATATCTCATCAAAGGCCTTTTCCAGCTTTTGCTGAGAGCAGCACCGTTTGATGGCTTTCAAGAGCCAGATTACGGCCCATTTGTCGATCCGGAACTGCTCGCCCATCTCGTCCTGCGCCTGGTAGAATGCGTTCACAACGCTGTCAAGGCGTTGCTCGCTCCAGTCTGAGCCAGGATGGCCGCCATGCAGGAAGAACCCTCGAAAGATGCCGAGGAATAGGGTGGGATGCAGGACGACGCCTTGCGTCTTCATTTCGTCCAGAAAGTAGACCACCTTGCCCAGGTCTCCCACACGGACAGCGTAGTGTTCGACGAAGAGTTTGAATGTGCGCAGGTCTGGGGATATCCGAACGCCGCGTTGAAAGCTGGTTTTGAGTGAAGGGTGTTCTTTGGCTACTCGGGACAGCATCATGAGCGCTTTAGTGATGGCCTTGGAAACCATGTAATTCTTCTCTGGTTGCAAAGGCGCAACCTTTCCTCCAGCTCTCATGCGCCGATACGTATCATCAGCCGCACCCTCTTCCCCAGAGCGAAGGAGCCCGGAAATGACGCAGTTCAAGGCGATTGTATCCACCAACTGGCCGGCTTCCACCATTTCCTTGTACGCAGCTCGGACGCCGTCAGAGTCCCTCTGGAGGCCGAAGTAGTAGATAAGCGTCACATGGTGGAAGTGATTAAAAGGTATACCGCGGGATTCCATTTCCTTGTACAGCATATCAGCCAGCGCGAAGCTCCCGGCCTTTGTCGCTGCGTCGAAGAGAATGTTGAAAGTGACTTCATTAGCGGGTTGGTTTCCTTCTCGCTCCATTTCGGACCACAGCCGCATCGCAGATTCAAGTTGCCTTGTCTGAACTCTGGCAGCATACTTGGCCGCAAAGGCCAAGGCATAGTTCCATTGTCGCTGATTGAGTGTGAGGCCAGCATTCTTGACGTCAGCCACGAGCGAGAAGTAGCGTAGCATGCTGTCTGCATCGCGTTTCGTAGGCATTCCCATAACTCGCAGCAACTCCTTTCTCCAACCTGCCGTGAGATTCAGCATGCGAGGCTCGGGTAGCTCTTGATATGTGGCGTATATTCTTTCCAGAGGAACCAAGTCCCGGTATCGCAGTCTTTTTCGTAGGGATATGCACAGCTTTTCGACGACAGCTTGTGTGAAAGCCGAGATTCGGGGCATATCCTCTTGAGTGGGAAAGCAAACATCTTGTTTCGCGTCGGATACTCGAATATGTGGCCCATCCGGCGCGGCGTACCCACCACGGAACGGATCTCGATGCGCTTCATAAAGCTCGGCGGCCGTGGCTTCGACTGGACCTGATACAAGTGATAGAAGCTCGTCCTTGTCCAGATTGAGGCTTGGGCCTTCGGACTCGTTCGTCGCGGTTGGTATCGAGGCGCGCGCGAACGGTCGTCGGTATCTCGACATTTGTGCTGGTAACAGAGTAATCCTCTGCGAATTTTTCGTAGACGGACGGCATGAATCAATAACTTCCGGGTCTGAGTTCATCAATGACGCATCCGGAGTCGATTGTGTCGGCATGGTCGCGGGTTTTCGGACACGTCGGGCAATGGCTCCTATCGCGGATCTGTCAATCTGCTTTGGAAGTGGCGCCAGGGTTTGGTTCGGCGCAAATGTCGAGAAGAGCCATATGGCACTTCTTGAGCATCGTGATGCCGTGTTGAGGTCGATTCTTGGCCGCCTCCCGCCCGCAGCATCAGCATGACGTCCAGGCAAAGCTGCTGCAGCTGCTCCAAGCAAAGGTGCAGCAGCAGTGCCGCGGGACCGTATAGCGCTGCGAACGGGCCCTTGGACGCTGCTAGATTTCATTGCAAATGTAGTTCCATTTTTCGCCTCCAGTAGTATCCCCGAGATGACGCATGAAGATTGCTTTCAGAAAACTAAAGGATAAGGAAAGCAAGAAGCTTTGGTTTAGGAGATTGATGATGGAGGTCGTGGAAAAAAAGAGCGGGTCTGATAAACCCACTGTCGTGCTGAACCTCTTGTAACAAGTTGAAATGAAGATTAAAAGGTAACTACGAATAGTTAGGGCACTTTACATATTTCTCTGCCATATGGATTTTAACTACGACTTTGATACCAATTCAGAAAAGACTTACACTATAAATTTCTTTCTCCTTTGCAAAAAAATAAAACCAATCATCTGTTCTAGATGAGCAATCAGCCTGATGCTGCCAGTAATCAGCCATAATGAATCCTTACACTTTATACTTCACTATTGCCTTAACCTTAGTCAAACAGCTATTAAAGAAGCCCAGCGATACTGGTTCTTTACCGACAAGGCACTTTCAAATCCAAGACGGAGTATGTCGAAAGATACTTGTCTTCAACGCTACCCTACACTTCTAATACACCTCTCCCGTTGGTGCCCTGGGCAGACATTGAGGACAAGCCACGCAGAGACTGCAATCGCCGTACCAAAAGATGTAGACCTAAGCTGCAACGGGGCAAAGGCTTTCGCCTAGGAATTGCTTCAAGTTTGATCAAGTTGTCCGTGTTTGCTGACCAATTCGTTGTCGCTACTTTAAGCTTAATATTCAGTTGCGGCCAGGCAGAGGTGGGCGGCCGCCACCCCTACAGGGTCCGCGTTTGAGACTGGCTTCCATACCAATATTGGGAAAAATATTCTACGAGCCACTGCCATGAAGGACGAGGTGCTCACGGGTGGTTTCTTTCGTCCATCCCGCGGCCAGAACTATACCTACATTGTGAGCAACTATGAACGCGTTGCCAAGCCGGCATACCACGTGGAGTAAGTAATGGCTGGGAAGCATTGAGCCTGTCGCAAATGGGAGACCTTTGTTCACAGTTTCTGACCACCTTCAGTGTCGTATGGAGGAAAGGGGCGAATGGTTCTGCGGCCCCCTCAACGTTTACTCCCATAAAGGATTTTGTTCGGAAGGATGCCGACGTATCGATTGTGTTTCTCAACAATCAAATGATCCCTATCAAAGGGACGGATGGCCCTTGCACAGACCCTTTCTTCTCGGCCACTAAAAAATCCATGCCGAAGGAAAAAGACTATTATTTGCCAGACTGGCCCATCACGGCGATTGGCTGCACCGATCAATATGCTCTGGGAAACCCTGTGACTGGGTAGTGGATAGAGCCCATGTCGTCGATTGATACATCAGACTGGGGAACTTTTACCAAAGACTGGAATCTTTCGGTTGGGCAGACGGCGGCGATCGCCAGTCTACAGCATGGTCCCTCTTCAACAGCGGCGGCATCGAAGGCGTCATTGTCGGTCTCGAAATGGATGCGCTACTCGCCAAGAAGTATCCGGGAATATTCTCGGGCTTCCAGAACCCAATTTCCAATGGCCAGTGGAGGAAAGAAGTCGGTTACTGGTTCAACATTGGCCTGGCCAAGTTGCAGTTTGGCTTGATCAACATTGCGGTCGGGCCCCCAGATCCAACGCTCCCGGATCTGCAAAACATGCTTCCCACCTTGACAGTCGGCCAGGAGCACCTCGCGCACAGAATCTGTACCTCACAAAAGATATACAGCCCGGATCACAAAAACTACAATACAGCGGGGTTCATATTTCTCTCGGTAGTGGGTGGTCTTATTGGGCTGCTGCCCCTCCTCAAGCCGTACATTCTCCGCGGGCTCTCTCGGGGGAGAACCTTTTCTCTCAATTGGAGCTCGTACTCGAGCTCCCAGATGCAAAGGATGGCAATTGAGGGAGGCGTTGCGGGCAACTGGGAATACCTTGACGACAATATTCCTCGTTTGATCCCGCACGACGCGTCAGCTGGCTATGTGGATCTTGAGTACTCAGACCCGAATGACCCGAATCGTCAGCGCCATCCAAAGTTGTCCAATGACACCGCAACGGAAGCGATACAAACAGGAGCAGACGCCTCGAGTGCTGCAGATTCACGGTCGGAGGAGGGCGCAGGACCTAGACGATCTGCTGAGAGGGCTGTTGAGATGCAACCTCTCGCTGCGAACGCGTCACCAAACTCACGTCCGACCGGCCAGAAACGCGGTGGTTAAGGGCACAAAGTTGCGCATAGCGTGCTGAGTCAATAGGTGTTGCCACAGAGTCAGCAAAGTGGGCATTGAGCTTGTCATCTACAAACAGAACGTCGTGGTGTTGACTCCAACACTGCGAATACGAACAAGCGCATCGGGGACTTGGACCATCCAGAGCATGGGATGGCTCGGAGCGACATGTAGCTGTTGAATGAACGAACGTAGGTTAAATTTGTAGCAAAATCGAGGTGAATACCGTCTTCAAATACGCAATGATACGATAAAACGTGTGCTTGTTTCCCTCTGGTAGCCAGTCTCTCAGTCATTCCAGCCCGAGGGCAACTGACTTCTTAATGACGGCATGGGTAGTATGCAGGTAGCCCGATGGCCGCCAAATGTTGTCCCTGATTGATGATGTGACAGTGGATCGTTGTGATCTGGTGGGTAGGTTGATGGAAATATGGAAATATACTGCTCGGGCAACGACTGAGTCGGAGAAACCTTGTTCCACCTACACCTTCAATACAGCACTTGCAGCGACCACTCTACGCCGACAACCAAAATTCAGTCCACCTTGCCTTCAAACTGTCAATTGCGACACCCGCCCGACCCAATTGTGGCTTATATTAAGGAGAGGCCACGGCGCATCACTCACATCCTCTAAAACAATTTTTTCTGCCGTCCCTTCCACCCGACCCGCCCACATACTACCGCAGCCATGCGTGGCCGCCAGATCAGGCCCGCGCGGGTGCTGCAGAACATCCAGGAGGAGCTCAAGAGCACCGTCATGGGCAGCGACAAGACGTACAAGCCGCCGTGGCTCAACATTGTCTCCTCGGTGCCCCCCTCCGAGACGCTCGTCCGGCCGATCCCCACGCAGCACGCCGCGTTCGCCGGCAGCAAAAAGGCCCGGAAGCCGCGCAACATCTACCGCCCCCAAAAGATTGTCTACCTCGAGGACACCCTGCGCGCGGCTTTCTACAAGGACCACCCGTGGGAGCTGGCCCGCCCGCGCATCATCCTCGAGTCGGACGGCAAGGACAGCCAGCGCTGCGACTGGAGCAAGGGCGTACGCCAACCAGGCATGGCCCTGACGGGAGAGAGGTGAGCTGCTGGCCTGCAACGTGCAGCCGATAAAGAAGAAGCGTCACTAACCTAGACGTATCCTGCAGCGTTGTTCAACGCCAACTATACCTCATGGAGTCCGAAAAGATGACGCAGAACAAGGCCTACGACGTCGCGCGCCACGAGTTCTACAAGCTGCGCCAGGCCGAGGAGGTTGAGCGCCGGGTCGCGCTTGAGGAGGCGCGCCACGTCGGCGCCTACTTTGGCAAGACGAGGGGCGAGGTCGGCATGATGCTCGAGGACCACGAGTTCGAGAACTGGAAGGTCTGGGCCGGCAAGGAGACGGCGGCGCGCAAGGCGCGCGAGGCCTCTGAGGTGGAAACGTTTGACCCGGACGACAACGACCTGCCCGGCACGGAGGCGGACTCGGCGACGCCCGCGGAAGAGCGGCCCTCAGCATAATGCGAAGTGTCGAAAAGCAAAACTAATCATTTTTTGGCAGCGATGAGAAAAGCCGAAGCATCTCGAAATGTTGGTTCTATTATAGATATTGTACAATATATGTATCAAATTACAAAGTTTTCGATACCGAAAATGGCCATATTCGGTGCTATGTAACGTCTCGTCTGGCATTAAAAACAACCTGTCCCACATCTGGAACGCCATACCTCGCCGCAACCTGCGCGTGCTGCACCGCGAAAAAGTCTGCCAGGCCAGTGTGCAGCAGCAGCCGGCCCGTGAGCGAGAGGGTCGAGATGCGCGCCCACGACTCGACGTACACGAAGCGCATGCAGTCCTGCGGCACCACCCACGCCATCTTGAGCGCGCGAATCACTAGCGCGACGAAGAAGCCCGTCGCCGGCCCGTTGGAGAAGACGAGCGACGGGTACCGTCGCGCGCCTTTCGGTGGCGGCGAGAGCAGGGCGGGCACGATATCGAGGATGCTGCGCAGGGCGCTCGCTGGCGTCGTGAGCAGGCTCTGGTGGACGCGGCGCGCGCGGGCGACGCGCACCACGTCGTGCGTGCCCGGGAGGCCGGCCTCGTGGTCGCGCGCGTGGTGCGCGGACACGTCGTCGCCGGAGCTGATTAGGTACCGCCGGTGGGAGGAGGGCGCAAAGTCGCACGCGCCGTCGTCCATCATCATCAGCATCTCACGCGTGTGCCCGCCGGAGCCGAGCACGAAGAGGCGGTAGTCGTCTACGCGGCGGCGGCGCGGCGACGAGGGCTGCCGGGCTAGCGGCCAGCGGACTCGGCGCTTCGCGGAGACTATTTGGATGTGACGGACCTATGGTATCTTATGTTAGAGAGATTCTCTTGTTTCATTCTTGTGCCGCGGGTGAGCGAGGCGTGCATACGGTGATGAAGATGGCAAGTAGAAGTGTGAGGCTGATGGTGAGCAAGAGGGTGACGCGCAGTGAAAAGGTCGACAGGACGATGCCAGCTACGACGACGAGGGAGGCTGCAGCCAGACTTGTGACAAGTAGTATGCCCATCATGCAGGTTTTCTATTCGGCAGCCGGGTGAATGCAGACGCGGTGCGGGCAGAGTGTAGATGTTGGCGTTTGCATGCAACGTGGCAGCTCAGCCCAGCTCACGGAATCGCCAGGCTGAGAGCTGAGAGCTGAGATGATAGCGCGCGCTTCGTCGGGTAAGTTGAAATTGGCTTATTTGTCCATGAATTTATCCGCTCGGTCAGTTTAGAAGAGCTGCTGTTATGACTTTGCGGTCCTCAGGGGAGTGATGAACGTGCTGGTGTTTAGTGTAAACCGGACCAATGCTGGCGATCGCAGTGGGTCGCTGTGCAATGGACTTGTGATTTACATCTACAGCTTCACAGCATTCATTGTCCAACATGCAACTCAGTCCATTTCACAGTCTAGCTTTTCCCTTCATAATTTCTTACTGAAAATACCCTCTCAACACCAAACCGCCCCCTTCAGCAACCCTTCTCTCCGTCCCCCACCGCCAGCCTCTTCAGCCCACGATACAGCGCGTACTCCTTCTCCACGATCGCGCGCGTCGCCTCCGCCGCCGCCTCCTCGACCAGCCTGTCCGCGCCCTCGCCCGTCAGCGCCGAGCACTCGCCGTACTTTGCGTCGATGCACCTGGCCTGCCACGCGCCTTGGGCGCTCGACACGCACGCCGCCGCCGCCGCCAGGGCGCCCCGCGCCGACGCCGACGCCGGCAGCTGGTAGTAGTATCCGAGGCTGAAGCGGCGCGCCGACGAGGCCGCCCCGCGCCAGCGCAGGTCCTTCTTGGTGCCGAGCAGGCGGAGCCTCGGCGGTAGCGCCTTTATCGTCGAGAAGAGGGCCTCGGCAGTGAACTTCCACTGTAGTGGTCGCTGTTAGCTGCAGAAGTCTCACGGCTGGTAATGGGGGATGGGAGTTACCCAGGCGACGATTGCCTGCAATGAGGCAGCGTCGCTTATGTCGAAGCAGAGGAATATGACGTCCCAGTGGATGTGCGCCAGCAGCTGCACGGTCGCCAGGTCCGGCGCGCCCGAGGTGTCCCAGAGCTCGACGCGCGCCGCGCCGTTGCAGCGCGGCTGGTGCGTGTACGTCTCGTACCGCGTACGCGGCATGACGGAGGTCTGCGAATTCCCCAATTAGTGTGCGTTTTCATTCGTAGACAAAACCCTTGAACATTACATCTGGAAAGTAGCCATAGCGAATGCGACTAAAGCCAGCCAGTCAGTCGACAACTCGTTCGTATACACAGGACAAGAAAACGGACTAGAGAAGCGAAGTCTGGCCCGAGGACGGACACCCAACGAACAAAAAGTTTAGATGTAGCGGCTTTCCCGGCACTGGCTCGACGACCGCTGACGGCCTCCCGACCGACGACACCAGCGTCTCGCCCTCCCCGTCGTCGTTGTCGTCGTCGTCCTCAAACTCCTCGCGGGAGCGCTTCCTGCCGCCACCGCGCCGAAACAGTCCCGTCAACAAGCCACCGCCGCCTCCCAGCAATTTCTTCTTCTTCTTCTTCGGCGTCGTCGTCTTGGTGTGCATTGACAACACTGTGCTCGGACGCTGGTAGATGGTCGACTGGTCATCGATGTCGTAACCCACGCGGTTGTTCCGCTGGAGCTTCTTGGAAGGGAAGAGCCTGGCGCGGAAGACGCTGAGGCGGGAGGCGGGCCGTCCCGACTCGTCGTCCTGCTCGCGGAACGTCTGCACAAGCTGTTATTGTTGGCCCAATACAAAAAGAAACCTGCTGAAGACGTGGACGTACCAACCGGGTTACTGGTCGCTCACCAAAGCCATCGTTGGCAAACGGGTCTTCGCGCTCGAGGCGGCTGGGTACGGAATGCCGCCACGAGTTAATGTCAATGGCCGAGTCGTGGTCACTCATTTGGGCAGCAAAATGGTGAATCAAAAGCAAAGGTTCTTTATTCTATCGTCGGATGAGAGAAACGTAGTGCAGAGTTGAAAGGCGTGTGCAAAATGAGTAGGGCTAGCTAGAGGTCAAAGACGCGGGCCGTTGACGTGCGTTTGCATCACAACAGGGGCCCAAACAAACGGAAAACTCTGCCTGCAAGTAAATTATCCCGTCATTCTTGGAGCTTCAAGTTCTTCAAGTCCGCTCTCTTCAGCCTATCCTCGTCAAGCTTCAGCACGTCCCGCGGGAACCACGAGTCGAGCGTACCAGCCGGCCGCCCCGTCACCTTTGGCATGTCCACGCCGTCCTGCCCGGCCATCATGATGCCCGCCGCCGCACCGCTCAGCCACGCCCACACCATGCCGTGGCCGTTGAAGCCCGCCGCAATCCACTCCCCCGAGCCTTCCAGCCCGGGCACGCCCGCCCCCGGATACGTGTTCTGCCGCTGCGTGATGCTCTGCGGCAGCGCGCCGACAAACGGTAGTTCGTCGCCCGTGAAGCCCATGATGCCCGTCCAGTCCTTCTTCAAGCGATCACCGCCTCCGCAGCCGCTGCCCCAGTTCGGCTGGAACACGGTTGGCATGATGCCGCGTACGTGCGCCAGCGGTAGAGCGTCGCGCACGCTGTCATCCCAGACGCCGAGAAGGTCGGTTCCGTTGAGCTTGCTGCGGAAGAAGCCTCCGCCAACCATGACGTCTCCCGGCGTGCCATCCGCTCCGTCCGGCCGCTGCGTAACGTAGTCGAAGCCCGGTTGATAGACGGCCACCCAGGACCGGTTGCCGTGGGTGGCAGGGAAGCGGGAACCGCCGTCTTGTGCGGACATGCAGCCACGGGCACCGGTAAGGCTACTCCGGAGACGCGGGGTGAGCCCCGGGGCGTAAGCATTGGTGGCGTGCAGCACGTGGCGTGCGCGGACAGTTCCCTTGGGCGTGTTGACGGCGTACGGATGTTGCGGCGAGTTCGCGGCGACGGAGACGCTCTCAACGGGCGTATTGCTGAGGAGGCGGAGCTCCGGGTACTTGTCGACGAGCGCCTTCCACGCACCGGTGACGAGCCGGAACGGAAACGCGGCGCCGGCCGGGTACGACAGAGCCCCAGCAACAAAGTCGTTGCAGCCAAACTATCCCAGTCAGTCATAAGTGAACCCTGTTCCTATCCAGCGTACGCTCACCTGTTTGCGAGCCTCTTCACCTGGCCACACCGTAATCTCAATGTCCGGCACGTTGGCTTTGACATCATCCACCAGCCGCTTCGCCACCTCAAAGTCGTCCTCCACCAGGAACATGTCCACCGCCTCGACGTCCCTGACCTCGCCCTGCGGCAACTCGCGCCCGACCTCCTTGAGCAGCGGCAGGTGGCGGCGCATAAACGCCAGCACGTCCCGCGCCTTGTCCGCCCCGAGCCGCGCCTTGGCTGCCGCAAAGTCGCGGTACGGCGCCGTCTTGACGTGCCCGCCGTTGCGCCCCGTCGCGCCGGCGCCGGTGTCGCGCGCGTCCAGCGCGACCACCCGCAGCGGCATCTCGGTGCGCTGGTCGTGGCTGATCTCGAGCAGCGTGCGGGTCGCCGCCAGCCCGGCCAGGCCGGTGCCGATGACCACGTAGTCGGCAATGTCCGGCAGCGGGTGCGCGTTCAGATTCACCTCGGGGAACGGCGGGTCGTCCATCCAGTACGAGATGGTGGCGTTGGCGACGGGCACGGCGGCGTCGTGCAGCGCGCGGCCGAGCATCGCGCCGTAGCCCGCGGAGAGCTGCTGCGCGGCGATCTTCCCCTGTTGTTAGTCAGACCTCGACAATGCAAGGGAGGAGGTCCGAAAACTCACCATTTCCATCTTGCTCGACTTTTCTTGAGTGGCTTGCGGAAGAGTGTCTTGCTGCACACGGCACAAGCCGCCCCAGGAGTTTTGTGCCATATGCTCACATTCCTTGGGGGGGATCGACGGGCCGTGTGTAAAGTTCCTGCAGAGGCGACGGGAAGTCAGGCACGAGACACTAGGGAAGGACACCCTCTCCTGTCAGAGCAAAAAAGCCAGCCTCGTCGGTGCGCAGGTGAGCAGGTCAGGTTCTGGAAGTTGGCGCTGTTACTGGAATGCAACTTGCGCTTCGAGCTTCCGATGGGGTGGGCAGTTGAGCAGGTGGTTGGTAGGAGCGGGCGGGGTGGCTCATGTGCACCTTCTACAGCCCTCCCCGCGGCGACTGCACGTCAAACGTTCCGAATCACCATCGAGGGAATGCTGCATTTACCGTCAAGGCCGGCGCCGAAGAGGCCAGCGATGATAGTGATGATAGTGATGATAGTGATGATAGTGATGATAGCGATGACAGCGATGATGTTGATGATGCAGTGACTATGCAAATTCCAAAATCGACTATGCAAAAAGCAGTAATTCCAACGAGGGTAGTTGTGCTATGGTTACCAGAGCCTGAGGCTATCTTCACGGGAAGAAAGGAGGCCGATGGTGGTTTGGCGGGACATCCCAGTTAACTTTAAAGCACGGCTGTTGCGCATTGTCCTGCTCACAGACATGGTCCGGGTTTTGGCCGAGACTACTGGTACAGAGCATAATAGACGCAGACTTCCAAGGTAATATTAGGAGCGGCAGTAACAAGATAGTTACGTATTATATACCGTATAGAACTAGCTAATAAAAGAGTAAGCTAACCCAGCAGTACAAACTAGACGGCCAACGCAAGACAGGCAGAGCGCACACGTATCAACTTCAACAACCGACTCGGACAGACAGTCTGAGTGAGTTACAGACAAAAATCATCTTGTAAAATATCAACAGATAATGCGCCTAAAGTCTATGCGTAGTGGGGTATTTCTTCCTCTCTCTCTCTCTCTCTCTCTCTCTCTCTCTCAATCTTTTTCCATGCCTTTGAAAGTAAGAGTTCTTGCTTTCCCAGAAGTCGTCTCTTGTGGTAAAAAAAAAAAAAAAAAAAAAAGCCCGACCTGCAAAACAAGGCTTGTACGCCTTCTTTTTCGCATAAGTCTCTGTCCCGAAAATTGTCAGGAAGTAGCAGCTGCTGCTGTCGCGCTGGCAAAAGCTAACCAGTACCGCTCACCTTTCATCTCCTATTTTGTTGCCGAGCATAACGCCGCCCAAATGTCCCCCAGACTAAAATGAAACAATAAACCACCCACACAGCGGGAAATAGATAGGAAGGGAGCAATTCCGCTCCTATCCAAATAAGAAACAGATTTAGACGCTCACCATGCCTACATCCTCCTCGAGGTGCAGGGCTTCCATGTCTTGCAGTTCCAGCGCGCCACGGCCCAGCGGATCCAGGTCGAGCTCGGCACGGATATCACGCTGAATCTGCAAAAAGTATAGCTTGAGACTGTGCAAACCCTTGAGGAACCCGCCGTCTGCCTCGCCCGGATGCTGCGGCGGACACGGCTTGTCACAAATGTTGTCGAACGGCGTCACGCTGTTGGCAAAGTCGGCCACCTTGAAGTCGACCTCTCTGAGGTTTCGTTTGCGGCGGCGCGGTACGTCCTCGGTGTCCGTAGCCGCGTCTGTCGCCGACTCGTAAACTGTCTCATCTCCAGCTCCGTCGTCAGACATGTCGCCATCGTAGAACATGAGCAGGCTTGCGGCGTAGAATCGGTAGCCACGCATGCCTTGAGCAATATTTTCCAGCTGCGCCAGCTTGCGCAAAATCACGGGAATGTGACGCAGGATACTCTGCAGATCAACACCGTTGTAGAGGAACTTTTGCAGGGCGTCTTGAAACTCACTGCCAACCTGCACCCTGCGTCCAAAGTACTTGTCCTGGAAGTCGTAGCTCTGCGTCAAATTGTTCCAGACTTGCAAACCGCATATACGCACACCAAGTTCTTGAGAAGTAGTCGTTCTGCATTTTTCTTGTTGCGACTTCTGCTTCTTGGGCGTCGCCTCCACACCGTACTGTCGTGTGCCCATCTTCAAGTCCATCATGCATGGGCGTTTCATCCCTGCAGTGAGATCTTCCAACAACAAAAAGTATTCGTTACGGTCACGCTGCGATTTGGCCTCCTTCGGGTTCACAGGTCGCGGGATCTTTTTGAATTCGATGGTTGGACTAGGAAATTCTGAGGCAACCGTGGAGCATGCCGTAGAATACGACAGATCGAGTTTCTGAGGAATACGTTTGGGTTCCACAATGTCGGATTCGAACATGCCCTCCTCATCGCCGTTTTCGTAAGTGCCGTTAGTTTCGGACGAAGATTTGTCGTCTTCTTGGGCCGTCTTGCTATTGCCACGATGATAGTCGGCATCATCTGCCTCTTCAAAGTACTTGAGATTTCCTCTCGACTCGCGTACATCTTGCGGTCTTCTCCGAAGACCACCAGCAGAGTATCGTCGCTTCTTCTTAGCAGCGAGAGGGTTATTCTTCAGAATTTCAGGCTCGGGCGCGCTAGTTCCCGTAACATCCTGAACCTCTTTTTCTGGTTCGGGGTCAGCAGCGAGAAGCAGCGAAGGCGACTGTCGCCCTAGGTCACTTTTTGTCTCGGTTGGCATCGAGGGTGGCGGCAGCACGAGAGCGGATGCTGGCGGTGAGGGCTTCTCCAACGGCACGGCTCGGCTCAGGTTTGGATCCGAGTTGCTTGGGCGAATCAATCTCTGCAGCGTTGGTCGAGGAATAGAGCGCTGATGTGGGCGTCGGTGCTTCTGGACCTCGACAGGCTCCTTGAGAAATGCATCGTTGAATACTTCGTTGCGCAGTCGCTTGTTGATGGTTGTCGCGCCCCAGCTGTTGGGTCTGTTATCAAGAAACGGTCGTTGGCTGGTCGTCCATGATGCTTGGGGCGGCGAAGTCTTGGCCGAAGAAGCGCTTCTTCTGCGAAAATATTCTGGTGGTGGCGTCGGCTGCAGCAGATGTCGCGGAAGAATGTGCTTATTGTCGTCAAAAGTAACAGTCGGGATTTGCAGAGCTGAGTGGGCAAGTGATTGGCTAATGACCCTATTTGGAATTGCTCCACCAGGACCAGTGCCGTTGGTGACGGTGGTTGTCTCAACAGCGTCATTGTTAGCCGGGTTTTCCGTAGCTGCGGCGCTCTGGAGCTTTTTGCGCTCTACGGCGGCTTGGTCTTCCTTCTTGGAAATGCTCTTGCGTCTTGGCTGCTTCTGAAAAGTCACATTTAAGACGCCAATGTATCGAGGAAGGAAGGGTAGTAGATCCCGATGGTATCTCTCAATAGTTTCATAAAACTCATTCTCTCGATTGTTCAGCTGCTTACACACAGCACGGCGGGAGAATCGCCATATCGTAGTGTGGCCGCCAACCTGGTGCTTATAAGGAATAAGCTCGATTGCCTCGAGCGGTTCCCTGCTATGAGAATGAGTGTGGTCGTGGCCATGCTCCTCGTGCGGTGTTATGATGCGAGTAGACTTGCCAGTTGGTTTGGCCGTCTTGCTTTCAATATCGACTTCGATCGGCCGGGCGGCGGGCTGCGCAGCGTCTTGCTCAACGCGTCGGGATACTAAATTTTCTCGCGATCGACGAAGCGGCAGTTCGTACGACTTTCCATCTTCCTCCCTGATTTCGGGTTCTGGCTCGTCGGCCTTGACGAGCCACGGGTGAGGTTGGTTTTGGGAGGGTGCGCGGGGACGGGGAGGCTGCTCGGAGCCAGGGCTCTCTGCCTCATCTCTTGGGTCGTCGCTTAGTTCTTGGTGGGGAACAAAGACAGCAGACGATATTTTCTCCTCGCCTGACTCGTCCGCATCGCCGTCGCCACTGTCACACGAGTCCCGACCCTTTGGTGTAGTTGGCGAGGGCAGGTGATCATTGAGTGCGCCAACGGGTTCTGGCACCGGCCCCACATCAAGTGGCGGTACAGAATTGGCGTCGGTTTGTGTGTCGTCCGAGGCTCGCACGACAGGTGTCTCGTCGCCGGCGATGTCATCCTGGTCGACATTAAAATAACCAATTGATTCGGGGTCACCTGTAGTTTCTGCCGGTGTCTTGTCGCCCGCTTTGTGTGGCTGTTGCTGCCGCGGGAGCAGCTCCTCATCCACTGTGGTGCCGTCCGAGACGCTAGAGGAATCAAAAACAGCCTGTTCTAATTCTTCAGTAGTTGGTGTCAATTTTTCGCGAGCAGCTTTTATCTCTTTACGACGGGGTTTCTCCTCGTCTGGTAACGCCTCTTTGAAGAAGCGCAAGCTGTAACTCGCCTTGCGGCTACGGGCATTGTGTTCAACGCCAGCCATAGCCTCGGCGACAGACTTTTCGACGAGGCCATCTTCTTCATTACCCTCACCTGCGCCAATGGACCAGATCTTTTCCGTCTTCTCCGGTGCATTTGCATGGCGGTTGTCAATACCATGGTTGCGGTTCTGGTTTCGTAGGTCGGAGGCCGTGACGGCGTCTCGCAATTTCGAAGGCGACGTAGTGGTGCGGTCAAAATAGTAACTCGAGGTGGCGGCAGCCAGATCATCGGGACTTGTAGAGTAGGAGAAGGGGTGGTTGGATGACAGCTCAAAGGTGTTACGGTCAATTTCGAGAGAGGAGGATGCGCGGGCGCGGGATCGATCAAGAAAATCTCTGTGTTCCAGGAGCGACTCGCGAATTTGTGCAATTGTTTGATCGGAGAAGGGAGCGGCGGCTGGCATCGCATCGCGGCCGGTGAATGGCGCGGTCATGGATGGTGCAGCAGAAAAGGTCATGGCGGGCCTCGACTCTTTCTTCTTATTATCGTAGGGTGTTATCGAGCTGTCTGGTTCGCCATGTTGAGAAGACTGGTCGTTCCCGGGCTGTTGGGTGTAGTGGTCGGATGTGATGCTGACGCTATTAGCGACAATATTTCTATTGTCTCTGCCTAGTTGTTGTGCAGTAGCAGGCTGGTGTGTCGCCGTGTGGCGCTTTTTGTCCGTACTATCGAGCTGTGGTGATGTAGGCTTGGAAGGGATGCCGCGAGCAGTTGCGAGAGCCTGGGAGAGAAGCGAGGGAGTAGCAGGTGGACGTTGAAGTATATTTGAGCTAGAACCGGGGTTGGCAGCGTTGGCAGCGGTAACGGGGACGGGGCGGGCAGGCCGGGGCTTTATATCAGCAGCGTCGGCAGGTGTGCCTGGTTGGGCTGCCGGAATGGTGGGAAGCGGTGTCGCAGCGGACAGGGGTGGGGGGTGTGAAGGCGGCAGAGATTGACAAGCAGTATTAATGGCAGGAGGATGTGAAGGAGGATGAGGCGCCCCAGCATGGGTCGAGGGAGGCGTGAGTGCAGAAACAGGCGTGGATGTGCTGGTCTGGGTCGGGTGGTGCAGATTTGGACTTGGATGGGCGTGAGGATGGTGTTGTTGAGCGTCAGGGTCGTGGACGGCGTGAAGGGTGTGAGTTGGGCCGGTAGCAAGGTCCGAATTTGACTCTGCGTGCGGCAGAGGGTCTGAGGCAACCATTCGATCGGGACGAGAGGTGATTGTGGGTGTTTCTGGCGCCGGGGTGACGGTTGTGGTTGCTGATTCTGATGCTGGTGGCACTACTACCGGGTCATGGACGGTGCTGGTGCTAGCGAGGTGGCAGTCATGGCGGTTGTGATCTATTACTGGGGCAAGTGGTGCGCCAATTTGCGACTGGCGACTCGGGCTGGACATGGAGAGAACATCTGGGCGCAACAGGGCGACAGTTGAGCGGGCGTGGGCAGGATGATTCGCGGCGGGTTTTGGGTGTGGGTGAGGTGAGAAAGTGTGAAGATGGAGGTGGGTGTGTGTTTGTGTGAGGTGGTGGTGGTTCGCTCGGGACGGAGTGGGCGAAGAAGTAAGTTTGTCCTGGTTTGGGCAGTTGACTGGGGCCGGGGGCCGGAGGACCTTGTAGGCGCCTTTCGGTGGGAAACGTGGGAGGTCCCGACGGAGGGGGTGGACTTGCAGTACGATTGGCGAATGGGTCCCTGCATTGGACGTATTATTTTATCTAACTATTACAATTGAGGAAAGAGAGAAGTATTACCTTCGGTTGGGTTTAGTTTATTCCTTTGCTTTTTGTACCTAATTAGTGTTTTCTTTTTTCGTAGCGAGGGCGGTCAATGTGGCAAACAAGATTCAGAAGGATAAGAGAAAAGAACTCAAAAAAATGTCAAGGTAATTAGATAAAGATAACCAATAGACCCAGGCTGCCTGGATACTACCAACTCTCAGGTATTAGCAATGCGGCGTCCTTTGGCCGTTATCGACGTCTTGCATCCTCTCCGTACAGCACATTCCATCAAGTCACTAGCCATTCTTTAGCAGCCACAACTCCCTACACCTCCCTAGCCACACCGTTCTGCCACTTGTGCCACTTTCATCATACAGCCTGTGACTTCGGCACGAGATGTTTCCTTCGCCTAGCAGCATAACATCATCCCTTATCATCATCACTATCATCATCATCATCATCACCACACTACCTATCCATAGTGGCCAATTCTTAGAATGCCACCCTATCAGCACTTGCCAGTACTGTATTATTAAACTTACAGTTCCAACTCTGTTAGTTACCTTAACTACCAAGGCGCCGCCTCAGCCCCAGCTCGCTCACTCAGCCACTACACCACAATCATCGGCCACACTGCCATTCCCTGGGGTTTTAGTGGCCATCTGTCAAACTACTCCTTCCGCACCATGTACTCATGATGCCAAGTTCGACCGCACCAATACTCTCCCTCCATCGGCCTATTCAACGTGCCATGTGTGTCGAACTAGTCTCACACGATCCAAACACATACGCCAAGCTTTTCCGCCCGTCTTCCCGAATCATGTTCAACTCCCTGCCCAGTGGACTGGCTTTGACCCGACGTATCCTGATACACACGTGCAAAGCCTATCCTGAATCCTCACCGAAAGCTTCAACCCTCCATGCCCAACACACGCACACACACACACACACACACACCATCAGGGAGACAGAGACAGCATTCGTTCGCTACACTAGTCGTCTCCGGCCTCCCGGCTCAGGGGCCGCCTCGACGGTCAATAGGAAGCCGAAGCTCAGCCATGTTTCCTATGCCCTCTAGCTTTACCCAGATGCACAGCCCTGCCCCCTCCCCGGGCACATTATTAGAGCCGCCGCTATGGCACTCACACCACTGCCCCCTGCTCGTTCTCCCAAACATCTTCTCTCCTTGCTCTCTGGCATGCGCTTTGTTGGTTGATCTTGTCCCCTGCTTGTTGTGTCGTTGAACTTGTCATTGCCGCGCCGATGACGCGGATGCGGTTACCAACAGACCCGCCATCTTGCTTCCCCAAAGGCACTGACACCGCCAATGTCACCCTTGCCTCGTTGGCTCACTATCAACGTAGCCTACACCAATTATGATGAACCATGCCTCCTTGGAGACCCTTCCCGTTCTGGAAGCTCCTTTTTCGGTCCAGCCAATGCGAGGTGGCCAGTGTCTATCTAACTACTCCGAAGCCGCAACCTATCAACGTTATCAGCGGCAGCGCGCGTGCGTGCTACATACGTGTCTGACGCAACGATAACAAGCATTCCCCCTCTTCTCATCTGGACTTTCGGCCAAAGATTAAACCAGCTCATCCCATTCTTTGCACGTGCTGCCCAGCGCTCGCCATTTGCTCACCGCGCGCGAAGCCTTCTTCCCCCACGCACGCCGTGGCTAGCGCTGATCTCCCAAGATGACTAGGGAGGCCCGACTTCTTCTAGCGCCTGGAGAGCAATAATATGTGGACAAATATTGCTGGTATGCCTACAAGAAATTTATGTGCAGAGACGAATGTTGACCCAAAGCACCAAAACGTGGCCCGGCTCGAGCTTGAGTCGTAGCCATCCCGTCACGGATGCTACAGATTTGAGCTGCCCGTCAACGTATGCAACAATAGTCTCAACCACCAGGGTTATCGACACTTTGAAACTCGCCATGACCACATTTTCAAGTGTCGGTGTCCGATCAGTTGCTCGCATCAGGTCAACCCGGTAAAATCGGAAGAAGACAGACATGGCATGAAAGGACAAGACCAGGACATGCGCATAATTATGACGGCAGGACAACCCCCAGTCATGTCTCGAGCAAACGCGCCGCGCAACACATGGCACACTTCTTGTTCCGCGATTGGTGTATCTTCTTCTATGGACTGGCCACAAAGAAAAAGGCAAAGTTGTCGAGCTGCCAGCCTGCCACGTACACAATCCATCCGTGTCCTATGCAAATAGGCCACAACCTGCCAATGACTTACTTGGGCCCCCTGTCGCCTGGCTTGTTTCACGTAAAAGTGTGTAATTCGGGTAGATTTCCAACTACTTATCCTTGCAGTACACCCATGACGCAGGTGCACAAAGACACGAAGCATGGCCGGTGGCTTTACGAATACAGGAGCTTACCTAGCGAAAAAGCCTCCGCAATATGATGCTCGCACGATGATCGATGCGATGGAGTCCGCAAGAACGTACCGAGTACCTAACTATTCTACAGGCGTGAGGATAATCCCATCTTTTGCAGCCGCAGTCTACAGATACATATGTAGAGAAGCATTAGGTCCTTTTGCATTTCGTCTGATAACGTCTCGCGACGCTATACGTCCTACTTCGCCGCCCCCTTGCATCATCAATGGGACTTTTTTGCAGCAATCTGCATGCTATTTATTGATACCCCCGCGTGGAACCCTCCTTGACATCGATCCGGGTACCCTCAAATATGGCATCTCGACTTACACCCAGCTCAAGGGAGGGGGCGTGTGCAAGCTTTCCCCTATTCCGGCGTTGGGGATATTTTGTCAAGAAAAAAGGTTTGGAAAGCACAGCCCACCTACCTATTCCTACAGTCGTGAACCTGCCTGTCATCCTTGTCGCACGTTGAGACGCTCGCCAAGGCAATTGGACCATCCGGGTCGGTTGGCCCACTCTTTTCACCTTCCTTCTCGGCCCCACCAGCCCGGTTCGCTGTTATGACCGTATGAGTCTGTTCAAGGACGCGGGCTTGTAGCGCTGAAAATGATTGCTTTTGAGCCTTGGCCTTTCTTCTCAGGGTCTCATATCGAGGCTAGAGTCTTGCCAAAAAAGAGAATCGTGTTGTTTGCTTCTTCGCAGCAAGCGAGACTTTCTTCGCCTAGTTGGCGAAATATGAATAGTCACTTTTACACGACAGATTGCGTGCCTGCATGCCGCGCCCAGGGTTTGGTGGCTTGGGCATCAACAAGGCTACCCTGTACCACCCACCGCAACGATATAGGACGTTTGGCAAAGACGCGGAAACTGGGCAACTCAAACGACACTTCGCCCTGGTAAGGCGGCATTGGGCCTTGGCAATTAGCTAATGCGCCTGTGTCTGCCTGGCCATGCTGTACACTGCTGCGATGCCCAAGAATTGAGGTATAGGTCGGGGGTGCTATAAGCCACGAAATTCAGGGTGAGAAAGGAATATGCCGAGCAGGCAAGGACATTATTTCTTTCGTAATGAAAAACGAACGCAAAGAGGGAATCAAGAAACACGCCTCAACAGATTTAATACATTTAAAAAAGTTGCTAAAATCCCATCATAAATACAGATTTTATATGGTATCTAAAGCGACAAATAATTCCTGCAGAAATGTCAAACCAACCATTAAAAAACGCCATTCCATGATTTGCTCGTCCCTCCGATTCAGCGCCATGAAGTCTGTGACTGTGTTCCAGCCCTCGCTGTCGTGATGTCCGTCTTCCTGGCCGCGTCGAGCTCCGCGTCCACGTCCCACGACTGCCAAAAGTCGCCCATCTCGCGCACCATGTCCTCCACCATGTCCATCGGCTCGACGGACACGGTCCTCTCGCGTGCGCCGCTCCCGTCCTGGTGCTCAGCGCCAGCATCACCGTCACCCGTCGCAACTGCGCCCGAGTGCTCCTCCCTCGCGTGGACGGCGCCGCTCTTGGGCGGCGGCCCTCCGCTCACTCCCAGGCTGCTGCTGCACAGACTCTCGACGAGCCGTTCAGTGTCGGCCGCAGCGCGGAACCTGTGTCGCAGCCCGTCGGTGCGCTTCATGACTGACGAAAAGTGCTTCGCAAATTTGTCGTTGGAAGCCGTGGGAAGCTCTGCGAGAGGCTTCAGAGGCGGCGGTGACGAGGGCACGTCGCGGCTGGTCCGCAGTACGTCGGCTCCGCCCTCGACACATTCTCCAGGCTCGCCTGGAAGGCACCAAGAGACTCTGTTGCTTGTACGCCGAGCTGAGCCGGTGACCAGAGACGCTAAGATGCCCTTGAGATTTGGGTGGCGAAGACTTGAGCCCGGAAGCTTGCGCCGCTTTTGGACACGCAAGCGCTCTGGAGACGGTGTTGCGAAGGCGGCGAATGACTTGTAAGCGAACCGAGGTTCCGCAGTCTTTGGTTTCCCCGCGGGCGATGCAGTTTTGGTCCGTAGAGGTGTAACAGGGGTCGTAACTGGGGGAGCCATCTCACATGCTATAGCTGGCGCGGTTGCTGTCTCCTGGGCAAATGGCGAGCTGTGCTCCCGTAGCGCGCCGGTTTGGGTCTTAACCTCAGCTTCGACTTGGGGGCTATGGTTGTTGGGCGACGGCTCGTTGTCTGCCATCACCTCATGCTCTGGGATGGTTGGGGTTCGATGTGCGGGAGGAGTACCAACGCGCTGGAGTTGTGGTGTCGGCAGCTTTTCTGATCTCGCACTACTAGACTGATCAAAGGACACCGTTTGCTGACTCTCTGTAGCTTCCTTGACAGGCACATTATCGGTGGTCGAGGTTGTGTAATCCTCCGCCCTCGCCGTCTGGGAAGCCACATGCGTCTCTATGGGAACATCTTCAACACTGGGTAGAATAAGCTCGTCCATTTCAGGGATGGGCTGTTGTATAGTCTGCGCAGGACCGGTGGATGGACGTGTCGGGTTGGCCCATAGATTTGGAGGAACGAAGCCTCGAAGAATTGCTCTGAGGGAAGACTCGGATACTTCCTGTTTGACCTTGGGAGAGGGTTGTACAGCATCCTCAGCCTCTGATTGGGTTGAAGGCCCGGCCGTGACACGAGGTGCCCCCCCTGCACCCTCATGTACCGCTGTGACAGAGGCATCGTCCTCGGCAGCGTCTAGCTGAGGCAGTTGCCTGGTGTCCTTGTCTGATTCATCGGGTGACTCGTTGCTAGCCAGAATGGTCTTCTCTTCCTCCAACATAGTATGAGACACGTCAATTTTCACAGTCTTCCCAGTTTCCGGGACATCCTCGACTGAAGACTCGTCTTCTGGAGTCAAGCCATCGTCGGCTTCACCTGACAGTTCTGTATTGACGCCGTCAGTCATGTTGATAGCTCCCGGCGTGGCTTCAGTATCTGCCATCTCCGTTTCTGTAATTGCGGAGTCATCATTTGCGCCGTGCTCCGATTCGTGAGGTACTTTCGCCGACTCTGCTTCGGATGCATCGAATTCTTCCTCCAGATCTGACAGTTCTGGAGAATCAGAGAGTTCGCTGAGCTCTGAGTTGGGTGAGCCATCCTTCTCCAGGTCGAGATGATCATTCAGACTAGGCGCTCCGTGTCCGTCTTTGTGCAGCGTAGCATCGTTCGCATGTTCCAGTTCTTCATCCGCTTGATCTACGGCACTGTCCGATGAACCCGAAAGAGGTTCTAAAGCGATATCAAAAACAAACTCTTCATCGTCCGATACTCTATGTGGCTTGCGCACAGTCTCGTAGCCGGCTGTACCATGACTGGCTGTTGTATTCGGATGATCTGAGACAACCCCCGAGATGGAATGGACCTTAGCATTGAAATTCAGTGGCGAAAGCTCTGTAGAAGGCTCTTCTTGCTTGACCTTCCGGAGGGATACAGGCGATGACAAAGATGCAGCAGCCTGTTGCTCCTTGTTGAGTTCATCGCGAGGCTTGCTCTTAGTCAAAGTTGTAGCCCCGGCAGCATTTCTGGTGCTTGATGCCTGTTTAGGAGGTGAAATAAGCTGATTCGTAGAATCGCGAGCTAAGAGGTTTGTGCCTGGTTCGAGTCGGGCCTGTTCACCGCCTTGTGTTGATGTATCCGGGAGAGTAGCCGTGGGCGTCTTGGATGTTATAGATGAGTTGTGGTATGGGCTATTGAGTTTGCTCCGTTTATCAGGAGCCACCCTTAACCAATTGTGACTCGATTTCCGCTTGTGAGGAGAGGCGGTGTTCGTTGCTTGTGTCGTGGAAGGCTGCACTAGTTTGGGTTCCGCTGAACAGACGCCGTCACGCCATGCTTGAACGGCTTGTAGTTCCTCCTCTTCAAGATATAAATGTCTCTTAGAGGCCAAAGATGGCGTCTTGAGGCTCTGCGGACTAGGCAGATGACATTCGGCGCTATCTGGTCTCGGGTTCATAGATATTTGTTTGACATGGGGTTTGGCGATTTTGATCGTGTCTGGTGCTTTCGTAGCGAGTAATATTTGGGGGTCTGGTTGTCGTGCAATTCGGGTCGATTGTGTCTTGCTGGCCCAGGGATTTTTCCATCCTCTGCTGCTTTCAAATGGTCCAGTTAAGGACGCTGAGAATAACCGCGGCGCAGAACCTGCAAGAAAGCGTTGCCCAGCGAGTTCATAGCGACGTTTCCTTTGCCGAGGACTTTCGTATTGGTCATCGTCGGACCCGGAGTAATATACATCCTCGTCAGGGCACTTGGCCTCACAATAGATGGTATCGACGAGGGGCCAGTTTGACCGAGAGGCTCGAGGTGCCATAGTGCCTTTGCAACATTAACGGGGTCGGAAAAATCATGTAAAAGATTTTTCTGCGAGAAGCGGTAGCTATTATGGGCGAGCGATGAAGGGCTTGATCTGCTACCGACTTCCAGCCAGCAACGGGAATCTGTACATGGCTTCAGGCCTGTAATTTCTCCAGGTCTGTCTCGGGGTGAAGCGCGCCAGACGCGTCACGCGTTTCCACGTGAGGGCGCGTAAAGTGGCGCCACGCGTTTGGTCTCCAAATGCTGCTTCTCTGACTTCTAAATCAGGAAAAATGGATATACATAGGTACCTATACTTCTCAGAAGAATCTAGACGCCTTTTGATTTTTACGTTTTATTCTTAATTGAGCTTTCTTCTTCATGTGCAGCATTTGGAAGTGTGTACTGGAGGCGCTGCTGCACGTGAGGCTCAGAACGTTGGCACGGCAACTAGCCTTACCAGATCTGGACTGCTCGTTTGTTTACCTCAATGCTTGAAGTACCTTGTAACTACGCGCAGCAGCCTGCAAACGATTCGCGCCACCAGCACTGAACGCACTAATTCCCTGCAGAAAAGCCGTTATATGCATCTTGAATATACGTCGTCATTTCTACAGCCAAGTACTTGTTCATTACGCTCTTTTCTTTCCGGATTTCGTATATTCTTTGCGCGGCATCAGCTTGCTTGCCGTTCTACTACTACATACTTGCGATCCGATCCTCAACCCCACCTCAAAATCTCAAGCTACAACAACTCCCCGATGCGATGGTATTCTAGCTGAAAGTACCCTTCTCAGCCCATCCTTACCCCTTTCTCTATCTTTACACATTACCTCAGCGATGGCGCATGCCTGGCTGGACTCTCTCTCTGAGGACTGGGTTTCCGAGCCTCGCTCAGATGCCTCAGAGGTACAGCTCCCGCCGCTGAAAGCTCCCGCCGATGCTACGCCCAGCAAGATTCCTCGTCGAACCGGTGCAAACCCAGTCTACTCCCCAATTACCGGCAACAGCAGTCATATCCTCAACGAAAGATCAGCCAACGAAATAAACATACCGCAGAACAAGCGCCCGTCAAAACTTTCGCGAGAGCTCAATCAAGACGCAAAGGATTCGCGCTCAGTCTCTGTCGCTACATGCGGCTCAGTTGTGCACAAAGCAGTTGATTTGGAGGCTGAGAAGGACTTGAACCCCGAGTGGAAACGACGCCTCATCAATGGCGAAGTGCAGTACGGCGAACAGCGCGACTTGTTTTGCTCCGCCGCCACAGGCCTGCAGGACATGTTCAAGCCTCCACAGATGGAGCCCGCAGACGCGCAATGCGGCCAAGCAATACCCGACCGTACAATGCCCTCAAGTCCACCACTTTATCAATACGAGCCAGACGAAGATATCGATCGATTGCTAGAACTCGCAGAGCAAGACGAGCATGAATTTCCCGAACAAGTGACGCCTAGTCCGAGCCCAAGACGGGGAATCCGCAGCACGCACTTCCGATCCACATCGAATGGGAACAATAGTTTTCTTCCGTCACTACCGATGGAAAATTATGTCGACGAATCACCGCTACAACATGTTGCTGGTATTGCTCGCACTAAGGTTGTGCTCAATGCGCCGCATCATGCGCAAGGGTCTCTTCGCCAAGTGAGCGGCCAGACTGATTTTGACAACGAGGATTTTAGCCCCATTATGATTGGCCGACAAGATGAAGAAGATGGCCAAGTCAAGTTTGGCTCCATGAATATACCTATTGGTGAATTACAATCAAAGCTGGAGCGTGTTGAAAAGAATCAGGCCAGTGATGCGGGGGATACGCCACTGCACCCCGGTGCGACGGTGGACAGTGCATCGGAGATTGACGCGCTCGATCGCTTTACTCGTAATGCGGGCCAAATCAACTTGCGCCGCGGAGGGCGCTCGGGAGATGGCTCGTTCTACAGCAGAGCGCTGAGCCCTGATCTTGGCGTGGACACTTCAGAGATGCTGCCGGAAGAATCCTTGCAAGCAAGCACGCCAAAAGAATTTCCCACCATCCGAACTCAATTACCGTCACGAGGAGCTTCTCAGTCTATGGCGAGCCCGCCACTACCCAGAGCGCCGTTTCCCAGTCCGGATAAACGCAGTCTTAACCCAAGTGGCAGCCCGCTCAAACTTTTCGGGCCCTACGACACTTTTACGAACCAGACCCTGCTACGGCGAATTAGCCAGTACGAGGACGTCGACTCCGCGAACTCATCAGCACAGGGCCAGGAGCTTGTTGATCCAGAAAAGTCTGATGATATGGATCGGAGTCGAAGATCAGTGAGCTACTTTGGTGGTGGCCAACTAGACGACTACGAATTCACAGCAGACATCTCTGAGGCACATGATATCTTTGATGGCACGGACAAGGAGAACGTTTCGCCAGAGGCGCATATGATTCCCATGGGATCTCGTCGTCGTATATCTTTCGGAAATGCGTCCAAGATACTCATTACACGGAGGAGAGAACGTTCTGGCGTATCAACTGACGCACTTGCGGAAGCGCAGCGCCTGGATATTGTTCAGGGTGCACCAGAACTGGGTGTCACCCCAGGCAGTGATCCCGATGCGTCGGAGATGAAGCGCACAAGAAATTCCCCCGTCAAGGACCCCACACCAAAGAGACGACGAACTTTACGACGCTCCGATGCTACTTATAACCGACAAGAGCAGTTTTCGCAGGTGGATGCAGCTCACCAGCAAATGCAGAACATTATGGGCAGGAAGCGCAAGGATGCCCGACCTGGGCAGTTCCAAATCGCCGAAGCCGATGTTCTGGCAGCAAGAAAGATTTTAAAGCCTTGTTCGCCTGCTTCGAGCCCAAAGTCGTCGCGTGATTCTGACGACTCTCTAGTCAGGGCGAATCAAACTGGTGTTGTGCCTACAAAGACGGAGCGCAAACCATCAATCAAGACACAAGACTTTGTGGATCAAGCAGCACAAATTATGGCCATGATTCGCAACCAAGTGAAGCCGACTGGTTTGGCAAGCTTGGAAGAATCAGAGGAAGAACACAATACAGTTGCTGAGGGCGAAATTGCATCTGCTGGGGGGTCGCAGCCAGACTCCACCTACGAACCCCTGTCTCGCCCTCCGAGTCGCGAAGGAAGACAGTCACCCAACTATCAAGAGCGGCTTAGTGACCCGGAGTTAGAGGCGCGGCTGAAGAAATACAAGGAGATGAGCGATATGGGCGATCTCGCAACCTCCTCGATGCGATCTGTTGGCATGGGGCAGGATGAGCTGCGGGCGGCTTATCTTGATATTCATCACCAGCAGTCAACTTTCGGACGCGCCTCGGCTTCGCTACCCATGCCCGACAAAATTGTTAGCGACCTCGAGAACGTGCGGATTTCTGGCCCATTTCTGAATTCATCGCTACCCGCCAGTCCGAGTCGGGGTTTCCCTTCAAACTCTTCCGCTCACTCTGCCAACACCGTACCGACAACATCTTCAACCAGCTCTGACACGAGAAGAACAATCATGCCTGAAAGCGTCTCACATCTCATCCCAGATCGGGTGGGTAGCATGTATCTCGACAAGTCCCAAAATATTTGGATCAAGAAGAAGGAAGCCAACCCCGAGGCTCAAAACAACAGCATCGCAGCTACTGATGATAGCGAGGAAGACCCGTTTGCTAGCATCCCTGATCTTACTGTCGATATGACACAGGAATTGCGAAGCTTAAAACGCGTTATGGCTGACGGACAAGGTACTGGTGCCACTGGCCCACTGTCCTCTCCTCGCCCGCCACAGCTTGTACTTGTTCCGTCTTCACCTCAACAGGAGGATGACGATGTAGAGGAGCTGCCAAATATCGAGAGGCGAGAGATCCAAGAGGCATATAGCTCTCGAAATGGAACGACAAAGCGAAGAAATATGACCATTTCGTTCTCATCGCCGATTGCGTCCATCATCCAAGAGGCTGTGGCTATGGGTGCCGAGAGCTTCGGCGACGAAACGACCCCCCGTTCGATCAACTACGACAAAAGCCCAGACCAATCGCCACCCGACAGCTTTGCTGGCCAGAAGGCTCTGCGGCAGATGGATAACAAGTCCAGACCACCCACCATGAGATATGTATCACAACAAGGGCCAGATTTTGTTCGCCGGCCGGTGTCGCCAATCAATGAACAAGACGAAGACGGTACTGTCGAACTGCCTGCCAACGAAGCGAACCAGCTAAGCTTTATTGGAGAGCGGGGGCTCATGAACTATGGAGGACAGGAGAGTCGACATGCATCACTCAGCCTCATCATTAGCCGAACGCCAGGTAATAAGAGCCTGACTCTTGCAGGTGATGAGAGTGCTATTATTGGGCAGAACATTGGTCATATGTCACTGAGCCCACTCTCCGAATTCAACGTCACCCAAGGAGACCAGTCGTTCGGTTTTGAGGTTAGCTACGTGCTAGGCAACCGACATTTGTCCACCGGAGATGGTTCAAAGAAGGTCATGTCACTGACAATACGGGAGCTTGTTGAGCGGCTAAGTGAGGTCGAGCCATGCGAGCCATACTGGCAAGATATCGAAGAACTCAACTTGAGCGAGAAGCGACTTTCAAGCCTGCACATGCTAGAAGAGTTTTGCGGTAAGGTGGTGACTCTTGATGCATCGCAAAACGCGCTTGGTCACCTGGAGGGAGTACCGTCTAGCGTGCGGCAGCTCAAGGTATCGCAAAACATGCTGACGGAGCTGACTTCGTGGAACCACCTGGTCAACCTGCAGTATGTTGACATTTCTGGCAACGAGGTCAAGAGTCTATCGGCGCTTAGAAACCTGGTGCACCTACGAAGCATCAAGGCGGATAACAATAAGCTCACGAGCTTGAGTGGGCTGGAATCGCACCAAGGACTGCTTTCCCTGCGAGCGCGAGACAACTTGATTGAGGAGCTGGATTTCGAAGACAGCACCTTTGACAGGCTCACGGAGCTAGACCTCACGGGCAACATGATTGAAGTAGTTCGCAATTTGCATCTCGCCCCATGCCTATCGAAGCTGAAGCTTTCCAGCAACAAGCTGCAGACGTTTGATGCGCGTCAATCATGCAAGACGGTCCGCCACCTCGACGTTAGCCACAATCAACTCAGGCATCTTGATGTCAGCGGACTACCGAATCTGCACACGCTGCTTGCGGACAGCAATCAGTTACCAGACGTCACTGGATTGCAGCGAACTAGACGATTGGACAGCCTTTCTCTGCGAGAACAGCGAGGCCAAGAACCTCTGACTCTGGAGTTCTTGTCCGTAGGATACGAAGTACGCAAGCTGTATCTTTCCGGAAACTACTTAGAATCGTTCGAGCCCAAAGTGGACCTGCTGAATCTGCAACTGCTTGAGCTTGCCAATTGTGGACTGACGAGCCTGCCTGAAAATGTTGGACAGCTGATGCCAAACTTGCGGTCGCTGAACATCAATTTTAACGCAATCTCCAACGTGAAGCCTTTGGAGTATATTCCGCGGCTGAAGAAGTTGATGATGGCGGGGAACCGACTTGCGGACTCTACGTCGGTGACACAGCTTCTCATGGATTTTCCTCACCTAACGAGGCTGGATACGAGAGATAATCCCATGACACTCGGGTTCTACGCGCCACTACAGGCTCTGGTGAAGGCGAACGGAGAGGAGACGTCGACGCCGTTTGCGCTGCCCGACGCAGACGAAGAACGAGATGAGCTGTACGTCAGCCGACTGGATGAGGCCACGAAACTTCGACGAAGGTTGCACCAGGTAGTGCTGGCGGCTAGCTGCAGTCGACTGCGGATGTTGGATGGTCTACCGGTGCAGCGGAAGCGTGTTTTGGCCATGGATAGCCTCTTGGTGTCGCTGGTGGAAGAAGGCTTGGTTGAAGTACCGGAGCAAAAGGAGAAGAGTGACAAGACCCAAGAGAGTTGTGAGAAGAAGGAAGAGGATGAGTGCGAGGAAGCGCAAAGCAGTCGATGGAACGCGGAGGACAGCTTTGCTTAAGTGAACAATGAGACAGACGCCGGGTGCGAAAAGGACATTGTATTAATGACTGATGGGAACAGCATTGGGTGGACTTCGGTGCATATGGAGGCGATAATACTGGACGAGTGACCTCTGGATTTTGCATTGGGGGTTGTCATTTTTGTTCGAAGTTTTCTGGGCGTTTCAGGCAACAGGAGGGGCGCATATGGGAGGTCTTGCGAAGGGACTTTTACTTTGGGGCTTGTTTTTCTTGTACATTTTACTGCTGTACATGGCAAAGGATGCTTGGACTAGGTGGCGTGGATAGCCATATTTAGATGAAGGCATATTACTGTTTTGTGCACTTGATGCTGACTGCGTGAGGCTGGTCTGGGGGGTTTCTCTAGGAGCAGTTGTCTTTACGGCTTCTGGACAGCTCTGAGAGGAAGGGTGAGTTGTCGAGCTTTGAGATGAACTGCTTTTGTTTACTCCGGACGGAGTAATGGGTGATGATTGTCAACCTCGGGAGCTAACTAGAGGCAAGGGAGGAGGAAGGGGTTGGTTGCATGAGATGGGTCGTGTGCTGGTGTCTTAGACATTGACGGGTGAAGAAAGAGGAAAGGAACGAGACTTGTTAATTGCGAGGGAGAGAAAAGATGGAATACATAGCTAGTTGTTCTCTTTTCTTTTTTCTTAATGGCAGTAAAATTCACCTCTTTCGCCCTCCCTCCCAGGAGTTGGCTTGGCATGTGGCGAGATGAGTTGGCTATGTGCTCTGTGTGAGAGATGACACGAGTCGGGGTGGCAGTAAATCGAACCATGAAAAAGTAAGAGGAAAAGGGAAGAAGAATTGTTTACAAAAGCGAATAGGGATAGTTGGCTCGTGCCGTGTCATGTATACAAGTCAGGGTGCATGATCAACGGTCCTGCGTCAATGGTACGGGCCAGGCCGTGAAACCGTGAAGCCGTGGTGGGCTTCTTTCCAGCGGCAGTAGCCTGTAGGGCTTCTCCTGAGTGGTTCCGGCATCGAGGACAGACGAGTCTTTGGCGGGTCATCGCCAGCACGGACAACGAAGGGATGCATATTTTAATCGCTCATTTTTGAAACATTTTTCATCTCCTTTCTCGCCTGTGTATGCATGAATAATCGCTGCGGACGTGAAGATCAGGACAAAGCTGCCAGCCTGGCAGACCCCTGTAAACACGACCAGCCCCCACTGAGAGTCAGTTGGTTCCAGGCACGGCTTGCTGCGCCAAGTTGAAGTACGTATCGCATTACAGGCTCCCTTTCTCCAAGAGGTGACTTTCGAATTTCGTAGACTAGACTTTTTCTCTTTTTCCTCTCTCCTTTTTCTTTGGTTCTTGATGGTGCGCCTTGATCAAGTTTCCCTTTCCTTTTTTTTTTTTCTTTTTTCTTTTTTCTTTTCAGCCCTGAATTTCAGCAACCGTCAGTACCTGCATTTGCTATAACGTGTTCCCAGGTAGGCAGGTACAGCGTCTATCGGGCCCCATATTACCAATTTGTTGCGTCACAGACTTCTGGCTGCTTCTGGTTGGCTGGCAGCTGGCGGGCGGCTTGCAGCTGGCTTTCTTGGCCTCTCCAAATCTCTGGTCTCCAGTTTCTTCTGCCCTGCTTCTTTCCTCCAGGCCACCAAGCTCGAGGTCCAACCCTTGGCCCACCAACTCCTCCAACTCCTCCAACCAAAACAACAACTCTCTCCTCATACATACTACCTGCAACGACAAATTTCAAACCATAAACTCAGATGCAATCATCAACACTCATATAAACACGCACACACGCACACACGCACACACACGCACAACCAGAGCTCCCCACCTCGTCCCTCTCGTGGACCCCGATGGCCGCCATCACGACGGACCACCAACAGCCTCCGCTGCCTCCCCTCGGCCTTGAGCGTTCCCTCTCCCAGCACAGCTGCTCGTCCGCCCGCTCTCACCGCAGCACCCTGCGCTCTGGCAGGACGCGCCGTCTCCATTCCCAGGCCAGCACCAGCAGCCGCTCTTCCTCCAGCATCGCCGCCAGCGACAAGTCTCTCACCAGCTTCCCTAGTTTTGGCGCTCCAGAAGGCTCTGCCGCCGGCATACCCAGCAATGACGACGCCGACGAGCGCCTAAAGACGGCCACGCAAGAGTCAGAGAACCGCCGATTTCGTGCCACCCTCCCCGCCCGGCCCTCCATCGTCGACAGCTTAATCGACACCGAGGCCTCCAACCCCGTCGCTGCCACCTCCTCACCCTTCCGTGGGGCCCTCTTCGAAGATGGCGTCCTCACCCGCTCCGTCCCCGGCGCCCTCCACCAGGCTCCCGACGGCCACATCGAACGTCTCGTCGCCCGTCAAGGCGCCGTCTCCCTCGTCAGGCAGCTCGCCCAAGACCTGGCCCAGCGCGATACCCAGATGGCCAGCCTCCGCCGCCGCGCCGACGAACGAGAACGAGCACTGCGACGCATCATTCGCGAGTGCGGTCTCTCTACCATGGAGCTCGAGGCCAGGCTGCGCGTCGTCGAGGCCGAGATGCGGACAAACGGCTTGTGCGGAAACGGCTCTAGTCACGATGGTGGCTTGACAGACCTGATGAGCGACGCCATGCAAGACACGGTGTCGGAGAATGTGTATGGCGAGACTGATTTGTCAAACTCGACCGTGCGACTCGGATCGGCGACCGTGTCCCCCGCCACTGGCGCTGCGGGCAAGAGCACTCTTCGTGGGTTGAAAGACATGATCTGGGGCTCAGGCACAGCAAAAAGGTCGAGTCGCGGCAGCAGCGTCAACGGCGACGCTGCCGCCGCTCTACGGTCACATTCGAGCCTTGAAAGGCGGCCCGCCATCCAAGACGATCTCTTCGATCCTCCCGACGCCCGTTCTGTCCGATCTTCTAGCAGAGCATCTAGCATATACTCGGGCGCCAGCGAAAGCCGTAAAGTGCCAGCCTCTCTGGCCAGTCTTGCCCTCAAGCTGGTGGCTGGTGGCACGCAGACGGAATCTAGGGGACGCGCTGTCAGTACCACGGGCACCGCCTCGGCGCGTGGAGCCTCGGCGGCCAGCCGCAAGGGAGCACCATCAGGGAGATCTGCCTCCGTGACTGGACCGAAAGCGCTCATGGCTATGAGGCGCGCGACGCCAGGCCCGACGTCCCAGCCCTCCAGCTCTCGGGCGCAAGCACAGGAACTCTGGGGCGGTATGGCCGGTAGCCCACCGAAATCAGCTGCTGCTCGCCAGGAAAGCTACGGTCCCGTGGAAATGGATGCTATTCTGCCGCCAGAGTCGCAGCCTCCGACTCTAACACAGATGTACAACTATTCCGGGAACAGCTCGCACTTGACGGACCGATTTGGCTTCATCTACGATCAGCGCCGGAAGAAGCGACAGCGTGAGGCTCAGCAGACGTCCCAACGAGTTCGCAAAGGCAGCCGCGCGGAAATGCTCCTCAATGGCCGGTCAAGCATCTCGCCCAATCTGCTTGATGACCTTCCGAGCCCCAAGTGGAGCGAGAGTGACGGCCGACCCGGCACACCCGGCAGTATGGAAGACAAGTCGCAGGAAGAAGGGAAGCCAAAGCGATGGCAGGATTACCTGAGCATTGCCACGTTTCCTACAGAGCTGCTCAGCCACACACCGAGCATTAGCGCCTCCGCGCTGGAAGTCCTCGAAGCCGCAGAGATGAGCCGAGAGTCGGAGCAGCAGGCCAACGAGCCGACACGGCCGCAAGCAATCAGGCCTACCGGTGCTGGCCTGGTACCTCCCGCCAGCACAACTACCACTGCTGTCGACAATGAAACGACACCGTCTTCTGAGCCTGAATCCGCCGCCTCTGTTGCTGTGCAAGACGACAACGAGCCTGTGAAGCTATTATTGCAACAGCTTAGTGAGGTTCACGACTCGCTGCAGCGCGAGAAGACGGTGCGATGGAACGATTTTTTGCGCAAAGTTCGTGCTGAGCGCAAACGTGAGGGCGAGGCCGCCATTGCCGCCGCAAACGCAGTCGCCGAGGCCCGTTATGAGCGACCTACCATGATTCTCCCCGAGACTCGCGTCGCCGATGGTGAGGTGATTGGTATCGCTGGGCTCGGCATCAAGGGCAAGGTTGGGCGAGCCAAGTGGAACGAATTCAAGACGCTTGTTCTCGGCGGTATCCCGGTCGCGTACCGCGCCAAGGTGTGGTCTGAATGCTCTGGCGCCACGGCACTGAGAGTGCCCGGCTACTATGATGACATTGTTGCGCAGAGCGGTGAGCTGGATGACCCGACTGTTGTCAGCCAGATCCAGATGGACATCCACCGTACACTGACGGATAACATCTTCTTCCGCGAAGGCCCTGGCGTGTCGAAGCTCTCCGAGGTGCTGCTGGCGTATTCTCGACGAAACAAGGACGTGGGCTACTGCCAGGGGATGAACCTGATTACGGCCAACCTTCTGCTCATCACGCCATCCGCCGAAGACGCGTTTTGGATCTTGGCTTCGATTGTCGAGAACATCCTCCCGCACGGCTACTACGACCACTCGCTCATTGCCTCGCGGGCAGACCAGCAAGTGCTTCGACAGTACGTGGCGACGGTGCTGCCGAAGCTCTCTGCTCACCTGGACGCCCTCTCGATTGAGCTGGAGGCGCTTACGTTTCAATGGTTCCTGTCCGTCTTCACCGACTGCTTGAGCGCGGAGGCGCTGTTCCGGACATGGGACGTGGTACTGTGCACGCAGGACGGTAGCACGTTCCTGTTCCAGGTTGCGCTGGCACTGCTCAAGCTCAACGAGCGCAACCTGCTGCGGCGCGACACGGCTGCAGGCGTCTACACGTACATCAACCATCACATGACGGAGCACGCAACCAGCATCGACGGCCTGCTGCAGGCGAGCGAGGCGCTGCGGCGTGTCGTCCGCCGCGACGACGTCGAGGAAAGGCGCGCCAAGGCCATACAGGCCGAGCGCGATCTCATTGCCCAGCGCACGGGAAGTCAGGGAGGGAGCGCGCGTAGCAGGGTTGCGGGCGACGAGGCTGGTAGTGTGAACTCGGGGGCGTCGCTGACGATGGAAGAGCCTCGACCGATGGAGTGAGTATGCTGCTTGCTTCATGCGGAAGTCACATGTTCCATTTCTGGCGTTTGTTTTTTGTCTGCATGGCGGCGTACATGTTGCAACAGGATGGCGCTTTTTCCTGACATGTGATTTGCGTGTTGATTTTATTCTGCTCTTCACAATTTCTCTTTTTGCGTACTTTATACCCACCAGCATAGAGCATGTACCTTTTTGGCGTTTTTTATACCTGGCTTGGATGATACGGACACTTTGGAGGTTGATGCGAGGAGAGCGGTGACAAGACACAAGAGTACTCGGTTGCCGATTTCATATATAGACATGATTCCCAATATCCAAATTAAACTCTATTCTATCCCACGAGCCGTGACTTTCCCACAAGTCGTGACTATCCCACAAGTCGTGGCATTTGTATAGTACAATATATAGTTTTGTCTTGATTCTCCTCCTTTCTTGGCGACCTATAGCTTCGCCTTGCCGGCCTTCCACTGCTCGTACCAGACCTTGCCGAACTCGACCCTCTCCGCGACCCTGTCGCCCTCCTCCTTGAAGCGCCTCTCCTCCGCCACCAGCCCCTCGCCGCGCAGCTGCCCGATCAGGTCCTTGTGCAGCTCCGCCTTGATGGTGCCATACACGCCCGACTTGGCCTTTTCTGTCAGCTTCCGCGCCTCGATGAACGCCCAGGCGTCGTCCTGCGTGGCGGCGAGGGCGTCGGCGACGCCGAGGTCCACGATCTGCGCGCCGGAGAGCTGGGCGGCCTCGAGGGCGAGGGTGCGCAGCGCGGGCGCGGAGAGCTTGTGCCGGAAGAGCGCGGCCATGGCGGGCGTCAGCGGCAGGCCGTAGGTGAGCTCGGGGAGGCAGAAGAAGCCGCGGGGCGTCGGGGCGAGGCGGTAGTCGTGGGCCATGGCGAGCATGAGGCCGGCGGCGTAGCCGTGGCCGTTCATGAGCGCTACGGTGGGCATGGGGTATCTACCGGTTGTTTTTTTTTTAGCATACCATCTCTCTCTCTCACACACACACACACACACACTCTCTCTCTCTCTCTCTCTTTGAACGTACGTCAGGAATCGCACCCAGAGGCTGTAGAAGAAGGGAAAGAAAACATCCTTGTCGGCGAGGGTGTGCTCGAGGTCGAAGCCGTTGGAGTAGTTCTTGGCGATGGCGGAGGTGGTGACGACGACGCCGGGCGGGTGGTCGCCGAACTCGAGGACGTCGAGGGCGGCGAGGAGGGCGCGGCAGAAGGGCGTGGTCAGGCGGTTGTCGGGCGGCGAGGACCAGGTGAGCAGGTAGACGAGCGGCTGGGGCTGGGTGCAGGTGATGGTGCCGCCGGGGTGCTTGCCGCAGGGGCCGATGGGGATGGTGAAGAGCGGCGCGGAGGAGGACATTTTTGCGACGGATGAAGATGGATGGGAGAAGGAAGAGAAGGAGGGAGAGGTCGTGGTTGAAATAGAAGGAGGAGGTGAAGACAAGGAAAAGTAGTAGACTGAGTGAGGCTGGTGGTGGTCGGTGTTTGATGATGGCATCCGTTTCGGGGTCGGACCGAGGTAGATCGGGGAAGTGGGGTGCGTGAGGGGACGAGGGAGGAGGGACGATGCGAGATGGGATGGGGATGGGATGTAATCAAATTGTATGTTGATGTTGCGTGTATTGCGGTTATATGCAAGTTGTATAGGCAACTGAAAAGAATAAAGTTGGAACTGACAGGAATAGTGCGAGTTTGAAAAAGAGAGCTGCTGCGCTGCCTGCTACCTACCTACCTATGTATGTACATACATAAGCTATCACAAGCCAAATCCGTGTTTGGCATCATCGCCCTACGCCCATTATGTATCGTTCAACGTGCACACCACCTGAATGGTAGATTTTCATAAATGAATGAGATGCAAGATTCATCATCAATTTTTTACAATCTGCAGCCGCAGATGTACATCTCATGCTACACAATTATGCAGACAGCTGCGGATTCGACAACTTATACCAGATCCCTTGGCTAAAAGTACCCGTCCTGGAGCTACCCACATCGTCTCTAGCTACTGTAGGTACATCAATGCATTGGGTATTTTGTCGGTGCATTTTAGTTTTAAGAATGCACGTTAGTATCCGTTAATAGCAGTGGCTAAATTGTTTGACGAACGGGAATAATACCCTTCTGTTGATTCACAAAGTGAACCTGAGCGGTCGCCATGATTGACCTGGACCGCACCTGAGGCCCACAGTCTTTCATTCGAAGCAAAGTCGTTAAACCCCTTTTTTTTTGCCTTGCTTGCATTTAACTTGATGTTTATTTTATAAATCTTTCCTTTCTCTTTTTCTTTTTCATGGGCCAGGTTGAGGCTCTGGAGATGTGCCCCACCTCCACTGCACCTCGAATTGACAGCTTGTTCAGATGACTTCCACCACTTCCACTTCCACTTCCCCGTACCCAAAGTAGCTGAGGCAATCTAACAAGCTCCAGAAAAAAAAAAGCAGGGGACAAGCTGTACGCACCGTACTCAATTCTCACCCTCGACCTCAGCACCGCCTTCTCTCCATCGACCACACATGGTTTCATCCTCATAAGCCGTTGGCAAGCTCCAGCGCCACCCGTCCATCACCTCTTCTCACGATTGCGACGACAAACACTCGCTCGACCGACAAACACCAACACACACACACACACACATACACATACAGCCACACAATACACAATGGAGGAGGAGGAGCAGCAACCCCGCGCCGCCGCCACCTCGGCCAGTCCCTTGGCCAGCCAGCCCACGCGCAGGATGGGACCCATGGAAAAGGCTGCCCGCAAGGCCCTCCGCGAGGACCACGCCCGCCGCCAGGCCCAGGACGCCGCTGAGCGCCTCCGCGATCCGCCGCCGCCCAAGTCAACGACCCCGAAGGCCGTCCCCGGCTACCACGTCTTCTTCCACCCGGACCTGGGCATTGGCGGCGCCGAGCGGCTCGTCGTCGACGCCGCCGTCGGCCTGCAGGAAAAGGGCGCCAAGGTGGTCATCTACACCAACCACTGCGATCCGAGCCACTGTTTTGACGAGTGCCGCGACGGTGCGCCGCCCTCTCTTTCCTCCGAGTAACAACATTATACAGGACTAACACATTCTTAGGCACACTCGACGTCCGCGTCAAGGGCGCCTGGCTCGTCCCCCACTCCATCCTCGGCCGCTTCACCATCCTCTGCGCCATCCTGCGCCAGCTCCACCTCATGCTGCACATCTGGCTCACAGGCGAGCTCGACGACCTGCGACCCTCCGTCTTCATCGTCGACCAGCTGTCCGCCGGGCTGCCCTTTCTGCGCCTCCTCGTCTCCCCCAAGACGCCCATACTCTTCTACTGCCACTTCCCCGACCTGCTGCTCGTCCAGGGCCGCCGCGGCTCGCTCCTCAAGCGCCTCTACCGCATCCCGTTCGACCGCCTCGAGGAGTGGTCCATGGGCTTCGCCGACGCCGTCGCCCTCAACTCCCACTTTACCAAGTCCGTCGTCCAGCTGACCTGGCCCGAGCTGCTCGAGCACACCGCCGCGCGCGTCATCTACCCCTGCGTCGACACCGGCGATGACGACGACAACGACAAGCAGGAGGACGAGGACCCGCTCTTCCCCAGCGGCGACCGCGTCATCCTGAGCGTCAACCGCTTCGAGCGCAAAAAGGACGTTGGCCTCGCCATACGCGCATTCGCCGCCGTCCCCGCCGACGAGCGCCGCGGCGTGCGCCTCGTCCTCGCCGGCGGCTACGACCTGCGCGTCGCCGAAAACGTCGAGTACCACCGAGAACTACAATCCCTCGCCGCCGAGTGCGGCCTCGCCCACGACACCATCAACACCACGACCTCACCAGATCGCCAGCCCGCAGACACCACCGCCCCCGTGCTCTTCCTACTCTCCGTGCCCGGCACCCTCAAGACGCGCCTGCTCCGCGCCGCCGCGCTGCTCGTCTACACGCCCGCCAACGAGCACTTCGGCATCGTCCCGCTCGAGGCCATGCTCGCGCGGGTGCCCGTGCTCGCCGCCGACGCTGGCGGGCCCACCGAGACGGTCGTCGAGGCGACGAGGCGGCGCGTATGGGGCGCGAGGGGCGCGCGCGCGTGCGCGAGACGTTTGGTCGGGATCGCATGGCGGACATGCTGGTGGGCGTGGTGCGCGAGGTGGTGGAGGCGCGGCGCGGGTCGGACGCGGACAACACGCTCGTGGTGGTCGTCATAGGCACCGCATTCTCGCTGCTGCTCGCGGCGGTTTCTTTAAGTATTGCCATGTGGATGATGAACGACATGAACAAGAACGCGGCCCTGCGGGAGACCGGCCGGATGCTGTGAAGAGCAAACGAGTGTGTGTCTTCAGGGAAGGGAACAACAAAATCTTCTGTGAGCCAAGATGGCTTACACGTCGGGAAATATGTCCAGCTTTAATACCCTCCATTTCTACTACCTCGTGTCACGCAACTCGCGAGTACATGTGCACACACATGACAGGTGCAGGTGCGCACGCAAGGTTGGGACTTTACAATAGCTCACCATATAATACAAGACAACTCACAAGCAAAGAGAGGCGAATCTCAGAGAAAGAAAACAGGCCGCGCAGAGGCAGCAGGCCCTAGTTATCAAATTAACCTCCCCAATAATAACGATCCGTCTATACAGATGCTTTGGTGCCGAGTTCTGATTGTACAGCGCGACGCGCAGAGAGCATGCTTTCATCAAAGCCCATGCAATAATAATAATAATAATAATAAAAACAAAGACAAAAAAAAGCCAAATGATCCTCGTGCAAAAGGCTTTCAAAGCAGACCTCCACACCGCCCAGAGGGGTATTTCCCAATCTTTGTTGTAAAAGACATTCGACACGTCGAAAGCCATGCCGACAAAGCAACAAAACTCGCAAGGCAATAGAAAAATCCAAAAAAAAAGAAAGCCTGGTCCCAAGACTGAAAATGCAACAAGATATTCCCCCCAATGCAAAGAAAATGAGCAATTCTCCCTATCGTATCCCGTAACCGGCTAACAAACCTCCCCTGATAATTATCATACTCGTCATCATCTCCCATCTAGTAGGACCATGATTCGAAAACAAGAGAGAAGAAAAAGAAACAAAATATGTGTGTTGGACACGGTCAAAACGGTGGAGCGTTCAATCATTGTTGGAGAGGTATGCGTTGTGCTCATTAGACCATGTCGTGTGTCTTCGTTTAATTCATTGTTCGCAAACAGCGAACTGTATTCATAATAGGCCGTCTATACCCCAGTATCGTCGGGGTGCAGCACGACACGCTTCGCCGTCTCGTCGCTGGCCACGCTAATGTTGCTGAGATTGGTGTCGCGGCGTCTGGCCTCAAATGGACGTCGGCGTGGCGCTGGGCTCAACGTCTTTCTCTTCGACTTGGCCATCAGCCAAAAGCCGTCATCACTGCCGTCGTCGTCGTCTGGGTATTCAGCCGGGTGCTGCTCGTCAGCTGCCAACTGCACCGGCGTGTTTTGGTCAAGCTGTACCGCAAGAGGTCCGCTCTCCATGGCAGGGGGATTGTCGAATACAGACTGCTCCGGCGTGTAGCCACCGTTAATTTTACCGAGAGCCTCGGGGCCCGACAGCTCACCAGAGCCGGGAAGAGGCGCCTGGCTGGGGACTACACCCGGCTTGCCTAAAAGCTCGCCCTCCATGTCCGCAGAAACAGAGCTGGCGTTGCTCAGCAAGGCAGGAAGAGATGGGTCAGACTGGAAAGCAAGAATCTTTTCTGACGTGCCTTTGCTGGTCGGGCCGGTCCCCACCGGGCTGAAGGTTTCACTTGGGCTTGTGAACGGCGTTGCAATCACCTCCATCGAGTCGGTGCTTGTAGACTTGACCGTGACTTGGCCGCTGTCGGTGTCATGGCTGGCATACCCGACCTGCTGCAGAGAGATTGGTCGGGGTTTAACAATTGACTGTACTTCACTTCGACCCTCGACTCTGCGGCCAGCCATGTCCAGGTGAGCGGCGATTGAGGACTCGGGGCTGGACGCCAGCGCTTTCGTGGAGTCGGCTTGAGAAGCTAGGTCATCTGTTGAGTCGATTTGTTCGATGAATCCCACGTTACGGCGTGCCTGGAAGTCGGGGTCCGACTTTGGGTGCGCGTTGCGGTAGCTGGGAAAAGCAACAGGCGACGACGATAGAGGAGAGGTATACGCGCTGATGCTGGTCTTATCCTGGTCGATTGGCCGCTTGACAAGGAGACCCCCACCAGCATGGTTACCGCCGGAGATAATTGGCCGGCTCAGACCAACCTGTGCCGCGGCACGTTTGTCCACACTGTTGAAGAGGCCGATCTTTTGCCTGCTGTCTGCGGTAGAGGTCGAGGCTTCAGTGATGAGCTGATGGGTTTTGGCAGGCTCAGTAAGGACGGGAGACAAGCTCAAGAATTGGTTGCCAAGTTTGCTCTGAGATACTGTAGCACGGTGCCAACTGCGGCCTATCGTGGATTGCGGGTCATGGGCGAATGTCTCGGAGAGACCAGAACCAGAGCGATTCATCTCAGATACGCGAGAGCCATGGCCAACCTCTAACTGCGGAGCACCAACGGTGGCCGAGTGGTCGACCGAAGGAGAAGTGTGTCTGGCGCCAATGTAGTCGTCAGGCATGAATACAGAGCGTCTGTCAACATTGTAGTGGGGAGTGGTGGGCATGCTCCTGTAATAGTTGTCCCCGGTCGAGCTGGCAGCAGAGCTGTCTGCGCGCCGGCGGGTTCTGCTGTCGCTTCGCTCGCCGAGCGGATGAATGACCTTGCCGACAGCCTTTTTGACAGCCGACCTGGCGCGCTCGAGGAAAGTAAGGGGAATGACAGCCGCAGACATGTCCTTCTCGTCGACTTGGATCTTGCGACCACCAAGAGGTCTGGCAGGGTCCGTCTCTTCGGCCCAAGCGCGGGGGTTGGCGAGATTTTGCACAACCCATGGATGTCGCTTGATGTCTTTGAGGCGAATGCGCTTCTCGGGGTTCTTTGTTAGCATTTGGCGAAGCAAATCATATAGGAGGTTGTCTACATCTTCGTAGACGACATCGTTATCATCCCGATAAGGGCGACTGTTTTGCCGTTTGTAGAGAGAGGTCCCAGCGGGCGAGGTAGAAGGGTGTACAGGTGCCAGCCGGCGTCGGGGAATATACACATCCTCGGTGGCAATCTTTCTGAACATCTGGAACTCATCCTCAGCGAGGAAGGGAATGCGCGCAAAGATGAGGCAGTAGAGAGTCACACCAAGGGACCACACGTCAATCTGCTCCGAGACCTTGGGTTGCTCCTTGTCGAGATCGGTGTAGCAGAGTTCGGGGGCGAAGAAGGCCGGTGTGCCGACCGTCTTGGCGAGCTCGAGATCGTTGTCGAAATCCTTGGCCTCGGACTCGGATACAGGCTCATCAGGCTCACCGTCACGGATGGGCCGGCCAAAGTAGGAGACGCCAAAATCTGAGATCTTGACACGGTGATTTTTGCTCCATAGTAGGTTGGCGGGTTTAATGTCTCGGTGAACTACACCTTGGTAGTGGAGGTATTCCAAGCCGAGAACAGTGTCTTGGAATGCGGAGCGAGCCTGGTCGAAGGTGAAGCAGGGAACGTATGAGTAGTCGTCGGCAAAGGGATCGTGAACGTGAGGGTTGTAGTCTATGGAAGACATATGAGAGATGATGGAGTCAGCCATGCTGGGAGAGCGACGGCGAAAGCGAGAGCCATCTTCGTCCAAGCCGTCGATGGCAGCAACAGGGTCAATGTCGGCTGTGAGAGGCCCCGGTGTTACTATGTTGTCATCCCAGTACACTTCCTCGCTCAGCTCGGTCGGACCAGCGACAGAGAAGGAGGCGGCAGACGGTCTGCGCGATTGGTATTGGAACGATGTCGGAGAGGTAGAGCGAGAGGGATGGCTCGAGGACAAGTCAAACTCCTCCTTGGAAGAGATACGTGACCAGGAGACACTGCTCGACTCGTCGGCGGCGCCATGTTCGACACTCCAGAAGTTTGCAGGGCCGCTGTGGTTCTGGGCCATGCGGGCGCGCTTCATCTCCTTTATGGCCTGGCGGCGCTCAAGCATCTCGTCGTATTGGATCTCCTGCTGGGAGGGCGCCTCGCCACGCATCTCACGCTCGGCTCGGCGGCGTTCATACAGGCAGACATGGGGGAGGCCCTTTTTGCGCCAAACTACCTCGCCAAGCTCAACATGCTCGAGAACCATGTAGATCTTTTTGAGCTCGGGGTCGTCGATGATTTCAAGTAGAGCGACGACGTTAGGGTGCCGGATCTTTTTGAGGATGGCGATTTCCTTCTTGGTCTTGTCCTCGGGGGACATGGCGGTGACTTTTCCGAGTCGGCGCTTTTTGGAAAATCGGGGAATGATTTTGATGGCGACATTGTCGCCAGTCTCGAGATTGCGGGCAAGTTTAACCTTGCCGTGCATGCCACGGCCAATTTCTTCAATGACTTCATACTGATTAATCACCTTACGACCAGTGACGTCGTCATTGTCGATGAGAGCCTTGTGGGTTCTGCAAAGAGAGAAAAAATGGTTAGCTAGGGCGTACGAGGGCTACACCGCATGGTGTGTGACCGCGGGTTTGTTAAGTTGCGAGCACGGCGGTGACGCGCAGCGGCGTCGGCATCGGAGAACGGGAGTAGTAGAGCTGCAGGGCGGCAAAGCCGACGAGCCGGGTGGTGATGAAGGGGGAAAATACAACGACTTACTCTCTGACTTTGTGCGTCTGCAGAGGATGCAGGAAAGGACCGCCAGGAGGCGGTGCCGGAGTGTTGCTCTCGGACATGGACGAGGCGTGGAGGGCGTGGCGGGAGGGGGTCGGACTGAAGAGGCCTGGGGAAGAAACGGGGGTGCTGCAGGCGGTGCGTAAGGGCATCGAGGCGGACTGAACGAGAGAGCCAGCGGATGGCCTATCGTGAGGCCACAAAGGCGGCTCGTTGGAGTTTTTTGGCTGTTCCATCATGACGGGTTGGGAATCGTCGCGAGAGAGGCTCGAGTCGACATTCTGGTTGATCTTGTGGCCGGGCGAGGGGCGGGGCGGAAAGCAACCAGAAGTCGTCAACGTCCGAAGACGAGGACTTTAGGGGGACATGATAGAAGAATCGGTAGCGTAAGTCGACAATAGAGGTATTCGTAATCGCAGATGGTCGGGGACAGCGGGATTGTCGTGGTGAATGGAGGTAGGTGGTGAAGGGCCGCTGGAGGAGCAGGAAAAAGTTGGGAGGGGAGAAGAAGGCGGAAAAGGCGGGATGTTTTTGGTGGGTTTGACTGGGAGTTTTGTCAAGGATGGAGGAAGGCCGCTGTGCAGGCCTAATATGGCTGGTGGAAGGTACGGTACTTTGGGTACCTGATATTAGTGGTAAAAAGCAAGCGATGTGCAGGCTGGGGCATGCTGGGATTAGCGTCGAATAGCGCTGAATGGAGGACTTGGCGATGCAGCACAGTGGATGTTGTAGGGAGTTAGTGGATAGATTGTTGCAGCAAGTTGGTAGCCAAAGTAAACAGGTAGGTACCTGATGTATGTAACTGGCCAAGTTATTGCTGTTCGTTGTTACATGATTAGCTCAACAAATCTCAAGATAAACCTCCGTCTTCTGCTTTTCTCTCTTCCCGGGAGATGTCCGTTTCGACATTTCTCAAGTAGCAAATGTGCAAGCCATAGTTGGTGGCGGTGGTGCTGTGGCGGACGAGACTTGTCAAGTTCTACAGTGCCAGACAGTGTGACAGGCGTTGTAGATAAGGAATCCGGACTAAAAAGAGGAAACAAATAGTAGTGACGTACAGTGCTACCTATCGTAAGCAGCACGGTGCCGAGTCCGTCGTCACTATTCCGTACAAGACAACGCCTCTTTGGCGAAAAAAGTTGGGTACCTCCCAGGCTGCACGCCAAGACTGCGTTGGTCGGCCATCATGGCTATCGCCGTGTTGAGCATCAATACTTTGAACAAGTACTTGGAAGTACTATGGAGGGTACCTCCGGTGGACAAGCCACCAGCCACTGGCCACTCACAACCGTCAACCAACGCCACCAATGGATCCCCACGGAGTGGTATCGCTATGGATCCAAGTGGGGCCCTACGACACCACTGCAACAAGAGCTACTTGCAGGGGCGCGTCGCTCTTCTTCTACTGGTGGTAGCATTTGCTGCTGCGATAACTAAATGTTGTGTACTGGTAGGTACAGGATTCGGTTTCTTTGCGCTGCTATTGAGGTACCTTTCTTGACCAGGATGTGCGGGTCTTATCGCCCACCAACCCTGGTCGTCTGCACCAACCCTGCCTGCAGCAAGCCGGCGAGAGCCCGTGCGTCCACGCAGGGAGCTCCGTACCAGGAACCCAGAATTGTCACTTGCTGCTACCTTGTACAGTGCCAAACGATGGTCGCGCAACACGTTCCTCCATTGGATGGGGGAAAGACTCGACGATAGCAATTGCCCGACATTCTGCACACTGATGAGTACTTAGCAGATGCTGCTAAATCTGTCGCTCATGCAAGTACCTCTCCGTCACCCCTAACTACACCACATGCGGCGCTTCGCCTTGCCCACCTCGAACCTTGAGCCTCCTCAACCATCACCATGGCCTATTTACTATTTTTCTCGAAGCCATCTTCAAACTCTCCCTCGCCACTCAGATAACCATGACGCCACCTCGATTAAACCCAATCTAATATTCAGCTCAGTCTTATTGGAGCCCAAAGGCGTCAGCCAACGCAGCCACGGAGCAACGTCCGGACTTCCAACAAGACTTGCAAACGGCACATACATGCAATCAGTAATGCATCCTACCATCATACCATCATATCACATCCCGCCACTCGTCGCTTCTGTTCTCCTTTATCCCGCACCACCACTCGGCAATGGTGCCGTTCGCCTGCACCCAAGTGGTGCACCCTGCAGGTAGGGAGTTGTTGGCGCCCAACAGGAAGGGAACCCTAACTACCTAGTTACTCCGTGTACATGAAATACGTCAGATTAGCCTGACACGATTCTAATCAACATTATTATCTGTCAGAGAAAAAGCCTCCCCGCCTTATCGTTGCACTGCAGCGCGTGGCCGCACCATCAACGCCAAATTCCTACCAGAGGCCAGCTGAGACACCACCTGTCGAGAATTCACTCGAAGCCGACATCCTATTTCTTGCCAATAAAACAAGCACAACAATAATTTAGCGGTTGAAAGGGAGGTTATTTATTGGCTCACCAAGCCCACCAGTCCTTCGCTGCCCTTGCAGGCAAGCATCTACGACAGCGCTCGTTCACATTCGCTCGTCGACCCTCGTGATACTAGTTCACAACCGGTCGACTGCCATATGCAAATGCACATATCCTGCGTCCGATCTCGTTGGCTTACGGCCTCTCTTCTCTCTTCGTTCGGCCTGCTCCTAGCTCTGGGCCTTTCTCGGCGGCTAGGATGCATTGCCGCACACAGACTGGCGGGGAGACTGGCCAGAAAGAGGCTGGTGTCCGTATATGCCCGGGCAGTCCCGCCGTCTAGAATCGGCATCGTGAGATTGAGGGCCCCGAATCAGCGTGAGAGGGGAGCAAAAAGTTGACCGCACCCACGTAACCCACGTACCATCACGCTATTGGTCCGCCGCCCATGCGCTGTCACAGAACAGACCACGTTGGGCACCCAATTCTTTTCCCCCAGATGCAACACCTCCGCCTTTTCAGTCTCAGAGTTAAGATGCTATTATTCGAGTCTTGTCGTTGGTAAAGAGGTTCATGGGAAGAGTCTCTGCGACACACCGTACACGTGCGGCAGCGCGGCTCGGCGATGCACAATGTGCCTCTGACGTAGCCTTACATTCCCAGCATGCATCTTGGAGCTGGTGGCAGGGAGGCTAATAATGGGCAACACTGGCCCGAGCTCGTGCCACCGAGCCATCGTGTGCCACACAAACCGTTCAGAGGTCGGTATGGAAGGCTACTGGTGGTGGTGCTGGGGTTCTGATGATGCGCCCACCCGCCATCCTCTGCTCTGAACTACTGGTTCGTGGGGGCACCAGGTCCCCGTTTCCCAAGGCCATTGCCTACGGGTAGTTATGTACAGCGGACCTCTTACCGGAGCGCGCCGAATCGCTCCCCAGCTGTGACATCGAAGCAAGTGTGAGTACTGCCAATAACTAGAACGACAACCTCATTCTGGCGCCCGCATGTCACTGGTTTGTAAGAATTGTCACTGCCGAGTGCTCCATCCTGATCTCCTCCCCACCCTCTGTCACGATCCCGAGGAAAGGCCGCTTATTCCGCCTCCCGGCCGCCACGACGAGACGAAGAAGTACATCTCGTGCAACACAAAATAGTCTTTTCACATGTGCCAGCGTGGGGCCAGATGGTACAAAGATCTCTGTCGCCCGTAGTGGTCTCTCTCATACTTCTTCTACTTTTGGGCTCTCAACGGCAAAAGTGCGGCGCATCTGGACGTGACCTGTCAGAAAATCGACACAATGGTTGGTGAGCAAAACATGGCGCATCTCCAGCGAGCTATACGTATACAACAGGGGTTACTCGAGTATTGGGCTCCCATGCTTGACAAGCTGCATGGCAATGCCAAGTCCCTCGTCTCTTGCCGAGATGGACAATTTTGTAAGAATTCCGCGCTCTCGATGGACCGGGTTATACAAGTCAAGTTACAACGCAGCTACCAGTCGAGGCCTCTGGCATTTGCATTCCTGATGCTAACGCTGCTCTGGTCCAAATCTTCTGAAGACTCCGAAGCACTCGAGACTGCTCTAGGCGCCGCCCGCTACAATGTCTATTACGGCGCGCCCAAGGAACGAGACACGCCCGACGCCACTGCAATAACTCGTCAACGCGGACCACACGGTATGCGCACAATCGTGTCTTGCCAATGACTTGCATCAAGTGCGGCTTTTTCTCGTTCTCTTTGCCTTGTAACATATGCTTTTTGTTGTTAACTTATTAGGTTGAGTGTAGATGCTTTCAGTTTCTGTCAGTGGCTACGTCACCCTTTTACCTCCTTGTTTTACCTTTGAGCCTAAGCCGATGCATACACATGGCGCATCAAGTAAAGTATAAATCTTGTCAAAGGAAAGCCAGCCCTGGCCCTTTCCTATCAGCAATCTCTACGGACCAGGCAAGGCAAGGAAGGCCTCGCTTACCAGCGGATGGTCTCGCCTCGACAAAGCTGACCGGAGCTGAGCTCCTGATCGGCATCAGAGGTACTTGGAAGTATCGACAGGTCGCGGCCACAAGGCTGCGGAGCTTGTCGAGTCTCGCCTGCGCAGGCCCCGGTCAGCAGCTTCCTCCCTGTTGCTGGGTCTGCTCTCAATGGGTTCATCACCCACATGAAACGGCCCGCTCATGTCACTAACCACCCCAGCTCCTCTTCCCGTACTTGAGGATACTTGATCACTGTCAGAATACAGATTTCCGGAGTACATGCCAAGGCACTCGCCTGCTTCAGTCGTGCGAGCTGATGGCTTTGGTCTAACTACCAACTCGTACAACCTGCGTCGAGGAGAAGTGCCGATCCGCCTCCATCCCAAGCTGAGACTTGTCGGATCTTGAAATTTGTACAAAATGGCCACGAAGTGAATCGCGATATGTTATCTCCGGGCTATCCATCGGGTGAGCGTCGTGAATTTGGTTGCTTTTTCACATGCTGAGAAGTTTGTTACTCTGGGCAAGTTGACGCGCCGCGTCCTTGTCAATGAAGTTTGTCATGTCCCCCCAGGAGATGCGAGCAAGACGACGACAACGACGCAGGCGCGCGCCATAAAGTGCAGCTCCTAATCATAATAATGGAAAAGCGGCAGGGGGGGTTGCCTTGCTCCTTCTGCTAAAGTTGACTACTCGACGGAGACCAGGACACACTAGCTCACAACGGGCCGCGCGGGATGGATGGGAGGATGGAACCCAAGTTGACAAGGAATCTTTGGCTGGAATATGATGCGTCACTTTTTCAAGTACGACTTGGTAAGCCCGTTCCAGCATGCGGATGGCGCAAAGCCTTGCGTGGTACTACCAGTAATAGTTCCGTTGACCAATTTATGCGTCACTTGAAGCTGACGCAGGCCAAGAGCCAGCGACAGGAATAAGCACATGCATCGTGTTTGCCAAGGATGCGGGAACCCGTGGCAACGGCCGTCTTGAGCCCGTGGCCAACCTGCAAGGAGGCGGGACTTTGCAATCATTTGAGAAGACGGGTGTCGTGGCACAGAGGGTAAGGAAACCAAAGTGTGTCTGGATTCCAGAGTCTCACAGAAGGCTAAACAGCACAGGTCGGGCTACGGCGAAAAGAGGAAGAAGTGTAAAAGCAAGTCCGTATAACTCAGTCGATATCCATCGGAAAAGGAGTGCGTTTCGAATCGCATTGTTTCCTGCCTTGGCAGCACGACTAGACCAGCCCTCTTGTTATCTACCTATCGCAAGCCCCAACATCCCTCCATAGTTACCTTGTCGTCATGCAGGTACCAGCCAGGGGGGGCAAGCAACAGTTGGTTTGCTCGGCATGGGGCGCCCGCTGTTATCCTGACAATGTTGTGCGAATGGCTTTTCTTCTTCAACTTGCAGATTTGACCCAGTTTTCCAACCAGAGCAGTGTTCGAGCCAACAAGTATCCACGTCCCACGGTACGGATGTACTTGGACTTGGCTGAGGTATGGACTTGGAAATCAACGGCTCCATGGCGTCCGCCGCCACCATGGCTTTTGGCGTGTACCATCATGTACGTGTTGTTCGAGCAATGTACATACTTGGTGCACATCGAGGCTCGCTAACTAACTAGTGCTGCGCCTCTACCAAAAAAAGGCCAGATGATCAATCACTCACAGCACCGGGAGGCAACGGCAACGGCGTGGACAAGGACCATGCGCCAGGCGGAGCCAAAGAGACGAACGGTAGTGCTTGGACGTGGAGGCGGCAAGCCGGCTGAGGTCGTTAATCGTCGTCACCGTGTCGCTGGGTGACGGAAGAACACGACACTTGTCCGTATAGTCTCGGGCAGCACCGTACTTTGAGGTGAGCTATTGATTGACTCAGGTTCCTAGCCAGACTCGCTATCAGCTTGTAGCGCGAGCAACGTAACATGCTGCTAACAACAGACTCTGCGCATGTACTTGATCTGGTAGATATACATCTACATGTTCTCTTATGTCTTTTTGGCTGTTTCCGCGAGCCTCCGAGACACGACTACGAGAAAGAAGAAAATATCTGCGACTAACTTACTCTAGACGATGCAAAGATCGCCAACCAGCAACAGCAACTGAGGAACGAGTGCTGTATCCGTAACCACGCGCAGCGGCTTCTGCACATGCATGTGCATGTGGTTGATGCGTCGCAGTGTCTCAGCCGAGTGGCGTTTTTCCCTAGGGCCCCAAGGCCCTTCCCTTCCTTCTTATCGTCAAAGATCACAGACCAGGGTTGTAATTCGAGGGGGAAAAAAGCAACGCAACATGTCGCGCAGCAAGGGAACCCCCCGCCCCCTTTTCACGCACATCATCCTTCTCGGTCGACTTCCTTGTCCGAGATTTGATTCCTGTTGGTGGCGCGGAATCAACCACATGAATAGGCATGCACACCATCTTCTCTAGTTACTTGCTAGGGCCAGCCGGCTTGTGAGCACTCGCTGTGAGTCGTTGGGCGCCTCTGATTGGATCGCGACGGACGGCGCCGGTGCTCTCGGCGTTGGGGGGATCTGTGGTGCTAACCGTGAATGGAGCACCCTTGTTGCAGAGTACAGACAGTACCGAGCTTACCGAGCCGTCTCTCAAGCTTTTGCTTGAGAATCAAGCCATGTCCGGACGGTACAAGCACAAGCTGGGGGGTATCCTGATGATCTTTGGCCTGGCCCTCAAGGGTAAGGGCAACTCACCGGTCGACAGCGACCTCGACGGCCGTGGCTTTTCGGCTCTCTCTGGTGCTTCAGTCAAACATGCAGAATGCAGAATGCAGAATGCAGTGCACAAGGTCCAGTACGGGAAAACCGCCTGCCCGGCCCGTCTCCCTCTGCAGCGTCACATCGCATCTCGCCATCGCTGCCCGGGCAAGCCCACAAACTACTCGCACTTGGTGGTTGTCGTGGTGGTTTGTCGTGCAGCCTTCGTGCTTGTCTAACCGTCGTCACTACTTTGGCGATGCTACCTCGAAAACGACAATGTGATCTCGTCCAGTCATAGCTTCCCACCACCCGTCGACGTCGCCGCCCGCTGCACCCACCAAACCTTCCCCTTGGTCTCTATCGTCTCTATTGTAATCCGGTAGCACGGGGAACCCGAACAAGGCAGGGTGGAGGCCGCCCATAGTTTGCCGCGATGTACATCTGTACATCTTGATGCACCTTGACGCCTTCTAGTCTCGCAGATGCTGCCTCATCATGTGGCCTGATGGACATCATCCACATTGCTGGCCAAGTACAGAGACAAAATCCCACACACACTACACGCACCCACGCACGCACCCACGCACACATACAAAAGGCAAAATACCAAGTCGGGTGATGCCATGTGGTATCCGCGACGCCCGCAAGTACACAGGACTTGCGGGATGGCTGCCTGTCAAGCTGCCAAGTCTCACTATGCGGCCCCCTCCTTCTCGTGTCGTCCCGCTGTCGTGCGTGCTGCAACCATGAGTTATTCCCAGGCCGGGTTTTTCTTCTGTCGCTGCCGTCGTACTGCAGACGCGGCTCGTTGCCACATTGCACGTCACTGCACCGCCGCAGCTTATGGGGTTCGTTTCGCTGCGACTGGATGCAAGGTATCCTGGGCTGGCAGACGAGGAACGAAAAATCAACGCGGCAATCGATGGTGGTGTTCCTGCCACGTGTTCGACTCCGTGACTCCGAAAGCCCTCACAGAGAGAAGGGGAGTCTCTTCGTCGTCCCTCGCACCGGAGCGGATACGCCGGGGAGCAACTCCACGGTCGTAGGATCCAGCTGCGTATGAGCCTCTTTTGTTGAGTTGGCTTTACCGGGGACCTTTCTTGGGCGGCCTCTTGATTTGCTTCATGTAAGCACGACACTGCCCCAAGGTGAGGTCCGTAACTAACAAAACATTGGTAGAAAGTGCGTGCGGCCCTGCTCAGCGCCGCCAGCCGTTTGTAATAAAGAGTAGTGCGGTTCTATCATTTTGCAACCTGGGTTGGAAAACGCCGCAGTCTTCTACAGAGAGTTGTCTTTTGAGTTGGCCAAGGAAGCTCGACAGTGGTTCTTCACTTCCCATCCTGTAGCCACACATGAGCGTCTTCCATGACACGACCATGCGCAGCTGCACCAGTCCAAACTCCACGGTTCACCTGGGTGACTCGGTGAGCGGAGCCGTGGTCGTGCTTGCGTTCGCTGGGCTCTGAGGACTCTCGCTCCAATTCTCGACACTGCTTCGACGGGAGGTCCCTACGTTCTCTCGTGTCTAGGTGCCATGGTAATTTCTAGAAGTCCCCTTCGCGTATTAGATGGGGTTGGAAGTGATTCAGCGGATGGGACTGTAATGGATCACCTCCAGCCGCATCTAATAGGTGAGGAGACCGCCAAAAGTCATCATGGCATCTAAACACACAAGAACACAGAGACCTGCCGTCAACGCAAGTTCATTCGCGGCAGAGACAGCAGCAGGGCTGTTGATCAAACGAGCCTTCATGCACAGGTGATTAAGGCCGTGATCCCGATTTGAGACCTTCAAGCCTGTCCTGACTGCTAAGAGACGACGGGTGACTCTGGCGCCGGGTCATTGTCGTCACCAGCAACCAAGGAGACCTTGCTACCATGATTCTTGAGACTTCCTCATGGCTAATGAGCACCGTCGCCGCGCAACCGAGCCCATTTTCACGACGCCTTGTCTCCGAAAGTGGCGTGGCAGGCGCGTCGAGGTTTCAGGCCGCCGCCTGGGAGGCCACAACCCAGGACATTTCAAGTCCGAGAACTCGCAAGTCGAGTTATGACGACGTGTCGTCGCAAGTCGTCGTCCGAAAGACCGTCACGCGCCCGGCCGATCGGAGCATGCCGAGTCCTCGCCAGTCATCTGGCATTGCCCACGGTGGCGGTGTCCGTGATGCCTGACTATTGTGAGAGCCGTAGGGGGGTGTGTCTATTCTGGCTACACACATGCGAGGCTGATGACCATTTTGCTGTGGGCGTGGGCAGCGTCACGACGAAAGGGGAGGGGGGGAGCGGGAGAGCTGGGCCTGGGTGCCATCATCCCATCCACAAGGGGGTGCGGTCGTCATGGAGAGCGCCCGAACCTTGACACGCTCAACGGCCAAAAACCGTCACAAAAATGCCTTGGTCTCCGGCGGGCATCGGGACTGGTCGCTCGGCGGCACGGCCATTTGCGCCGACCGACATCGCGCGGCAAAACGGACCCTGCGATGGCAGGTTTCGTCTCCTGGGGAAGGGGGGGCCGCGGTCGCCAAGCCTCGGACTCATCGTTAGCAGGGCGGCGGCGGCGGCGGCGGTCGGGCGCTCCCCCGGCCCGGCGGATCTCGGCGGCGCGTCATCGAGCTCACCGCCGCGTACGGATACGGGCCGGGTGTCGTCGGCGAGGCGGCGGGCTTGGTTGGAAGATCTGCCATCGCTGCCGTACGGGAAGAACTTTTGCACCGCCGTCACCACGGATCAGTGCTTTTTTTTTTTTGGTAGGTACGGAAATTCGGAGCGGATAGCGACGGTTGACTTTTGTCTTTTGAAACGTGTTGGTGCGGGTTTCACGTCTTGGCATCGGCCGTCCACAAATTTAGTCCATGACAACGTTACTTTTTTCTTGTCCTCAATTAGCATAATTTAGTACAATTTATATAGTGTTGATGACTTTTATATTAATAGCGGGTATTGCGCAGCTGTCAGGTTCTCTACCTGTGACTGGCCAAGTTGGGCTGCTTGCTTTGTCGACTGCTCCTCGTATGACCCCCCATGCATGATTCAAGCGTCCATCCAAGGTGCCATGCGCGCCAGCTGCATAACCTGGGGCTCATCAAGGCGCTATTGATTACTCGCTATCAATAGGCCCTGTTGCTCTGAAAGAGGCAAGTGCGAAAGCACATCTTAGGCAAAAGGACCGACCGTCTTGCGCATTGCAATAGGCTTCCGCATTGGTTTAGCCGGGGCGCGTAAAGTCTATCTTGTCATAAGCTTGGGTTTGTTTTATCGCGGTTATGCATTTGACAATTCAAGCCGGGCCTTGATCTCTGAGGAGGGGGCGGCGCCACTTGGATTTGCGTTTCATCGTCAGGACTCGGTTGCTATACCATGATGTTAATCTGGAGGGGGGCTGTACGAGTGAGGACCGCGTTACTAACAAGGCTCTTTCGCCTCATGGTGGTTTAGGTAACTTGCTCTCCAATTCAAAAGGTAGCAGTAGCTAATTTATTGCAGAATGACTCGGCTGCCTGCGTCTGATGGTAAATTTAAGGTTGACGATTGAGGCTGGCACCCATGTCGTTATGTCCCGTGGGATAGATGCAACCTCACGTTGACGAGCTGCTGAGATTGGGTTAGTCTCAATACTACCTCACCACCAGCCAGGAATCAAGATGGAAAGCGTCATGTGGCAAAAAGTCTTACCAAACGCATAGTGAGATGTTGGCGATTTCGCGGGATGGACTAACTGTTGATAACGTCATCGCAACTCTCGCAACTCAAGACCGCATAGCGAAGCCAGTCAGTCCCCAATTTGAGGCCTCTATGCTAGCTAGCTTCGCCCCATGATGCATTATCAACTTGCCTCTTTGGGCTATTCCTTCAACGTGGAGTTGCTCCAGACTGCCCACCGAAGTGCTACTCTCATGGTGGTCCTTGTCTGGATTTGACTTCCTAATCCGGCTTCAGGCTTCTCTTCTTTCTGTGGCCTATTATTAGATGATCCCGGACGAGGGCCCGGTACGATCCGCCGCTGCGCCGGACGCAATCTCGCAAAGGGACTTTCGGACCGGCAATCTCACAAAGGGACCTTCGGAACGGGGCCAGTATACGGGCAAGCTGGGCAAGTCGGCCGATGAGAGCATTGTCCATGCGAGTAGGAACCCCGTCTTGACAAGAGGATAAAAGATGGCCAGTCCCGCTTCCCATCCTCGAGACACGTTTCGTTCCATCTAGCCCCCAAGTACCAACTAACTCTACCCTTTGTCTCGTTTCTGGCTGGTTCTGGCATGATGAAGCTCTCCGTGTCTGCCCTCTTCACGGGCCTCTTGGCGGCCTCGGCCAATGCTGCCGGCAGCATCAATCGCGTCCCGGACAATGAGTGGGATCACATCCTCCACGGCTCGGACATCCTGAGCCGGCGAGACGGCGAGACGGTCCATACCGACGCCTACCTCGCCGACTACTCGATGCGCTCGCGGATCGTGGACCCCTCCGCACTCGGCGTCGACACGGTCAAGCAGCTGAGCGGTTATATTGACGACAATGAGCAGGACAAGCACCTGTTCTTCTGTACGTGGCTGCCCGCCCTCTCTTTCTCCTTCCCCTTCACTCTCTCCCATCCCGCCCAGGCCAACTAACATCACCACAGGGTTCTTCGAGTCCCGCAACGATCCCGCCAACGACCCCGTCGTCCTCTGGCTCAACGGCGGACCCGGCTGCTCCTCCATGCTGGGCCTCTTCACCGAGCTCGGCCCGTCCCGGATCAGCCGCTCGACCGGCAAGCCCGAGCACAACGCCTACGCGTGGAACAACAACGCCTCCGTCATCTTCGTGGACCAGCCCGTCAACGCCGGCTTCTCGTACAGCGGGCGCAACGAGGGCACCAGCGCGGCCAGCGCCCGCGACCTCTACTCGCTGCTGGCCTTCTTCTTCCAGCAGTACCCGCAGTACGCCAAGCAGGACTTTCACATCGCCGGCGAGTCCTACGCGGGGCACTACATCCCGCTCGCCGCCAAGGAGATCCTGTCCCACCAGGGCCGCGTCAACCTCAAGTCGGTGCTCATCGGCAACGGCCTGACCGACCCGCTCACGCAGTACGAGTACTACCGCCCGACGGCCTGCGGCGAGGGCGGCTACCAGGCGGTGATGCCGCAGCAGATGTGCCAGCAGATGGACCAGGTGCTGCCGCAGTGCCTGGCCTGGATCGGCCAGTGCTACAAGACCGAGGACGTCCAGAGCTGCCAGTGGGCCACGGATGTGTGCAACCGCATGTCCGGGATCTACGCCCAGACCGGGCTCAGCTACTACGACATCCGCAAGCAGCAGTCGGACCCGGAGCCGCCCGAGCTTAACCGGTTCCTCAACGACCCGCAGACCATGAAGGCCATCGGCGTCGAGCGCAAATGGGGCATGTGCAACTTTGAACAGGTCTACAACGCCTTCCTCAAGACCGGCGACTGGATGAAGCCCGGTCCGGTGCAGGCCGTGCCCGACGTGCTCGCCCAGGTGCCCGTGCTCGTCTACGCCGGCGACACCGACTACATCTGCAACTGGCTCGGCAACCAGGCGTGGACCAAGGCGCTCGAGTGGCCCGGCAAGGCCGCCTTCAACAGCGCCCAGGAGCAGCCGCTGAGGCTCGCCGGCGGCGGTGGCGCGGGCAGTTGCGGCAAGGAGTACGGCAAGGTGACGCGCGCCGGGAACCTGAGCTTCATGCGCATCTACGGCGCGGGGCATATGGTTCCGGAGGACCAGCCCGAGGCGGCCCTGGACTTCTTCAACCGCTGGATCGGAGGTGAATGGAGCAAGTGAGGGACCAACGCGTTGAGCTGCTGGATGGGCGGGCGCGAGATGTTTTGACTATTCTTCGACGTACATATACACGATACATACGCTGGACTTGCACATTGGCCGTCTTTCAGACAACCTGCACTGCTTACATGGAGACCTGTGACCTCTGCTTAGCTCGCTGTGTGATCATGCCAGATAGAGCCTGGCTTGATCGACATGTTAATTTCAGCTCCCACACACTAGCAACACATTCACGGTGGAACAAGCTCACCGGGCCGAAGCTTGGCGTGAACCCCGCGTTGTCGTTCAGCTGCAGCGAAGCTAGCGTGTATAAGAGACGGGACAGCATCTCAACCTTCCGGCAACTCCTAGACACTCCTTATTCACAATGACAGACTCCAATGACGTTGAAATAGGCGTGCATTGTCTGTGCAGCTCACACGCCTTTTCGGTGTCACTCCCCGCTGCCGAGCTGCCACTGACCGCCGTCTGCTGCCACTGCAATGAATGCCGTCACCTCACGGGTGCCATGTACACCTGCGCTGTCGAGTGGCCAGGCTCATCAGAGGCCATCCTGAGCTCCTCTCTTCAGCGATACGCGTACGCCAGGAACTCGTTCTTGTTGTTCTGCGGGACGTGTGGGACGCCAGTGTTTGCGCAGCAGATACGCCAAGGCGTGGCTTCCGATGTCTTTTACGTGGCGGCGGGCTTACTGCCGAACTTGAACGTCGACATGCTGCGGATTGCGCAGCACCTCTGGGTGGGGGACACGTTGGATGGCGGCGCTTCCGTCTTCATGCAGAAGCTGATCGGGGCTTCGCAGCCGGTCCCTCGCTGGCGCAAAGGTCACGGTGAGGCGGATGGGCTGCTCGATCGTGACTGGCCATCGCAAGCGTCTCATCAGCAAGCGGTCGAGGACTGCTCCTCGCACGACAGCGTGCGCATCCGATGCCTCTGCAAAGGCGTCGACTTCACGCTGCTGCGCGGCGACGACGGGTTCGCGGCGCTCAAGGCGCAGGGCCGACTGCCCGGGTGGGTGAATCCCGCCACACTGAAGCCCGTCGCCGCCTACGACGCGTGCGACAGCTGCAGGTTCATGGTCGGCGCGCCCATGATGCACTGGACGTTTGCCAGGGTCGCACAGCTCCGCTTCGCCGGATGTCATCGGGGCCATGGCGACTTCCCTGCCAGCACGCTCCGTCTCAAGGAGGCCGTCCGGGCGGCCGCGGACGCTCGCTTCGGCACCCTCGCCTTCTACGAAAGCTCGCCGGACGTCCAGCGCTACTACTGCTCGCGCTGCTCCGCGAGCGTCTTTTACGCGGTGGATGATTTGCCGGACCAGGTCGACATTGCCATGGGTTTGCTTCACGCAGCAGAGGGCTCTCGGGCCGAGTCCTGGGTTGAGTGGGAATGGGGAGGCCTGGGGCACAAGGGCGACACTGTCGGCGGCTGGAGGGAAGGTTTCGGCAAAGCAATCCAGGCGGAATCCGAAGAATGGCGAGTTGCTAAAGGGCTGCCAAAGGGGCATCGGTTTCAGTAGCTGGTATAACTGTCTCGTGCCCACTACCGACTGGGGAATGTGGTTGCCAAAACTTTTCAGGCCATCACAAGCGCCCGCAGAGTCACCGCCATGATAATACCTAGCTCGCTGGATAGCGTGTAGTAACAAAATTGCCCCATGTTTCGTACAATGAATAAATGCGTGCTTGTTGTGATTTTTCCCCTGAACAACTTGCTTGCTGCTCTTGCACCAAAAAAAAATCCTGGCGGCTATCCAGGGGCTTCAGAAAGTTGGTGCCTTGTGGCCTGACCGCCGATACGCGAACGCCCATTGGCTGGAGCGTAGAAGGACACCACAAGCTCAGCAGTCGGGAGCTTCAAGAGACCCCGTCACCTTGCTTCAGACCACTTCCCTGCCAGCCGGAATATTCCGCCTTCCCTCGCCATAGACGACCTCGAATCTTCCAAGCTGATCACTGCCATCAGCCATCTGCATCCCAACGTTCCATTGATCGCGCTCCCTGCCTGTCGCGAGATCGCCCTCAACACCCGCCCGCCGCCGCGTTTTGGGGAGGCTGCTCCTCGATGAGCTCGCCTAGAAGCACCTCTGGCGCGCCATGATGGGCCCCAACGTCGGAAACGGCTTCAGCGGCATGGAGATGGGGCCTCCGATGCAGGGTAACGGCCCCAACGTGCCGCAGGCTACCGAATACACCCTGCAAGGCGTCATGCGTTTCCTCCAGACCGAGTGGCACCGTCACGAGCGCGACAGGAACGCCTGGGAGATTGAGAACCAGGAGATGAGATCCCGGATAGCCAACCTCGAGGGCCAGGCACGACGCGCCGACGCCACGCAAAAGGTCCTGCGCAAATACGTCGGCATCCTCGAGCGCAAGGTCAAGGACCAGGCCGCCCAGCTCAAGGGCACGAGCCCAGCAGACGCCGACGCCGACGCCGATGCTAAGAAGGATCGCGCTGCGAAAATCCAAGAAAAGCTACACGGTCGGTAGCCTTGGCTCCTCGTCCGCCTACTCATTGATACTGACAGATGTACAGGAAATCCAGAGAAGCAGACGGTCCCTGGTGTCGACGGAATCGAAATCGAGCGTACCGACGACGAAGCACACAGGCAGGAACTCAAGAGTTTCCTAGACCAGTGCCAATCCGAATTCATGTATCTCATGATTGCACCGGCAAATCCTCTGCCCCCAAGGGACTCGCCGCCCCTCCCTATGATGGAGGATTTGCGAGAGGTTGACCCCTACGGGCCCCAAGAGATGCGACAATTCCAATTACCATCACGACCTTCCCAGAATCACGTCCAGGAAATGAACGCAAGGCAAAACCCACCCACGACAGTTTCTATGCAAGATCCAACCTCCAACTTTAACCAGAAGCCGTCTGAGCCCCATCCGCAGGTTGTGGTGCGCGCCGAGGAGCAGCCACAGTATCGCACCGCCAATGACTGGGCCCCTATCTCCGTCTCGCTGAGAGCTGCCAACGACAGCGGCGCTGGCCCCTCGCAGACCGTCGAGGCGCTGGGCTCGATGCATGAACCCGAGAGCCGCCAGCGAACGCCTGCACCACCCCAAGACCCTGACGGGTGGGACTTTTCCGAAGGCGCGCTGCCCGAGACGGCCCAGTCCCAGACCCCCTCTACCTCGAACCGTCCGGACACAGACGTGTTCCCCCACGCAGATTACCTGCCAAAGTCGCCTGGTCGACCCCCTGGCAGTCAGCGCAGAAAGAGCTCGCTGTCGAAGCGCCGCAGCAGTGATCAAGACCTGAGCCTGTCCTCGCAGAAGGCGGACAGCGGCAACTTCAAACTGCGGTTCGGACTACGCGGCCATCTCAACACGGTCCGCACTGTAATATTCTCCGGCGGCGGCAGTCCGGGTGAGCCCGAGATTTGCACAGCCGGCGACGACGGCATGATCAAGCGATTCCACATCCCCCGACTCGACACCCATACCGGCATGGGCAATGCCGCGTCCGATCTCGACGTCATTGCCAACTTTACGCATCGCGGCCACCACGGCGCTGTCCTCTCCCTCACATCGTGGTCGCCGTCGCCCAACTTTTCCACAGGTGGCCGCGCCCAAGGCGACGGCTGGATCTTCTCTGGCGGCCAGGACTCAACCATTCGTGTATGGGAGCGTGGCCGAGTGGACCCCAAAGCCACGCTCGAGGGTCACACAGATGCCGTGTGGGCTTTGTGCGTCCTTCCCGCGACGCTGGGCGCCATATTCGGCAACTCGAGTCAGTCAGGCACTCCGGACCGCATACTGCTGGTATCCGGCGCCGCGGACGGTTCCGTGCGCCTGTGGTCCGTAAGCGCCCCGCCGCAGCTCACCTCACCACAACCGGGCTCGAATAGGGGCGTTGCCGGGCGCCGCGCACGCGGAAACTCGATGAGCTCCGGCAGCAGCTTCCCCAACTCGCCGCAGCCCAGCACCGCATCCAACTCTCCCTTCCACCAGACGCTGGTACACGTCATTAACCGGTCCGACGGGTCGACGGCCAGCCCGACAAGTATCGCGCCGCTGGGGCCGATCGGAGACACGTTTGTCGTGTCTTACGCTGACGCTGCGGTGGTCGTCTACGACACGCGGACGGGTGAGCAGGTCGGGCAGATGGACAGCATGGAGACTTACGACGGCACGCAAAAGACGAGCGTCAACGCGGTCGTGGCGACGACGATGGGGCTGGACCAGGCCAGCCAGCATCACGGCAGCAACATTAATGAAGATGAGACGGGCGGCGGCGGGCCTACGGGCGGGCGGTCCATGGCCGGCAGCGGTGTCGAAGGCACCATCATCACAGGCCACGAGGACCGCTTCGTGCGATTCTTTGATGCCAACAGCGGTATGTCCCCAGCACCTCCCCCTTCCCGTCTGATAACACACCTTGTAACCTTTGACATCAACAGGCCAGTGCACCTACAACATGCTCGCGCACCCCGACGCCATCTCGAGCCTGTCGCTCAGCCCCGACGGGCGGGAGCTGGTCAGCGCGGGGCACGACGCGTCGCTGCGGTTCTGGAGCCTGGAGAAGCGCTCGTGCGTGCAGGAGATTACGAGCCACCGCGTGATGCGCGGCGAGGGCGTGTGCGCGTGCGTCTGGAGCCAGGACGGCAAGTGGGTGGTGAGCGGCGGCGGCGACGGCGTCGTCAAGGTATTTGCGCGATGAACGAAGCGGTGGGCGTCGGATGAGATGATAATACGAGACGTGGAAAGGGGTGAGATGGAATGACTGGACAAAGCATGGCATGTTGTGTATTACAAGGCAGAAGGCAAACGACGATGAAAAAAAAGGAAGACAAGAAGCTCGGCATGTTTATAGTATAACCCCCCAGCGCGCATCCTTGGAGGTTTACAAGCGTTTTTTCACTGTAAAACAAGGACGAGTTGTATTTTGATATATTATAGTGTAAATCATGGTTGATGAGGAGTGGGAAATACATTCATCTTGTTTCGTGTTCTATAATTCGTTATCCATATTCTGCTGTAAATGTCATCATGTCCCATGTCCAAACCAATGCCTATCCAAAACGCCCAAGTCATGTCTAGATCCCCATTGCAGGTCGCCTTACGCCTTCGACTCCTCCTCCTCCTCCTCCTCCTCCTTCTTGTCCCCGCCATCACCTCCCTTGTCATCCTCCTCCTCCTCCATAGTCACCACCACCGTGCCGAAGCGTCCGCCCTTCTTAACACGCTCCAGCGCCTCGCCCGCCCTCTTAAACGGCACCGTCCCGTCCACCACCGGCCTTATCCCGTGCTCCTCATAGTACGCCAACACCTCCCGCAGCGCCTCCCTCCCACCGCCCAGCACGCCCCTGACCGTGACGCCGCGCTTCAGCGCCAGCCTGCCCACGTCCAGCCCCGGCGCCGGCGCCTCCTTCTTCCCCCCCCCCTCGCCGCCATTCCCCTCGTCCAGGCAGCTGATGCGGCCGCCAAACGCCACGCACCCGAAGCTCTTCGCCAGCGTGCGCGCCCCGCCGACATCAAAGATGACGTCCGCGCCGCGCCCGCCCGTCGCCTCCAGCACGTCGCCCTCCCACGCCCAGTGCGTCTGGTGGTTGATCCCCGCATCGGCGCGCAGCTCCTCGCGCGCGCGCGCGACCAGCTCGTCCGACGGCGCGGTGACCACGGCGCGCAGGCCGGCCGCCTTGGCGAGCTGCAGGCCGGCGAGCGCCACCGCGCCCGTGCCCTGCAGCAGCACCGTCCGACCGCCCTTGTCGTCATCGGGGCCGGGGGGGTAACTGCTGCTGCCGCGAAGAAGAGGCAGGGCCGTCCAGGCGGCGGCGGCGGCGCGGGGAAGGCAGCTGGCCTCGGCGGCGGAGAGGTAGGCGGGGGCGCGGACGAGCGCGGAGGCGGGGAAGCAGCGGTAGCGCGCGAGGACGCCGGGAAGGGGCCAGCCGAGCGCGGAGGAGAGGTCGGCTTCGCGAGGGGGGCCGGAGAGGTGCGTCTGCATGTAGATGGCGAGGACGCGGTCGCCGACGGCCCAGGGCTTTTCACCGGCGAAGGTGGTGGTGGTGGTGGTGGTCGCGTGGGGGGCGTCGATGACGGTGCCGCACATGTCCGAGCACGGGACGATGGCCTTGTCGGTTTGAATGTCGTAGCTCTTGAAGGCGCCCTCGCAGACTATGAGATTCCACAGGTCAGTCCCCGGCACAATCCCCAACGCGAGCGGAAGCGAGGAACCAAGACTTGCCTTGGACGTCCCGGTAGCTTACCCCCACGGCGTCGATGCGGACCAGCACCTCGCCGTCGCCGGGCGTCGGCAGCGCGGCCTCGACGATCTTGAGCTTGTCAAGGCCGTCCATGGCCGTCGTCCACTGCTCGTTCTTGGGCGCCGCGACGCGCACCCAGTTCCTGCGGATGCCGTCCGCCACCTCGACGCCCTGTGTCGGCGTTGGCATCGTCATCGTTGTGCGGAAATAGAATGGAGTTTGTAATATAATGACGGGAGCAGAAGAGGCACGCGAGATGACGGATGTTAATAAACGGTTGTTTGGATAAGGTTACAGGTGGCGGCCTAATTATAAACAAGGTTGGGCGGCGCCGCAGTGAGGAGAGGGACGAAACATGTGGCGGCGACGATGACGTTTCGCTTTAACTGGGGAACAACGGGCAACTAAAAGGCAGCAATCCAACTTTATGATAGACTTCCTGTCTCCCCAACCCAGAAACACTGCTTTTCGCATAGTCGATTTTGGAATTTTGCATCATCGCGCTAATACTATACTAAGCACGTTGGGAGGCTCTGCTGCGCTGGCTAATAGAGCTCCCTGGCGCCCGCGAAGCTGCCGTCTAAGGCCAGCGCCGAAGAGTCCAGCGATGATAGCGATGATAGCGATGATAGCGATGATAGACGTGGTCACATCCTCCAATTCTGTTAACCAGGACCGGCGTTTCGTCCCTGTTAAGCTGGAAGAACAACATTGCTTCGTTATTAGTATAGTGGATTCAAGTGATCGAACTGTTTCTATAGTGAATCGAACTTTTCGAACGATTGGTGAGGTAGACTGAGACGGCCGAAGTGATGAATTCGACTGGCGATGCGCAATCAGCAGTGCTAGTGATGATAGTGATGACAGTGATGATAGTGATGACAGTGATGATAGAGCTAAGCTGTAATCATGATGGAGCTAAGCTGCACATGCCACCATCACAAAACCATTACAGAAGCCAGGCCATTACATTCAACAAGTTTCCATTCAAACTTTGTTTATACGCTCCTCCCCAAGGAGCAGCCAGAGCAGGGCAACAAGTCGCGTTCGCTCCGAGCCGTTCTGCCTACACAATCACCTCAAATCAGTCTTTCGAAAATTCCAAAAAAAAATCTGCCTTGATTTCCAACTCCTCCGTTGAAAGAAAAGTTCCTTGCAAAGGCCTCGGGTAGCCCCAGGCTACCCCGACACCTTGCTCCCAGTCTATATAGTAGGTTTTTTCCGCCCCTGCCATGCCAGAGCCCTGGTCAATTACAAAAATGCCATGTAAAGGAACACCCATCGCAAGTGTCCGCAGTATCGACAAAGAAATCCAAAAAAAAAAAAAAAAAAAGAAAAAAAATGACTAGCAACAGAGAAACTCAAAATCAAAAAAGGTCAAAAGCAATATAGATGTTCAACCTCGTCAGCTCCTCGCAAGCCCTAACGTACCTTTTAGTACTTGGCATGCTTGCACTCCGACTACCCTTCCTCCCATCAACAGCTGCTATGCGTCAATGCGCGTGCGCTGGACAGTAATTCGTTGTCGTCATAGTCGTGTCTGCTCGTTTGATCGGGTATTAAGTGGGTATAGATTGTTTTTTTGGGGGGTCATTCTGCGTTTTCGTCTTCTCTTCTGACTGTTGTTGTTGTCTTGGTCATTGCTGAAGCAGCCTCGCCATATCTCCCGTGCAAGTCATAGCTCGACTCGGCACGCAAACAGACGCAGTTGTCTAGACGTCAAATCGTAAAATAAATAACACATCATCATCGTCAACGTATGGTCTGAATTGGTTGCTGTTGGCAGGCAGAATGCTCTTTCATCAATTGCCTTGCCGTAGAAACAAATCTCGACCTGTCGTAAAATGTTGTCAGGGTGAATTAATGCTGTATTTTCGAGCCTCCATCCAATGCTCTCGTTCCATTCGCATCGTCACAAGCAGCCGCCGAGAGTGTCTCACTTGGTCACTGCCGGCGTCCACATCAAAAAAACAGAGGTTTCATGCGGCCAGCAGTGTGGAACGCACAATAGGGGTAGTTCATAATACAAACTAGGACGGCATCGTACTGAGCAGCACCAAGCCTACCTAGCCAGCAAAGAAGCCGCGCCATTCCGAGGAACGGCAACAACGGTGGCCTCGTCGCTCGTCTGAGCTTAGAACCGGGCCGCACTTGTCGGCCCGGCGCCAACGCGTGCTCCATTGTCGGACGAGTCTGGCACGACGAGTTAGTCGAGTCGGCCCGTGGGTAAGTTGGCCTACGACCTACCACTACTTCGTTGGGCGTGTCCGTTGGATCGACCACGGCCGGCAAATCCGGCAGAAGCCTCCCACTCAGGACCACGGGGCTGACGATCGGGGGCGCCCTTGGGTCCGTTGCTCACACCGCTGGGTCGCTGGCTGCCAATAGCACCAGGCGCGTTGCGGTTCTGGCCGGAAATGGCGTTCGATTCGTACGAGCCCAGGTTGAGTGCACCCAAGCCACTGGCCAGGCCATGGTCATTCTTGGCGCCGGGGGTGGATGGGTTTCCAGGATGGGCTTGCTGAGCGCTAACATAGTCGCCGAAGCGGGCGGTTGAGCTGGGGCCGATGCTACCCATGCCGGGGTTAGGATTGAGGTAGCTTGACGAAGCCTGGGACGGGCTGGGAGTGAAGGAGCGCAGATCGGCAAAGCTCTTGGCAGCACGGAGGTTATTGGGGATGCCGGCACCATCAGGGCTACCAGGAAGCTCAAGTGTCGGTCCCTGGCGGCCAGTGATGTGAGAGTAATTGTTGCTGACAGCACGAGAGTCTCGATCTGCGGCAAAATCAAACGTGGCCGCCCTGCTCAAGCCACGCTTATGAACATCAAGGCTATTAGCAGGGGCCGCGTGGATGTTGGCGGTCGGAGAAGGCTGTTGGCGCTTCAGCACGGTCAGCTGGCGAGATTCGGCCTCACCAATGGACTGGTGCTCGAGGCCCATGTGATGGGCCAGAATATGGATCGAACGACGATGCTCAGGGGCGATGCCAGGGGGGAATACGAGAATTTCACGAGAGTCGTCGCGACGGAACATGGCAAGCTCAGTGTAGAAATCGAGCGTCTGGGGGTCGTTCAAGTCGACGTCGCCTAGTTTTACAGAGTCAGTCAGTTGTATGTAGTTAACGACCGAGAAGGTAAGACATACCGAGATGGGCAGCGGGGTTGCCTCGCGGCTGAGACTGGGACAAGGCACCAAGGGACTGGATGGAGCTCTGCTGGTGAAGCATGGGGCCACGGTGTTGCTCTTCGAGCTGGCCACGTCTCTCGCGCTTCTCGCGCTCAATACGCTCGCGCTCGGCCTCAGGCAGCATCTTTTTGTATTCGACACGGAGCTTGCGGCCATGGACATCCATGCCATTCATGGCTTCGATGACGATTCTAGTGTCCTCGGCGGACTGGAAGTTGGCAAAGGCAAGGCCACGAAAGACACCATTATCAAAGTGGTAGTTGAAGGCGTAGGGCTGGGGAAGATGCATGTCGAGCATAAGGGAAGCAAGTGTTTCCTTACGGACAGCAAAAGGAATGTTTTTGATGACGATAGCAGTAGGAATGAGCTGATCAGGGTCCGAGCTGGTGGATCGCATGTCGGAAGGGGAGGGGTGGGTGCCTGGGTGGTCAACACGAAGATTGCCATTGGAAAGCTGAGAGCCGTTGAGGCCACCGCCATAAGCCTGCAGGTTGGAAGGCATGGGAGGCATAGGGGGGTGGTCGGTCCAGTTCTATCACTTGTTAGCAAATATGTGCTTTGAGGCACATGCCGGGATAGCGCTTACCTGCGGCAGAGCTGCTCTACGGTTGACGCTACGACTCCTGTTGGGGCCGTTGACGGCACCATTTACCGTAGCCGCACCAGAAGCGCTGTAGTGCCAGGCCTGGTTGGCATCTAGCATGTAACTAGGAACAGCGGCGCCAGAGATGGTATCCATGCCCCTGGCGTTGTACCCGGCGTTGGCGCGGTCGGACGAGTAAAGAGAAGAAGAGCCCAGATGTGCGTCAAAGGGGCGCTGGCTCTGTCTGGGAAGCGACAAGCCAGCATTGAAGCCGGGGGCTCCGCCGCCATATTGTTGGCGGGAGGCACTTGGGGAGCGGTTGGAACCCTGGTTGTAATCGAGGTAACCCATGTCGTGAGGTTGCTGGGCCATTGTGCAATGACCAAAAAACGCAGGGGACGCAGTTCTGGGCAGGATCGCAAAATTTTGAGGGCGAGGGCAACAGCAACAAGGTGCAACAATAACAAGGGGCGTCGCTGAAGGGATGTCGGCGTAGCGTTTTGATTATTGAAGAAAATGCTCGTTCAGGAGGCCAGTCATGGAAATTCGTCTCGTTCGAAATCGTCGTTAGAAGCAAACCGTGTGTCGAAAAAGCGCTGAATGATCACAAGGGCGACGGGGTCCAGCAAGGCAGGTATGTCTGGTCGGAGAGTTTTCCGTTGCGATCGGAGCGATCGAGATATGCAGGTGACAGACCTCGAGTGTCGACAACGAGCAGGGCCGGGGTATCAAATACCAAATGCCGTCTGGAGCGAATGCTGATGAGGGAGCAGCAAAACAGAGGCAATGTAGCGGCTCGGTAGAGGGGCGGGCCGCAGGCGTAAGAAAATGCAGAAAGGCAAGGGGGGTCCAGCAGGGTAAGGAAGAGGCTCTCTATGCGGTGGAGAGGGAGGGCGACTCGGGCTGGTCAGTCAGGCGGGCTGAAGGACAACTCTGGGATGTGCTTGGTGTGATGGTGGCGTAGCGAGCACCTGTCACAGCGTGTGCGAAGGAGAGGAGGTTAGGGTCCTGAGGAGACTAAGGTTTTCCGTCGCGGGAGGTGGTGGTTGGTCTCGGGCTCCCGAGGTGCGGGAGACGGGATGGGGGGGCGTCGGCGGATGAGATGGCGGCGTGCCAGCCGAGCAGGTCTTTTGCCGCACAAGCAAAAGAGAGCGAGGCAGAAAAAAGGTTTCTCCCGTCCGTCACGAGTCGAGTCGAGCGGGTGGTTCGGTCGACAGGCCGTGAGTTGTGATGGGGGGAGGACAAGGCGGAGAGAGGAGGGGGGAGCGGAGGGAGAAAGGGGAGGAGGAAAGATGCAAGCAAAGAAGAGGGAGGAGGTTTAATATTAGAAGAGAGGAAAGAGAGGTAAACGGAGGAAGAGAAGAAAAAAAGACGCTACATGCGATTGGGGGGAGCCCACAGGATGGATGGGGTGCGGGCGGAGGTTGTTGGCAAAAATTTGGTGGTGACGGTGTGAAGTTCAGGCGGACAAGTCACAGGAGACGGCTAGCAGGTACCTGGCCAGCTGCGCAGGCAAGGTAATTACGGTAGGTATCTTGGTACATGCTAAAAGGGGTTCAGAGCATTGGGCTGCAAATAATGATAGGTTCTTATAAAACAGGACAATTAAAAATAATATTAGAATCATCAATGCCCAGTGGCCTACCAGCGCTGGCTGCGACACAGTCATGGAGAGGAGAGGAGAGGGCGCTATTACAGCGGGGGAAGCTAAAAGGGGGCATCCATTTGACAGCACCAGTCGCTGTAACGATGCGGGAGCCCGTTGTGAGTTCAACTGTAATTCGTACCACCTAAACTAATGCAACTGCTATTCTGTCGTCGAGTCGAGCCACTGAAATAAGTACCAGTACTTGACTTTATCTGAGGAACCTGCCGCTGCCCAAGTCCCATTCCTTCCAAGTCTAGTTTCCCCAGCCATCTCCAACCCAGCCAGCCACCCACCGCCCATCTCCCGCTCAAATATGCCCCCTATAACTTCATTGACGTGATCCCCTACGAGGTATCTCACATCTCTTACCTGCCCTGGGTATTTTACCTTTCCCAGGTATATTTACTATCTTGCCTCTCTGAGGCATCTCACCCTATCCTAGGGATCTTACTTACCAAAGATAACATATCTTGCCACTCATCATCAAGCCTACTAACTTACTTGCCACAGACCTTGTTTCCGTCCCTTGCAGACAACGCACGCCACATTCATCCAATAATATGGTAGCTAATAATAAATGTCCTTACGCTGCCACTGTTTTTGCCACGACGGAAGCACGCTGCAACGAGCCTGTTGCAAAGGATATTTATATATTTATTACCCGCAGCATTGTCGGGTCCCTTGCTTGTCCCAGCAACCGCGAAAGACCTGGTGCCGACAATGCATTTACAAGGCCCAATCAGTCCTTTGTTCTTCATCAAGCCTTGTCTTGTACGACAATGCTCGTGAGTCGTCCACCCAATAAGTGGTTGCCAACGCCGGTATCCGTAGTTATTGGCACTCTGGCTCTAGCTTTGAAACAAAACAATCGCCAACGAATGGCCTTGATCACGATGGCAACAGAGAGCTCTCACCCGAGATGCTCCCGCCTGCCTCTAAAAGCAGTCACCATTGATAAACCATTCATCGCCACCTCCCCTAACTATCTGTATCCGCACCCAGTCGGCATACCTCCCGCCTTCCAATCCACCTCATTCTCAGCTTTAAAAAAGCCGCCCATGCCGCCTTGTCTCACCCGACTCATCCCCGCCAAGTTGTTCAAGGGGGACTCGTGGCCAGCGGTCAGTGGGTCGAACTTGATATGAAAGTCCGTCCACATGGCATCCCGTGCGAAATGCGAATAGAATTGATCCAGATCATATCCCGGATAGTACTCAAAGCTAGGCTCTGCAGTAGGTCATCTGCTATCTAATTCGTGCAACACGTTTCTTTACATCTTTGTTCCAGCCATACACGCGAAAATAGGTCAGCGACAACACCCATTCTCCTAGCAGCTCTCATCGCCGCAACCCAAGGCTTATTTGGAATTAGAACGGTGGCAATATAAATAAGAAACCGCAAGCTCTCCACTCCCAATCTCACAAACAGCTTTCCCCAGTGCCAGCCTGACAAGTTGATTATCAGCAAATGTCAACTTGCGTCCGGGCCTCCCTGGTCGCTTCGAAGAATACCAACCACTCAGGATAGACAAGGCGACTGCCAATGCATCAAGGCCATCAATTTCCGCCAGGCACTGAGGTACTGGGAATTAGAGAGTAGAAATGCATACCTACTCCACGCAAGGACGGAAATGCGAATTTGACGAACCACTGATATTCGTAGTAGTCAACTAACGTTAGCTGATGATGCAACTTATCGCCCCGAATTCCTCTGAGCCCTGGCAATTGGACATCCCTGTTTCTGCATCACCATCCAGTGCTGGGAGCCCAGGCGTGCCGCCTGCATGCGGCTCAAAGCATGTGCATGAGCAAAAGGGGCGCCGGCATGCATTGATCGAGAACGGCCATCGCTAATTAGTACAACATATACCGATTAAGTAGCAGCTGAGTTATCAAGCGCTTCGGCTTCGAGCACTTTGTACGCGACCCGCGGTTGCGTTCCGCCAGCCAGCACCCCTTCATTCACACAAGAGCCCCTTTCGCACAAGAACAAGCCCGTCTAGATTCTGCTTTCCCGATATTAATCCACACGCGAGTAATAAGAGTTCGTGGGGCCCGTTATCCCATGTCGTGTCACGAGCTCGGGAAGGGTCGCACCGCCGGCTTCAAGGTCCCCCTGTTCGCTGTTCGGAAGGCTTTACAATCTGGAGCCTTGCCACCCCCTTATACCGCCACAACTCGCTAAAAAATGTCAAGCCACCAATCCGTACCCTGGGACGGGCTACAGAATTAGATCGGGTATCGTCGCTTTTCGGCTTTTGGGAACTGACCTTCGCAGGATCGTCACTCGGGCTGGCCAGCACCTCGGCCATGATCTGCAACATTTACCAGGCACATCACAGCGCAATTGGTTGATCCTGCAGCAAAAAAAAACCTCCGGTCGCTTTTCTTTTCGTCATTTGACGTCATGTGCTGCGGCGTGCCAGCACAACCCTGTGCAGAGGTAAGGCTAATTACGTTGCAACATGGTCTTGATAGCTGGTCCACCGTATGCTGGTCCTTGGATTGGACCCCTTTTTCTGTCGACTTCAATTGTCAGCCTCGTGATGTTCCCGTGATCAAGACGCGCCGCGCAGCGGTATCGATGGCGGCCAGTTACATTGGGTGTGATGAAATGAAGCCTTCACGCTTCGCTGCATCGCCCGGATCTGCTACCAACACGATTCTCTGCATATACATAGCCCTGGAGCCACCCGCGGCGGTTGCTGCACGGCCATCCCCCACTCAACCTGCAGCTGCACGGTTCGTAGTACGCAATTCTAGAAGGCCCTACGGTTAGCAAGCCGCGGAGTGTTCCAGTGGGTAATGTTGAGCGGGTTGGGCCGATAATAGGACTCGAAGGCTGAGGAGGCGTTGGGTAATATCAGTCTGCAAGCTGTGGGCAGTTGAATGAGGCGGTGAGACCGATTATCTACCCATGTCAATAATTCGAAGTCTGTATCTTTGACCCGTTCGCCGTGGACATTGCAATATAGAGGAAATGGGTTGAGAGACAGAAGCCCCTTGCCATCCTTGGAGAGGTCAGCACCTGGGGAAGTGCATGGGCATGGGGAGCAGGTCTCTTGACCACAGACGACGGACGAAGCTCTCTCTTCTGTTGACGTCCCTCTGTGTGCGGCCTATGCAATTTGAGCTTCCTGGTCTCTCAGGGTCTGATCTCATCACGTAGAATTCGATCTTCCTATGCACATTTGACTCTAGGGTAGGCATCCACGCGTCAATCACTGCTTGCGTGCTGTGTTGTGTTGTACGGTGGCATGCGGTCGGTAACAGGCATGCCCTTCTCGCTTGGAATGTCGTGTAATGACAAGCATAAACCGCAAAACTCGGCTAAAGCCTGCAGCACGCCGTGCCGCAAAGATAGGGAGATCCACAGACCAGTAGCTGCAAGACTGCAACTCGGTAATCGCACTATTCAAGCCCAGAAGGAACCGAACCTGCAGATCGACAGCGCACCATATCGCGCCAAACATGCCAGTCAGATGCCAGTTACATTTCGCGTGTCGCACGGGTGGAGGGCATGCTAGTAGTTCCCTGTTTACATTTGTGAGCTTCTCGCTAAGCGCTGCTTTTTATATAGTCGATTTTGAAATTACGTAGTCGTGCTAATTCTATACGAGGCAGCATCGTTGGAGGCTCTATTGCGCCAGCTAATAGAGCTCCCAGCGCCCTCGAAGCTGCCGTCAAGGCCGGCGCTGAAGAAGAGGCTGGCGGTGATGGCGGTGATGGCGAGGATAGCGAGGATAGTAAGGATAGTAAGGATAGCAAGGATAGTAAGGATAGCAAGGATAGCAAGGATAACGAGGATAGCGATGATGCGAGGACTATGCAATTTCGAAATTCGACGAGGCAAAAAGCAGCGTTCCTTCTGCTAGGCCAACGGCAGACTGTGGCGGGGTGGGCTCTCCAGCCACACAGCCACAGCCATTTGGCGGGGCAGACAGGCCAAGGTCTCGCGGCGAGTCTCCATGCGGTGCTCCAGCAGCACCACATCGAAGTCCAATATATGGCCCTGCACTGTCGCCGGGGTCACAACATAACAGCTGCGATGGTATCGAAAACGATGCGACTTCGGACGAAAATGATGCCCGGGTGAGCCCACGATACAACATGGCTGGTTGATGCATGTCGGTCGTCTGCTGCCCCGTGCTGAGTGGCCGCCCCCAGAAACCAAAGTCTCAAGCAACTGGAATCGAGCCAACACAGCACACAACGTGGTAGCCACCAACGTCGACTTGCAAAAAACTATTCAAATGATCGCGAAACCTCGACGGCTATATTTTTAGGACCTGGATCAAACCGATGGACCATCGCTCGCAACAGCAGACGCTGCTGCCTTGAGCCTGCTGGCCGCCGCAGCTCTGCCTGGGCGCCTCGAGGCGGCGAATCTTCGGCTTCCGCAAACAGATGGTGCTGGCACTAGCCACACCTTGCTAACGGTGGCGCATGCACCATCTGCCAGCCGGCGACGTTCCCTGATTGGCCGCAGCCACGGTGTCCGAACATGAACAAACAGCCTTGGGGCCTTGCAGGCCTGTAGCGCCGCCTCCCCTCCTGTTGCAGGCAGGCAGCTTCCCAAACAACAACAGTCAAATCAGCTCGGCCAGCTAAATTTCTGCCATAAACACCGCCCGCCACCACGTCGTGCACCAACGCTACTCCTTCATCAATCACCCCCCTCCCGTCGCATCAACAACCCGTTCACGTTTACCTTTATATACGACCCGGTTGCGAATTTTCTCGTCGCGCCGCCTCCCGATTTCTCGAATTTATTAAATTTTTTCCCATACCGCGACGCGATTCTATCGTCAAAATGCCCGGCGGCAAGGGAAAGTCTTCTGGCGGAAAGAGCTCGGGTGGTAAGACCAGCGGCGTCGAGGGCCAGAAGAAGCAACAGAGCCACTCTGCCCGCGCCGGCCTTCAGGTAAGCCCTTTGACAGCACGATTGCTTCTTGCGACTCGGGTGCAAATATGCACCTTTTTCTTCCCCTCCTCCGCGCCTTGTTGCCAACGTCGCGCACGCCACCCCTCGTGCCAACCCCTCGACAGACCCGCCGCACCACCGACTGTCGCCAGTTCATTGATCCGAGACGCGTCGCTGAGCTTGCCGACGTGGGAAAACATATCACCGTCCATTTTCAGTGGTCGATTCGAGCCTCCAGCGGTGGTGTATTCGATGCGCGACGTATGCTGCGCCTGCAGTCGATGGCGGTAGCCTGGACACTCCCGACATTCTGTTGGCGTGTGGGGCTTCTGCGATTGCGTCGCGAGCGTTTGGCGAGGCTTTGCGCCAACTTTTCTGGTCCGTTGCTTGATGAAGATGCTAACCGTCGAAATGTGTAGTTCCCCTGCGGTCGTGTCAAGCGATTCCTCAAGCAAAACACCCAAAGCAAGATGCGCGTCGGAGCCAAGGCCGCCGTCTACGTCACCGCTGTTCTCGAATATCTAACTGCGGAAGTCCTCGAGCTGGCGGGCGTACGTTTGCCCTTTCTGTGTCCCTCTCGTCTGGCTCCTAGCTAACGCGCCATCACAGAACGCCGCAAAGGACCTCAAGGTCAAGCGCATCACCCCGAGACATCTCCAACTTGCCATCCGTGGTGACGAGGAGCTCGACACGCTGATTCGCGCCACGATTGCCTACGGTGGTGTCCTGCCGCACATCAACCGCGCACTGCTACTTAAGGTTGAACAGAAGAAGAAGAACAAGGCTCTTGAGCTTTAAGGCCCAACCGCTCACTGACTCGATATACCTTGCTTTGCGCCAACTCTTTATTCGTTCAATTTTGATGTGTTTTATTTTGGTTTCGGGCCGTTGTGGAAACGGGAAATGCTGGGATGTGTTTGATTACTCTGTTTGGCTTTGTCGACCTTTTGCGTCTTTTCCTTTGTATCTTTTCTTTTTATTCTCTCAAGGGTGTCGATTTTTGTTTTTCAATTTTCAGTTTCTGGAAAGAGGAAACGAAACAATTATTTAAGAAAAACAAACGATGGAGAGATTATGGGCGCTGGTGGAACCAGTTTAGGATTCCTAATGAGAACCGAAACAAAAAAGGAGACTCTACAAAGGAGAATAGTACGCAAATGATGCTTGTGCCTGCGCGGTCCCCAATCTCCTCGCCCTGCTTACTCCCCTCACGCTCCCCGCCCTCGTGCTGCTGGTACACGTACTTCTGGTACTTCTGGAACACCCCGTCCTCGTCCTCGTCCTCGTCCTCGTCCTCGTCCTCGTCCTCGTCCTCGTCCTCGTCCTCGTCCTCGTCCTCGTCCTCGTCCTCGTCCTCGTCCTCGTCCTCGTCCTCGTCCTCGTCCTCGTCCTCGTCCTCGTCCTCGTCCTCGTCCTCGTCCTCGTCCTCGTCCTCGTCCTCGTCCTCGTCCTCGTCCTCGTCCTCGTCCTCGTCTCCGTCCTCGTAGTCCTCGTTCCGGTATTGTTCTTCGTTGTTCTTCGTCGTCGTTGTCTTTGTCGTTGTTTTCATTGTCATCGTTGTTGTCGTTATCGTCGTTGTTGTCGTTGTTGTCGTTGTTGTCGTTGTTGTCGTTGTTGTCGTTGTTGTTGTCGTTGGCCGCCTTCACGTACTGCCAGAAGAGGTCCGTTGTTGGCCATTGTTGCCGTTGTTGTTGTCGTTGGCCGCCTTCACGTACTGCCAGAAGAGGTCAATATCCGGCCACGTGCACTTGTTCGTCACGACGTTATGGAAGAAGCCCTCGCTCCCGCATATCCCGTGGTTGAACTTCTTGCTGCAGTATAGGCACCGCCGGGTGACGTTGAGATGCCACCGCTCACTGCACTCGCTGCAATACCACCGCAGGAGCGGCCGCCAGCCGGGCTTCGGCAACGTCCTTGCGAATTCGCAAAAGGTGCTCATCCTTGGGGTTGCAAGGGGCAACAGGGGGCGTAGGTGACTTTCCGTTGAAGAGATGCTAGGTGGTTTTCTGCCGGTACAAGTAGCGGCGAGTGAATGAAGAAATGGGCTTTGCAGAGGTGAGAGCCCCAGCTGGAGGGGAATGAAAGAAATGACAAGACTTTATGTACGGGCAAGCGGTCTCGAATTGTCACCCAGGGGGTCAAAGGGACTTCGTTGCGCTTTGGGGAGCGGTGACGCAGTCATGATCGTACAGAGACGTCGAGGGTTGACAAAGCGAACCGCAGTAGTTTCGAGGCGAGGCGCCAAGAAAGCACCTGCATCTTTCATCTTGGGGTACGAACCCGACACAAGACCTGGGAAGCATAAGGGGTTGTCACTTGTGAGAAGCAGCAGAGCCTCATGCGAACCAGAACCTAAGAGCGGAAGGGGGTTGCACAAGTAAATAAGTTGGGCAGATATCACACATTCGCTGCCTTTCAACTTCTTTGACCCCGCGTGTCACGAATGACCGGAGAGCCTTGAATTATATCAAATAGTCACACAGAAGAACGAGTGGGACAAGTAGAATCGATTGCGCCAAAGGTCGAATGCCTCGCAATTTGCGCACATGTGCAGAGTTTCAGCCCTGACCAAGACTTTCCTTCTATGCTTGTCTAATGCAATAAAATATAACGCCAATGTAATGGATGTTCCAACTTAAAATCACTCATAAATCTGCAGTGGGCATGCGCGCCCTGTGGTATCATATAGTTGGGCTAGTTTCTGTCAGAAAGTCCCAGCTCGGCAACCTCTGATGTTGGTGGAGAGTAGTCTATCCTCTCTCCCGCTTTTCGTACGCGCCTTCGGAAATCGTGACTGTCGTTTCGAATCTTTCCGAATGCAAATGTGTTGTTGTCAAAAATGTCATTCATCTCCTCCAAAGAACGACCTTGCGTCTCTTGGAAGAAGAGGAAGACGTGAATAAAGGCGGCGACGCAAAATGACCCGAAGATGATGTAGAAACGCCACTGGATGTTGCGGAAAGCGGTCGGGGTGAAAAATGTCAGGCTGAAATTGCATCCCCAGTTGAAGAGAGTAGCTAATGAGACGGCCTTGGATCGAATATAGAGCGGAATGATTTCGGAGGGATAGATCCAGCCCATGGGTCCCCAAGTCAGTGCATAGGTGGCAGTGAAAATGTAACTGCAAGCAATAATGGCCTGGCTGGCGCGTCCAGTGTATAGAGTCCAGGTAACAGTTGGGGTGCCTTCGAGCCCGCCGGGGACAGGGTGGCCGTTGGTGGCCATGACACCAGCCATCGTAAAATGCAAAATAGCCATGAGAAGGCTGCCCGTCATCATGACTTTGCGTCTGGGGAATCTGTCGGAGAACAGCAACGTCGGCACAGTCATGACAACATTGATGACATATTGAATGCTAGAAATGGTGAGGTTGGTGGTGCCTGAAAGGCCGGCCATCTGGAAAATATAGACAATGTAGTACATGAGAGCATTCACGCCGCTGTACTGCGACCAGATGTGAGTGAAACAAGCGACGTGGAGGCGCACAATATTGCGGCGACTGAACAGTTCGCCCCAAGAGGTAGTCTTGTAACTTTGTTCTTGCCTGGTTCCGAATGTGAGTAAAATGTTTCCATGTGGTTTCCTAACTCACACTTACTCGACTCTATCTTTGATGTCTTGCAACTCAGCAAGAGTGTTTGGGTCACTTTGGTTACCCTTGGCGCGAACCATGGCTAGGACTTCCAGGGCCTCGTCCCAGCGACCCTTAGTAGCGAGCCATCGCGGGGATCTGGGCATCATGGGCAGGCAACAAAGTAACGTCAGGGCAGGGACGACTTGTAGGCCCCATGGTAGTCGAAAAGCGGCAGTCGAGTCAATGCGGGAGGCGCCATATGAGACGTAGTACATTATGAGGATCTAGAGAACATTAGAGCGATTCGACTATAGTATGGATGAAGGTGTACATACGCCCCAAGTGATCATCCATTGCTGCATGGCGATGAGTCTACCTCGCAGATTTGCGGGGCTCATTTCTGCAATATAGATGGGACTGGGCAAATTAGTACATGATGGGACCTGGAGGATAAATGGGCTGCTGTTACCCTTGGCTGGTGAGAAGGCCGACGCCAGAGCCATTGACGATTCGAGCGATTATGAGCATAGTCTTGTCTTGCACAGCGCACATGACAATGGAGCCTGCGATGAAGATGAGACAGGCAACCATCATGGAATCTCGACGGCCCAAATGATCGCCAATGTACGAGGAGAAGACGGCGCCAACCAGACATCCGCCAGCCAACGAGGCCATAATGCCGCCTTGGGTGACAGATTCTGGGTTGTCAAAGTAGTCTTTGTACTGTAGTGTCGGTTAGTTATGGACCTGGCAGGATGAAAACTAACAGCAACTTGCCTGCCATGTTGCCAGAATGGCGGAGAGGGACGATACGCCAAAGCCCTGCAACAGGCCACCGAGGGTGCAGAGACCGCAAATGGCATATAGGTTCGTGATCTTAGGAGCCATGGCGCGCGGTTGCAGGGAGGAGATGGTTGATCTGGAGGGAAGAGGCCACAGCATGATGAAGAGTCGGGAGGCCGTGGGTGGACGAGGCGAGATTAAATATCATTGACGTTTGAGTTTGGCCTTGACTGTTGGAACAGCGATGGCGTCGCGGCTCGCTCCGTCCGCACCAAGGTGAATGCCGACGAACAGCGCGCACTACCTATGTAGGTAGACCGGCTGTAGGAGGTAGCTTCTAGGTAGCGGTGGTTGGGCAGGTGCAGTAGTCAACTGGGAAACGGGTAGCGAAGAGCGGGATGCGTTGGCGAGGTTGCGCAACGACGGTCGAGGATGGTACTGGACGCGGGCGACGGATGTATGTGTGCGATGGTAGAGAGAAGTAGCGAGGGCTTTAAGGGCGAAGAAGACGGAAATTCGAGGGATTGGTGATGCAGAAGAGGAGATGCAAATCGGTCGGCGGCAGCGAGTGGACGGTCACAAGAGGAGACCAAACAGTGACCTCGCTTGATTGCTCGGGTACAACAGAAAGGCGGCAAGGATGGGTATTTAGGCAAGTATCTAGGTACAACTAAAACTAATACTGGTAGGTACGTGGAGGAGGAAAAAGAGTTTTGGCGGCGGCCGGTTCGGGGAAAGAGCGGCGTCTAGGGTGATGCGCCAGCGTGCGAGAGCCGGGATGTGCACTGGAAATGGAGCGGAGAGTCCGGGCTGGCTGCTGGCTGCTGGCTTCTGGCTGCATGCCGTTTATTATGAAAGCAGGCATTGAAGATGATAGACAACTTGCTTAACTTGCCTGTAGGCCGTACGTGGTGCTGCCACTGCATGCCTCTTTTTTTTTCTTTTTGCTTTTTTCTACCTATTTTTCTAGGCTCTAGAGACACCCACCCAACAGGGGCTCCAAGACAAGCTGGAACACTGGAAAAGGTACATGCAAGTCAGCCTTCTGGACGCACTGTGGAACACTGTAAGGACCTATGTACATGCATAGGTGCTCCTCATCTGCCTGCATCCCCGGATACTCGCAGACCGCTTATTATACGTGCAGTGCAGGAGCTTAAAATACCAAGGAACATCGCAAAATTTGTAGCGGTTATTTTTAGGTTTTCTTCGCCACGGGTCGTCCGACAGTCAGTGTCCCGCCAGCCACATCGCTGCGCGCCCTGATCCAATCCGTTGTTCGCACGGTGCCGGCGGCCGTCTGGCTAAGACATTCCTGGCTGCCGGCCGACTCAGGCCTTAGCTCGGCAATTTGTGGCAGTTGGCAGTAGGTTGGCAGCTTGCAATCTGCTCCGTTTGTTCAGTCGGCGTTTCCTGCTCCTCCCACTTACCAAGGCTGTTTTCTCATCAGCCTCAGCTTTCTCAAACAAACAACAGTACCAAGCTCGAAAAAGTTGCCTCACTCGCTCATGCACGCCTGCTTTATACGTATCCTTGGCGCCCCTTCGGAACCTTGCCGTGGCAGGCGAGCTGAGCATTCATCTACGCCGTATTATCCCTGGAAGGAACGGCTGTCGACCCTCGTACCATGCATTTCGGAACTCGCTAGCCAATCATGCCACGATGCCTGTTCTCGCTGACTGGCCTTGCGAGACCACCATCACCGCCCCGGCACCACACTAGGCTCAACTCGCATGGTCTGCGCTGACGGGCCGGTTTTGTAGCCTTGGCCAGCGAATCCCACACCTCCTCATCTTGTCATCATATCTAGTCGGTCATGCCATCAACTACGGATAGTTGCCATCCCATTTACTGTCACTGATTCTCGCATTCGCAGACGATTTCCACCAAGCCCGTAACTGACGGCCGGCTCTTCCCTCCCTACGCTAGCGCCGAGCACCTAAATCTCGACGCCGACGGCTCACGCGTTGTTTCTCCGCCCACGCGAGAGCCGTAGAACAATAAAGAGTACGGCAGGCTGCCGACATCTTCAGCCTCGTTTCGCCGCCAGGTCATCGACATTCTTGGAAATGGGACTCATGCTAGTCAAAGTCAACCGGCAGTTGACAACACATTCAAGAAACGTCTTACTTATGTGCGCGACGTAGTACCGGCGTCCTACCAAAGCACTGTACCACCAACTTCCGGCTCTTCATACTAGCATAGCGGGAACCATGTCGAAAAGCATTGCCTACATCATTCTCCTTACTTTAAAGTGAGCATCTTATTGATATATTCACTTTCTTGTTTTGCAAAAACAACCTAGAGCCCGCTAGTTGCCTTCTAGCCTGCCTTGGCGTATCAGCACTACCAGCGGGCGAGGCGCGTGTAGTTGGCTGCTACGACTATTGATGCTGGAAATCGTTGCAGAGTGACACCTTGCTATGCTGCAGAGCAGCTGACTCGAACGACCATTTCGCTGTTGGTCCTCTGCCATTGCTCCGGTCGCAGAGCCCATCATAAACTATTGTGGGAAACCGAACCGAGAGGCCCTCAGCCTCAATGTGACGCGCCTCAATCAACTATAATCGAACGTGCTTTGGAAATGTCATACTCTCCGATTTCTACGACTTCCCGAACTGTACCAAGACTTTTTGTTGGCGAGGATGGCGCTGGCACGGGAGTATTCAGGCGTTTACGAGCCACCCCATACAGTTAGTTGTCAAGAGTTAGAGTTGTGATAAGTTGTTATCCTTGACTTACTTGCATATGTCTTTGCTTTAGGATTCCAGGTGGAGAGGCTTCGAACCATTGTTGTATGCCTTTGGAATGCTGGAAAAGGCCACTGCGAAGATATTAAACACCAAGGTAAGTCTCGTCTTCATTCGCATCCGCTCCACTCTTCTCAGGTTCGATGTCGACAAGGAGTGCCTTTTATTATGTCGGTTGCGGAATATCGGCGAGCCAAGCCTAGCAATGACTGCCGTGTTTTCGACTGGAGACAACACATTATCTCACCTAGGTAGACATTACCTAACAGCAACCCTAATCACTATTGCCGACGCTCCGGGAGGCTAAATGCTCACCTAAAAGCTAGCTATGTAGGTATCTTCCTTGTACTATCTCGTTTACCTCTGAGTGCTGCTGCAAGCGCTGCGCAAGTTAATCTTGATTAGTAGGACAAGGCGAGCGCGCTTGTAGGGACGAGTCTGGCCAAGTTCGAGTGAGGTTGGTAGGGCCGGAGGAGTTCCGCAAAAGAAGCATAAATGTGAGCTTTTAAACGGTCTCCAGCCTCACTGGTGCTGTTATATCAAGCGGGCAAAGCCACGGTGGAATATTGCTGTCACAGAAACCTTAATCTGGCAGGCGTACAACTGGGCCAGCCATAACGGCCACAGACCAGGTACGACGAATACTTAGAACCTTTGCAGAGTTCCGTTATCTTTTATAACGAGGTCCCCTATATTCGCTGCTTCCCCCGCATTTTTCTCCGCACGTCTCCTCCGCACTACTAACCTACAAACACAGGTTTCTTTTACGTAGCCATTACCATCTCGTCACCAACATTCTGCAGTGCCAGACAGGGGTTTTCTATTCACCAGTGGCTGACTTGCTAATGAATCCATGTGAGTGCAGGGGAAACCTGGCGTTGCCAATGCGGCGTCGCCTAAAGTCCAGGGCCGCCTGATTCCGTGACTACCCAAATAGGAAGGTCGACATACGATGATATCGATATCGTGTACTAACCCTTCACCCCTAACTTATCGAAGTCTTTGAAGACCCTGACCATGTCAGCCTCGTGTAGGCCAGCCAATATCCAGCAACTCATTAACCGCGCGATTTATATCTTTTACGTCCGTGTATCAAAAGGACTTGGCTTGGCAGGTATGGGTCTACGGTGCAACGACGTTTTCTCAACAAGCCATTACTCGCTAAGGCGTGGTCAGTGAGAGCATTCTCCGACAGTCCACAGCATCTTGGCATAGTTCACCGAGGATGGCGATTGGGGTAGGGTTCGAGGAGATGTCATAAAAGGCACCTTGTCTAGCTTGGCATGGAGCTGAGAGCTGGGAGAGCCACGCCACGGGTGAAAAAGGGCTCCCGGTTCCGAATGTAATTGGTGGGCTTTGTATATGCAGGTTCCAGACCCGGAGAGTTAATTACGTAGATACGCGGCAGGGCGGAAAGGATATAATACCTGGGACGCTCGCCTCGATCTAGTATTACCTACCGATACTATCTCAAATCTTTCCACACTGGTTCAACCGCGAAGATGAGGTTTCTCAGACTTGCAGCTGAGCTGCTACTGGTAGCCAGCACTGCCGAGGCCGTTCGCCCCGGAGATCTTCCGCTCACGGGTGCGCCGGCTGTTCACCTCAACGCTCCGTCTCCCGCCGATGGCGTGCAGAAGCGAGCGGACAGCCCTATCCACTGGGCCTGGTTCGACCAGCTGCTGGACCACAGCAAGCCGGAGCTGGGCACGTTTAAGCAGCTGTACTACTACAGCTACCAGGACTACGCCGGGCCCGGCTCGCCCATCATCATGAACTCGCCCGGCGAGAACGAGGCGACGGGCTGGAACGGCTACGTGACCAACACGACGCTGGCGGGCAATTTCGCCAAGAGCGTCGGCGGCGCGACCATCCTCCTCGAGCACCGCTACTGGGGCTACAGCTCGCCGTACGCCAACCTGACCACGGACAACCTGCAGCTGCTGAACCTGGACCAGCACCTGCAGGACCTCGTCTACTTTGCGCACAACGTCAACCTCACCTTTGACCCGACCGGCTCCAGCCGGCCGGACAAGGCGCCGTGGGTGCTTACCGGCTGCTCGTACAGCGGCGCCGTCACGGCCTGGCTGCAGGCGCTGTACCCGGGCACTTACTGGGCATACCACGCGTCCAGCGCCGTCGTCGAGGCCATCACCGACTTCTGGCACTACCAGGAGATCGTCTACCAGGCGATGCCCAAGAACTGCAGCGCCGACTACACCAAGATTGTCGCGCACGTCGACAAGGTGCTCACGACCGGCACCGACGCGCAGAAGCAGAAGCTCAAGAAGAAGTTTGGCTTCGAGCCGCTTAACGACGTTGACTTTGCCCTGGCGCTGATGGACGGCATCTGGCTGTCCCAGAATCTCGGCTTTGGCGATCAAAAGCGCAACACGACGGATAGCTTCCACGGGTACTGCGACTACATCGAGGTTAGTCTGCTAGGAAGAAACACTGGACCAGCAATGGGACTCGAGAAAGACTAACCATGGGCTGTTGATGTAGAACCGCTGGCCCGGCAGCGACGCTCCCCAGCCTGGCCCCGAGGGCGTTGGTCTCTGTGCCGCCGTCAACGGACTCTCCAAGTGGTACAAGGACCTCATCATTCCCGGTGGTAGGGGGACACCTCATGACAGCTACCCACCGTGAGCATCAATCACTGATCTGATACTTTAGGTTGTGCCAGCTGGCGCTACTCCCGATGGACCGACAAGATGGATCTTGGCTGCTGGGTCAGTGAAGACGCGACCAGCCCCGTGTACCGCGACACGAGAGTCAACAACTTCCAAAACCGTCAGTGGAGGTGGATGCTTTGCAACGAGCCGTACGTACTCCCCTTTCCCCCCCTTCCACAAAGATGCTCCCGATCCCGTTCCGTGTCATTCAACTAAACCCCTTTCCCCATGCCAGGTTCGAGTGGTGGTTCACCGGCGGAGCCCCCGACGGGCGACCCCGCATGACCAGCAAGCTGGTGACGGTCGACCTGTGGCGGCGCCAGTGCGACCTCTACTTCCCCGAGGTCAACGGCGCCAAGCCCGGTCTTCGCCGCGGCCGCACGTCGGAGCAGATCAACGCGCGCACAGGCGGCTGGGGCGGCTGGGTGGACGACACGGAGCGGCTGATGTGGTGCGACGGCGAGCTGGACCCGTGGCGGGCGGCGACGGTGTCGTCGCCGTGGCGGCCGGGCGGCCCGCTCAAGTCGACGGCCAGGGCGCCGGCGTGGGTGGTGCCGGGCGCGTCGCACTGCTCGGACATGCTCCTGCGCAACGCCGAGGCCAACGCGGACCTCAAGAAGGTGTGGGACGCCGAGATTGAGCAGGTCAGCAAGTGGGTGGGCGAGTTTTACGCGGTGAACAAGAAGCCGTGGCCCAAGTATAACTAGGAAGTGACTGATGTGGAGGGGGGGTTGGATGGTTGGCGGCGGTACTTGGGTTGTGTATACACTGGCGCATCTGCATGTACATGAGCATAGTTTTGGATATAGAGATGAAGGTTCCATTTTGTCTTGGATGCTTTTGATTGAGTCATGCTAGACGGGGAATATTGTAGTGGCAGCTTTCGTCGTATTGTTTCTCTCAACACACACCGGGAATGACCGCCCATTTCTTGTTGATCTTTTCCGGGCCAAACTTTTCCATGTACCACTTCTTGCCGTTGACCGCGCGCGGCAGCATCGACAGCACCTCATTGACCAAAAACGCCCTCGCCGGCGCGCAACTCCACCCGGCCGCCACCCAGAACCCGAGCCACTCGACCCATTCCAGGAAGTAGTGCGGGTAGAGCATGTACTTGAAGAGGCCCGCCTGGGGGATCTCGTAGTGCTTTTCCACCTCCACGGCTGACGCGGCGCCCTTGGACCCCGCGCGGATTCGGTCCTGGCGGCGCCGCTCCCGGCGACGGATCTCGCGCAGCTCCTCGTCGTGGAACCAGTTGCCCGCGAGGCCGACGTAGAACAGGGCGATGCCGGCCGCGAACTGCGGCAGCGGGGAGCGCGCGGCCCACGCGTCCTCGGTGACGGCGCCGTAGGCGGACAGCCAGGAGCCGAGGCAGACGGCGTTGCAGAGCTGGAAGCCGAGGGCCATGGCCCAGACGGCGGCGTGGATGGGCGCCATGGAGGGCTGCATGATGGGGAAGAGTACGGCGCGGTTGATGTAATGGATGACCTGTTCTTCCGCGTTAGCATGCCACGCAACAAGGATGGGAGAATTGGGGCCGCACGAAGAGACCGCCGAGGACGCGGTTCTGCCAGGGCAGGTCGTGGATGCCGTGCTGCGCGGGGAGCGTGTTCATGATGTACAGCAGGGTGAGGAAGCCGGGCGCCTCCATGGTCATCCAGGCGACCCGGCCGGGGATGTTGAGGCGGCTGCTGCGGTCAGATGTCTTGCCCATGCCGTACCACTTGATGACCCATTGCAGCGAGCCAATCTGGAGCACAAGGTTAGTAGCGGCGGTGAGGACGGAAGGGAGAAGGGGGCGTCTCGTAGTTTTCCCGCGTGGGCGGCAGCCAGCCCTCCACAATGGCCATGATGGGCTGTTTTGTTTACTTGAGCACGGGAGAGACGTTTTGTGATGGTAGCCGCAAACGGGAGAGAAGATGTGGAAAGGGCTCGACGAGGGAAATGAGGGGGAAGGAAAGGGCTATGAAAAAAGAAAACCCTGTGATGTCAAGGAAGCAAAGTTGACCGCAAGACGGACGTGACGAGGAGGCAGAGACATGCAGGAGCAGAAAAACGCCAACATCAAGCCAAGCCGTCGATGCTCAGGAGCTCATGTGGGGTCGCGCAGATCGCCGGCCCGCGACAGCCCATCGGCCGAGACCCAACCAACCACGACTTGTCCAACGAGAAAGGAAGCTAGCGAGTAATGATCGTGTCATGCTTTCAGAGAGAGAGAGAGATTGTGCTCATGCTAATAAATCTTCATTCTAAAAGTAGCTCAAGAATCAGGCAGACTCATGGGGGCGACCCCGAGCTGCCATGGATGGACTAGTTATCACCAATAACGCTGCGTCATACAAAGAAACGAAAGAAGCCAAAAAAGAAAAGAAAGAAAACTCCAAAACACCATCATTTTCACGTTCCCATCCCACCATATTACATAACCACGCAGTCGCGATCCCTCCCAGAGCTGTGGCTCGTCCGCCCTCCATGCGATGGTCTCTGCGGCCTATAATAATATCCCGACCCCTGCGAAGACGACGGCGCGAGGCCAGCACCTGGTCTCTGGCCGCTGCCTGCCATCATGCTGCCCCCCGACGACGCCGGACCGCCACCATTTCCTCGTCCCGCTTGTCCCGGCACGTAGCGCCTATCGTGCTGCGCCGCCTCGTATGACGGCGGGGCCTCTTCACCCGCCGCCGCCGCATCCTCCGCCGGCCTGTGTACCGCCGGCCGTCCAGCCGGTCGCAAGCCCGTCACCGGCGTCGTCGTCGCAGGGGGCACCAGCGGGCGCACAGTCTGGCCCTGGGGGCGCGGCGGTTGCGGCGGCGGCGTGTTGCTGCTGCTACTGCTCCGCCGTCCGCCGCCGCCGCTCGACACGCTCACGTTGACGTTGCTGGAGGTGCGGCTGGGCAGCGGCGGACCACCACCGCCACCAGCACTGGTCCGTCGACGGGAATCGCGCGACACGGGCTGCGGCTGCTGGCGGCCCTGCTGCTCGATGAACTGCTCCGAGAGACGGCTCTCGCGCCGGCGGCGCTCCTGATCCTCGCGCTGCCTCTCCTCCTCTTCCTCCTGCAGCTGCAGAGCCAGCGCCAGATCTCTGTCCTCCTGCTCATGGTCCGGGATGCGGCCAACATCGGGCTCGTCTTCCTCTTGGCGGTCCTTGCCCCGGCGGTTGTTCCGCACTCTCGTCCACTGCCCGCCACTGTCATCGTTGCTCGGCCCGGCCAAGTCTGGCGAGCCCGCCGGTCGAAAGTCGCCCGAGTACAGCGCCGACATCTCGCCATTGACGTCCTCCAGGCTCTCCCACACCACCTCCTTGTGCCCGCTGTACCCCGCGTCCGTCACCAGTGTCAGCAGCTGGCCCGTCACCGGGTGGCAGTACAGCGTGCTGAAGTGGTCGTTGCGGAACAGGATCGCAAACGTGCCCGGCCGGATCGCCTTGCCGATGACCTCGATTCCCCACGCCGTCAGCTGCGTCGCCGATTCGCGCATGAATATCTTGATGGTCATGACGTCCTGGTACAGCTGCTGCTCCGTCCCGGAAAGCCCGCCCTGCGGGTCCAGCAGCTTGGCCTCGAGCTCCTCCTCGCGGAAGAGCAGGTTCTGCGCGTCCTCGTACGACGCCGCCTGACGCGCGAACGTGTCGTACGCGGGCTCCGAGCGCGACGGCAGCCACCCGTGGATAAGCGGGATCGAAAAGGTTGCGTACAGCTTCATCTCCAGGCTATTCTCGAACGTGCCCGGCATCAGCGCCTCGCGCTCCGTCGGATGCAGGTGCGTCAGCGAGCTTCTCTTGTAGGCCTTGACCATCTGCTCCGTCGGGATGAAACGCGGGTTAACGTTCATGCCCGTGTGCAGGCTCTGCAGGAACTCGTATAGCTCGCTGATGTCGGGCAGCGCGTCCTCAGACGAGGTCCGGCGCGGCGACATGAGCTCGTCAAAAACGGCGTCCAGCAGCAGGTTTAAGCTGATCTGCTCTCGCGACCGAAGAACCTGAACGAGAGTGGTCTCAGAGGTGTCAGCGGGCGTTGTCAGACTCAGCGCATTCACCAGTGCTACGAGAGGGCATGGCCCGTTCTCGTTCTGGACCAGAATGGGGGACACGCGGGGGTTCTCGCCCGCGTCGGGATCCTTCCAGCGGATATTCTTGATCTGATACGTCTCCGCCTTGCCGTCCACAGGTTGGCGGGTGGGGGACCATCTTTGTGCCGGCTCGGGCTGTCGCGGTGGCACTGCTGGCTGCTCCTCCGGTTCTAGCAATAAACTTTCCGTCTTCGACGGCCGCTGCGGTGAGGACTTTGCTGGTGGTTCGTAGCCAACAGGTTCTACAAGGGGGCCCTCCGGCTTCGGTTCGTTCTTCGGTTCGTGTATCGTAGGAATTGGCGGTCTCCTTGGCGGTTCTTCCTTGGTTTCCGTCTCTGCTCCTGTCATTATCCCTGCCGTGGCTTTATTGTTGGGCTGTATATCTTCAGACTTAGGCTCGTCCCAAGGAGTTGCCGGAGCGTCAACATAAGGAGTCGCAGGGCGCTGCTCTGCTACAACGTCTTGCGTTTTGGTTTCTGGGGCAGCCAGCGTATTCGCAGCTGATACTGGCAACATTCCCACGCCAGGTATAGGCTGTCTCTTGGTCTCCGTCTCCGGCTTGCGTGCATCACTGATACCCGCAGCCTCCGCATCCCCAGCAACAGACGACGCCTCCGAGTCAATCATGTTCCAGTCGTCCTGGTCCGACTCCTGGCCGGCAGCCGTCTTGTTTGTCGCGCGCCTCTTAACCCGCGGCGCGCAGCCCAGGTCGTCCCAAGCCTGCTTGTCGTCAAAGATGTGCGAGAACTCGTCCGCCGGCCGCGCCGCCAGAGTGCTCTGCGAGTCGACGCCGCCCTGACTCCCGGTCGTGTGCTGCGACGCGCCGCCCCAGACCGACCGCTCAGGCGTCGGCACGCTCAGGGGAGTCGGCACGCTCAAGGGCGTCGGTGGGTGCGCGTACGACGTCGCGTCCAGCTCCACGGCGTCGTGCCGGCTCCACGGGTCCTGCTGGCCGCGGGAGGCGGCGTCCTGCTCCGATGCCGGTGTCCCTGTCCGCTGCGCATACAGCGCGGAACCCCAGGGATTGTTAGTGGTCGTCGAGTCGAGGTGCATCTTGACCATGGCGTCTGTCGGGGTGTGAGACGTGGAGCTGCCTTCTTTGTTTCGAAACGGGTTCGAGTTAGGCGACTTGCCGCCGGGACGCAGAATACTCGGTACGCGATCGAACGGCGCGGTTGAGCTTTTGCTCCCGCTCAGTGTCGCGTCGGCCTCTATGCTACCGATCGTAGTGGTGGTGGCGCCGGTGTCCTGCTGCTGGATCTGCGGGATGGGTGGCCTCGGGACGTGACCGAAGCCTGGCTGGAGGGCATCCGGGATAGGCTGGCCGTTCCGCGCGCCGCCATCGATGTGGCTCTGGGTGTGTTGGCTAAATGACTCGGTGCTCACCCACGGATTCAAGGTGTCGTCCTCGGGCGGTTGGTTCGACGCTGGTCGTGGAGGGGGATGCTGCGTCAGTTGGCTGGCGGGGGCCCCCGCCGAGGTCTGGAACGACACCATTTCCTCTGCAGCGCCAATTGTGCTGCTCGAGCGTATAATTCAGACGTTTCGATTCTCGCGGTTGGTGATTTCTTGACGAGTCGGGTGGTGAGAGACCGCTGGGGGAGAGGGGGACGACCCTGCGCCGCGATGACGACAATGTTGGCACTAGAGGTGGCTGGGTGTCGATGAACTCTACTAGAGGCTGTGTGAAGTCGGGGTGGATATGCTCATGGTGATGAATGAAGGACGGAGATGAATGCGGGATGATAATGTAGATGCTGAGCTCGTCTATAAGTCTTTTGTCATACCGGAAATATTACGTAGAATTCAAGGTTCCTGGCTGACTGCGGATCAGCGAGAAGCGGCAACTTGTATGAACAAGGCTGGCGGGCGGTTAGTTTAGTGCAGTAGCAGGCAGTGACAGTGGGCCACGAAACAGGGCATTCCACGTATATTCCCCTCGGATTATTATAAACGTCGCACTATACAGCCCGCTTGAATTAATTGTTTTGGAAATATTTGTCCAACAATTTCCCTGCTCAAGTTCCAGATACTCAATACAAGAACAACATTGCCAGCTTTCCTTCCCTCTGTACCATGCAGCAAGTAAGCTGAATCCAGGTGGGGTTGGCCGACTCCGACATACGTAACCCGCCACGTACCGAGTGAATGCGACGAGATGTGACTGGCCAGCCGCTGATATATTGCTTCATCGCATATTCGCCACTTGTAGGGCTGCTGTCTCGGGTCCTCGACTCCAACCAGCATCGAACCCGCGTACCTTGCCTCACAAGGCACAAGGCACAAGGCTGAACCAAGTTGATGCCTAAATATCTTGTTCCGTCAGCCCACGTTGCCACGTCCTTGCCACGTCCTCGACCACTGCGAAATCACCATCCGCATTACATTGTGAGGCTCGTTCGTATTTAAACAGTAGAATCACACAAGCGTCTGAATCCATCGTCATGTGTTGTTATATATACTTCTTCGAAATCAACTATGCGGCCTCAACTTATCCCAGCCATCCTGAGCTTGCCGAATGCTATGCAGAACGCGGAATGACGACATTTGTATTTTTATTTGCAAAGAGACAGAAAACGCCATGTACAAGAGAACCAAAAACGCCATCAAGGTTCCCATACAGTCTTATAATACTTTCAAACAAGAGCCGACCCCCGTCATCACCAGCCGGGCCGAGCAGCACTCAACGACGGCCATGCAAGTCACTCTTCCTCCTCTATTTCCCCTTCTTGCTCTTCTCCACCAGCGCCGTCCACCGTTTACAGTGCGGCATCTCCAGCGCGTCCGCCAGCGCCATCTTGACCTCGTCCTGGTAGAACCACCCCGTCGCGTCCTCGCGCATCCGCCGCTGCGTCGCCTGCTCGCGCTCGCACCCGCCACGGATCTGCTGCAGCGCGCTCTGCTCCGCCACCCGGTCCAGGTCGCTCAGCTGGCCCTTTGTGTACTGCCGCACGTCCCGCTCCCGCACGAAGTACTTGATCCCGTGCACCGGCGTCGTCCGCTCGTGCGTGTACGGCGCGCTCGGGCTGTCAAACGCCATTCCCGGCGTCGCCGGCCCGCCGTCCCCGCCGAACAGCGACGTCAGCAGCGGCAGGATGAAGAAGAGCAGGATCGGCAAAATGCCGATCAGGTTTTGTAATCCGCCGCCCTGTGCCTCCTCTGGTCGGTTTTGCGTGTCGCGAGGGCGGCCGCGCGGCCGCGCGCCGCCGAACTGGTGCACGCGGATGCCGGGGCCGCCGCCAAAGTTGAAGACAAATTGAGGGCCTGTATCAAAAACTGTCAGAATTTGGCATGGTTAACCAGTGTCACACGTATCAACAAAGGACGAAGGGTTAGCCATACCTCCACCGCCACCAAAGCCTCCGAAACCCCCGCCGCCGCCAAAGAAGCGCGCAAACATCTCCTCTGGACTGATATCCTCATCCCAGCCGCCGCCGCCCATGGGGCCACCCGGTCGTCCACCAGCCATCCCGCCCCCGGACGGCTGCCGCGCGAACCCAGAGAACGGGTTCTGTGCTTGGGCGCTCGCGAAGCGACTGTCCGGGTCCGTGCCGAAGCGGTCAAACTTTTCCCTCTTCTCCTTGTCGCCGAGGACGCCGAATGCGCGGCTGACCATCTTGAAAGCCTCGTCGGCGTGCTCGTGGCCGTTCTTGTCCGGGTGCGTCAGCAGCGACTGCTTGCGGTACGCCTTCTTGATCTCCCCCTCGGTGCACGTCTTGCGTACCGACTCGAGGTCGAGGATCTCGTAAAATGCCGTCGCGTTGCAGCGCCGAATCCGCAGCACCGCCGCCTTTTGCTCGACTGTATAGGATCGGCCCTGGTTGCCTTGGTTATGATCGCGCGCGCGCGCGGCGCCGCCGCCCGTGTCGGCTCCCGAGGCTTTTGCGTCCGGCATGTCGCACGAGACTGCGAGGTAGGTTGTGTAGAGTTGATGGGCGGTGTCTTCGTGTGTAGGTGACTGTGTGATGTGTTTCTTATGCGTATCGGGAGAGAGCGTATCCTCGGTCGAGCTGCGCGTAGATGGGTGGGAGCGATGAAAAAATGGTCAACGCTGTCGGCGTCAGGAAATACAGCGCCGATAATGGGTTTCTGTGACGCGAGATGGATGTAATATGCCGCCTATGCAAAAGTATAATGATTACCAGCCGGACTCGGCTGTGATTTTGTTGGTTGATGTGGCTTCTTGCCAGCGGACTTTGGGGGGAACTGGGAACTGCGCAGTGGAGCGGCCACAAAGGGTCCAGAAGCCGGCGCGGCGTGGCAACAGGGGCGTTGCAGGCTGCAGCAGGCGCTATCAATTACGCCAACGGGCCTGGGCGAACATGGTTTGATTTGTCGTAATGATAATGTCCCTCTCACACAATAACATTAGTGGCCTGGTTTTTGCGTACTATACAGTCAATTGCACGTCAAATTTTGCACCGACACGTTGCTCGAAGCAAACTCTGCTGTACCTCAACGCGGTACTATTACAGCTGTTCCACGTGACGCTATCTTGTCCCACGATACCCTATAGTTTGAGTCGAGTTAGATTCGGTGATTTTGTGCAGCAATACATCATGATTGGAGCAATATAAAAGCACATTTAATTCTCGTTGTTGAATTTGAATATTTGGTCTTTTATTTTTGGTCAATTGAGACACTTTTGGTGAGATACCCTGTAACTACAATTCCAATGCCACCACGCGCATAGCTCATAGCCAAAGAGTGAGAGTTAAATGATAACGATTGCCACAAAACACAATGATAAAAATACCCAAAAATACCTAAATAAAATATAAAAGAAAACCACCTTGAACATACAAAGTTAAAATATCTGGACTCGAGTATCGTATCGGGACCGGCCCGGCAACCCGGAACGGCCACGGCATCACGTGACCTTAACGGTTGGCTGTAACGCCAAAGCCGACCCAACCTGCAGGCATCACCAGCTGGTCAATCAGTCACAAACCGGTCACAATGCAGCCTACAAGATTACTACTGAAGCGCTCCGTATGGAAAGGTAAGAACCATTATCCTCAATCGCTCTCCATTCGCATGCGAAGCTAACCATACCGTTTTCCAGGGCCCAATCTAGTCCCGTAAGACACCACCCCCGAAAAAAACCAAACTTTTAACTCTCCCTAACCCTCCACCAACTTGCAGTCTACCCATCGTGTGGCCCAAAAAAGCCGGCGAAAAGGTGCCCCCCGTGCGCACACAGGCCCGGTCCGCCACGATCCTGCCCAACTTTGTCGGGCTGAAGTTTGAGATTCACAACGGCAAGAACTACATCTCCGTGACGATAACGGAGGACATGGTCGGCCACAAGTTGGGTGAATTCGCACCGTACGTACCACAGAGGACGAGGGGGGATGTTGCGGTCGTGGGCTAACGGGACTGATACAGGACGCGGAAACCGAACATCTACGGCAAGAAATAAAAGACGAGCAGCACCAAACGAGGCGAGCGGAGGAGTTTTGCGACCGGGAGTCGAAGTCGCGCTGTACAAATACCACACTGTATCAATACAAATACATAATGACCCAGCAAAAGAGTTCATCTGTGTAAAATGTCGATGACCATTATTTGTTTAGTGGTTAAAGTAAGGAAAAGCGCAAGTTGCGCTGTAGCAGCATTCACTCTATGGCGGGGAGCCGTACATACATCCCAGACCGCGGCCAACGCCCAAACGCCCAAACCCATGTTATCCCAAGCCTTCCAAACCCAAGCCTCGTTATGATCAAATATTGAAAACAAAATAACGGCAGCCAACGTGCCCGCAGAAAGAACCGCCCGGCGGCCACTACCGATAAAATTCGCTACGCTTCACATTGACGCCATACTCGCCCACTGCCATGCCCAGGTCCTCCATCGTCAGCACCGTCCTGTTCTGGCTGCCGCCTTGGCCGCCTCCTCCGTACCCGGGCCTCTGGATGCCCAGCGGCGCACCGCCCGCGCCAACGCCCGCCGCGCCGCCCTTGCCGTGATCCTTGCCCGCCGCGCCAGGCTGGCCGGCGGCACCGCCCGCACCGGGTTGCTGCCCCGGCACGGGAAAGCCCGCGGCCGCGCCCAGGGAGCCCATCGGGTTGTTGTTGTTATTGCTCGACGCCCGGATGCGGCTGTACTGGTACGCGTCGGCCGCGATGTCGGCGACGAACTTTTGCGTGGCGAGCGCGAGGAGCCGCGCCAGGCGGTGATCCGTCTGCGGCGGAGGGGGCAGGCCGGCCTTGGTCATGTAGTATTGCGTGACGGCGTCGGGGATCTTTTTTATCGCGGGTGAGTTAGCATTGGTAACGCGGCGGCTCAGGGTGGGACCAAGGGCAACAGAAAGAAATGGAATGATCGGGATAAAAACATACGATAGGGGCACAGTCGTCCACCTTGTTGAGAAACTCGCGCAGAGAAGTATCCTTGCGCGATGGTAGCCTCGAGTCACCACCGGCAGGGAGCTGGGCAGGAGCAGGGCCGTTCGTCTGGCCGTTCGTGGCCGGGGCCGGCTGCTGGCTACTGTCGGGGGCGTCGCCGGCCATGGTAATGTGTTTCTTGTCGAACCTTTACCCTTTTCCTGCTGATGGGAGATGCCCAGAAAAAGTTTGGTAGGTAGATGGTCGAGATGAGTTTAAGTTGGCTGCCGTCATGTTGGACGGAGGCGCGATGCCAACCGCTGCACGTGACCGTGCCGCGGTGCGCGCGGATAGCCCCCTGAAACAGCAAAAAGACAATTGATGCGCCATTGTATGTTTTTAGACGTTTTTGGATTTTTTATATTCATTAACAAGCGCAGCTTTTAAGTCGTTAATTGTAATTACTTTTGTTTTCCAGCCTCCCCCTGTTGCTGCGTTGCCATATTTCCCCATGGCGTGTCCAGAGTGACCTTGTCCAAGCAAATCAGTCCCCCAAACGCCGTCTATAAAGTGCAAATAAAGTATTGTGGATGAAGTACAAAAATCCCGCAATTTGTCGTTTGACTCGGGTATCGCGTTAAATTGAACCTCCATTTTGTGATCTTGGTGATGCTGGGCCGGGGGTGTCGCTGTGATGGCCCACCGAAGACTGACTGAGAGCAACGACTCTGCTGCTTAGACGGGCAGCTTGAACTTCTTGCCCTTGAGAACCTTGGTGTAGTAGACGTAGAAAAAGTCGCTGTAGAGAACGGTTTGGACGAGGCCGGCGATGATGGCGATCCAGTCAGGCTTGTGGTTAGGTTCGGCAAAGTAGCGGTAGATCCAGTTGGGGATGTAGAGGGCGCGGTAGCTGCCAAGGGCGAAGAGATAGTGGGTGGTGATGGTCTCGGCCTCGCCGGTGCGCTGCAGCATGAAGAGCTGGGGCAGGATGGCGACGGACTCGAGCCAGATGGAGAAGGCCCAGAGGATCTCCATGACCGTGTAGCGGACGGGGAAGAGGACGGCGAGGACGGCGGCACCGCCGAGGAGGTACTGGACGCGGAAGGTGTCGACGTTAGGATCGTTGGTGGGCTTGTAGGCGTTGGTCATGAGGTAGATGATGTAGCCCTGGGAGCCGATGAAGAGGATTTTGAAGACGAAGTTGTAGATGCTGTTTGTGGCGAAGAGATCTATGTGCGAAACTGGTTAATGGTGCGTCAATGGAGGTCGGGGAGGCGAGATGGAGACGAACCGAGGTATCTCGTCACGTATACCATGAGGTAGAGAGCTTGCGACTTGAAGGAGATGCCAGAGCAGCTCTGTTTGGAGACGGGTTAGCGAGGGGGTCCGCGTGACGGAGCTCAGGGAAAGCACCAATACGCACATTTAACTGGACCATCTTGTGCAGCAGAATGAAGATGCTGGCCAAGTGCGAGAAGTCCGCTGATAATCATGTTAGCAGAGCTTGGGTGGTGGTGTTTTGAAGCTGTCGTCGGGAGGCGGGATGGGGCGCACCAGCAAGGCGGAAGATGTTAAGCGTCATGATGGAAGAAGTGGAAGCTTGCGCTCCTCGTCACTCGGAAGGAAATCAATGGAATAAAAATCGGGAGATTCCAAGAAAGCCGAGCGTGAATCGAAAATCGCGTGGCGAATTCAAGATTGGCGGCGATTCGAGGTAGCTGTCGACGAGGGGGCGAGGATGAAAGGGAGTCGAGGACGGGATGAAGGCAAAAAGGACACGACACGCGCTGGCGAGCTCATTGGTTGGATGAAAACTCCCTGATGAGCTGGGCGATGCGGCGTCATTGCCAGGGGCCAAGGCGGCGGGCGGGGCGAGCTGCACTGGCAGAGGTGGGCTGGTTTCAGCGTGCTTTCAGGCGGAATCCAACCTTGCCGTAACTGGTTAGCGCAGAAGCGACGGCCAGGTCGACCTCATCTACAGTGGTAGCTTTAGAAGCATGTTTGTGGTATAGGTAATCGGCGGGAACATGCTAGCAGAAATAAAAAATGGTCAGAATGAACTCTAGATTGTACCCATCTCAAGCATCGCGTGCATTGTTCCAGCCAAATGCTTGCCATTACCGGGATCGGTGTAAAAATAGAGATTGAACGCCAAAGACCCTGTGACTGGTCCAGCTCAAACCACTGTAGGGCGGCGCCTAGGTATAACCTGGCAGCACCTTATACCTCCCTGTCGCCTCCAAGGCGGGCAAGCATTTATCCAAACTTGCTTTCCTCACAACTCACCTCGCCCTCTTCATTAGGTCCAGCTACGTACTGACGTGATGAAATCTCCAAGTATACTATCACAGTCCTTCAGAAACTGGATAGCCTCGTACCACCAAAATAAGAACCTTTATTACGCTACCTTGTCGCTCACCAAACGCCGCTCTTTCAGCGCAAGCGCTAGAATGGCTGTGCAAGAGCTACTAAAGAAATATCATAAGAAATACGATTGGATCGAGGGAGTTAAAAATCTCAAAAGATATGCAAGAGGCGGATTTCACACTATTATAGTTAGAGGTTATTAACTAGCGCTATCAAATCGTCGACAAGCTTAGCTATGGCGGGTACTCAACCATCTAGATGACGCGCGACATAGAGCAAAACACCTACGTCGCCTTAAAACTTGCCGTGGCTGACTCGAGAGTCCACAAGACTACTGTACTCAAGAAACTTTTTAATACTACGCCTCGAACACCAGTGGACTATGTCGCTTTCGTTAGAGCTAATGCCATCCCGCAAGTTCTGGACGCCTTTACCGTGCACGGCCCGAATGGAGAACACCTAAGTTATACGACTGCTCTCGCTAGAACCAACCTTAGGGATGCTTGTGACTTATCCATGTTTAGAATTGAGGTGGCAAGGGCTCTAGCAGTTAAGCTCGTCTCGGCCATCGCCTACATGCATAGCAGAGGCTATGTACACGGAGGTTGGTTTCCATGCGGCCACATCACGCAAGAATCTGCAAGTAGTGCTGACACTTTCGTCTACAACCTCTAGATATACACCTGGGTAAGATCATGCTCAGACTTCCACCATAGATAGACGAGTTATCTGTCGAGCAATTCTATAGGACATACGGCCATCCCGAGAGATACGAGGTTTCTCACGTTGATGGTGGCCCATTGCCGCCAAATATCCCCATAGAAGCGGTGCGCTTAGTTAATATTGGGAAAAAAGCAAAGGAAATATCTCTAGAGGAGATCGACTTGCTAGTTGTTGACTTTGGCGAATCATTCGCCCCCGAGTTGAGCACGCGACCCTGCGAGGACTGTCGATCGCACCTGGCAGCTCGACCGCCAGAATCACATTTTGAGCTGCTCTCGCCGCTTTCTTTCTCCGCCGACATCTGGTGCCTAGGCCTAGCCATTTGGGATCTTTTCGCTATACGTCCGCTCTTCGCTGCCGCATTCTCCCCCCCAGCAGCGATCATTGCACAGCATGTGGACGCGCTGGGCCCCTTACCAAGCCGCTGGTGGTCGCGGTGGGAAGAGCGGCATGACTATTTTGACGAGGATGGTAACTCTATCCAGGGAAAGTACGGCGGGCCTACGCTGAACAAGGCGTTCGACGACTGGCTTCACAAGTACCGAGCGAAGTTCAATGCAGGCGTCTTCTCCGAGGAGGAAAAGACGGCCTTCTTACAGCTATTGCGTCGCATGCTCTCCTATGATCCGCTACAACGTCCTACTGCCGACGAAGTGCTCAAGTCTGGTTGGGTAGCCAACTGGGCGATGGACAACTTTGAGAAGAGCTTCAACGGCGCCATAAGTGACGTGCAATACGACTGACAGTATTTTATTGCCCTGGGAAGCTTTTTCTGGTAGCCTGCTTGTCGTCCGCTTACGCAAGAGTTGCTGGAGCTCAGCTGTTCTGGGGATGGCTGCACTTTTATACCAAGGCGGGTCACATTTCAGCCACCTCAGTCTTGGTACAGGACCACAGGTGGAATTTTGGAGTACATGCTGATACTCACCGGGATATTCGATCGCTCAAGTGCGTAAAACGATACCATGGTCCTCCAAAGCCCATGGTGGGATGTCGTAGAACCTGCCAACACACCACGCCTTGCAGCAGTGGAATCAAAAACATTGTTAATATGAAATAAGCTCACCGGACAACAACTGACCGATTGGTCCCCTGTAGCTCAGTTGGCTAGAGCGTCGTAAGTTGCGGTCCAGTAGCACGAAGTGGGAATTCAGCACACTAACACCCAAATCAGAGACTGTTAATCTGAAGGTCGCAAGTTCAAACCTTGCCGGGGGAGGACCATAACCTCCTTAAATTTTTGCCGTTTTGGCAATTGGGGGGTTTTTTAACCACTGTTTCCCCACCCCCTTATTCTCTGTACTTTTCCTGGTTTACGGATTCCTTCCTTTTTGTCGCAGAGAAATCGTGTTCGATATGCCACAGCGCTCAGCGTGGTTTTCGGGTGGTCGCTGGGCGGTCGGTGGCTTGTTCCTCAGCGTGCTGCTGCTACACGGTTCTCGAAATGCAATGCAAGCGTCGCCAACCCTTTTCCTTGTTACTGTATACCAACCAGTTGATCGCGGCTGCGCTCAGTTCGCCTCGAAGGCGCTAGGATGATATCCCAGTGAAAATCATGTATTTCGGCGCCAGAGAACATTGAATGAACCGTGAGGAACAATGGTATGAAATAGAAGGCGGCTGTATTAACGGAAGGTGGCCGTGTAGGTAAGGTGACAAAGCGTAAGGTGGCCGTGTTGCTGTGTTAGACGTCGGTGCCATAGATGGCATTTGCGTGGCGAATGCCGCTGAGGCTGAAACTGGAGGGCGGTGAAGCGCGACGACGACGAATTGCAAGGCGCGTGCCATCGTTTCCAACCGTGACAACCTCATAATGGCCAGCCTCATCCTGGCAGGCGCCATGCTTGTCGAGCTTGGACGCGGGTAAGAGGATAAAGACGACTTCTTATTCCTGTCCTTCTTCATCCGTCTTGACATGATTGACTGCCAATTCCGCGTCTTCACCCCCTCACAGTAATCTGCGCCAGATTGCCCTCGTCCTCAATGCGTTTGAAAAGGGTTTATTTACGTGTCAACCAACCCACCAACGCCGTCAAAGCCCGTCGACTACCACGCGCTCGACTTGTCAGACCAAGAATTGCAGCGCACGCTCTTGCATATTCCCGACTACAAGGTGGCTGAATCAACGGAAGGCGGCTGGGCAAGCCAGAATGAAGCTCAATCGACTCCCCGAAGTGTGTATACGTACATTGGGAAAACGACAATAAAAAGCAAGATAGGTTTCTACGCTGCCAGCGTGCCCGAACCTGTGACCGAGCGGGTGCGAGTTGGTATAGCCTTACGCAGCCGCAGAAACATGCGGTCGCTGACTGCGAAGAAACACGCCCGATGTTTTTTGTCAACATGCGGTTTCAACGTCATTACTGCGATGGCCATCGCATCGTGTGCTGACACTCGCAATGACGGGAGGTCTCGCGACACCCGGGTCTTTGCGAGCAGGCTGTCGGCCTCGTCTCGCGGCGCGAAGCCCGGGGGAGGCGTCTTTTCAGCAATTGCAATAAGCAATAGGACTGGCGTCTTCATCGCACACCTACAAAAAGAACCAAATAGAAAGAATAAGCGAAGTAATTGAGTGGCAAAACATGCAAAAAGTGAGGGAGGTCCTCCCCCGGCAAGGTTTGAACTTGCGACCTTCAGATTAACAGTCTCTTTAGGAGGAATTAGTAATCATGTTACAATGCGCTGAGCCACTTGAGTGGGAACTTACGACGCTCTAGCCAACTGAGCTACAGGGGACCAGTGTTGAAAGAGGGTCAATTATCAGAATCTATCAAGTGGAAAGCGCCCACAGGGTTATGTCTGAAGCTCTCTTACTCACCGACCCCTAAATAAATGCACATCGGATTGCTGCACTTTATAACTTATTCAATAAGTGATTTGAACCTAACAAGCAGATTGTAAGCCGCCATTTTCTGTCGTGTTTGCGTACACTTCAGCTATCTGCCCTGCCTTGGGCCGCAACGCGTGCACTGCTCAATAGGCCTGATGTAAACGATTGTAATATTTGGTATAGCTAACAATATTGTGTATTATGGGGTAATGGATGAAACATGTATTGCCTTTACTGATTGCTATAACATTACATTTTTACCTCCATTCAGACAGCCACGCTTTCGCACACTGCGCCAGGCTGTTGGACAGTACAATTGATCTTTCTGTCTGGCCCTGTTTTACGGAAAACCGAAGATTATTTTAAAGTTGCTACATGATGGCGTGTTTTACTCCGACTGTAGTGAGCAATGCCATTTCCCTGAATTCTGTGCCACGAGTCGCATGAAGAGCCGAGTTACGATGTTGTTCCACAGCAAAGGACTTGAGCAACAGCAATAGCGAGCGCCCCAGAGAAAAGGCGAGAGGTAATAAAGAAGCCTTTGGTTATGAGACGAATTCCTTTGAGTTTATTTTAACTTAAACATGCTTTCCCAAGTTTTGGTATCGTCGTAACCACGGCGGTTTGTAAGCCGAGGTATCCATTGGTGAGGCTGACTGAGTCTACTACTCCAGGGCTCACAATCAGCCTTGCGTTTTTCATCTTCCCTCCAGCAAGGCCCCGTTCAATCTTCGCCTTGAATAATGCATCATGATTCAATATATGCATCCCTCATTAACAGCTAACTCAACTGGGTTCGCATCGCGACTGCTGCACTTGATGCCAGGCGCCTTTGCTGATGACATCCACGTCGAGCTGGAGCCCGTTTCCATTCCCAGCGATGGGTCCAACCTGCCTAGATACGAGGCGCTCTCGTATGTCTGGGGGACGGTGCTGCCGGAAGAGCCAAAGATTCTTGTCAAGGACAGGGACGAGCCCGCGGACGCGCAGCCTCGATACCTGACAGTCCGCGAGAATCTGCGATGCGCGCTGCAGCACCTGCGGAGCGAGTCGGCGGTTCGGACTTTATGGATTGATGCGATATGCATCAATCAAGACGATGAGGTGGAAAAGAGCACGCAGGTGGCGCACATGGGCTCCATCTATGAGCTCGCCGAGCGGGTGGTCATCTGGTTCGGGCCGGCGGTGGACGGTAGCGCTGAGGTCGTCGCCCTCCTAAGCAAGCTCGCACTGCTCGCCAGGTACGACTTTCGCAAGGACCTTTTATCCTGGACGACTGGAGACGCGCCGCCCGAGGATTTAATGTTTGCAGGAAAGGACCTCGAGAGCCTCATCCTCGGCGTGTCCAACACCTGGTTCGACCGCGTGTGGACACTCCAGGAACTCGGTGTCACTGACCCCGACATGGCCATCATCCAATGGGGACCGCAAACTGTGCCGTTTGTGCACCTGCAGACGGCCATCATCGTCTACCAGAGCTTCTACGTCGACCGCGACCAGGACCGCGACGGCTCGACCGCCGCCCTCCGTCGGCGCTGGTCCGCCCGTCGTGGCAACGTCCTCATCTTCCTGATGGCCCGGTTCTTCCTTGGCTTCGACTTTGACTCGGCCATGGAGACTGTCCGGTATCGTGACTGCTATGACCCGCGCGACCGCATCTACGCGGTGCTCCGGCTCTGCAGGCCGCGCCTCGACGTGGTCCCGGACTACGGGCCGGCGTGCACCGCGGCAGCGCTGTTCGAGCGCGTGTGCCTCCGGCAGCTGCAAGACGGCGTGGACCTGCTGGGGTCATGCGAGTGGCCAAACGGCATGGCCGGCCTACCGTCGTGGGTACCCAACTGGCATGCCAAGAGAGCCGTGCATGCCTACTTTGTGGGCCACAGTCTAGGTCTGCTGCGGAACCAGTACCGGCAAGAAACTCCCGGTGAGCTCATCTGCTGGGGCAACAAGTTCGCGGACATTACTGACGTGCTGGACCTGCGCCTGTCCCCGGCATCGAGCAACGCAGATGTCTGCGCTGCAGTTGAAAAAGTGCTCACGTGGGTGACCAAAGATGTTGCCATTGACTTGAACGTCTTGACGCATGTTGCATTTGCGCTCTTTCCGGAGGGAATCCTGGAATTCACCTTCCCGATGGATGTAGATCCCGCAAATGGTCTTGTGCCAATGAGAGAGGCCTTCAACTTCCTGCGCAGCTTCCTACCTGGTGATCAGCAGAACACAGGGGAGGAAGATGCAAAAAAGACTGGCCCACATCAAGTAAGCCCGCTAATTGCCCGGTGCATACGTGAGAGATTCACCGGCCGGTGCTTGGTCAAGACATCTTCAGGCAGTTTCGGCTCGGTGCTCAACTCGGCGACCGTAGGCGACCAAATATTTGCGCTGCCCGGCTGTCGCCACTCCATCGTGCTTCGACACGTGAAGGAGAAGAGATTCCGCGTCGTGGGCTCCGGGTTCGTCACGTCCAACATGGCGGGCGAGGGACTCCTCGGTCCGCTCCTGGGCATGGGCATGAGAGAGGTGCGCCTCACGCTGGAGGGCGGGTTCGGATACGTCGGCTTCTTCGGCGGGAGGCCCTTTAGAACCGACGCGCGCATCGAGATGCTGTACTCGAAGACTGAGGCCGGAGCTGGTGTGCGTCCGGGAGACCAGGTGTTGATTGCGGACATGTACAAAGCCGTCACTGTTGATGTGCTGCGGAAGAATGGTGTAGAACTTGAAGAAATTACGCTATTTTAAACGCACGCCTTTAATAAATAGAAGCGAGCAAAAAAGGGCTCGTCCCATCTGCAATATTTCGAGTCTCTCTGTAGCTATGGCGGGCGAACGCTTGATTATCAGCCAATACTACGGATCACTTTTCCATTAAAATTATAAAAACCACTCCGAATATCATCACTTCCAGCAAAGCATATGCAGCACCCGGAAACAAAAAGTTTCAGAGTTTTTCAGCCGATGGCTCCAAGCTCCTCAAGAACTTGATGATCGCATCCGCCATCTCCTGCAAGCCCGGATCTTCCAGCGGGTAGTGCCCCGCGTTGGCCAACGTGACCTTTGTCACCGGCACCTTCTTGACCCTGTCGAGGATCAGGTTGCTGAGGTGCTCCGGCGTCCACCGGTCCTCGGCCGGCTGCGTCAGCAGGATCGGGCACACGTCAAACTCCTCCGGCTCCAGCGCGGGCTCGTACGAGCTGTACGTCGCCAGGAAGCGCGTCGTGGCGGATGACCCCGCCGACGACTTGTCCTTGAGGAAGATCTTGAGCGCCTTGTCGTCGTTGACCAGCGCGGACATCTTGCTCGCGAGCGACATCGGGATGCGCAGCCAGTGCAGGCCCGTCGCGCTGGCCAGCTTCGCGAGCGGCAGGCCGGCACGACTCGCGACGATGTCGTGGGACGTCTCGTCCGCGACCTGCCGCAGACGCAGGTCCAAAAACGTCATCCCGATGATCCCCTTGACCTTGCGGTTCCGCGCGGCGATGTGGTACGTCAGCATGCCGCCGGCGCTCAGTCCGTACAGCACGACCGGGCGGGCATCGCCCTCGGCCTCGCGGTCGACAAAGTCGCTGCCGATCTGCACCCACTCGTCGTACGGGTACGCTTTACTCGCCGGCGCGACCCGCGTGCAGCCGTAGCCCGGCATGTCGATGGCGACGACGTCGAAGCCGGCGGCGTGCAGCGGCACGCCGAGGAGCATGGACATTTGGCGGCCGTTGGTGCCGACGCCGTGGTGCAGGATGACGCGGGTCCGCGCGGACGGGTTGCGCCACCGGTCGAGGTGCAGGTCGTGCCCGCGGTGCGACCACCACTCCTCGACAGGGGAGTGCTCGGGGGTGAAGTGCAGTCGCGGGGGGAGGAAGGCCTGGATGTCTTTCCAGGCCTGCTGGTCGGCGTAGGTGGGAGGATTGGTGGACATGGTGTATGGGGGGTAGAATAGTGTTTGGAGGAAGATGAGGATGCGATGATGGATAAGAGCCGGCCTCTTGTAATGAATGTTCAAGATCGCCCAACTAGATGGCGATCTGCCGAGGCACACTTTTACTCATTACTGCCTCGGTCTGGCTTTAGAGTTTGTGTTTCATGTCCGTAGGCCACTACCGATGCTGGCACCAGTGAGGAGAGAGAAACAATGTAGAGTTGGGACTGGGAAATGTAGGTAATATTCTCAAAGATTCTTTTCTGAATGTCTTTAAGATCTGGTTCTCATGGAGCAGAAGATGTTTTATTAGTGAGTAGGTTAGCATTGGATTGTAGCGTCCACTTATAAGTAAGCTCAACCAAGGCAATCACTACTTTGAGAGGCAGAAACCTTGACTGGTGTACTTTCTTTTTCTTTTGGAATATACGTAGATGTACTGTAGAAAATAGTGAAACATGGTAGCTATTTATAAATTGCCATTGCGACGTTGTTCTCGTATTATTTGTCAGTTGCCGGTGGCTTTCAACCACTACAGGGCTCAATCTCCACCAGGTCCCTGCGGGGAAGCCGCCTTATCAACCGTATTGGTTGTCAATTTGTATTGTTGCTTTTTTCTAGTAACAATGTGCATTGACCGACATTATGGATGAGTTGAGAGACAGCAGCTGGGATTAACTGGATGCTTCCACAACTCTTCCTCGCAGATGACTGGCAGTGGGATACGAATACGAGCCTCACTGTCCTGGCGTCGGACTTTGGCCTTGAGTCCGTTGCTGCGCCTCACCGAATCTGTCAGCCACCTTGGTCTCCGCCACACTCTATCCGCTGTACCAAGGCCGCGTGTGGCGCATGCCTAATCCTCCCGAGACGTCATTACCAAGCAACTGACGAGGCAACCCGAACCCTTCAGATCAACCCCAGAAAAGCCCAACTTTGCCCCTATGACCTCCTCTGACCAAGCCTAACGCAAGACATATATTATCCCTGCTTCTTCCAGCCCTGTGGACATATCTCTTACCAAACCTCGATATACTCACTCCTTTTTTTACCAGCAACCTTGACCTAGAAACAATCTCCACCCTCTATTACACCACAGCGGACTTGGAATCTGCGCATTTGTAATCCGCATCACACCACCTTTAATCTGAGTCTGCTTCGCCTACACTTGCACTACTATCAAGAACCCATCACAAGCACCTCTTCAACACTACGGCCTGCTCCAAAGAGTCGTGCTCGTGCTCGTGCTTTAAAGAGCAAATAACCATGGCCAACCAACAGCGCCCGCACAGCCCCGACGCCTCAGAGACCGACTCCGACGGCGACTGCATCACCATCACCATCTCCCACCGCCAGACGACGTGCGACATGCAGTTCCCGCCCGAAGCCACTGTAATCCAGCTCTTTGAGGAGCTCGAGGCCACGCTCGACATCCCCGTGGCCAACCAAAAGATATTCGTGCCCAAAGGCCCCCTGCTCAAGGCCCCGCTGAAGAACCCTGACATGTCCCTGGCCGAGCTCCAGGGCAAGACGCTCAAGCTTATGGGCTCCGCCTCGTCAGAGGTGCAGGCCGTGCAGAGCATGTGCGAGCGCATCAAGCAGCGCGCCGCAGCGCGCCTCGCCCATCGCGGCAAGGCGCGCAGCAGCAGCAGCGGCGGCCGCTCGCACAAGAGAACCGCCGCCGACGACACCAAGTACACCTTTCTCCAGGTCAAGCCGCTGCAGGGCCTGCCGCGGCCGGAGCGCAGCCTGGCGCTGCTCACGCGGCTCAAGGAGGACCCCGGCATCCGGGCGACGATGCGGAAGCGCAAGTACACGGTGGCGCTGCTGACGGAGATGGAGCCGCTGTCCAACACGCAGGCGACGCACGAGGGCACGTCGCGGCTGCTCGGGCTGAACCGCAACCGGGGCGAGGTGATTGAGCTGCGGCTGCGGACAGACGCGCACGACGGGTACCGCGACTACAAGACGATCCGCAAGACGCTGTGCCACGAGCTGGCGCACAACGTGCATAGCGACCACGACCGCGCATTCTGGGACCTGTGCCACGCCATCGAGCGCGAGGTCGACGCGGCGGACTGGAAGACGGGCGGCAACACGCTGGGGGAGACGTCGCGGTACGTCGTGTCGGGGCAGCAGGACGTATACGGGGAGGAGGAGGAGGAGGAGGAAGACGGGGGCGGCTGGACTGGCGGTGAGTTTGTGCTCGGCGGCGGCGTGGCAGCGGCGGGCGGCATCACGGCTGGGCTGAGTCGCAGGGAGGTCCTCGCGCAGGCGGCGCAGGAGAGGCAGCGTAGGGAGACGCAGGAGGAGGCCAAGGCCGTAGAGGCGGCAGAGAAGGGATGGCGGCCGTGCCAAAGGCAGCAGCCGAGCGATGATTCTCCGGAATGAGCGATGGCAGTTTGTATAATTGCATTGGGTATGGTGTTATTTAAAAGGATACGATGACATCGAGCGAGCGATGACAATTGTAAAACTCTTCTATTTTTGAATGATGCTCATGATTTTCAAACAGCATGGTCCGTGTCCACCTCGATCTTCTCTGTCTCTGACACGGAAACGGTTACCGCCCTCGGAATATTCGCGGCGAAGGACAGGTGCTGCTGCCATGCAACATTGCACTCAGGCGCGAGGTTATGCAAGCCTTGGAAATACCCGAAACAACTGCCAAGCTGAAATCGCTCAAGTCACGGAAGTGAGAGATGGCAAAAGTCCGAATAAAACACGGCATGTACCGATCGTCTATATTCATGTTGTTGACTACAACTGGTTTTGTGTTTATAGTACATGTTCCCTTTTTATATCTCTGCTCCGTAAGTACTGACATGGCTCATGTCTCTCCGTATGTAGCACCTATATGATCACTCCTCCCTTGGAATATAAGGTGGAAGGATGATTCCTGCCATTCGGCCGCGCGCTTAGACAACGCCGACGGGAGTCTCGCAGAGAAGGGCCTGCTCGCCGACGGGGAGGACGCAGCATCTGGCGCGCTGGCCACCGCTGGCACAGACAGCCTGGAAATCGCGAGGGCTCCAGATCGCCTGCTGGGCTATGTTTGCGAAGCAAGGGATTAGCCTTGTCTTCATGACCGCTGAGGTGAGCATGGGCAAGCTTACGGGTGTAGCAGTCGAGGTCGGCGACGCCAAGGACGTCGGTGGCGCAGCACTGCGGGTTGGCGTACAGACCACTGGGGCAGGCCTCGAAATGATTCCAGCGGGGAGCGTTCGGGGCGGCCATGACGACGACGGCGAAGAGGGAGATGGCGGTGATGAACTGCATCTTGGCTGAGTCTGGTGGTGTTGAGATGTTGGTGGTAAAGACAGTGGTGAGTTGGAGTTGTTAGGTATGAGAGTGAAGTGAGACGTTGGAGCTGGATAGAGAGAGGAGAATTGAGAGTAGAATTGGATCACCGTTGGGCTTTATATATCTCGAGATTGTAGGTTTTCATCGCCGTGTGATGCTACAGAGGGATGTGCGATACCACCGAAACTGCCGGGAAGGGATGGAATTGAGAACGAGGGCATCAACAGGTCCTGCCAAATTAGGCCAAATGAGGCAAAAAAAACTAGGCTAATGCAGGGATAAGAAGGGATGAACCGACAGTCCCAATTGCCGTCGCATAAAATAGAGTCTTGTTGCTTTGATGATGGACCACGCCCTTGTTGAACGTGGGGTACCTTGCCAGTCACAAAGGGCGACCAGTTCGTCTGAGACAATTTCGAGGGGCGAGGGTCCGAACAATGGGCACAATTTCATTGATGCAGCCCAGATTTTTGGTTTTTTTTTTCGAACAAAGATAAAAGTAGTCGTAATTACACGATGACATGCATACTGCCCAAATCATGTGAAAAAGGGATACAGGAAGTTACACCAACTACCGCGGTTACAGCAGCATACAGCCAACCAGCTTAGACTAGAAGCTAAAATAAGGAAAAGAAAAAAGCCATCCCTCTTTTCTCAGCTGCCAACTTCAATACGGCAAGGGATCCAGGTCCAGCCCCGTCACGGTCAGCTTGAACGAGTCGTTGCGCGAGTAGCTCCCCGCGGCGTCGAGGTCCAGCCGTCCGCGGATGCAGTCGCGCAGGTCGACATCGTGCCACACGAGGCCCTCCGGGTCCTCCCACTGCGGCCCGGCGAGCACGTCACCGTACGGCGAGACGATGGCCGAGCCACCGCGGGACAGCCACCCGGGCGCCGAGCCGGCCGCCTTTGCGGGGCCGGTATGCGCGGCTGCCTCTCCATTGGTCGTCGTCCGGGCGGCGGTGTCGTCGGCGTTGTCGTCGGCGGCGCAGCTCAGCACAATCTCGTTGCCGTCGCTGTCAAACACGGACCGCCTGCGCGGACGCCTCTGCTGCTGCTGCGGACGCGCGCGGCTCGGCGAGACCCCCGCCGGCAGCGCAATCTCGTTGCCCTCGGCCGTGATGGTCGAGTTGCGCCTCCTCATCGTCGTCCTCGTCGGCGACACCTCCCCATACTCCCCCCCACCTTCCTCCTCCTCCTCCTCCTCTTCCACCCCGTTCACAGCACCGCCACCATCCCGGACGGCCATGTTGCTGCTGACCACGAAGCACCGCCCCTCGACCGCCACCGTGCGCATCAGCGCCATCCACTGGTCGCGGTTGTCCGCGGTCGGCGCCAGGTACAGGTTCACGTTCTGCGCGTACAGCGCGTGCCGCAGCAGCGGCATGTAGTTCTCCCAGCAGATGGCCGCCGCCAGGTTGACGCGCGCGCCGCGGATCGTCGTCGACACGGCGCGGAGGGTGCTCGGGCTGCCCTGGCCCCAGCAGAGGCGCTCCGTGCCGGTCTATTGTGTGCGTCAGCATCCGAAAGAAGGAAGTAGCAAAAGGGCAAAACAGAAGAATGACATACAGGCATCACCTTGCGACGCTTGCCCAGGGTGCCCTCGCGCGGGCAGACGTACACGACGGAGCAGTACAGCGTGCCGCCCGCGCGCTCGATGACGCCGACCACAAGGAGGACGCCCGTCTCCGCGGCGATCCGCTCCAGCTCCTCCCTGGTGCCGTCGCCCCTCTGATGCTGCTGCGGCGGCCCTGGCTTGCCGTCCCCGGCGGCGTCCGACGCGCCGCCGCCGCCGCCGCCGAGCTGCCGACGCACGCTGGGCGGCGGCGCGGCGCGCGAGCGAGGCGAGCTGTCGGAGGGTGGCGGCGCGCGTGGCCTGCGTGCCGGGCGAGGCGGTGCCGAGCCGGATGGTGCTGTTGGTCATTTGGAGTTGCCTTTTTTGTATGCTTTTGCCTTGGGTTGGGGGAGGAGAAAGATGCGAGTTGCTGGCTTTAAATAGGTAGAGGATGAGGATGATGTACATACATAGGTAAGGTGCCCAGCTCTCCATTTAATGAGGGGTCGTTTTCTGGCCTAGGTAATCCGCATGCCTGCTGCAGCTAATAAAGTACTTGGTAGAACAGTGTGTGTGGCCTGTTCCGTCGCGGGGTCTTTGCCCGGTGGCTGCTCAATCAAGGTTTATGGGGCGTTGCCGTTCGCGGCTTGGACACTCGGCAGTTTAGGGTCTGGCAAGTTAGGCCATTGCTCGGCTTCCGTTTCCCTGCTCAATCTTCTATTCTTTTTGCAAAGTGCCATTCAAGGCACATTTTTGACACTTGCAAGGATCTCGTCACGTCATCTCTCTCCTTTTTGTACCTACCTGGCACCCTGGATAGCCATGCGGCGCGCCGGACGCCGTTCTCGGTCCGGCCCCACTCGTCCGGGGAAGCATGGATTCATCGTGAGTCGGCAGCGGCTCATCGTGAGTCAAGGTGGGGGTCAATATACATCCCATCCTCGTCGTGTTTCTGAAGCTCTCGATTCCTTCAGAAATATCCCTGCATGATGCCGAGCTTTTCCAACGCATTGATGTGTTGCGCCCCGACTCATGGTGAGTTGTGTACGACTCACCATGACTAGGGAACTCCACTGCAAAAATGGTCCCTTGTTGCTTGCACTTACGATAGTCAAAGGAACCATCCAGCTACGAGGCGCTCAACGCCTATAACATCTTCCGTAGAAATCAGCAAGCACCGGCCGCGCAGACTGCGCCCCTCTGCCGCCTCGAGGCATCAACCGCATTCAGTATGCATCCTAGCAAAAACCCCCGTTCTGCACTACGATTGCATCAAGGAGTAGAAATTTTAGGAAAATATCATCTTCAGTTCTTCTGTCCAAAGTGTATCGCTTGAACAGTCTTTCATGGTGAATGCTAGTTCAACTTAAAGTAGCCCTGACACAGCCCTTGAGATGTAAAGGTGCCTCTTGGATCGACCTCTGCCTGTATCCGCTTCAATCTTGCCGCATTTTCAACACCGTAGCCAGCAAAAGGATCTTGTTGCTTGCTTGCATAATTGATGTATAGCCAAGGATTAAGTTTTCCAGCTTCCTCGGCAGCCTTTGTAGCCCGCCTCACCCAGTTGTCGGCGAACTGTTCCATGGTGTCGTCCAATTCCGCCGATTCCCACTCTACAATCAATAAAGCAACTAAAAACGACGTAGTGTCAGTCACTCTCCCAATATTGTTTGATCAAACTGCATCGGCTTCTGTAGGTTTGGGCAGTGCTTGTGGTGGCGGAGTGGCAGGAGTATGCCGGCCTCTTCGAACTTACCAGTCAGAGGCCCTTGGGAGTGTATGCGGCTGGCACTTCCGCCTCGCTGCTCACCGCTTCGGAGGGAAGCTTCATAAATGGGCTGAGAGACCAGAGTAGGACGGAATATTGTCCCGCGGCTAATTGCCTTGGCTTCCTCGACAACTATATCTTGTAGATGTCGTTCTAAATCCGCAGACGGATTGTGCGTAATTGTGGCGTAGAGGTTTCTGTAATCAAGTTTAAAGAGGGTTAATATTAAGATGACAGACTGTCCGGCCGAGAATGATTGGCGTTACCTTCCGCCCGGAGGTGAGACTCCATCCTTGCTGAAATTGCTGACCCAGTCCACGCGCAGATTGCTTGACTGGTAAGGTATCTCGTTCAGTTTGGCAAATGGAAGTGGATCCAGCTTTGCCTCTGCGTACTCCTGATTGATTGTCATTGTAAAGTCGTCCTTGAGAGGGTCATAGTCGAAGCTGTAGTAAAACGCCATCAATGTGTCGTTCTTCCAAGTCGTTGTCAATTCAACTGATTCCTTGATGAGAAGATCCTGTTTATCAGAAGAATATATACGACTACCGCCGTAAACTTGACCTTGCGGAAAAACTCGAGCAGTAAAGTGCGTAACAATGCCAAAGTTGTTCATGCCTCCCCGGAGACTGAAATAGAGGTCTGGGTGGGAATGTTCGTTGACAATCGCAATGGTAGCATTCGGTAAGACAAGCTAAATACCAGTGAGCAAATAGACGTCCATCTAATTTCTGAAGCTCGAAGACTCTCTTACCTCGTACTCCAGGACATTGTCCATAGCTAGCCCATGCTGAGGAGAAAGCCGAGAGAAACCACCTCCGAGAGTGAACCCGCCGACGCCAACATCAGCGACCCTGCCTCCCATTGCGGTGAGGTTGTATGCCTCGAGCGCTGTATACAGACTATGGAGTACATGTCCGCTTCCGAGCCTGGCGCGCGAGCGATCGACGGAAACTTCGGCAGTACGAATCTGTTGTAAGTCGATGGTGACACCCCCAACGGAGATGGAGTCGTTGGGATCCCGAGAGTGACCGCCGCTCTTGACAGAAAAATTGCAATCATAATCGATGACTGTCCGAAGAATCACAGCAACATCAGCCGCAGAATTTGGCAACACCCGGCAAGCGGAGTGAACCTGCTGCTTGGCGTCCCAAACAACAAGGTTGTCATCTTGGGGGAACACCGTTTCAAACTCGTGCTGTAACGCCAACTTGGCACACTATAATTGAAATGCGTCAGTCATCATCAACTACCGTCATGCGGCTTCCTTACCGCAGCAGCGCAATGAGAGGTGCCGTAAGCTTGGTAGCTGGAATAGCTAAGATTCGCCCAGAGGGGAAAGGCCTTTGCTAGAGTCGCTTTCAACATGATTATTGCGATAGATAGAGAAATGTTTCTGAGTGACTCTTCATTGTACTTTCTAGAAAACGCGAAATGGCCTTGAATATATACATAATTTGACTTGTCGGTTTATGAAGTTGCCTTGCTGGGCGATGGTGCGATCTGTCACGGACCGCAAAACGGTGGAACCGCCTTCTTGCTGGTAGATTATTGGGTCTTATGCCGGCACGATCTATACTAATTTAGTTCATGCACGTTGCTTATATTTAGTGTGAGTGGGTAATTTGTTATACCTTGTTGCCGGCGGAATCTCTGATGCGCCGTCAGTCCTGCAGAGAGTATGGCCCTGACTCATGATCTGCACTATCATCCTACTGCTTTGCCCGTTCTAAAGTTAAGCCTCTGGATAGTATCAAGTATTTTACAGGCATGCTAGTGAATCAGAGGAGTTACCTCCAGCAAGCAGAGGTTAGCATCTACGCTAGATTACTGTGTATCGCCACATGTGCAGGGCGCCACTGCGCTGTACGGACTCTTTAGACCAGGTATCAGTGTGCAGTCCAACAATGATTAGATCTACCGAGTAATTTTCTAGGTGCTTCCTATACCACCTCTACCGCCATGACCTTGCCATTTCCGTGGAAACCCGTCATATTCGCCGTTTCCCCGCCTGTCGTGACGTAGAGGATGTGATCGTCTCCGTTGCGTCCAAATGCCGCCGATGTCGCCGTCATGAACTGCGAAGAATTCGATGCACCAGCTATAACCTCTTGGGTTCCATTCAAGAAAGCTCTCACGACGACATTATCCGTGAGTCCGGCGATGTACCCCACGCCTTGCTCGCTGAGCGCGAAATCATCCGGGATGCCCCCGTGGCTAACTGTAACGGGCAAGCCGCTTGAGCGGCGGCTGTGCCGCCGAGCTTCTAGAACCTTCCATTGATCGAAGCTATAGAAGTGCTGTTATGCTCTCATAAAGTTGATTCACTTTCTTTCCTCTTCATCTTGATAGAAAACAGCATAGGAACTAGATAGTTGAATCAACTTACTAGCGGCCTTTCACAACTTCTTGCATCAAGGTGTTATGATGATAGTTTGCGGGAAGCAACGAGAACGGCTCTGGTAGCGATAGCTGCTCTGTGGGCAAGCATCTCTCCGTGCTCTTCTGAATAGCCAGGTCGGCCATATCACAAAGACGAGGATGGCCTAGAATATCTGCGGCCGACAACTTCAGATCCATGTCCATAGCCCGTGCCGACAGAACCATGGCACTAATCGAGTCACCACCAAGCTGGAAAAAGTCGTCGTTCATCCCAATGTCGCCGCGATCCCGACCAAGCACATCTGCAACCAGCTGGTGTATTTTACTTTCTGACGTATTGGAAGGGGGCCTCATTCTAGATGAACAGAAGCCACGGTAGATGTTGAGCTCCCGTCGCAAAAGTGAGCACGCCTTGTCCTTGATAAGACGCCGGTCTACTTTGCCGGTAGGACCGAGGGGGAATTGCTTGAGGGGAACAAATAACGAAGGGATCATGAAAGGAGGTAGGCTCTTCCGTAGCGCCACTTCCGCGATCGATGCCCGAGATTGAAACTCTTCATCTGGGACGGCGAACATGGCAGACGTGGACAGCGTGCCTTGGTTGTTACTGGAGCGTTTCCCTGCAACATTGCTGGCATCCCAGATAAAAGCAGCAAGTAACCTCTGACTGTCTGAGTTCTCGGGGGCAATGATTTCCACAATGGCATCCGTTGTGGCAGGAAAATGCCGCGCAACTTGATGTTCAATCTCCGCAAGCTCCATTCTCTGCCCGCGAAGTTTGACCTGCCTGTCCTTCCGACCAACAAACTCTAGCGATCCGTCGCCGTCTGGACTGTACCGCATCAAGTCTCCAGTTCTGTATAGCCTGCCTGGTGACTCACTTCGTGGCATGGCACGCAACCACTTTGGCGGCGGAATGAAAGGCGAGCCGCCCAGATCCTCTCCCATGTACCCGCGGCCGACAATCGGGCCCTCAATCACCAACTCGCCAACCGCCCCAATGGCAACCAGCTTCTCTGGGTTGGCAGGCTCTACCAGCCAGCATGCGGAAGAAGCTGCCGATCCGATATTCACCGGATTGGCACCCGGTTGAGTCTTGGGCTGCACAGTGCAGTAGACCGTCCCCTCAGCAGGACCATATACGTAGACGAGCCGCACGGCGCCTGACCAAACCGTAAAGTCTATTCCCTTTGCAGACTCGCCACCAATCACCAAGGTGTTGAGATCTGGTACAGCGGAGGGTGTTAGAGTTCGGGCGACCGAAGGTGTCAGAAAAGTCCAGTTTGCTCTACGATCTCGTATGGCTTTGGCTAGGTTGTCCCGGCTGTCCGCTTCATTCGGGACGCATACGCAGCCGCCAAGGGCCAGTCCAAACACATAATCGGCAGCGGTGACGTCGAATGCATGGGATGCAAACTGAAAAATACGTGACTGGCGACCCAGATGGAAGTGCAGTCCAAGCGCGGTAACTTGGGTGGCGAAGGCTGAATGCTCGATAACGACGCCTTTCGGCGTTCCCGTTGACCCCGAGGTATACAGCGCACATAGGGCATTACTAGGGAGTGCTTGGATGGGATGATGCACTTGAGTAGTTAGCGAGGCTTGGTTTTCTCGACTGCTGTTCTCATCGACCTGGACGACGTGTTGACAGCCGAGCTTCGCCGCCAACGCAGCCATATCCTTGGAACATAGCAACACTGATGCTTGCGCATTCTTGCAAATCCACGCCAGCCGTTCGGTTGGGTGTGAAGGGTCCAACAGTATGAACGCGCTACCGGCTTTGGCGACTGCCAAGATGGCAACAGCGACCCATTTCGACTTTTCAAAGCAAAGAGGAACCATCATGTCTGGACCCAGTCGTTTCTCTCTAAGAACGGCTGAAAACAGTGACGACTGATCGTCGAGCTGCTTGTAGGTAAACTGACCATCCCATGCGTCAATCGCGCTAGCTTCTGGCTGCGCTACGCAATGGTCGTGAATCATGTCATGGATGCACCTCGGAACGGCTGGAGGCGCTGAAGAGTTCCAGCACTCGATTTGCTGCAAGTCATCTGTGCTGATACTGTCCATGTCGCCCACCAATTTATCCGGCGACAGTACTGTCTGCTTCAAGACATTGCCAAAAACTTGTAGAATCCGTCTCATTTGGGCCTTGGGCACCACCGTGGCAACAATCTCGTATGGACCAACAGCATGCCCAGTCCAGGGATTCACTCGGACTCTGCAATACAACCTGCGTGGGGTGTTGACATAGTATAGATAGCCGCCAAGAACCCGAACCCCATTAATGCCGAGCAGTGGACCGATGTCTGTGTTTGCGGCCATCGATTCGTCTTGAAGAATGATGTGGTAGTCGCCGGTATTAGTATCCAGACTCCAAACCAACCCAAGATGGCAGTCTGCAATTGCGACAGTCCCTGAATAGCCATTCAAGAGCGTCATGCCGTTCAGACTTCCAGCGTCGAGCTTCTGTATGAGTGAAACTACCGGTTGCTTGTCCACGTTGTGTAGGTCCACTCTCCAGACCGTATTCGAAGCCACAACAGCATAGACATCTGGCGTAAGTTCAGTGATGCCGGTCAACATCTCAGCCCCTTCAAAATGGTGTATGAGCTTTGCTCTGGTTTCCTGGGCAGGAGCGTGAGGATTGATTTCCCACAACTGCGGCTTGTTGACAAGCGTCACCAGCAAGTAGCCATTTGGGCGGACAGCAATGTTTTCCACCCAAGTCAGCTCAGGAAATCGATAGACCTCGTACGTGGCATACGGGTATGAGTTGAAGCATGAAGACAAAAGAAAGAAATAGCTAATAAAAAGAGTTCGAAAGTGATGGGTAGGCATTTTCTCTGATGTTGTGTGGGCATGTGGTGTGAGATGTGGTGCGGGTGTGTTTACGAGGATCCCTGCGCACAATTGCGGCTCGACGGGGCTATAAATGAATAAAAAATTCATATATCGAGCAAATTTATAGATGTGTTGACCGCAACTCTTTCGAAATCACTTTCGGATGTACCAGAGTCTAGAAATGCATCTACACGGCTGCCTGCAGCTCCAGTACATGCTGCTAGACTGGGGGCACGAATGCGTAAACAGTCTGTGCTTTCGGGTGGCATATGAAATCGATACTTGGTTATTCTGGCTAATAATAGTTAGGAAGGAATCAACGAAGAAAACGGGCCAACGATGTAACGTTAGGTAGCGAAGAGAACTTTGTCACCTTTCCCGCAACTATATATTAACGCCGAAGTTTAACGCCGCAGTAGCACCGCAGTGTTCCTGGTCTTATTGCAGGGCACATGACGTAGACTGTGACGCTCGAGCCTGGATCTGCATAGTGATGTTCCTCTTATATATGCAACAGGGTGTTCTTTGGCGGGACATTGACGAATATGTACTGCGGTGTTCTCGACTGTTAGTCTCACTAATGCGAGCTGCTTACAAGTTGGAGGGCACACCAGGCACTCGACACAGCCCCCATTATCCATTATTAGTCGAATCTGTGGGTTATTAGCCGATTGGCTGATGGATTAATCTGCTTTAAACCAGTCAACCTTTTGGTATCGTCAGACTATTAGCAACCTGCATGCTACTATGGAGCGGGACGGTCCCTCTCATCCTGACAGCGATGGCAAAGACGGAAGTAAAACACGAGCGATATACACAGTTAGTTCAATCGCACAATCTGCGAGTGCCTGGGTAGCCGGAGATGACTGGAGCGGTATCGCCGACGCGAAAAGAAGAAGAAAGCTTCAGAACCGGCTCAACCAGAGAGCATATCGTAAGTCTTCAAGCCACAACAAAATAGGCCGTCTCAAAAAAAAAATGACAACATTTTCTAATACTTGCGTATCGTTTCAAGGCAATCGCAAGCTGGGTCTTTGTCTCACACAGGACACGCATGCTCTGCAACATCCTCCTCCGCACGACGAAATGCCTTTCGCCTGTGTCATTGCACCGTCAGACGCGCTTCAGATTCTTCAGCGGCTTGAACATGCCATGCTGGAGAGTTACGCCTTGGGCAGCCCAAACACAGATCACCTCATCAGCCTCTCCCGGCTCAACATCCACAAAGCCATCGACGTCAATATCCGCGCGGTGGGCATGGATCCCTCGTGGATGACAAGCGACGACAGCACATCCATCTTCAACAAAGATGATGCACAGTTGCCAGCCCATGCAATCCCGCCGAGTCTCGCTCCCACGGAAATCCAGAGAACCGTCCCTCACCACCCTTGGCTGGACATATTCCCGTTCCCTTCGTTGCGAGACTTTCTCATCTCGGCCGCAGATGAGCTCGACGATGAGACGCTTTGCCACGACATGTGCGCATTTTGGGACACGAGAAACAGCGGCGCCTGCTTGATGGTTTGGGGCGACTCCTGGGATCCTCGCAACTGGGAAGCGACAGATGCTTTTGCAAGGAAATGGAGAGTTTTGCTAGACTGCTCGCCCGAGCTGCTTGAATCGACCAACAATTGGAAAAGGAAAAGAGGGGAGTGTTGTATCGAGTTGTGAAACTTGTCCTTTTTTTTTTTTACTCTGGAACTTGAGCAACTGTGTTTTCTTTTTTCATTTGGACTTTATTTTCTCGCTTTTATATAAACGGATCTGTTCAGCTTTCTGTCTTCCGCAGATTGACCTGCGTGTCGGACGCGTGCTGCTTGTGCAGGCTGAGGGCGCAGATCACGACCCGGGGCGCTATGGGAGGTGAGGAGTGGCCGACGACAAACCGCCTCCTTGACTTCTGATCGCCGCTCGCTGGCTGGCTGCCTGTCTACCGCGGCAAGTTTGACGCCTGGTCGCTTCTGTAGACTGTGGATAATATATGTAGACTGATAACGAAGCATTTCCACAAGATCCACTACGGCGACCGAAAACGGTCGCAAGTTAACAATATCTTCCGTAGTATAGTGGTCAGTATGCAAGCTTGTCACGCTTGAGACCCGGGTTCAATTCCCGGCGGGAGAGATCCGCCACGCTTCTCAGAAGCGCATTCCTTTTTTTGCCTTTTCATTGATTTTCTGATTTTCATTTTTCATCGACGTTAACTTTGCATTATAATTTTGAATGAGTATCTTAATTCACGACCAAAATTTGCATTTCCTCACCGGGGAAAGCTCATCTTCACATTCATTATGCACCACGTAGATAGACAGGCGTGGTCGCTCATCCGCTCATCGCCGTCTTGACCTTGTCGCTACTGGCGCAGGCTCAAATGCATCATCGTCCGAAACCTCGTCGTCACTAATCTCAATGCCCTTTGCCTGAGTTCCCCCAGACTTCTGTGAAAAGTTCAATGTTGTCTGTGTCGCCGGCCGAGCCCTTGTCGACGTCCTCGTCGCTGCCGTCTTCTTGGGCGCGGCCGCCTTCTTCGCCGGTGCTGCTCTTGTGGTTCGCTTCGGCGGCGGCGCTGGCTCTGGCTCTTCGTCCGACTCCATCACCACATCTTCCTCCTCCTCTACAGGCGCCTTGCGGCCACGGCCTCTGGTGGTGGTGGCCTTTTTTGCGGGCGCCTTCTTCGCTGGGGCCTTCTTTGCTGCCGCTCCGCGTCGTGTCGTCTTGGCTGGCGCCGCTTCCTCCTCGTCAATGAGTGAGTCGGCTGTTCGAGATGGTACCGACCCCGTGCCAGCGTCGCCGACGGCCTCGTACGTCCAAGCGTCAGCCGCGTCCTCCCACTCGCCGTCAAAATCGCTGTCCCACGTATCCGGCTTCGGTCGGAGCACGCGGCGTCGCTCGGTGGGCACTGTTTTGACGCCGCTCTCCAGTTGCTTCTCGACCCTGGTTCTGTAAATCTCCATGGCGGCGTTCAGGTCCTCATCGTCGGACTCTAGTCCAAGCATCTGCTTCACCTGGCCTGTTAGATGTTCGGAAACAAATAGCTCCATGGCATGCTTGTCATCCTTGGCGACGAATTGGTTGACGGCCTCGCCAAAGGGCGCTTGCGGGAGAACCTTGAGTGACTGTGCAGAAAGGAAATCCTGGACCAGCGAGTCCACCTTGACCATGTCACCGGCGTCTTCCAGGTCTTCCGAGATTTCGGCAGGCGCGGCGGCCGTGGCCTTTCGCTGAACCGTCTTCTTACGATAAAAGTACACCACATCATTGGTATTCGCCACCTTGCCGACAAACCTGTTGGAGAATCTCTGCGGGTTCTCGCACTCGAACACGCCGCCTTCTGGCGCTGTATATTCGACCTTGAGACGAATAAGCGGCAGTGGTGGCTCTTCCAGAGCTTCTTGGTCTGTTTGGATGGCCTCCCACTCTGTGTTTGCCTCTTCGATCATTTTCTCCACGACGTCCATTAGTCTTCGCGTAACCTCTTGTCGGTTGTCCTTCTTTTTATCTAAGCCCTTGAAACGCTTATCCTGGTTCAAAATAATTTCTCTCGTGACGAACGGTCGGACTGTTTTTAGCGGAATCTTGTCCATCTTGAATTCCTTCCCAGTGACGCTGACGATCGCCACGTGTTTTTGAACGGCCTCACCAGGCACTAATGATGTTGCCACTGACGAGCCAGGCTGCATGACGTGGAAGCCAGTTTCAGGGTTCCGTGTCGGGTCAATCAAGCATTCGTGCTCATGACCCCATACAACGAGGTTCATCCAGTCTGGCAGCACATTCTCCGGCAGATACGAAGTCGCCGTGTGCGCGTGGTGGTTTTGATGCACCGCTAGGAGGTTGAACCAGTCTCCGGTCTCGGCACTGGGCTTGAACCACTTGACTTTGTGGTCTCGAAATGTCCGAAACATTCGCTCGTCGCGCACGTTGCTCAAGCCAAAGAGCGCCAGCTTGGTCTCGCCCTTTTGCAACAGGATCGGTCGCGCCTCGATGTTGTCGGCCTCCGCCACTCGGCCGTAGTAGTTGAGAAGTCCACAGGCTTGCAGTAGATCGAGCGAGCAGAGGTTGCCGTCCCCGGACGGGTCGTCGTGGTTGCCGTGAATGGAAAAGACGGGTATGGAAATGTTGATGTCGGGGTCTTCGTAGTTGACGTGGGGGAATGCGCCTTCGAAAACGGTCGCGGCGTCGGAGAGGAATTCGAGCGGGCACGGCTTCATGCCGAGGCAGTTCTGTCGAAGTGTTCGCATGACCTGGTATAGCGACTTTCGCGACGGTTTATTGTCGTGAAACAGGTCACCGGCCAAAAGAACCATGTCCACCTGCGACAAGTTAGCAAGCGCTGGGTAGAGGTGGTTAGGGAGCCTCTGTACATCTTCGGTGCGGGCCAACGTCATAATCTCGTCGAAGGTCCGCCAGCTGTCATCTTTTCGAATAGCATCTCGCTCTTCGAACCCGACGTGATTGTCCGTAGCCACCAGGATACGAATCGTATCCGCCTCTAACGGTCTGGTTAGCACCAGCAGGGTCACGGGCACTCAATGACTGGGACTGTTGCGTTACTCACCGGTAGATGCGGGCATGTTCCTGTTCAAGGCCTGGAGCAGACTCCTCCTGCATCAAACAAAACCAATCACTTTTTTCCCAGGCCTCGGATAACCAGTGCATCCAAAAGAGAAATTGCCCTGATGCAAACGAGTTGAGGAGCTGGGTGGAGTGGACGCGACCTTAACGGTCGCCGTGACGCGAAAGGGTGCGAAATCACGTGGAGGTTTAATTGAAAGCTGCCATACAGCACAGATTCCATACCTTTTTTTTTTTTTTCAGGAAACTTAGATGTGAGGAAAAATGTATTACTGAAACGCCATGTGCGCGCTGAGAGTAAACCTGAGATGCCCATATCTAACCAAACTCCAAAAATGCAGTGCCAAAGGCGCGATGCAAGGCGTATCCCTCGCTATATAAAACGTATTAGGAAATGAGAAAAAAGAAGCGCATATTGCAGCAGAATATGAGCAGCCCTAAATGAGAATTCCGCGCTGCTTCCAGCCACCAGGCCCCAGCCAGGCCCAGAGAAGCAGGGCGCAAGCAACCCAGACGGTGAATGCTTCGCCCCAAAACGTGGCCGAATAACAAGTTTTCCCATAGCAGAAGAGCTCATCTTCGACAGGGCTATTCGGGCCAGATGGCAGCCCGGGCTGGCTTGCGCCGGTCTGGTACCCGGCCGCGTAGACGAGGCCCCAGAAAGTCGATCCCAGCGCAGGAAGCGTCGTCACAATGCCAAAGTTGGTGGCGAAATTTTCAACACCCCAGATGATGGTGACAATGATGGGTGCGAGGCTGAAAACAGCACCGTAGCCGGCGCCGACAAGACCGGAAACGACCCAGAAGCGGTCGGCATGATTCTGCGCAGCACCAGAGGCGAGGAAGGCGAAACCTAGCGACATGGCCATGGCGAAGAACAGCATGAATGCCACACGGGATGTGGTGAATTGCTGCAGTCTCGAGATGCGGTGGTTATGTTGCTGGACATGCTGCGTCTGAGGTGCTGGCGCGACTAGATCTGTGATGGTACCAATCAACATGCGTCCCGCCGTGCTTGTGAGGCCGAAGATGGAGACGTGGGTAGCCGCCGAAGTTCCACTGCTGAAGCCATCCACAGCTGGGGGCGACAATGTTCCAATGATGGTGCCAAGGTTGTTAATGAAGGCCTCGCCTGGGCCGACCATTAGCAGGAACGCCAGTGCAAAGGGCCACATGGTTTTATCTGCCAGGAACCTCCTCGTTTCGGCGTTATGTACCCAATTCTTCTTCCACTTGGTATCATCATCTTCCCGAAATGAACCGGCAAGCAGTGACGTGTTCTCGATCGAAGCAGGCGTGCCAGGAGTATTTGTCCCGTACCCCCGCTCTGCGCGTCGGAGCAATGAGCGGTCGCGTAAAAGGCCGCTTCGCTCCAGCTCTTCAATCGCCTCCTCAATCAAATCCTCCTCATCCACGACCTTTAAGGTGAAAAAGCCCAAGACGCCAACTGAAAACAGGAGAACGGCCAGAAATACGAAGAATCGGAACACGTCAACGCCGCCCTTGGAGCCGTCTGGCCGCAGAATGTACCACAGACGGCTGGCACACTGGCTGATCCACATGCCGCTGAGTCCGAACGCGGTGATGGGAAGGGCCAGGGCCAGGCCTCTGTACCTGCCCTTGCCGAAGTTCTTGGCGCAGGTCGAGACGGCGGACATGTACATGGCGCAGGTGGCGGTGCCGATGCAGACAAAGGCGAAGACCATGAGCGGGTAGGACCACTCGTTGCCGGGCGCGGCGGGCCGCTTGCCGAGGCTGTTGTAGTCGAGGTCGAGCTTGCGGTAGATGGCGGCTGCGATGCCGTAGCCCGTGGCGAACAGCAGGGCTGCGAGGAGCGCGAGGGGCGCGGGCCCGGCGCGGTCGCAGGCGTAGCCCATGACGGAGATGGGCAGGTAGAGGGCGACGGAGCTGCCGATGGCGACGCCGTTGACCTGGAACTGGGTGTAGCGCAGGCGGGACTGGAACTGCGGCGCGTACAGCGAGAAGACGGCGTTGGAGCCCGCGCACAGCGACATGGCGGTGGCGACGACGAGGGCGACGGCGCGGACGACCTTTTTGTGGCGGATGGCGCGGCGACGCTCGGAGGTGTCGGACAGCGAGACGCCGTCGTCGCTAACGGTGTATGTGGAAATGTTGTCGTGGTCGTCATCGCTGCGTTGGCGGGCAGCCGCGGTCCGGTCATCGGACGGCGCCATGCTGGTGCCTCGGCGATGGGACGTGGGAGGTTTGACGTCAGAGGACAAAGTTGGTAGAACGAGGAACAAAGGAGGAATTCAAGGAATTCAAGGAAAAAAATAAGCGTGAGGGGTTTGCAAAGGTGAAGAAGCGAGATGAAGAAAATGGGTGATGGAGAGAAAGGATGGCGGGATCTATCTGTTCTGGGAGATGATGTCTGGTCTGGCTGACCCCAGTCCAGTCACGTTGACTACTAGAGCCATCACGTAATTTGGTCGTCGTGACCTTCCCGATCTGTGGACCACCGCCACAGCACCCGCCCAACGGCCAGTGTACCCGTTAGTTATCGTTACAGCAGGTGAGGCGCTACAAGGCCGCTGTCACAGGTGGGCTGCGGTGATTGTCCGGGACTTTTGCTGCAGCCGCGCTTTGCGGGGGAAGCTCCGCTGCCCTGCAGGCGTAGAGGCGGCTTGGAGAAGTAATTGTCGATGGCCTTCCTATTTTTTCCTGATGTATTATTACCTTATTATGAGATGCATGCATTTGTTATAAGTTACTTCTCTGCCGCCAAAACTCCCCAGGTTGTTATTTCTCCGGCATGCTATGTACAGTGTACATAACTAGCTATCCGTACAATGACCAGCTACGGCGGTTGGCAACAGGGGGGCATTTCTAAAACGAGTCTCACATCATCTCAAACTGCAAGTAATTGCTAAAAATAAGCAAGGATGGACTCACCAAGATATGCGTAATAGAACCGACATATTCTACTACAGCATTCGTGAATTCATGCCACTACTCAGCTGCCGCCTCGCTTATTAGCCAGCGCATAGCGCATAAAACGGCCGTCTTATTAAGCGGTATGAGCATCGCTCGGCATAATTCGGCCCATTACGCATTTTGGGAATAGTTTGCCTCATTAGGCATTTTGGGATAAGCTTTTGCTCAGCGTGTTTCTTGTTCATCCGCTTCAAACATCCCATGTATGTACTCTAATTATTACGCCCCCCTTGCCGCCCCTGCCCTCCTCGCCCACCCTGTTGGCCACCCTGTTGGCCACCCTGTTGGCCACCCTGTTGGCCGCCCTGTTGGCCGCCCTGTTGGCCGCCCTGCTGCGTTTGAGCAAACTGCAGGTTCTTGTTCTCGACCACGCCGTTCAGCACGTTGCCCGTGCCCTGCAGCTGCCCGTTGCCGCCGGGCAGCATGATGTTGCCGAAGCTGTCCGCCATCGTCTGCACGCCGCTCACAAAGTCCTTGCCGTCGAACGCGCAGTGCCCGCCGTTGGGCTCGTTGTCCACCGTCTGCAGCGCGTCGATCTGGTTCGCGTTCATGCCCATCTGCGCCGCCGCCTGCTCGTACGCGCTCACCGCCTCCGGGATCAGCTTCTGCAGGCTCTGCAGCTCGTCCTGCGTCGACTGGAAGTGGATGCGCGTGTTGGTCAGCGCCGCGGCCGACTGGTCCGTGAACGGCACCTGCGGCTCCAGCCCGCCACACGAGAGCAGCACGCCCGCGTTGGTGAAGTTGCCGAGGAAGGCGGGCATGAAGAAGCCGGACAGGGTCAGCGAGCCGCCGCTGACGCCGGTGAAGAAGACGTTGGACTGGTCAAAGGCGACCACCTGCGGCAGGACGTTGGTCACGAGGTCGTTGACGGCCTGCGAGTGCTCCAGGCCGTTGGGCCGCTGCACGCGGCCCTGGTCCGCGCTGCCCCATTTGAGGTTCTCGTCGGGCGCGAGCACGGCGACGCCCATGAGGTTGTTGTTGACGCCCTGGTTGGGGAAGTCGAAGAAGGACTGCCCGCCATCGCCGTGCAGCAGCACGTTCATGCCGATGGCGCCCTGGCTGTTGGCGGGGGCTTGCGCACCCGGGACACCCGACGCGCTCTTGAACTGGTCGGCGGGAGCGCTGACCCTGAAGCGGATGGGGAGGTTGCTGCAGATGAAGTCAGTATTTTGGGTGTTGATTGCGCTGTCGTGGTGTGAGTTCTCACTTGATGTTGACCGTCATGTCCAGCGTTGTAGAGCCGTCTGTGGCGTTAGAGATACCGCCGGGCACCTGGGCTGCCTTTTGCTGTGGAGTGAGCTTCTGACCACCGCCGCCCTGTCTGTTTCCATTGTTACCATTTCCGTTTCCGTTATTGTTGTTGTTGTTGTTGTTGTTGTTGTTGTTGCTCCGCTGGGGAGCTGCAGAGACAAACGCCAGACAAACGACCAACAACGTAAACAGCACCGACAACAAGCTCCGTGACTTATACATTGTATCAACCGCCCAGCGAGTAAAATTATGTATAAAAATTTGTAAAAGAAATTCGTGAAACCCCGGACCGGCCGTATGAAGAAGAGAAATAGAGTACAAGATTAAGTAAAGGAAAGAAACATCAGACGCAAAGAAGGCAGGAGAGGCTTCATCATATCATTCGAACCGAGCTACCCGCAAGACTGGCAGCCCTCGCATAGTCAGGCTGTAATGGGCATGATGAAACCCCCATGGTGTGGTTAGTGTCGCGAACTGTTTCGCCCACGGAAGCGCATCGAATCGGGTAAATCTTATGCGGCATACAAAATTCCCCGTCATATACTTTTCAATGCAGAGAGGTATATATGGGGGTCGGTCAATGAGAAACAAGGGGGTGCATTTTGCGCGGTGTGATGTTGTGATTCTCTGAGGCGCCGTCTCGGATTCGAGTGATCCGACGGATGTCCGCTCACATCCGCGGGCGTCGAAAGCTGGGGGAACAGTCATATTCAAACACGCTAGCCACAAAAGCAAAGATAAAGCACACCGGGCGGGATGACCATGCGGCCTTTTACTTCAATATTATTCTTTATATTATTCAAACAGGAGCGCTTCATGCCTGGTTCTGTAACTGCGGCTCTGTGAGCGTCGTATAGACGTCACCGTCCCACGACGGCGCTGGCGCCCGAGGTGTCTCTGCCCATCGGGGCAGGGGCAGCCCTGCGAGAGCCGTCATCGGGTTGCCCTCCATGGGAAGCGGGAGGAGGACGCCCCGGGCGCCCTTGAACGTCGACACGAGGACCGAGTCGGGCGCCGCGTACACGATGAAGTCGTCGTCGACGAAGACGCGGCGCGCCACGCCGGACCTCCGCTGATGGAAGGTGTCGATGGTCAGCGCGGGCTCGAGGCCCCTCTGGCGCACGCCCTCGACGAACACCTCCCGCGAGCCCGCGACGCACGCCAGGCTGTCCGTCGCCAGCAGCAGCTCGGTGAAGGTGCACGGCTCGTGGATGACGTGCGGCCGCGGCTGCCACAGCACCACCAGGTAGTCGTCCCAGGCCTGGATGTTGTGCCACTCGGCCCAGTCCCAGGTCGGCCGGTGGAACTTGGGGCTGATGAGGCATTTGTCATAGCTGCGGTGGACGAACTTCTCCGTGAGCGCGTTGAAGCACGCGAGATCCCAACGTGACTCAGCCACCGTGTTTTTGCTGCCGTGGTAGTGGAGACACGTTTGGACCACACCAAGCATGTAGAGCCCGTGACTGTTCATCCTTTGACATCGTAATGAGAATCGCAGTATGCCGTCGGAGTAGGGCTGCTGGGGATCGCAAGTACGCGCTGGATTTGAAACGGCCGTCTCGTATCTCATGACCGGCTTTCCCTGCATAAACTTGACTACGACAATAACATGAATACGATGGTCTGAAGCTGAATTCGGTGTAAGCTGGTGCTGTAAATCTGCAAATCGACATGCAGTGTTCAAACATACAAAGTCGCGTAGGTTGGTAGACCCAGGTCAGGTAGAAGATGCCGTCGTCGTTTGGATGGAACACGACTCCAGGCACGTTTTGCAGTGAAGGCTTGCATTCGCGAGGCGGAGCTGTCAGCCCAGTCGCCGTCGTTGTCTCGAGGTCTATTGTTGGACCACCCTGTGACCAGTAAAATGCGTCGCCGGTGGTGGTCACTGCAACGACTGTGCCTCCTTGGGCGTAACATTTGGCGAAACGCGCTGGTAATGTGATCCGTTTCCACTCGCCATCGGCTGCGGTCCATATTCGACTGACGATGCTTATTAGCATGGAAGAGTGCCTGGAACGTTCAATCTTAAGAGTACTTACATCTCACGGCAGACCTCGCTGTTTGCATGCAGGTCAATGGAGCTGAACACGATTAGCTTTCTTGTTACTGCTTGTAGGTCCATCTTGCGGCCGGCGACGAGGCTGCTCCCAAAGCTGCAGCGGCTGCGAGTCATGGCCCTGAGGTCGTTGAGCACAACGTAGCCGTCCTCGGGCTGCCATGCCAGCAGGCCGTCGTCGTAGCACATTTGCAACGGGTCCAGCCCAAAGTCAACGCACTCGGCCTGATGGTCGACGCGCTCGCGCATATCCTCCGCCGCCGCGGCCGAGCCGCCGCCCCCGACGAACCACCGCGACGAAAAGTACGCGTTGGGCCGCGGCCGCAGGTACTTATCGATGTAAAGGCGCGAGCGCACGGCGAGCAGGCGGTGGCCGTCGGCATGCGGCAGGCCGTGCCTCTCGGTCAGGCCGGCAAAGTGGCGGCAGCACAGCGACGCGGTGACGGCGCCGCAGGACCACGCGGCGTGCCAGCTGCGGCAGACGGCGGCGCACGTGAGCAGGTCCTCGAGCTCGAGGAACTGCGAGATGGCGATGACGATCTCGGCGGGCAGGTCCTCGAGCGAGGCGAGCTTGATCCGGGCCTCGTGCAGGTGCATGCGCCGCCGCAGGTAGAGGAGGTCCCAGGAGGACAGGCTGCCGAGGAAGTCATCGATGGCCCGCTGCCTGTCGCGCGTGTCGAGGCCTTCAAGCTCCATGAACACCAGAGGAAATTCGTGGGCCCCCGGACAGGGTCGGCTGTGTGGGGTTATACGGTGCGTTTCCAGAGCTCTGTGCAGGGAGGATGATCAAAACGGGAGGGGAAGCTCGCTTGTTGGCTGCATCCGCCCGTCTTATGAGCGCGGGATGGGCAGCCTGGGGTTGGGCAGCAGGCTGTCGTGGTGGTGGCGGTGGTGGGGGAGGCAGCGGACCGGACTGGACTGGACTTCTGGGTGCTTGCGCGATATTCTGGGCGCACGGAAACGGTTGGCTCGATGGGCTTGTATGCATGCAACACCGTGCAGCTTCCCTTTCTAGATTGCTGCAGCCGTGGGCTGAAGGTCGTACGCTGAGATGCACAAGGCGGTTGACAACTGCGAGTTTTTGAATCTGAGGTCGCACTGTGGCACGTGTGGGCATTGGGGTGACCCAGTATTTCGACCAGCAGACAAATGAAGCTGCGCTGTAGCTAACGGGAATTTATGCTGAATATAAGTTTTAGAATTATTGTCACTTTTTGGGGGGCCGAGAATTGAAGTAATTATACGTTTCTGGAAATGCGCCGACTCTCTGCATGGACTACGTACGGCTGTCTGTATCTTGCTTGGCAACTTACAATTGTTTGGCTAAATAACACATGGTGATTAATGTATAAATCATCATCCGCCTACATGTCCCTCCATTTGATTCCACCATGACTTGATACCCGCTACATCACACCACGTCATGTCAACAGGGTCCTCAAACCACCACTGCCGTCCGTTGTTGGCATCGCTTGCGTACTTCTTCAGGCTGCCGCCGTCGAACCGATGATTCTTCACACCCGTCAGAAGCACGGCACTTCCGATCGGCGGGTCAAACGCCTCTGGGTCGAGAAAAACCGTCAAGTGCACCTGCTTGGCCGTCGAGGGGTCCGCCAGCCGCGCCGTCCGCTGCTTGTACGGCGGCAGATACGAAGCCTCCACCGGCGACAGCGAGGCGATGATGGCGAGGGTGTTGCACGTCCAGTTTTGCGCGTATGGCAGTGACGGGATCGCGTGCAGAGTGGTGAGCTTCAGCGGCGCCTGGCGATCGACCCAGTCTCGGGGCAGCGCCACCGGCGCCTGTATGCGCGATGGGGGGCCCGATTTTGGAGTACTCGTCTTTTTCGAGCTGGGGAAGACAATCTTCTCCATAGTCTCGAAAGCGTCGTCCATTGCATCCATGTCAAAGTCATCGCCGTATGCTGACGAGGCTGGCTCCAACTTGGCTGCGACGGGCTCTTCCTTCGCTTTCGCAGCGGGAGCCGGCGGCGACGCTTGTGGCGTCCTCTGGATCTCCTTCCCTTTGCCTTTGCCCTTTGTTGGCGATGAATCTGCGTCCGTGATCTCCGCTTTGCCTCTATGCGCCAGGGCCATTGCACGATAGGAGTCGTTCCATCCAACGGTGGTGAGATCGTGCAGTGCGAGAAAGACCATTTTCTGACCCTCCTTCACGTTTCCAGCCCAGTCCTCGGGATCCATGGCCTCTAACTCCAGGTCGAACTGCTCGACCTTGATGTAAAAGCCCGTCGAGACTTCGCCCGTCTCCGCGAACCGCTGACACTCGGCGCTGAGGAGCCCCTGCACGCAGAATTCACCATCTCCTAGGAGAAGCCGGACAGCCTGCCAGCGGCCCGTCTTCGAGACGGGGATAATGTCAATGCCCTCGACTAGAAAAATGGTGCCTGGGGCGCAGTACCGCGTCCTCAGCAGATCGCGGATGACAGGCACGAGCGTGAATTCATCGTGGTCGGGCGCGGTTGTGATGGCGTTGGGATCAACGATCGGAGCCACACTTTCAGTCATAAGCGAGCAGGAGATTTAGTGCGCTTGACTACTCGGACTTTCTCGCATTTTTGGTCCTTGACCGCGGCGTATGGCGAATGCAGAGACCAGCATTGTAACGCGCCCACGTTTGGAGCGCTGGTGATGTATGCATATAGTGGATATGCATCGCTCAATCGGGGCACGATCTCTCCATGCAGGAAGACATGACGCAGGGTTGCTGAAGGTCGCGCATTGTGCATGATGCTGCATCACTTCTCAAAATGGACAGTAATTATCGAAAAGAGCTGGAGATTGCCTTTGATGTCTTACAGAAAGCTTCAAGTCTGAGCCAGACTGTCGTTTCCGCGCAGGACAAGGCCGGAATCGAAAAGGACGACCTGAGTCCGGTAACGGTCGCCGATTTCGCAGTGCAAGGACTGCTGGCGGCGACGTTTAAAGAAGCGTTCCCCGACGACAATTTTGTGGGAGAGGAGGATGCAGGGCACTTGCGGGCAAACGAGGCGCTCCTCGAGCGCGTGTGGGAGCTGCTAAGTACGGTGCCCCGCGACGGGCTCACCAAGGTGCCGGACTCTAAAGAGGCGTTGTGCAACCTCGTTGATCTCTGCGGATCCGGGGTGCCGGAGACCAGACGAACATGGGTCTTTGATCCCATCGACGGCACCCGGACCTACATGATGGGCCAGGTCTACGCGATCAACATTGCGCTGCTCGTCGACGGCCAGCAGATGCTCAGCGCCGTCGGCGCCCCCAACACGTCCGTCAATGCCCGGCGGCCGCTGAACAACCCGGACGTCGACCCTACCGACGGCGGCTGCATCGCCTTTGCCGTCAAGGGCCGCGGCGCGTACGTGCGCCCGATGCACGACCGCGCAGCCGCCGCCACACCGCCGCGACGACTCCCCAAGCTGCCCGCCGTGCGTCGCGTGCAGGACCTGCGCTTCGTGACCAGCCACGACATGGCCGACTCGATCCTCCCGGGCATCCACGAGAAGCTGACGGCGCGGATGGGCATCGCCTTCCCCGGGTGCGACCTGCTGCCGTGGGTGCTGCGCTGGACCGCGCTGGCCATGGGCCTGGGAGACACGACGGTGCAGGTGTACAAGGCGCGTGCGCGCCTTGGCAAGGTCTGGGACCACGCCGGTGCCGTGCTGCTCTTCGAGGAGACGGGTGGCCGCGTCACCGATATCGACGGGCGGCCGCTCGACTGGCTCGCGGGCCGCAAGTTCACGCGTAACTTTGGCTTCGTCGCGGCGCCGCCGGACATCCATGCGGAGGTCCTGCAGCAGGTGCACGACACGCTGCGGGAGAATGGCCATGCGGACATGTTGGACGCGTAGTGAAGGGCCAGGGCAAGGAGGGGGGGGGGGGGGAGGGGGTTGCGCATTGTAAGGGTGCAAGATTTGATGGAGACATTACTCGGTATTGGTCATAATGATCAGGATTACTTCTGTAAGTAGGACCTCTTTGCTACTACGTACAACACTTTGTGGGACAACAGTCTGGTGAGAGACAAGCAAGGGCACACTAATGTCAATGAATCTTTGGCGTATCAAGATATCCAAATAGCATGCAACAGGCAAAAATGTTTGCGAAAACTTGTACAAGATGGGACAGATACACGTTCCTACGGAGAGCCTTACAGTGAGAACTTCACCGTGCGCAGCAAATGGTATAGCATCCCTTTGCGATACTTGGCATCTGTACCGTCCGTGACAAGACGACCCCTCGCTAAAACAGGTAGCTCCGTACATATGCATGCAAAAACGTGGTCAATATACCGTTAATTATTGTGCGACGGCAACTGCGCTGGGACCGAACACGCACGAGGACTTGCCCAATTCGCAACAGAACCCATGTTGAAACAACCATTGTGTGCTGATGCTTGTCCTGGCCCCGTTATGCGCGGTGACAGCAGGGGGGTGACAGACTGATCGGTATATATAAGAGTAAAAAGGTGAACGCAAAATTGGAATGAAGAAGAAAAAGTCATTGCCTAAATAAGGTGTTACCGTGTGATTTGTCACTCCGAGGGGCAGTCTGCTCCTGTCACCGGTGAGGTCGTGCAGTTGCAACGCCCGATCTGCGTCTCTTCCACCGCGGGGGAGTTTCAACCCCACGACTTACATCAATTGGCAGAAGGGATCAATCTAGACGAAAAGTCCCGTGTCGCTGGTTTTATAGTTGTATAACCGCACTCATAGAGATGACTAGACCCAAGCAGTTGCACGGCCGCTCATGCCAATGAGGACGGAGCAACCGTTCGAGATACCAACGAGCTAGTTGAGCGACACGATTTCTGGATTCTTCTCGCGTTGGCTACTTGGGCCTACATCTTATCCTGCATCCTCTGCCTGGCGCCTAGCCTCATGAGTTTGACAGGTGTGACACCGTTGCCCCTACGAAGCACAAAGATTTCAAACATTTGCGTCTGACAGAAGTGCTGACTCGGGCGCGGTTATCTACGATGAGCGTGGTGAGTTAACCTATCCAGACTATTTACACATCTAGCTTATTTTACGTATTCAATAACTTGGTTCTTAAGCGATGTACATGTCGTTAATAGAGACAGTTTCAGGCTATGTACTTTTAATACATTGTCGCTACCTTTTTACAAGACATTTTATTTGACGTGACATAAGCGCTCGGGACGTGGCTTGTAGTGCCAACAGCTAAGAGCCATTATCCAATGTGGCATCTTCAATTGTAAAGCGTTGCTTTGTATCAGGAATTTAGCAACGATTCTATGTGACAACAAGTTCACGTCCCACTCAAGCGACCGACAGAGATTTTATTTAAAAGTGAGGTTTTGCAGCGAGGCTGTAGGTAGTGACCAGAGTTCTTTGGCAGGACACTCACTCACTCCTTTGGTTACACCCATCATCAAAAAAGTTTCCTCGGCTTCGGCTGGGAATTTTTTGACGGAAATCTACGGCACACCTTATGAAAGGGGAGTCCTGCTTCCCTCCGTCGGAGAGAAGTATACTGGCCAGATTTAGCCAGGGTTTCGGATGGTGTGCTGCCAATGTCGGGAAAGCTGCTCAATAATAGCAATCATAGCACACGTAACCGTTTTCAATCTTTATTAGGACAACACAAACGTCCGAGGTGCTATTTTTGACACTGCGGTAGTTTGTTTGCTCACAGGCCGCACCACGGAATCACGGAACCTTGGCAATATCTCCGGTCACTGGCGCAAATGACGGCACGGCGTGCTTCTTGTATTGTCAATAAGTTTTATGAGCCTTGATGTTATTTTGCGGAGAATGTTAGCCGACTTTACGATAAAATTTAGAAAGTTTCTTTTCTTCATATTCGGGTCAAGATGTAAGACAGCAACTCCTCACCGACGCAGCCTCTTGCTCACAATTTAGTTCTCATCGCAGTAGCCAACTACAGATTAGTGATGAAGGGTTTCGGAATAAATCAATTGCGCCATTTTACACCGCCAACGTACCCAAGAAAGGGGTCATGGTCCAGTCCCAGACACGTCGGCAGCACACGTGGGGGATCGATAAGGGGGCGACAGCCCTGTGAGCTGCAGCAGGGAATGTCTTGTCGATCACGTCGACCGAAGATACTCTGCTGCGGGCGCAACGAGCAGAAAAGCCTCTCTCTCGGAGAAAAGATGCCATCGTGCCCCATGGGTGCAGGGACGTTGCGCTCGCGCGCACGCGCATCGAGCACCAGATGCGCATTTTGACCCCGTGGCGTCTTGCAGCGCGATGAATGGACCGAGGAGGGGGGATCCAAGAACAATGACACCCTTTCCCACCAACCCTCTCACCCTCCACACCACCCACATTTCTCGGTCTACCAACTACCAACGCGGGTTGCTTCAATTTAGCTTGAACTGTTTGCCAAACTAGGCCTCGTGAGGCCAAGCGCCCAGGCCAAGCTCCCCATCAACAGCCTGGCAGCCCGGGAGGAGCAAGCCAAGATTTGCAAGGGTTACCCCTTGTGGTGCAGACGGCAATGGCGTTTCCACAATCACCATTCATCGTACAAGTAAGTCATCGGCGGCAACCTCTTTGTCGTCGCTCGCCCAAAGGAAGATGCTGCTCCACCGGCTGATGCACCCACGACCATGATCCCGAGGCTCTCATTTGGCCGGCACGAGCAAGCGATTCTGCAAGGAAAAAAGGCAAGGCCCTGTTTTTTCTTCTTTGTTCTGCTAATTACAGAGTAGATGAAATTTCATTCCACCTTAGTTTGACGCCCATCTCGACGAGCACATGCCAAGTGACCTGCACGGGGTCTCATCAACACGGCCGCATGGGTCCCCTGTATAAGTCTCAAAGACTCCCCCGCGAAAAAATGTTACCTGTCCCATCTCTTCTGAGTCCTTCGCGCATGCAAGCTTTTTCCGGGAACTGATCACGAGAGGACAAGGCACGGCCGCTCACAGTCCGCCAACCCAGTCATCAAGACAAGGTCTCACCTTGTGTAAGCAGATCCCCTACCGACAATTGCGCGTCGCATTCGACTAAACCCCCCATTCCAGGTCCAAACCACAAACAACCTCACCCCCCAACCATGGTCAACCTGTTCAGAGCCGCCGCCGCGGGCGTCCTCGCCCTCGTCGTCGGCGCCGCGCAGGCCGCCCCGGCCGTCGCCAACCAGCTCGCCGCCGGCTACCCGGGCTCCATCAGCGTGAGCTCCACGAGCCCGCTCGCCATCCGCTACTCGACCTCGCAGCCCGATGACCGCAACTGGGTCGGCATCTGGGCCTCCGTCAACGGCGGCGGGCCCGACAACCAGCAGGTCGGCGCCCAGCCCTCGCGCAAGTGGGCCTACGCGTCCGGCCTCGACGGCACCGTCACCCTGCCCACCGACGGCCTCGCCGCCGGCGACTACACCGCCTACTTCCTCGCGCGCGACGGCTACAACTGGATGGCCGCGCCCGTCCAGTTCTCCCTCGGCGGCAGTGGTGGTGGAGGCGCACTCAAGGTGACGGGCGGCTACCCGATCCGCATCCAGTACAACACTTCCCAGCCCAACGCGAACAACTGGCTCGGCATCTACTTTGCCGCCGCCGGCGGTCCAGACACCGGCAGTGTCGGCGACCCGGCGGTGCGCTGGGCGTACGCGGGCGACGCGCAGGGCACCGTGGAGATACCCACGGACGGGCTGGGCGACGGGCTGTACAAGGCGTTCTTGCTGGCCGACGGCGGGTACGCGTCGCTCGCGCAGCCGCAAATCTTCACGCAGGGCAACGCCGTCTTCCGCGGCGTGCTGGCGGTCGACTACGCGGCCAAGACGGCCTTCTCCTTCCGCTACACGACGCAGAAGCCGGGCGCCAAGAACTGGATCGGCGTGTGGGCGTATGGCAAGGGGCCGGACGGGCAGGAGGCGGTCGGGCAGGCGCTCGCGTGGGAGTACGCGACGGAGGCGCGCGCGACGCTGACGGTGGACGTGAGCAAGCTGCCGGCCGGGCAGTACCAGGCCTTCCTGCTGGCTGACGACAAGTACAACTGGCTCGCCAGCCCCATCGCCATTCACAAGTGAGGTGACGCTGCATTTCTTACGAGTGAGACTTGTTGTGCATGCCTGTAACGGCAGGCACGCGTCGAAATGCTGCTGCAGACTTTTGTCTACACAAGTCTGAAGGAGTGCAATGAGTAACGCCACTACCCCGTTGGCTCGGGCTCTATCATTCAACATCAGAATAGCCAGCGCCGCACTGTACATAGGGGAATTAGTATATGAAACACCATACATATTCATATCGGCTGTACATAGTCACGATTCCAAAGTTTTCATTTTCATGATAATTCATTCGAGTTACCAAAGTATGAGTGACATTACTCGTTATATTCCAACATTATGCAACTGCCATTAACGCTTGCTTCCGCAAAGCAAGCTGTTCCAGAACCCCCCCCTCCCCCCTCCGCGTCATGCCCCGCTTAGACAAAGACACGCTTGACCTCGGTCTTGACGCAGGTAGGGTTCTGGGGCTTGCCATTGCCGACAACCCAGTTGAGAGTCTGGTAGGTGTAGCCCGTGTAGTAGGTGGTGCAGGCGTACCACTGCTTGAGCGCCTTGAAGTTACCGGCCTTGGGGGGGTTGACGGTGTCGTCGACGTAGCTGAAGATGGCCATCTCGTTGTCCTCCTCGCCAAAAGCGACGTAGGTAGCGGAGTAGGAGGGCTCGAACAGAGGGTGGGCGACGTTGGTGGAAGGGTCGTAGGAGAACAGCATGGCCTCCGACTCAGGCTGGGGCTCTGCACCGAGCGAGTGGTCAGTGGCTGCTCTGGTTTGCTCTAGTGGAGGGTTTCACTCACGGATAGGGAGGTTCCAGACAAGCTTGCCGGAGGTAGTGTAGCCCTCGACAGGGCTGGTGCTACCCTCGGTGGTGTTGAAGTAGTAGCTGGTGTATTGGCTGTTGGAGGCGTCGCCGAGACAGAGGGCCTCGATGGCGGCGCCGGAGTGGCAGGCGGAAAGGCTCTTGCCGTTGATCTTTCCGTCTTCGGAGTCGAGAACAAGCTTGAAGGGCTTGGACTGGATGTCGTCGGCAGCAGCGAAGCCGCTGAGGAGGACGGAGGCGGCAATGGTGGTGAACTTCATTTTGAAAGACTTGGTTGGTTTATGGAGAGATTGGTAGGAGGAAGAGTTGTATTGCTTGTGTTGATAGATGATGAGGCTGGATGAGGATTGAAGAGTTGATGAGAGGAGGGAGAATGGATGTGCTTATATATGTATATTCACAGGTGTAGTCTTGAAATCAAGGATAGAGCGGCGGAGATGATGGAAGTATCGGATGGTCAGCGGCTTGGCACCTCGCATTTGCAATCCCGATTTGACAGAAAAACTAACGAAGCGAACGAACTGCTCCGCGTCACAATGTATCCGGAAGATGCGTTGCAGGGAAGAGACAAGGCCGAGCGGCCGAGCGTCAGCTGCAATGTTCAGAGGATACGAGGCGGGTCCGGCACCGACAGTGAGAGAGAGGGAGAGCCGTAGAAAAGGTCCCGAAACAACAGCAGAATCGTCTTTGTGGGAGGGCGATCATGAGCCCGTCCCCGTCCCCCCCATCCTCAGCCGCATCATGGGCTAGGCTGGGAATCGCCAAGTGTAAGGTAAGCCCAGATCCCCCACAGCAGGTTGCTGGGGGACAAATACGAGGCGGCCGGGGCGGCGAGATGGGGGTGCCCGATGCAACAGTATGACGTCCCAACGGGCCCGCAGGTCCCCAGTGGTGTTGAGGTGCCGAGCTGGCTTTGTGGCGGCGAATGACGGTGATTCTGGAGAGTTGATGTGGTGATGATGATTGAGGGATGGGGGGTTTAGCGCTTGAAGGGACAAGCCAGTGGCGTTCAACGCCAGGCGCCACAGCCCTGAAGACTGTGGCGTACAGGGACTTGTTTTAGCGAGGGTTTGTTTGGCTGCCAAACGAGTTTACTAACACGCTTGGCCATGGGACGGCAAGAGTCGTGTCATATCATCGCTTCAATTATTGCATTTTCTCCCGCGCATCAAGTGTTCAGATCACTCTCAAAATAAATCTTCAAAATTCCTCAACAATGCAGCCCCCTGCAACCCACCCATGCGGCCCTCATCTTCCGTGTGCCGCGGTTGGTGGATGAATCTTCCCAATACCCAAACCCTGCTAGCCCGTCCCCTCCCTCCACTTCCAGCTTCCCTCCTTGCTTCTCCTCCGATTCCTCACCATTTTCACCTCATCCGTCTCCCAACCCTACGATGCCTGCCCCATCCCAATCGCGCGCGATCCCATAATCTTTGCTAAATCCATCCGCTGACCCTCCGTCGAATACGAGAATCGCAACATGGCGTTCGATTTCCCAATTCTCCGCCGAAGCTGGTGACGTAGACAGCTGGCCACTTTCGATCCAAACATCGCCAACTACAATGTCCAAACGAACAGTGCCCTCGGAGCTGCATCATTCTGCCGCTGCGCTGCCGACTTATCTGCCCAACCAACATACCGTCATGTGTCTTGGCAAAAATTACAAGAACCCATCTACCGGCACACGTTTGCTTGGCTTTCGCAATTGGCTTCCCGATATCGCAGGTGGTTCCCCGTTTGTAAGGAACCCATTGAATCCTGTGGCAACCCTTTCTTCACAGCATCTTCCAACCATTGACGTAGTCGGTTGACGGAATTATTATCAAGAAGAAGAAATCTGCTGTGGAAGCCGAAGCCCTACGGACCTCTTCATATCTTTCCGTTGACTAGGTTCTTCTCTTCCGGACCTGCTAATAATAACGGCCCGCGCCTGTGGGGGACCCTCTTGTCGCTGACATCATTGTTGCCGACGGCCCATTGTTCCGACTGAGACCGAGTACTGGGGCAGTGGGCTGGCTATCCATCGTCAGAGCTTAAGAAGGACTCCGTCCTGATCAAACAGCATCGGCTTGCGCTGCGGAGGGCACGCAAACAGTAACATGGCCGTGTAGTCGCCGTGTGGACGATGTGGCGGATGCCGCTGCCGCGCAGCACCCTGCGAACGAAGGCGCGGTCGGTAAGGCTCCCGACGGCATTCGTCGTGGGCCTGTCTTGCCTTGTTTGTGCGCGCCGCCGTCGCCATAGTAGCTGAGCGGCCGCGCCATAAAATCGGACTTGACGCCGCTGACCAAAAGCGAGCAAACATGATATGCAGCTTGGTTGGTTGCGATAAAAACTGTCAAAATAGCGCCAAATTGTATAATGAACCAACACCGAGTGGTTATGCGCCGCTTGCCGCAAGTACACGCGGGGAGCAAGTATCAGATTGAGGGAGCAGAGAAGGAGAGCGAACCCCATTTCTCCAGGAAAATGTAAATAAAAAATGTAAAACAAAAATAAAAGAAGTAAAGCACTGCTTTGAATTCGGGGTATCTCAAGCAGCAATATCGGCGTCACACGTGTCATTTTTGTTGTTGTTGTCTGCCAGCTGAAGAACTGTGACACTGATGGTGGCGCCACCGTGTCCCAGAGGGAAACTACAAACAGAGAGCAGCAAGTTTGCTTCTGAATACACTCAATTTCGCATGTAAAATTCATCAACTACTTACCTTGATAGCTTAGCACCGTCTCTTTCCTCCAGAGTCTGCGGCCAGGGCTGGTCCGCTGGTGCGAGCCTTGATGATCTGGAAAATGCCGAACCTAACATGAAATATTGCGGGCTGAAGCCGAGATGGTGCGGATACACGAAAGGAGCGCCTGAAGGAAAAGACAAGTATCCCGAAATGCCTCCCCCTTTCAATTTTCAGATTTAGCATGTGGTTTTCTCCATCGGTGTTGCGCGAAATGACCATCAGCGAAGCTCACTCCATTCTACGAGGCAAGGCCGGCGCAGAGCCGATACACCAATTCTTATTCAGTCCCCGAAGTAGCCGAGACATGATTAAGCTTTCAAGTAAAGCAAAAGGGTTGCTTTTTCTCCGCGAACAGCTCTTCTACGGTTCCGTATCGTGCCTGATCGTTGAGTGTTGGTCGGTCTCGCTGCTTTCAGGACCTTTCGAGTACTTCCTACCTGCAGCGTACTGGTTGTTGCATCACCAATCCATGATTACGACTTCTCAAAGCTTCTGCGGATAGTACGTCAAGTCGAGCCTCGGAAACTTTCTTTTGAAAAAATAAAAGTGCTATAACTTTTTATTTTATTTTTAGAAGTGTCTCGGTTGACAACGCAATGAGCGCCGGGTCCCATAAACACTCTGTTCCTGTCGCTAAATTTAGCCATCTAAAAAAAGAGAAGAAGAAGGTTAGAAAATAAAAGTTAACTTAGGCGTAGCTTAGTCAAGATCTACATGGGTGATCTCGATTTAAAAAGAGACTCAACCTCGTAACTGACGCTCGGTAGGTATGTCCCTGTACAGCCTGAGAGCCCGAGGCCGGCACTCGCATCCCAGAAAAACCTCTCATCCTTCCAGATCACATCCAACTAATTTTTCAAGTGTCAAGACGGCTGGACACCCCAAAATCAATACACTATATAACTAATACAAGAAGTCATCTCGGCGTATAAATCGCTGCTTTAGCGTGCATCTGTAGCGCAGACGATCCAGGCCTGTTGATTGGTGCAGTCATTTGATGGTCAATGTTACATTGTGACCATTAAATTGGTATGCAGCTCCGGGATATGTTAGGGTCATACGACTAGCTCAAGAGACAAAGATATTCCTCTCCAGCCGTCCGCCGGACTCCTAGATAACCTAACCACCTCCTCCATGAAGGTGTTGATCTCCGGAAACCTTCAGTCACCAATCACCATGCAACTGTCATGCCTGCTCGCCATTGCCGGCCTGGCCGCGGCGGCGACCACTTCCCCCTCCGCCGCCCCTGCGCCGGCGCCGTACACGGGCGGCGACACCTCCGGCTGCGGCAAGACGCACCTCTTCAACGGTCTCCCCACCGCGCGCACCCTCCTCTCCGGCGGCAAGCAGCGGCGATACCTCGCGCACCTCCCCACCACCTACGACCCGCACCATCCTCACCCCGTCATCGTCGGCTTCCACGGGTCCTCCTCCATCGGCTTCTTCTTCGAGGCCGACACGGGGCTCGACCTACCCCGCTACACCGCCGACAAGATCACCGTGTACCCGGACGGCCTCGGCGGCGCCTGGGCCGGCGCCAACTACTCCGTCGCCACCGTCGCCGAGGACCTGCGCTTCGTGCGCGACCTGCTCGCCGACCTGCGGGCCAACTTTTGCGTGGACAGCGCGCGCGTCTACGCGACGGGGATGTCCAGCGGCGGCGGCTTCGTGGACACGATCGCGTGCGACGCCGAGGTCGGTGGGGAGTTTGCGGCGTTCGCGCCGGCGTCGGGCGCGTTCTACACGAATAATGATGAGAATGGGAGGGAGTGCAGGCCGGCGCGGGTGCCGATGCCGATCTTGGAGTTCCACGGCGGCGCGGACGAGTCGGTGCGGTACGAGGGTGGTGAGGGCGAGGGCGGCGTCGAACCGTCCATCCCAAACTGGTACGTGCAAGGTTGCGGGGGAGGAGAAGAGATGGCTGAGCGTGTTTCTGACATCTAGGCTGGATGGACAAACAGGCTTCAGCGATGGGCAGAGCGCAACGGATGCGACAGCCCGCACAAGCAGGAGGACCTGTACGGCGGCGGCGTGCACCACCTCAGCTGGACGTGCAAGGGACAGGAGGGCGTGCTGCAGCACTACAAGACGGATGACCAGAGTGAGTACCGAAGCGCATCTCGTTGCGCACTTGCCGGCTTGCGGACTGACCGAGAGGTGCGCAGAGCACGACTGGCCGTCGCCGTGGCCCAACTTTTCGCAGCTGGCGGCGCTGGACAAGCCGACGCATCTCGAGGCAAGCGCGATAATTCAGGAATTTTTCATGAGGTTTACCCGACCAGAAGAGTAAGGGATTGGATGGCAACGGAGGGGGTGTCATTTACCAGTCTTTAAAGGTACAGTAGACGAGTGAGGATCAGACGGTACCCATCCTACGCTCCCTTTTTCGCTTGACCAGCGACACAGCAGACGATTTGCTGCAGCAGTTGACTGCTTGAGAGCCAGGGAAGGCTCTAATTGGCCCAAAACGGGTTTGGGTTGCGCTCCCATTTTACTGGCCTCGACACGGCCGCCTGGCCCAATAGCCAAATATCGAAAGTTGATAGGGAAGAAATTTGAATGAAGCATCACCGGCGCAAGGCCGTGCGATTCGAAGAGTTGCCATGAATCACTAAGGATCCCATAGGGCATTGATGTTTAATCTAATAAATGCATCCCTTCCGAAGTCGGAATTTTCAGCATGCATTAGCTCTAGAGTTACAACGGTTTTGCGACGAGATGTCTGGTACTTATATTCCCATCATCAGATATTCCACTCCCTCGTGTAATGTATTCGCCAATTTCAAATTGGGCATCAATATGCTCACATTACAGGATGATGTGCCATCCCTCGTGTTGAGTCGTGGCAAGTGCAACTCTCTTCGAGCGTCGTTGTCATTTGGCTGCCACTGTACTACCTCTCTTCACTTCAACATCGTGGCTTACGGTCTCCTGGTGGTCTTGGTGCTGCACCTGCCTAGTTGCCTTTGTTTGTGTACCACTGGCTGCTTTGGCTCGTCGTGTTGAGTAGTCAGTACTCGAAGAATACAGGCCAACATGATGGAAAGGATGGCAGTTGCTCCTGCTAAATAGCCAGCCACTAATGACAGTAAGGGTCATTTTGTACGTCCCTATAACTCTGTTATTTCTCTTATTTCTCTTACCCTTCCTACTTTTCTCAATTCCTTTACTCCTCTTTACCTACACACACAGATACGCACAGATACGCACAAACACACGCGTACGTCCAACAGGAACTCTCTATCATCCACTTCGACACGTAGCCACATAGTCACGGGTCACGTAGTGATGTATTTATGTAAACAAGGCAACACAAGCATACTTAAATGGATCAAGTGTGGCCGAGTCCCTTGGGGTACGTTGGCCACGTAGCCACATGACGGAGACTGGAACAGTTGAGTAAGCCCAAGGCGGTCGACTCTCCCGTGGCTTCCTGTGATACAGTACCCACGTTAGCCATGTGATCAGAGCGCCATGTAAGTTAAAAATAGGTCGAGCCGCTTGTGTCAAATGGCTTTCTTCACAGAGGACGTTACTAGCGTTATTCGGTGGCCGTGATAGGCCTCTTCTTGACGACCTGCGTGCCAGAAGTAGCGCATTTCCAGTGTACTACGATAATGAGTCACGTACAGTACGATAAACAAGGAACAGATTTGCCAGTAGAAGCGGCCCTGGCGAGGATGTGCTCGAACTTCGGTGCCCAACGTAGCTCGGCGCGTGCTGTACCAAACGCGTGTACCGTACATGTGTAACAAGGTAGATTTCTCCAAACGAGCGATGCGTATCATATCAAAATCCTACTCAAGACCCAGGCATTAGAAAGCATGCATGACGCTTTCTGCTCGCAGTCTCCAGTGTTTCCAGCCACAGCCACCCGCATAAGTGATATCTGGCATGTCAACAAGAACTGACTGTTTCCAATTGCGATACAATGATATAAAAGCGCTGGAAAATCCAGCCTGCCGGAAGAAGTCTAGGGATTCCTGGATAAGCGCCGCATCATTATCACCCTCTTCCACGAACTCGTAGACGATAGCCAGATATTCTCGATCTTCTAGTTGTCTTCGTTGCTTGTCCACGCAAATATATGGTGGGCGCCACCTCAATGGTAGCGCAGACAGGGTTTTGTAGGGAACCTTGATCCAGCCGTAGCATTTTCTTGTACGCGGCATGTGTGTGATTCTGATCTTTGAGGAAGTATCGGCAGCGTCAATGGCTTTATTCTCGAGCCTTAGTTCATCACTGAATGCATATGTGCTCTCGAGAGCCTCACTTCGATCCCGAGGATATGGGTTGACAAGAATTGGGCCCAAGGACGCGTCATCTTGAGCCAGGGCTGCTTGCATCAGCTTCAAGGTAGCAGCGTTTTGGCGCTCTCGTTGAAGTGCAAAGTAGCCTACCGGTTTCGACGGTTCTTGATCCCAGAACTATGCGTAGTTTGAACAGATTAGCTGCAGTGTTTCAAGAGGCAAAAATATAGCTTGGCAAGGGGGTCTTTGGAGAAGATGATACCACGACTGGAAGCAGTGGAACAATGCATCATCGTTTGTGTTTGGTTGGGATACCAACGCGAGGTGGCTTACACGGCCGCCACGATGAAGCGCAAGACTTATCCTTGACGTCTTTGCACGAGAATGGTCAACATCAGTGGGGCATCTTGGTTATGCCCTATGGGTGTCGTAACTAGTCAGAACGGACCAACCTTACAACTCCAGCTCTTAACACCAAGGCGTGGCTGTTCTCGGTCCCAGAAGGTTTCTATGCCCTGCTCTCTTTCCCTACATTCATTGGTGTATGCCCAGCCCTTTGTACGTCAACTGTGTCAACGGCAGCTCGGTTTGATGGGCACGGCGTCGGTCAATTGTCTCCTCGATTGGGCTCGGGAAGCTTGACTAGTTTCCTTAACTACCCTAGAGATGCCAAACCGCCGCTAGCATGCTATTATAAGTCGGTCGTGTAAAGACGGGAACATGCCTTGCGTAAATGAGCAATCCGAATTTGGGTACTTGCAGCTAACGGGTTTAATAAGCGCAGACAAGCTTGTGTGACTATGACCTTGGGGTGTTGAAAGGGACGTAGCCTGGGAACAATGTCAAACTTTGGGAATGTAGGCGACTTTGAAATATTGGGAATGCAGGCTGCGACTCTAAAATGAGTTCTTTCACCGACAGTTCCTTCACATAATATTCATCAAGTGTTCCTCATACCTTGAAATGCCTCCCATCGCGGTAGATGGAGGGGACTCGACACAGCCTGCTTTGCTGATGAAATCTTGGGTCCGAGTCCCGCCGACGGGTTGTGCGGAAAACGTGGGAGCGGGGGGAAGCTCATGCATCTGAATTTTAAAAGTAAAAAGAAAGAAAAATATAAGTTGGCCGAACTCTTCTTCCCCATCATTCAATTTACACACGGCTGTTAGCGACCTTTTTTGGAGCAACTTCCTGAACTGGGCTCGCGAGCCGAGCAAGAGCCACAGTAACTCTTTTTTTGTTGCCTCGAGCTCTTTCGGTGTCTATACGAGGAGGGCAACCTAACTGACTAGCCTACTTTCCTAATATTGAATTTATTATCGAATGACCGGTATTATGCTTGTCGCCTACATTGCCGTTGTGCTTCCCTATTCGTCGAGGGGGATCCGAGCAGAAGACGCCAGCGGCGAGACCCGACAGCGCGAAAGAAGGGGATGACCGAGCCTCGTTTCTTGTTGGCACAGCTGAAGTGGTGTGGTCGTTTTAGCGACGGTGGAAACGAGGCTTCTGGCTCTTTGCTGCATAACCATCGATATATCTATGCATGTGTGGCGTTGTTGAAAAGCTGAGCTGGTTCGCGTTTCCGTCGCCAAGCCAGCCATCCCGGGAATACCTCACCCACTTTCTTCTTGTCCGCCTTTTCCCTACCTCAGATACTTGGCGAACGCCAAGGAAAGATGAGCCCGATTTCGCTACCGCCAGAGTTCATTTTTCGTTCTTTTTTTTTTTTTTTTTCAAGAAGTGGGAGGAAACGGTCCGATCACATCCGCCTCACTAATCAACGACCCTTGGCATCGTAAACTGGGTTCCCTGGTAGTAATAATAGAGCACCGCCTCCTTTTTGTTTTCCTCACACGGAACTCGGCTCGAGTTATGGAGACTCAGAGGGAGCGGCGCCCAGTATTGATGTGCTCTGTGTTCTTGGCGACGGGCAAATAGGCCGTTGGGCGGAGCGATGGGTGGAGGCTGCGCCTTTGTTGCGTCCGACGGCAATAAATAAAATAATCAATCAAATCAAATCAAATCAATCACTTACCCAACTAAATAACAGTGTGCCTCAACTAACCCAACTATGGATAGGCTGCGCCGATATTGTCCGGAAACGAGCATCGGAAGTGAGTTTCCCTCGCTGAGTGGCGTGAGGCACAGCGAAGAACCCTGTCTGTTCCTCACGGTCAGGTTCGGCTAACTATTCCGGACACTGGAGACTGGATCTCTGGGCGGAAAAATCCCTAGATACCTCTTTTTCTTCTCCCGATCATTTCTCGGCATCTACCAAGGCCGGAAACAAGAGGTCAACCTGTCATTCCCGATCACGCGACCGAGACCAAAACGACTTTAGCCCAAACTCTATTATTGCCCTTTTTGCTTGCCTGACAACCCTTGACGCCAGAACGCACTCTCGTCATGCAGCGAGAGTAATATCGCCATCCCAGGTGGATCTCTGCCTGGTAAACTTCTCCACCGTATAGCCCCAGCTCCTTTGCTAGTCTGATGTTCTGTCCCGCTCCGCATCGGCCTAGCTCACCATCCCACCTGGGGGGGAAGCAGGTAACGTTGTTGGCCGAGGTGTTCGGGAGCAGGAGCCTCATTCAGATTAGGGCAAAGGAAAAAGACGATTGAAAATGGAGAAAACGGCTGATGGAGGAAGAAGGACTGCCTTCTTGTGGGAAGGCGTTGGCTCCAACGGTCCAACAGGAGGAGGTTGCTTGGGAAGGGTTATTGATCTTATCAGATCAATCGCTGACCGCGGGTGGCCGGGGGACTTCTTAAGTCGCCATATTTACCTCTGCTTGTCCGTCTCACCTCTCTGAAACCTGCCATTCTCTTCCACACACCGTTTTGCATGTGTTGGCCTTGTCCCAGGACGGACTCGTTGAGAAGTAGTACTGGCAAAAGCAACAATGGCCGAAACCGTCGAGGTTCGCTTCAAGGATGATGGCGAGCGCCGGGCCTCGTCCGGTGACACCAGCGGTCGTCCGCCATCAGGTGAGTCCTGTCTTTCTTCTTCTTCCTCTTCTTCCTCTTCTTCCTCTTCTCCCCCCAGCCTCTGCCCCCCGGTATGCTATCAGATCCCCCCCCGTCTCTAACCACCGGCCCGCGACAGTCTCCAGCTCGACGCCCTCGCGCGAGGAGACGCTCGTCGCCGCTGGCATCGGCCACCGGCCCGACGACCCCGACATGCCGTGTCTCACCGTGCGCATGTGGACCATCGGCATCGCCTTCTGCCTCATCGGCAGCGGCGTCAACACGCTCTTCACCTTTCGCTTCCCCGCCGTCACCCTCTCGCAGTCCGCCATCCAGCTGCTCTCCTACCCCGTCGGGCGCGCCTGGGAGTACGTCGTGCCCGACTGGGGCGTGACCCTCTTCGGATCCCGGCTCAGCCTGAACCCGGGCCCGTTCAACTACAAGGAGAACATCCTCATCTACATCCTGGCAAACCTGAGCTTCCTGACGCGGCTGAGCGCGGACGTGCTGACGGAGCAGCGCGTCTTCTACGGGCTCAACCTCGGCTGGGGGTTCGAGATCACGGTGACGCTGGCGACGCTGCTGTTCGGGTTCGCGCTGGCGGGGCTGGCGAGGAGCATCGTCGTGGAGCCGGCGAGGCTGATGTGGCCGGGCGTGCTGAGCAACACGGCGCTCAACTCGGCGCTGCATCCCATTGAGAAGACGTACAAGGCGGAGTATGTCATCAACCACGAGAAAGACAGGTGTTGGATATGTAAAGTGAACTAACCGAGGGAACAGGATCACGACTGAAATCTCCAACAGGGCCAGATATAGGTTCTTCCTCATGGCGTTCGCCGCCTCCTTCATCTGGTACTGGTTTCCCGACTTCATCTTCCCCGCGCTCGGCTACTTTACCTGGGTGTGCTGGATTGCGCCCAAGAATGCCGTCGTCAACCAAATCTTTGGCATGAAGAGCGGCATCGGTCTGTTGCCGTTCACTTTTGACTGTGAGTCAGCTCTTCATCTTCGTCGTAGCATCATCGCAAACTGACTCAACTCCCCCAGGGGCGCAAATCGCATACATCAGCTCGCCGCTCGTCATCCCCACCTGGGCCATCCTCAACGTCGGCGCCTCGCTCGTCTTCTGGATCTACATCGTCACGCCCGCCATCTACTACACCAACACCTGGTTCACCGGCTACCTCCCCATGCAGACCAACTCCATCTTCGACAACGCCGGCAAGGTCTACAACGTGTCGCGCGTCATCGACAAGCGCGACGGCTTCGTGCTCGACCTCGCCCGCTATCAGGCCTACTCACCCATCTACCTGCCCGTCACCTACGCGCTCAACACGTTTGGTCTGTGCTTCGCGAGCATCTCGGCGCTGGTGGTGTGGCTGGCGCTGGAGAAGCGCGGCGAGATCTGGGAGGGGTTTTGCAACTCGTCGCTGGCGGTGCTGCTGGGCGCGGCGCCGCGTACGGAGAGGACGGTGAGGGAGAGGGCGTACGGGACGGTGCCGACGTGGTGGTACCTCCTGGCGACGGCGGTGTCGATCGGGGTGGGCATATTCGCGTGCGAGTACTATCCAGTACAGCTGCGGTGGTATGGCGTGCTCTTGGCGATGCTGGTTTCGGCCTTTTTCTTCATCCCGGTAAAGTTCCAGAGGCACGACGGCGAGGGACAAGTACATAAATACTGACAAGGCTAGCTCGCGTGGCTCTATGCAACCACAAACATCAAGATCCAGATCGACATCTTCTGCCGCCTCGTCGCGGGATACATCTGGGAGGGCAAGGTGCTCGCCAACATCTGGTTCTTCAACATTGGCTACATCTCCGGCATCAAGGGCCTCGCCTTTGCGCAGGACCTGAAGCTCGGCATCTACTGCAACGTGAGTCCAGCCTACCTACCCTTCTTGCTCGCAATTGGCCACTAACAGACACCCCAGATCCCCCCTCGCAAGCTCTTCACCGTGCAGGTCGTCGGCATCATCATGGGCACGCTCGGTCAGGTCGCCGTCCTCGAGTGGGCGCTCAACCACATCCCCAACATCTGCACCAACAAGGCCGACAACGGCTTCACCTGCCCCTTCTCGCGCACGCACTTCAACACCAGCATGGTCTGGGGCGCCATCGGCCCGCGGCGCTTCTTCGCCGCCGGCGCGCTCTACCGCGACCTGCTCTGGTTCTTCCTCCTCGGCGCGCTGCTGCCCCCCGTCGTCTGGGTGCTCAAGCGCAAGGTATTCCCGCGGTGCAAGTGGCTGCGCCAGGTCCACGTGCCGCTGTTCCTGGGCGGGCTCAACTACATCCCGCCGGCGTCGGGCACCAACTACGGCAGCTGGGTGCTGGTCGGGCTGCTGTTTGGGTTGGTGATTAAGCAGCGGAAGAGGCTGTGGTGGAAGAGGTACAATTTTATCCTGAGCTCGGCGATGGACTGCTCGGTGGCCATCGCGGGCATCCTGATCTTCTTCTCCATCTTTTACACGGGCGCGGCGAGCCACTTCAAGTGGTGGGGGACCGACGTCTACAAGGTGAGACACATATTGAGCTCGTACATTTTGAAACGCGTTGCTGACATTGGCTTGATGTGTAGAATACCTGTGATTGGAAGGGGTGCACGTACAAAGTGCTGGGTAAAGGAGAGAAGATTCATTGATCCGATATTTAGACTGAAGATACGCGACCAATGACAGCATGGGAAGAATGAAGTTGTTCGCCATGCGCATACGTTCTATTACTTTTTCGTTCTATTACCTTTGCATTGCATACGTTGTCCTTGCATCTCGTCGCAGCTGACTCCGCCTTACCGAGGGAGTCAATGGAGCAGCAATTGATCTTATAGCCCCAATAGACCAATATTACATAAAACTAAACAGACGGAACCGAGAAACATCTACACCCATGCATGCATGGGTGTAGGAGAGTCAATCAAGGCGCAGTCGTCGACGCGTCCCTCGCTCGCCAAGACGAAACGCCTCCTTGGTCCCTTGAGACGCCGCGATTGCCCCCGGGGGCACCCCCTGCCCATCGCCCCAGCATCATCCTCTATGATTTGCACGCAGGTAGAGCACGTCAAAAGTGGAAATCGGACGGCAAAGCCAAGACAAAAGCCAAGACGATGGTGCCGTCTGCCCCCCCGCGATTGTTCGCCGTGTTCTGACGGAGGCCGCTGGCCCCGCGCCGCCATCCCGGCAGCGACGCCGCCTCCGTCTGATCAAGGTTCGAGACGGCTGCCGCTTAGCCGGGGAGTCGACCGGCAGTTTGCGTCATCCTAGCTCTGCCCTACTGGAGCCCTCAGCCTGGCGTCTGCCCTGTTCGTGAAGCTGCTTGGGAGGGAGGCGGTTGGTTGGTGGACGTCCTGGCGTTGACCAGAGATGGCGATGATTGCACTTGGACTGGATGAACTTGCAGTCTACATCTCACAACGAAAGCGGGCTCTTATTCCTACAAATATTTTGATATATTTCTCGCAATTTCTAGGGGAGACACTCGACTAATTGTACCAGCAAAGGGGCCGCTCTGCTACCGGCGCGCGTTAGCTGCTTCATCTGTTGTCAGCTCCCCTTATCAGCCTCCCACAGAGCACTCGAGTGAGGCTGATCCCAAAGCTGCACCACAGTCATCCAGTCTCACGCCGAGTTTCATGTCTAGACGAACGTTGAGGATGCTGCCGAAATAGCCGGTCCGCGTGTGCCACAAGAGAGTCCAGACATGTCTCTCTATCCATCGTTCGACATCGAAGAGCTTTCACAGTCAGGGATAAAAAGGCTCAAATGTCGCCTGCAAAGTTGGGAAATCCATCTCATCATCAAGCAACACTCACATCTACAGTCTTTCTTTCTTTACTGCCTTCTCTTCTCTAATATACACTCATTTTCCGGCAAAATGAAGTTCACCACCACCACCGTTCTCATCTCCCTGGTCGCTGGTGCCCTCGCGGGACCGCTCCTCCGCGATGCCCCCTCCGAGAAGCGCGACGTCGTCATCGCGCGCGCCGACGCTGGCGTCCCCGACGCTTACACCCTCAAGGCCCGGGCGGCCGAGGCCGACGAGGAGGAGTGCCACGACGACGAAGAGGCTCTCGAGAAGCGCGAGCCCAAGAAGAAGAAGGCCAAGGGCGCTGCTGCCAAGGGTGCCGCTGCCAAGGGCGCTGCTGCCAAGGGCGCCGCTGCCAAGGGTGCCGCTGCCAAGGGCGCCGCTGCCAAGAAGAAGGCCGCTGACAAGGCTGCTGCCGACAAGGCCGCTGCTGACAAGGCCGGAGCTGCCAACAACGGAGCTGCCAACAACAACGGCGCTGCCAACAATGCCGCTGCCAACAATGCCGCTCCCGCCAACGACATCACTCCCGCGATCCCCGCCAACTAGATCCCGGGCTCTTGGCTCCGGCGTGTGCAATGATGCACTTGTCTAGTTACGGTCAATAGATTAGCAATAAAGTCATTGCCACGTTTCAAAGCGGCGGTTTCGGTGTCAAGTTGTGACATGTCAACTAGAGTAGAAGAAAATTTCAACCCTTGTGTAACTAAAGCTTCACGTTTTAGGAGAGAAAGAGAGGCGGACAAGTTGGGAGCGGAGTAAATGGAAGAAGTTGGGTGCAACAATAAGTCACGTCCAGGTATAGATGTGCAAGCGTGTATAATAGGATGTACTACGTGTTTGTTCAGTAACGCGCTGAGCGAGAAAGACTGCACGCACTACTGTAGATTGATTAAAATTGGCAAAAATGAATCACTCAAAAGTTGCAGAGAAAATACTTTCTTAGCAAGCCGTTTCCAAAATTATAACAATCTGTGTGTACACGGCAGGCAAGGATCCTCCCTAGATTATACAAAGAGAGGTATGGCCATACATTTTGTAAAGTACGTCACTCTCCAAGAGGTCCAATAGAAATCATACAAAGCATACCAAAAGAGCAAACAATACATGCATTTTTAGGTTTTATTGTCCTGCCTCGTGCAACTTTAGTATTACACTTACAAAGGCACCAGGCAGCGGCCCGGGCGGGCGGACGCGGGGCGCCGGACAGGGATCTACAGTGGGGTTACAGTGAGGCTGAGCGCTGAAGACGCCTCGCCAGGCGCCTTCACGGAATGAGGTCACCTGTACAACAAACACCAGCTGCGAGTTTGCCTTTCTTGGTCACCACCACATAAAAAAAAAAGTCTACGACGGGCCTTTATCCTCTGCCAGCTGTCCTTCATCATCTACACGATACATCCCGGCGGCGACGACGAGCTTCCGCCGCCATACTCCCCAGAGCCCACCACCACCTCCATCTCCTCGGTCCACCCCGACTCGCTCTTCGCAGCACACCTCGCTGCGATGCGCCTCCAGATCCGCGAACAGCAGACCGTCCGGGCCTCGCAGCAGGAACAGCGCGACATGCACCTCCTAGCACTGCTAGTGCCTCACGTCGAGGACCTACTGGCCTCCGTGGCCACCGCCGACTCCCCGCAGCCGCTCGCCCAGGCCACGCTCATCCCGGACGGCGCCTTGTCGTCCGGCTGGACGCCCACGGAGACGCAGGGTGGCCGCGTGGTCCGAGTTCAGACCTCCGCGGCCAAGGGGGACGCGAAGCAGCAGCCACCGCCCGCGACGAGGAGCGGAGGGAGCAGCAGGGCCGCCGAGTTTGACGGCTGGGGTCGCTGGGGAGAAGACGCCGCGGCGGCGGCTGGGGGTGACGAAGCGGAGCTGTTTTGGTGGAAGGATGAGGAGCTGGCGGTACGGCTGGCCAGGCATCTGCAGCCGGAACGCGACGCGGCGGCGGTGGTGGTGGTGGTGGACAGGCCGACTGTAAAGGCCAAGGCGGTAGAGGCGAAGAAGGGCAGGTCGCGATGGAATATATTCGGTGGTGGTCGCAGTGGGGATAGCGCAACACCGACGACGACAGCGGCCTCGCCGGCGGCCTCCAGGCCTGCCGCGGTCCAGGTCGAGGACGACGTGGCGATGCATGTCACTGCCGAGGAGGTGACCTTTCGCCGGGAGAACGCGATGGGCCTCTGGGAGAGCTGCTCGGGCTGGGGCGTCGTGGTGCGAGTCAGAATCCGGACATGAGCGTGTGTTGGCCTCCACTCTCCGTTTCTCCGGCTTGACTTATTATCCCCCGAACGACTTGCCGCATTAAACACATCGTGTGGTTGCGGGATGAACTCCCCCGTCGGCGGAATGCTCGGCCCTCCCGCGGTGCTTTGCCCGGGCAAAGTCAAAAGTTACCCAGATTGGAAAGAGGAGCAGGAGTGAGAGACGATCGACGCAATGGCCAGATAAAATCTCTCGCTAGTCATGCATCGGACTTAATGGCGGTGGCGGAGCGTATACAGCCCGATGGGGGAGAGCACCCCCGATAGGATGACAAGGCAGATGGGACAGGGACGCGGCAGTGGACAATGCTGCTCCAGGTCCCCTCAAATCGGTGACTGCATCGTTGCTGAGAGAGAAAACGTGGATGACTGGATTACATGGCTTGGGCGGAGGGTCATGAGGGAGCTCGGCGAAAAGTATAACAGGTGCCAAGAAGGGTGTATTACGACAGCATGTAAAGAGAGAGTTTCAGCGGGCAAGAGAGAGACGGACGATGTTATTTTCCTATTTAGCGAGCGATGAATACAATACGTGCGATGATTAGAATAGATACGAAACGAGAGACTGCGCCCCGGTGAGGCTCTGTCGGATTTACCATCCCATCTTACCTAGATAACGCCGGGGATAGGGTGAGGCTTATAGCTGACAGATCTCTCTCCATTCACTCACCGGGCACGCACACACGAAAGATTCGCTTATAAATCTGTCGATAATTCCAAACCCAACTAACTTGGCCCAAGGGTGGCGGAGCGCCTCTCTCTGTCTTGGTATCTTGGCTCTCTTTCGACTTGCGTCACCCCCCCCAAGGTTTCTTGGCATCCTTTCCGGATGGCGCGCTCATTGGTCGAGACAACCCCCCAGCGCAAGACAACCAGACAGAGGTTGCCAGTGCTGACATTTTCCTTGTCCAAAAAACCCTTTCTTGGCAAAATGGAATTCCCGTCCCTTTTCCTGCGCACCGGCCGGTTTCACGGGGGCGCAGGCAGAACTGTGGCTGGGATGGGGATGGGACGTTATCGCCTTCATGCTGCGGCGAGATGTGGTTACGTGGACAGCGCGGAGACTTTATCGAGTTATCCAGATCGGAAGAATGGGATAAAAAAAAAAGAAGCTTATTAAAACGGTTTTATTTAAGGCATTTTCGTGCCACCTTCTTCTTTCGTTCTTTTTTTTCGCATGTGACGTATAGTTAAAGTGGTACTCAACAAACCACTTACTTACCAGGACATGAAGGCTTTAGGCATCATCAGCAGATTACTAGTATACGCACAGCTTCTCTCAACAGCTGCTCAAGGTGTGTTTAGGCAAGAAGAAACACAAGGGTATCACAGAGACTAACAAGGCACACAGCACATTCCGTTCGACGCACGGAGCCGAAACTACTACGCAGAGTACAGGATGTTACGTTTACGCCAACGCTGGCGGACGACGCGGCGCCCACGGAGCTCTCCGTCTCGTTCACGCTGTCCGGAAGCACGAGCGAGCAACGGGTGAGCCTATCCCTCCGCCGCGATGAAGACGTCTACGCGCAGCCCGTCGCGGTGCATCGTCTCCGCGCCGACGGCTCCATCCGTAGCACCGAGACGACGCCGGCCGGCGACCACCTCGCCTACCACGGCACGGCCTCTACCACCACCACGACAGCAGACGGGAAGCAAGGGCGGGAGAGTCAGGAGGACTGGGCGCGGGTGTCTGTGCACGTCAGCCGCGGCATCCCGCTGCTCGAGGGGGCGTACTTTCTAGACGGCTTCGAGTACCACATCCAGACGGACGCTACGTATCGACGCACGCGCAGCGACGAGGACACGGTGCTGGCCGCTGCCAACCAGCCGTACAACGTGGCCTGGCGGTACATTGACGATGGCGGCGGCGGCGGCGGCGGCGGCGGACTTGCAAAGCGTGAGGAGCAGCCGACGTGCGGGATTGACGGCCTGGATCACACCGGGCAGAGCAGCCTGGAGAGACGCCAGCGCGGCGGCGACACGACGGAGAGCCTGCTGCAGAGCATCGGCTCCACCAGCGGCTGCCCGTCGACGCGCGCCATCGCGCTCCTCGGCATCGCGACCGACTGCACGTACACGGCGCAGTTCAGCTCCGAGCAGGACATCCGGCGCGCCATCCTGACGCAGGTCAACGCCGCGTCGCGCGTCTACGAGGCCGCCTTCAACGTGCAGCTGCGCGTGCGCAACATCACCATCTCCGACCGCGCGTGCCCGACGGGCAGCAGCGGCAACGCGTGGAACCGCGCGTGCTCGTCGGGCCTGTCCATCAGCGACCGCCTCAACGAGTTCTCGCGGTGGAAGGCCGGCTTCGCCGAGGAGCCCGCGGCGGCGGCATGGACGCTCATGACGGCGTGCAGCTCCGGCTCGACGGTGGGCATCGCGTGGATCCGCAGCGTGTGCCAGCCGGGCGTGCTGCTGCGCGGCGCGGTGCGCTCGACGCCGGGCGCCAACGTCGTGGCGCGGACCTCGGCCGAGTGGCAGGTTCTCGCGCACGAGCTGGGCCACAACTTTGGCGCCGTGCACGACTGCACCTCTAGCTGCAGCAGCGGTGGTGGGGAGCTGTGCTGCCCGTTGAGTAGCAGCAGCTGTGACGCGCGTGCGCAGTACATGATGAACCCGTCGGTCAGCGCGCGCGTGACCGAGTTCTCGCCGTGCTCGATCGGGCAGGTGTGCACGGCGTGGGGCCGGGGCAACATCGAGACGGCGTGCCTGCGGGGCAACGACAACGTGCCGACCGTGTCGGAGTCGGTGTGCGGCAACGGCGTGGTGGACGCCGGGGAGGACTGCGACTGCGGCGGGCCCGAGGGCTGCGGCGACAACCCGTGCTGCGAGCCGACGACGTGCCGCTTCAAGGCCGGCGCCACGTGCGACCCGTCCACGCAGCGCTGCTGCACCGCCCAGTGCGGCCTAGCCACCGCCGGCCAGGTCTGCCGCGAGAGTGTCGGCCTATGCGACCCGCAGGAGACGTGCAGCGGCAGCTCCGCCGACTGCCCGCGCGACGAGCAGCTGCCGGACGGGCAGTCCTGCGGTGATAACGGCGGCGGGCTGACGTGCGCGACGGGCATGTGCACGTCGCGGGCGACGCAGTGCTCGAAGCTGCTGACGTCCAACAACAGCACGGAGACGGTGCGCGCGGGCGGCAACGTCACGGCCGAGGCGTGCAGCGCGACGGGCTGCGAGATGAACTGCATGCAGACGGACGCGAGCGGCGGTCGGCTAGACGGGGGTGTCTGCCAGGCGAGTCCCAAGTTCTTCCGGGACGGCACGGCATGCGGCTCCGGGTCGCGGCGGTGCTACAACGGGACCTGCAGTGGGCGGGCGACCAGCGGCGGGGGCGGCGATGCGGCGTCGTGGATCCGGGAGAACCGCACCATCTTCATCGTCATCTGCGTGGTGGGCGGCGTGGCGCTGCTGGTGGCGGCGGCGCTGGTGGTGTGCTGCTGCCGGCGACGGGCGAGTCGACGGAACGCGGTCGGGACGCAGCAGGCGAGGATGGCGACGGCGATGAGGCAGAGCGGTGTTGGTGGTGGTGGTGGTGGTGTTGGTGGTGGTGTTGGTGGTGGTGTTGCATCGCAGCAGTGGCAGCACCGACCGCCGCCGCCGCCGCCGCCACCGATGGCACAGATGCAGTCACCGATGCCGGTGACCCGGACGGGCAGTAATCTACACCGATATGCGTAGTGCTGTAAAACAAGGGGGCTGTGCGGCAAGCCAAGCTCAGCTCGTGGATTGCATGGATTGGGAATGTCTTGGGTGAGGCTGTTTTGGGGCAGGGATTTTGCATCAGCCGTGAGTCACGTGGAGGACAGCGGGGACAGGCCGCGGAATCGAGCTTAGAAACTGTATATATGAGCGTCATGAGAAATGTGTAAATGAAGATATTATCTGTTTCACGAGGCTGAGCAAGTGAGTAAGTTTTAATGAGAGGGTCGCGGTTCGGGACTTGATGGGCGACGCGATAGACGTGATGCGAAAGTGGTGGTAATATTAGTTAGTTAGTACCTATGTAAGTTCGTTAGTTAGTGGATGGCGATGGGAGCCTGTGGTGGGCCGAGGGCGACGGACAAGAGAGAGAAAAGGTCACAGGGTGCGACGGGGCGTATTTGGTGGGGACGAGCTTTATGTGTAGCCAAGGCGTTTTGCATTGTCAAGATGGGAATAATGTGTTTTTTTTTTCTTGTTTTGATGTTGGTGAGGACAGGTTGCGAACTATTAATACATGGTGTGGTGTCAAGACAGCGCATACAATGAATACTTGTAAGTGTTACCGCATGTTGTAGCATATAAGTCGGACAGCGAGGCAGTGCAGTCTAGTTAGTGTATCTTCCATTGATGGCGGAATAAATACACTTTTCTTTGTACAACCCCGGATTGTCGCCAACCAACACGAAGTGACGACTGGTGACGTCCTTGTTCAACCATATCTACATAGATTGAGAGTTGGAACACAAGACCGAGACTGTGTTATTTGTCCTCCATTCGGAAAAGGTAGTACACCGAGGCTGGCCTACTAAAACATGCAGCTTTCATCGAAATATCGTCCTGTAAACCGTGGCCGCCTTGTTAGTGCTTTGTCTTCCTGCAGGCATCCGCGCAAAAGCTGCATTGTGCCATCGTGCCTGAAAGTTGCAGCCTGACAGCAGCCCAGGGAACTGCTGCGCCACCACCACAGGTACAAAGCTGCGCGGAGGGTCTTTCAATAAGGTCTCATTTGTTTTACCTGTACACTGATAACATATCTGCCATGATTAAGAATTGAAGAATCATACTATTTAATAGATGTAAAAAATTGACCAAAAGAAATAAAACGCCGTTTGTTTGACATGCTACCACGTGAACCAGCAGAGGTGTATGGCAATAATGCGCGTGGCGCAAGCATTCCGCACTAAACGCCCTGTAAACTCCCTGGGCTGTAGCTGGCTGTACAGTAGGCTGCTGGCCGAGCCGAGGCCCACAACCGGCGGAATAGTACAGATGAGATGCAGCATCATCACCATCCAGACAACATGACAGTAGCACCAAAAATTGAACCCTGAAAAGCTCCCCGCTGACGCCCCCCGGGCGACTTGGCGGGGCATAAGCTTTCCCTTGGCCTTCCCGATGCCTCATTCTCTCGGCTCAACCTTGTCGCAGCATTTCATTCTTGCCCGCTCAGCCGCACACGTAGTTGTGCAACCTAACAACAGAGTAAGGCACCCCCGGAGACGAGTATAAGACCTGTAGTGCCTCTGCCAGATTTTCCTTCCTTTCTTCTTCTTTATGTCATAGACATTCGCCGCTACACTTTTATCTGTGGTTGCAACATCTTCACACACCAAGACACCACTTACACCACCACTTACACGCACTCACACATATACTACTCTCCTTACCATTCAACCACCACCACCGCAAACATGCTCTTCTACCAAGCCTCCGACGCCAATGAATACCTCGCCATCACTGGCATGGGCATCAAGGATGTCCACGTCAAAAAGTCCTCCTTCGTCTTGCCCTTGCAGCGCTGCGTCCGCTTCTCCGTCCAGCCCCAGGACTACGCCATGGACATGCTCGTCATGACCAAGGAAAAGCTGCAGATCTCCCTGCCCGTCGTCTTCACCATCGGCCCGGACATCACCAACCGCGGCGACGACGCCGCGGGCGACGCCCTCCTCAAGTACGCGATGCTCCTGTCGGGGAGCGACGAGGGCCAGCGCAACCACATTGGCAGAATCGTCAGGGGCATCGTCGAGGGCGAAACCCGCGTCCTCATCTCCAGCATGTCCATAGATGAGGTCTTTACCAAGCGCGAGGAGTTTAAGAAGAAGATCTTCGGAATCATCCAGGGCGAGCTCGACCAGTTCGGCCTGAAAATCTGGAACGCGAACGTAAGTCCCCTCCCCGGAAGCCAAACTAATGCATTTCTTTCTCCCCGCTTCAGGTCAAGGAACTCAAGGACGCCCCTGGCTCAACCTTCTTCGCAGACCTCGCTCGCAAGGCCCACGAGGGCGCCACCAACCAGGCGCGCATCGACGTCGCCGAGGCGCAGCGGAACGGCACCGTCGGCGAGGCCGATCTCAAGGGCAAGCAGGAGCGCGAGATCGCCAAGATCGACGCCGATACGGCCGTGAACAAGACGCAGCTCGAAATCGAGCGCGCCAGGGCCGAGGCGCACCTCAAGACAGAAAACACCGCGCTCGACCGCGACGTCGACATCGCAAAGGTCACCGCCCAGCGCAGCCTCGAGTCCAGGGACGAGGAACTCAAGAAGGAGGTCGAGGGCAAGCGCGCCCAGGCGGAGCTCGCGCGCCTCCGCGCGAGGGACGTCGTCAAGGCCACCATCGCCAGGGAGAGCGCCCAGCAGGCCGCCGACGCCGAAGCCTACAAGGTCTCGGCCGACGCGGGCGCCCAGAAGAAGGCACAGGAGGCCGACGCTGACGCCGCCGTCTACCGCATTCGCGCCGAGGCCGATGCCGCCGCCTACGCGGCCCAGAAGAGCGCCGAGGCCGACGTGCTCCGCCGCACCAAGGAGGCGGAGGGTATCGCCGCCATGGCGGACGCGTACGCCAAGATGGCGGGCGCGTTCGGCGGGCCGTCCGGCCTGCTCCAGTACCTGATGATCGAGAAGGGCACGTACGTCGAGCTGGCCAAGGCCAACGCCGCGGCCATCCGCGGCCTCGAGCCCAAGATCTCCGTCTGGAACACGGGGAGCGGCGCCGCCGCCGGCAGCGGTGGTGGTGGTGGTGCTGACGCGACGGAGACGATGCGCAACGTCTACCAGATGCTCCCGCCGCTGATGACGACCATCAACGAGCAGACGGGCATCACCCTGCCGGAGTGGCAGTTTGGCAAGCTCAACGCCGCCCAGCAGGCCCTCCAGAACGAGCAGTCCAAGACCAAGGCCATCCATCAGTGATCATTGACCCATCATCATCACAGAGTTGCGGTCTTCTGCTTCACGTGCCATTTGATCAATTTCCAGCTCTTGCTTTCCGCATATAGACCATGCTTTTCTTTTCTCTTGTTTTTTTTCGCACAATGATGTGTACGATTGCCGACCACACGCTCATTACTCTAGCCTATTTGGATTTCTTTTGTTATACCCCAATGAAGCCTTTGATTTATGCCTTTAGTTTGGAGCGAGATAGACACAGAATGATACCAAATCTTTCAACTTAATCTAGTCCCAAGTCGCAGTTCAATGGTTTTTCCACGTACTCATTCAACGCCTAAATAGTATGTATGCACATCTTCCTACCCAAATTTGATACCCGAGTTTGGATTCCACGTCCCCGACGCCGGCTGCTGTCCTTCACCGCCGCCGCTTCCTCCCGCCGTCGGCCCAGTTCCGAACTTGATGCCTGCACCGGGCTTCCACATGCCGCCCATCGGGTTGGCCACCGGGGGCATCGGCTGCGGCTGCTGCACGTTGGCTCCCGCCCCGGCCCACGACTGTATCGCCGCCGCCTCCACCCCCTGCTGCGGCACGCCGCCGCCGTAGTAGCTCTGAGCCTGAGGCGGTGCTTGTTGATGATACGCGTTCTGTGGCGCCGCGTTGTGCACCGGAGTGTGGTTCCTTGAAATGTTCAGGTTCGAGAGCGGTGGCATGCTCAACTCCCTAGTCGCTTGTTAGCATGGCCCATGATCATTGGTGGGAAAGCTTACTCTTCCAGCGCTCTGGCTTCCATGCGCCGCTGCGCAACCCACGACTTGGCCACGTCGCGGAATCCCTGACCGACAATCTTATTCAGGTCATTGTAGAACTTACGCCCGACGTCCAGGTTGTTGAGCATCTCCTTGTACTTGTAGTACGCCGAGTCGAGCCTCTGCAGCGCCTGCTCGCGTTCGCGGTTCGCGCGCGAGCTTCCCTTTTGTTTTTGCGCTTCAAACTCGCGGTTCGCCCTTTGCAGCTGCGCGAGCAACTGCTCCTGCTCTTTTGCTTCCTTGCTCAGCATCTCAATCTCTGGCTCGTACAGCTTGTCCAGCCGCTTGTCGAAGAAATCCTCAAAATGCGCTGGCACGATGCTCGTTGTGGGATATGTGCGTTCCAGCCTGGCCGCCTCCTTCAAAATTTCCGGCTTGATATCGTCGCGTTTGGAACTCTCCTTCAAGTTCTTGACCTTGACCCGTCGCTTACTCTCAAGACGCACTGCGTCACTATACGCGCCACGCAGCTTGCCCATCGACGCCCTGAGGTCCTCGCGCACATCCATCTGCCCGCCAGAAGGTACGTAATTTTGGATGCCACGGTCGGGTCCGGAGAGGATGCGCAGCAGCTCTTCATTTGCTGCATATTTCTCCCGTACCACGCCGTCACTGCTCGAGCTGCTCTCAAAGTAGCTTTCAATCTCCGTGACGTGATTCCACAGCTTTGCACCTTGAGGGTCGGTTTTGCTGTCTGGGCGAGCCCACCGGTCAGTACCATATTTGGCGCGCAGTTGCTGGTCCTCCTCAGATTCGGCCACCAGCGCCGTCACGCCCTCTTCAAAGATGGCAATGTCGGCGGCGCGGAGCTTATCAATGTCGATGAAAGACTTGTGGATTCTGCTGACAGCATCTGCCTGCCGTATCTCCTCAGCGTGCTGCACCAGGCTCGGTGGTAGCCCGAGAGGCTTCTCCAGGGCTTGGATTGAGCCAGGCAGCCCAAGGGTTGCCAATGTGTTGTGAATTTCCTCCGTCATTGTTTCCAGCTCTTGTATGATATTTTGGTCCACCATTCGGTCACGCCGCTCCTCGTATATCGAAATCGCGACGTGTACCGAGAACGGAACAAGGCGGGAGAAGAGAGCAGGTCCAAACTCGGCCTTGTCTCCGAAGAATTCGTAAGGCTCCGAGACTTGCTTCGGTACTCTAGCAACCGCCATGTTCGCTCGTTCGAGAATCTTGAGTTCCGACTTTGGCGGCACAATGTCTGCACGCGTTAGCACCCCAAGCTCGAGTAGACATGCGCAATCCTTACTCACTCAGAAAGATGATGTCATTGTCCTTTTCCGCCCGCTTTAGATCCTCCTCCACCTTTCGCTTCAACGCATTCAAGTCTTCAACCACAATTTTGTTGAGGTATCCGCCTTTGGTCTCCTTGATACCCTCGTTGACGCACAGCACAGCATCCTGCAGACGCGCCACCTCCTCGCCATACTTCCGCTTCTCCAAGCAATCGCAAGCCGCTCGATACTGCGCGGCCGCTGCAAAGTGGTGGTGCTTGGCCGTCATGTGGTGTATCCACGCGCTGCTGATGGCTTCGCTCTTGACAGCCGATTCGCCGGCCAGGTTGTAAAGATCAGAGACGCGCGCGGCGAGCTTCGCGATCGAGGCATCCTTGTAGCCGTCCATGACCGCCTTTTGCCAGAAACACTCCTGGCTCTGGGCCAGCAGCAGCTGCGTCAGCGATTCAAGCGTGTGCTCGTCCATGTCCTCAGGCGGGTCCGACATGCGCAGCTCCGGCAGCACCGTCGTCTTCATGTGGGAGAGCACGCCGGCCGCCTGCGAAAAGTAGTTGGCAGCCGTCTTGAGGCCGTCTGTATTGGCGCGCGATGTGTTGATGGCAAGTTGCGAGTAGAGCGACGCGAGGTTGTAGAGAATATTCATGAGCTCGTATTTCAGGTTGTTGCGGACCATCGGTCGTTCGGTGTTGTAGCCCAGCGCGGGGTACCACGTAAACTCAGCTCCAATCTGTGCCTCCTCCGTTAGTATCCTTATGTCAACCGGGTGTTACAGAGTCAAGCGCACGTCGATGGGAAACTTGCCGCCGATCCAGACCAGCTGCGCGGCGTACGCTTGGAGCTTCTTGATGCCGCTGGTGTGCGGCTCGCGGACGTTGATTGCATCGGTTCTAAGCGCGTCAATGGCCTCGAGGTCTGGCCGGAACATGTCCGGGTGCTGGTCATATTTGGCGTTGATATACTGGCGAATCGTGGTGGCGAGCGACAGGTGCACCGACCGTCGAAACAGAAGGGAGAGAATATTGCTAGTCCTGCGGAGGTCAGCGAAGTTTGACTCGGCTGATTCAACGTTTGTCCTCACTTGGATTCCATTTTGGCGTTGAATCGCCCACCGGAGCGAGAGCAACGCTGATTCGCGATGGTCGATGCGCTGTTGATAGTTCGTGATGGATGGCTTGTGAGAGTTGAGACTTGGTGCTCGTGATGACGTTGGTGGGGTTGCGATTAGTGGTGGGGGGCGTTGCGGCCCGCGTTGGTCTGAGAAACAACCCAGTCGGATCAGAGGACATTGAGCAATGTACAATAAGATGTAATAAAATTTCAGAATATTAAAATTTTATTATTTATCTAATAGATTTATGGCCAAGTTGCGGAGAGTTTGTGGTAGCTGAGGAACGTTTTCTTGAGAGGGCTTACACTTTACAGTATGGGCCACAATTCACTCGATTAATGAAAAACATGAGCTGGTGAAATAGTTATATTGACTCAATCTACATCTAATTAGATGTAGAAATTGATAAAATCCCGTCAAGCTTAGCCATTCATGACTTTGTTGTCTTTATACTCTTAAGTCAACTGCTTAGCTTAAGTGGCAGCGCAACTCCACGAGACAAACTCAGCATTTATGTTTCGAAAAGTCTTTTTAACCACGCCGGGGATCAGATTTAATCGCCAGTGATGCATCTCTAGTTCTTGAATCTTTGCTATGGAAATGCGAATCATAGTGGCCATTTACAATGGCTGAACCGAAGTGACCGATCTCTTTCCTAGCTCAATACAACGCCGAAGCTAACGGCGCCGTCTCCCTGAAGGCCACAAAATAAAGTTGTTAGGCTTCAAGGTCTTACTGGTGATGGACTACTATTGTGCCTAGATAGGCAACGTCCCGTCTCTGGCATCTACACCTCCCAACCTCTCGATCTCAGCTCCTCCCGTATAGAACACCGCCTCCGCCGAGAGTGTCTGCCTTGCCAACCTCTTCAACCGTCCTTCGCACAGGCAGTGAGAAGAATAAGTTACAGACGGGCGAGTCGACAAGGGGGGCGCAGGTTCCAGTACGTCAGCATCAAACCGCCCACCCTTGGCCCGGGGGACGAATTTATGGGATCCCCCCTTGGCATTCTCTAGGCGCTCATTACCCGTCCAACCGTCCAACACACATTACCACCTTTCTGTACAACTATGTTCACTTTCCTACCGTTATTGCATGTAGCCTGAAATTTAGCGCCTTGTGCCTGCATGGTTCAGATGGGGACCTGCGCTCGCTTGCACGACGCTCATCTCGGCGCCGAGCTGAGTCAATTTAACGAAGAGAAGTGCGTGCCAACACGAACGACTCGGTGCATTGAGACATTGTGGCATTGTGCCGGGCCTCGTGCCAATGCGCTCGTGTTTGCTCCGCGAGGCTGGTGCTCGGCAAACTTGTCTACACGGGCCCGTATCCTGCATTCCTTGTGAGCCCTCCAGGGCTGGGACCCCTGGGCTCCCGTGGGCGCCCGTGGATCTCTTCTTTTTTGTCACTTGGACGCCTTTCATCTCGTTCTCTCAGTGGACTCGGCCACGCCCAGAAAGGCGTCGACTGACCCATGCTTGGCGGGGATAACCGGGGGTCTTAATGTTACGAGACAGCTTGGCACAATACCATATTGGTTGGTTGGCTGCGGGTGGCCCTTCGGCCCATTCGCCTTTCTAGATGAAGCCTCTCTCGACACTCCTTTCGTGGAGTCATATTATTTGTTCTTGGCTCTTTTGTTGTTCTCGTTATAATCCGGTCACTTGGCATGGAAACTTGGCCCTCTCCTCTCCTCTCTTTTCTTCTAAAGCAACTCAGTCCCTCGTTTTAGACTAATCGTCACAACACCACCACCACCTTCGTTTTTACCCTCGTGATTTTTACTGTTCACTTTTTCTTGTTTTTTCAAGAATCATCATGTTCTCCAAGATTGCCGTGGCTCTGGCCACTGTCTCGCTCGTGTCTGCTCAGACCTGGTCTGACTGCGACCCCCGTGTCAAGAGTATGCACTGCCTCCTTCCCACCCCTTGGTCGTTTGGCTCTACACCCAGCTCTTCATCATACTGACAGCCATCGTCTTTCCAGCCTGCACGCCCAACCCTGGCTTCGGCAAGGATGGCGCCAACTGCGACTTCACTCGCGGTGCCTGCGATGCCTTCCACACCATGGACGGCAAGGCCGTGACGTACGACTCGCGCGGCGCCCTCGCCGCCATGGACGGCGCCCCCCAGGCCCCGACCCTGCGCAGCGACAAGTACCTCTTCTTCGGCCGCGTCGAGGTGGAGCTGCAGGCGGCCGGCGGCAAGGGCATCATAACCTCGCTGGTGCTGCAGTCCGACACGCGCGACGAGATCGACTTTGAGACGGTCGGTTTCGACAACAAGCAGATCCAATCCAACTACTTCTCCAAGGGCAACGACTCCGACTTCACCCGCGGCGGCTTCCACGCCATCGACAACCCCTTCGGCGCCATTCACAAGTACACCTTCGAGTGGACCCCCGAGAAGATCGACTGGATCATCAACGGCGCCGTGGTGCGCACCCTGACCCGCACCTCCGTCGGCGCCGCCTTCCCGCAGAGCCCCATGCAGGTCAAGCTCGGCGCCTGGGTCGCCGGCTACGAGGGTGGCCGCCCGGGCACCATCAAGTGGGCCGGCGGCATCGCCGACTTCTCCCAGGGCCCCTCCATCGCCATCTACAAGAGCATCAAGATCGTCGACTACGCCGGCGGCAGCACCGCCACCAGCAAGGACGTCAAGGAGTACGTCTACACTGACAAGACGGGCGACGCCCAGAGCATCAAGATCAATCTCAAAGACGGCACCAGCATCGACGGCGGCAACGGCGGCTCCTCCTCCGCTTCCGCTTCTGCCTCGACCTCCGCCTCCAAGACGAGCTCCGTCCAGTCGAGCACCACCTCGGCTGCCTCCGCCACTACCGTCGTCACCTCTTCCACCAAGAACTCCAGCGCCACCGTGACTTCGTCGCCCAGCTCTGCGGTCAACGGTACCAACACCACCGTCCTCACCACCGCGTCGCGCACCTCTACCAGCTCTACCACTGCGTCCGCCGTCCCTACCAGCGCTGCTTCTGGCGCCGGTGCCGCCTTTGGCGTCGCTGCGCTCTTCCTCGCTGTTCTCGCTATCTAAGCTAACGGCTATGATGTGGTTTGATGACTTGGTTTGTGTTTGAAGATACCAATTGGGAGGATGGACGCAGGACGATTCATGTAATCTACGGTATCCAATGTATAGAGGGTAATTTTTTAGAGCGTTAGAATAAGAAACCTTGTATAGCTTCTTCCATCCAATTGTACCGAGTCAGGGTGACAAAGGCGATACTGGGTCGATGTGACAACGGCGTGTTGACAGTAGATGAGATGACAGGGAAACTGGGAGTCAAAAAAGGCCGCTGGCCGCCTTATCGAGTGGATCGCATCAGTGTTCAATAATTCGATAATTCTCCAATATTGATTTCAGCGTTCCAGTTCTGGCGCCAGACCCCTCAGTGAGATTGCTCAGGATACGGGCGCGGGATGCGGAACCTATATCCGTAGATGTTGTATGGCAGTCGGTCCAGGGATGGGGGTGGGCTAGTTTCCATTTCTTTTAGAAGAGAATCATTAACAGGATATTTCTTCATTTATTTTTCGGGATTCTCTGGTGAGTTCTTTCTCGTTCAGGGAATTGCCTCGGGCAACAGACAAGATATGGTATTACAAGTCCTTGATTCATCAGCAAGGACTTTACTGCCTCCAAAGTGGAGGAAAATAATATAACAGTACATTTTCATGCCGACGTTGACCAAATTGATCAATGCATCAATGCTGGTCTTGATTGGCTGCTAAGTTTCATCGCGATTGCATAATGTAAAGATCAGCGCTCATAATAAGGTAGTGATGACTGTAAACATGGCTGTAAACACGGCCGTCATGGGAACACACATACCACGCCACTATCATGTTTGCCAATAAATGTCCCTCGATGTATGGATAGCGCTAGCTCAAAAAATTGCTCTCGGCATATAAACACGAGCCTGCCACACATTCATGACATTATTAGCTCGGCAAGCCAAGGTGATGTCGGCCAGCCGAGCTTGCTTTTTTGTAGGTACACACCTTTGCCCGAGTCGTTGACTACTTATAATTGACTGAAATTCTGCTCGATTTTCGTTATGTGCTATGTATACTCAGACTATCTGTAGAATCGACTAGAACGTGATGCACCGGGACACCGTGTAAGCGCCATAGTGCCAGGGAGGCGGCACAATGCTTGGCATAAGCGTTAATCATTATAGAGAAATTGGCAGAAAATTTATGCAAAACAGGGAAGCTACGAGGTAATACATTATCAAGGCGTCTAGCCCAAGTTCAGGAAATGAAGGAAGGAGATGCAACAACGGTCTGGTCGAGTGGCGAAGAGCGAGAGCCAATCACTTCATGTCTTCGCTAATCCGAAATGGTGTCCCGGGGTAACTACGTGTCAAGCTCTATATCCGATACTGCCGTGGCTTGAAACGGCCGTCAATTCTAGACATGTGTAGATTCCACCTTGTCTCTCCCCTCCACGGCCAGGTCTGGGGGCGCAATAGCAATCAGATGTGGCTCGTGCTAGCGCAGAGCCGCTCCTGCGTATGCTATGCTCGGATAGACAAAGCCTGCACCACACTTCAAGTACGGATGTATCGACCTCGATATGGCTAGGAGGGAGAGAGAGTCGCTATTTACCATTCAGATCGACACGGCGGCGCGCGTAAGTTAGTTGGCTCTCTGTGCGAGGTTAAAGAGGTAGTAACGGGGCGAAGCTCGACCTATGTATCCATCACCTGAACCATTATCAGTCAACAATGGATGCAGTAGGTATATATCAAGATGTTGAACACCTTTTTTCACTATTTATTTTCGTATAAATATATGAATGTCCCGCTAAAGATTTTCTAGTATTTTTTGATGCTCGTTTCTTTAACACAAGCCCGCAAAGGCAACGATGTATCTGACTCCTAGTAACACAAGGACCCCTTATTAGCTGACCGCCAAACACCCTCAAGTGCTAATGTGGGTAGTACTGTGCTGCTTAGTTACACAACTCCTTAGATACATAAACGGTTATTCATCTAGACCAACGATACACAAATGCACAAAAGACGACGGCGGCTGCAGGAAAAAATCTTCCTTGACATCATCCTCAGCCGCCTTCTACTCATACCCCTCACTTGCAGCAGGCACCACCGGGTCACCGGGTTCAACCCTTTATATCGCCCTCGTGTGCCTGCTGCATCCCGTTTCTACCAAAAACCTTGCTGCTCTACCTCGCGCTCTACATCGCGCTCTCCCGTTCTGGAATACCACACAAAAGAAATAAAAGTAACCCTACAGGCAGCAGCCAGCCATGCGTCTCTTCCTCATCCGCCACGGCGAGACGGTCGACAACGTGGCCGGCGTGCTCGCCGGCATCACCGACTCGCGGCTGACCTTGCACGGCACGGTGCAGGCCGGGATGCTCGCCTCGCACCTCGCCGCGCGCTTCCCCTCGACGCCCGTGCGCAAGATCTTCACCTCGGACCTGCAGCGCGCGCTGCTCACCGGGCGCGCGGTGCAGTCCGTGACGCGCTCCGGGCGGGGCGACGACGCCGGGCCACTCGTCGATGCGCGCGCGCGCCCGCCGCTTCCTCACCGAGATGCTGCTGCCGGAGCTGACAAAATGGGGCGCGCGCGCGGACGACCTGGTCATCGTGGTGGCGCACGGGTTGCTGCTGCAGCCGCTGTACGCGTGCCTGATCGAGCGCGTGCCCTGGGGGAGGCTCACGGTGGACCGCGGGATCGCGCCGCACCCGCCGATGGGGTTCGGCCCGGCGCTGCGCCCGCACTGGGCCAACACGGCGTACCTCGAGGCGATGGTCGTGCTTGACCCGGTGGTCGGCGGCGGCGGCCTGCGCATGCACGTCATCCGCGTCAACTGCACGGTGCACATCAGCGAGCTCAAGAGGACGCGCGGCGGCATCGGCAGGGCCGCGCACGACGACAGGCAGCGCACCCTCGACTCCTACTTTGGTAGGGGGAAGGCGTGAAACGCCTGATGATTTACGATAAACGACTTGGCATTATTTGTTTGTTGATTACAGCGCTTGTGACAATATGGTTAGTGATTCTCTTTTCTCTCTTCTTTCCTTCTTTCTCTTCCCCCTTGGCTTGATCCAAGACCTCCCTCCATGCATGCCCTCGGCTGCAACTCAAGTATATGATGAGGAACAAAAATTCACAGACCTGTACCGAAACACTATGTGGACACGTATTTTTACCAACTGCTGTCTGATGCTTGATGTCAAATTTCCGTCTTTTGATTTGATTATATATCATGTTTCATTGCTGACTCGCGTCAACATAGGGGGATATTGATTGCTACTAGTTAAGCCACTTTGTGCTTTTACTACGGTGTCATACATCCGTGCTAGTCTCGTCCGTGCCTGTAAATATCTTGTAAAAGCGTTTGCTCGTGGCCTGTCCAATCGCCCGATCCGAGAGCGCACCGTCCTTGTTGGCACTCTTGCGGACTTCTTCCAAGGCGTTGGGCCCTTGCGCCTGCAGCCCCTCTACCAGCTTCGTAACGGTGTCAAATTCGGACGCCACGCCGTAGGCAATAGGGGCCGTCACGCGAAAGATTTCCTGTAGCATGCGCACGTAGGTATCCTGCGCGTTCTCGCCCGTCTTGACCTGCCCGTTATCCATGCAGAAGCGCGCTCCGGCCGTGTCTTCGGCCTTTTGCCGCTTGTACGGAATGGTGGAAATGTTCTGCGTAAAGATGGAAATCCATTGCGCCGTCTCGAGCGGTATGGCCGTGTGATGTATAAGGACGTCGTGCTCGACCTGTAACCGGAGGATGGCGTCTTCCACCAGGTCCTCGTCAACGTACTCGGCTAGATCAGCTCGCCTTCGTCCGGGTGCAGGCTGGCTTTCAGTCTGTGATCGAACACCAGCCGCAAACTGTCGGTTGCGTAGATTGCGGTTCTTCTTCATCCAGGTCACGACGCCTTGTAAGATGTAAATCAGTTTTGCGTTCGGACATTGGTTTCGAAGCGAGGTCAGGTGCTCGTCTAGACTATCGCCCAAGGCAAGCTTCACCATATCCTCTGCAGCGAGGAACACCAGAGCATGATCCTCTGTTTCTATGCGTAGCGGCATAGGAACCCACTGGCCTGACTCGTCGTCAAATTTGCTGTTGACCTTGCGACGCCATTTGACGATGTTGTGGTCCACGCTGTCATAGTCTCGATGTTGCACCTCCAGTCCATCGAGCAACGCTTCCAGCTGCACTTTGATTGTCGATGGGAGGCATGATGGTATGTCCACAATCATTTCTTTGGTAGACACCTTCCTGTTTCCCTTGGCTTTGTTAACCTCCACGATAGCAGCAGCGACATCTCTTTCTCGCTGCCGCTCTTCCTTCGCTCGTTCGCGTTCATCGCGTTTCTGCTGCTTCTTAAGGGCTGCTGCTGCCGCGCGTTGAGCTGAATCGACCGTCTGCCGCACTTTTTGGGGCTTAGGATCAGAGACCTTGCGCTTCGATTTGGTTGTTGAACTGGCCTTGGGGGCTGAAGCGGACAGATAATTGTAGTGTGAAGACCGGCCTTGTGACAGGTCAAATTTGTTAATGGTTGGTAGGTCATCATCGCTGGGTGCTGATGAGTCCCCAATACTGATGATAGATGGGCTTCGAGATAAGCGATTTGATGGTACATCTGCAACCTTGGGAGGCGCAGAAGAGCATGGAGCTGAGCTAGATATGGGGTCCCAGGCAGCTGCTGTACGTTTTTGGCATGTCGGTTCCTGAGCGAGTGTTGTGTTGGGCGCGCGAGTAGAAGCGATTATTCTCACGGGCGACGAAGTAGCGAATGGGTCCGATGAAGGATATTGAGCGAGTTGGGTATTTTCCGACCCCCGAGCAAGTACTGTATTTGCCGTGCGATTGGGAACGACCCCTCTGATGGGCGATGAACTGGCGAAAGGATCTGACAAGAGATCTTGGGCAATTCGAGCAGTTGCCAATGTGGTAGTAACTCTCGCCGGCGGCGAGCTGGCAAACGGATCCGAACTTGGCAGCGCTGGCTCTGTCCTGCTCCTTTTTAAGCTGGTCGTGCGGGGGTTGGGAGAAGCCAGTGTTTGGGAGCCGATAGAGCTGATGAATTCGATATCCCCCGGAGTTGTCTTTAGGTTCCGGCCATTTGTATGACACGAGGGCTTCACGATGGAAGGGGCTGAGGGGCGGCACTGCCGGTCATCGGCGCCTTCGACAGACAAGCGCGGCCGTTTTGCGCCGTGCTCATCCACAGGCCTGCTGTTATCAACGATGTCGTCACCGCTGCTGCAAAAGTCGTCCGAGTGAATCTCGATGTGCGGCAGGCCGGACGCGCCGGCGTCGGGCCGGGCTGCCGCCTGCTTGGGCGGCCGCAGGACACCTCTCGGCGGACTTGATGAGATGAGGTCAATCACGTTGGAAGCCATCTTCGGACGCCAGCTCTCAGAATGGCCATCGTAGGGTCCAAGGCGATTGTTGAGAAATCACCACCTGTCGCAGGGTAGAGGCGACGCGCGGTTGTGTCGTTCGCGATGTTCGCCGCGTCGTGAATGAATTAAGTGGGACTATAGCAGCCACACTTTCTATGCACAAGATGGAAGGTGTAGGTGCCACAATAGGTAATTGTCGTCGCCGCTTTAACAGAATCAAATTTGAGCTTGAATGAACAGATGGGTTCGCCTCCTCGCCTTTAGATATTTTCCAGTGCCACTTAAATCCCCGGGGCACAATTTTCCTACAGTGAATCAAGTCCCTACGTTTCGGGCAGTGATGGTGCTTAGGGAGTTGCCTCCTATGATGCTTCCTTCCATGTACAAACAGTGGCCTACCCGGTATCAGCTACTGCAACGTTTCTTTTCCGTCCACATATCAGTCAGGATCTTGCGAACTTGGCTACTCGGTTTTGTCGGCCGGGTACACCAACATACGTGTGCAACCGGGTTGTCTGGATAAACTTGGATAGGCATTGTCCCTCGGTGCGTTCCTAGTGCATTGTTTCGACCATGGCAAGACGCCTATGCCCTGGCGAACCGTAGCGTCTGGCTGCCCCCGTTAGGCAGAGCTAGGTATAGAATTCTAGAGCTGGCAGGCCAAGTAACAGCGGTATTCCCTTTCTTTTTTTATTGATTCACGTAAAGCTGGATGGGGCGTCCATTCCAACAGCCTGTCGGGGCCAAGTGCTACCGGGAACGCTAGGCTGGACTAGATGGCAATTTTTACAAAAGAAAGCCAGAAAAGGACAGGTCAAGCAATGAAAACCGAGGATAGCCTAGAATTCTTCAGTGGCTGACACTGCGTTGCTTAATATGCCGGCATGAGCTGCGCATACCTACATGCTGTGGTGGCGAGGGAGGGACATGCAGCCATCGATCGATTCGGTAACATCAGAGGCACTCATTGGCCCATGTCAAAACACGTTGGGGTTGGCATTTCCACGGATTCAGAATTGAGCTCGTAGGTCGGCAAATTCCCGCCGTTCTCGAGTCATTGAATGGCCAGTCTGCCGGTGTAGCCCGGCCCTCTCACTTCAGCACAGACAGCAGCGGATGTTCGGTAATAAGGCGGCGTCAGGAGATGTAAAGTTTCGCACGAAGCACGTTGGCGGCTGACGGCTGAAAGCCGAGCACTGCGGGATCGGATGGTCATTCCATGAATAGGCGAAAAGCTGCGTGCAGCTCAGCAGACCATGGCCTGGGCTCAGCCGGACAGGCCGTCAGTTGTCTCATTGGGACGGCGAAGGGTGCAAGACAATGCCACAGACAGAATGACTAAATAAAGATACGGCTTGCACCGTGAGATAAGGTTTTCAAGAGAAGAATGTTCTTTATTAGAGCGAACAAGTTTGGTTTAGGTCAGGTTCCAAAGGAACGAGCACATGTTTGATGGACGAACTGGACGATGGGGTGGTTGGGGGAAGAAAAGAAGCTTGATGGAAGATGGCAGGTCCGCTTGAGCGCCATAAGTACTGTACTGTACCAGTAATACACTGGACATGAAGCAGGGCGCTCGCACAGGCGCTGGGCGGGGCGGGATCAGACAAATGGGCTGGCTGAGCGGTGGCACGGCCGCGGGTTTGCCCATATGTACTCCGTATTCGATCTGGCATATGCGTCCTTGCATCTGCGTGTGTTCGTTCCTGCGTACATGCCTGCGTGTGCTGAGTACAGTATGGATGCGCCAGGGAAAGGGGCTTCCGCGGCGATGGCTGCAAACTGGGAAAAGTTATCCGGACCAAAGCGGCCGCAGGTGGTGGTACTGGCAAAGTTATGTGCGTGGTCGGCAGATCTGACAGGAGGCGCATGCAGAAGAGTAGCGTGATGAGGAAGAACAACAACAAGGTAGGGGTCTGAGACGACTTGTTGTTGCGATGGTTGATGTGGGCGTCGCGATCCTCAATGCCCCCTGCAGCCCAGTGTGGCAGAGGCTGCAATCGCGACGCGGAAGAGGACGCCTTTATCATGCGCGTCACACGTTGTTCTGCAGCCTCAATATGCGACAGTGAGAGCGGCCAATATATGTCGTTCGCTGCCCGTTTCGGAAAGGATTCAGAGACGACTGAAAAGCAAGAGGTACAGAGTGCATGACAGATATCAGTGGCGACGGAGTGAGTACATGTGCGGAATTTTCCCATAGTCAAACATTTCTTGATGTTTTTCTTTGGAACGATCATCGTACGAAAATTATTCATTTACACGCTGTCATAATCCATGTCATGGACATCGCGAGTTGGGGGTTGGTCTTCGTTCGTCGGTGACATGATTCAGACATGCCTGCTAGGCTGGTGGGCGCGGAGCGAGTCTCAGAATGAGGAGATGTGCTCTTGTTGTGACGAGGTTTTTGTGGTAGGCTGATGGATAAGAAAAAGCAAAGTTGGGAACTCCCTCTGCAAACTGAGGGGAAGGGAGGCAGGGGAGAGCTTACCTGCGTATGGATACCGGATACTTGCCTCTTTACGGATACAAGTCCCTCGACTTGTGGTCTTCGACTCGGTGGTGACGGAAAACTATCCGTACTCCGTCCTGTAACCAGCTCGGCCGACCATCACGGCCGTCCTCCAGCAAAAGCCTAATGATGAGGGGACCTCTTCCCCATCACCCTTGTTCCCAGCCATGCGCATGGAAACCAAAAGACGGGCGTGCAAATCAAGGTATCACGCGATTGGCTCTTCTCAACAGCCGAAATGAGCTGGTCGCCGTCTTGCCTCAGCGACAAGAGGCAAGTCAGTGCAGTCACCGCCAAAGCAGCGCAGTGGCTTGATTCCCCTCAAGTACCGAGCCGACCTACCCACAAGGCCTGGACGGGGACGCCTCAAGCGGTTCCCCCCCAAGTATCTACAATATATCCGTGCTGGTAATCTGTACCTGCGCAAACTGTACGGGATACAGCAGCCATCAGGGGCATGCCAGGTACAGAGGCTGGGGCTGGGGCTGGGGAGAGAGGCTGCTCTTCATTTATCGCGGGCTATCTAATAAACTTACGTTTACGAATAGTTTGTGGGAATAGCACCCTCACGAGCCTTCAAATGCGTGCCCAGACTCTGTAACTTGGACTGTTGCCTGCAACGGCGCATCGGCCAGGTTAATATCCAAGACACAGGCACCGAATACTTGGCTTCCCTGTTCCCTCTCTTGGGCTTGGACCTCTGAAAAAAAAAGGTGGCTTGACTTTGCTGGGTCCCCTCTCCGCCTCTTTCTCAACTCGCAAGTTTATTACTGGCAGGAAGAAAAAAAAAATCCCCTGAATCCTCCAGTCAGCAGCCAGCCACCTGCACACTGCCTGTACTTGCCTGTCTTGGAAACGATAGAACTGCTGTGACACGCCGTAATCACGGCTGCCATGGCTGTCGGCCTCAAGGAAGAGTAGGACAAGGGAGGTTTTTATCTCAAGCGTAAACACCTACGGGGTACCTACCCTTGCCCAATAAACTCAGTCGGCACTTTCTCAGGTACTGGAAGATGGGTGTGTACCTGGCTTCTGGAGTAGGTTTGCGCTAACGTCCAGGTACCTACCGTCCCTTACTAGTACCTCTTTAGCTCCCGCCCCCCTATTCGGCGTTGCGATTGCGCCGCTTTGTGTGTTGCTTTTCCTGTCTCCTTTTGCCAGAAAAGCACAGATGCGCAAATGTATTCTTTTTCGAAGTTCAATTGCGAATCAGAATTTTCCGAACTCTTTTCTCAGCTTCATCGACGGGTTTCTGGCGCATCTCCCCTGGCGGTCACATAACCACATCACCACGCCAAAACGTACCACTACATCATCCGCCATCAACGGGTGCCCGTCACTTGCGCACCCCGGTTTCTAGTTTAATTAAAACGCCAGCCATTCATTGCCAGCTTTCCGCTCGACTGGCTGGGAACCACTGTTCATGCTGCAGTGCCTGTCGCCTTGTCGCTGTCGTTTCCCACGTACGCCCCGCGACGCCCTGTCCCTCCCCCGACGGACGCCGGACGCAGAGACAGACCGACAAATCGACATTCGACAATCGAAGAATACTCTTGCTTATTATTATTATTATTATTATTATTGCACAACTTGGATATATCCACTTGAATACCACCACCCTCTCACTCTCTCGACACACACTGCGCCGTCTGCATGCTTGCCCAAAAGCTGGCCCAATCTGCCATCATTTCGTGGGGCCACCACCACTACTACCACCAACAACAACATTTGATGCGACTCTTCTGATACCCGTCGAGAAGGAACATATTTGGGCTCTATCGTCAAGTCCTGACATTTTTGCCGCCACGGCAAGTCAACCTTGGCAAGCGCAATTCCAGCCTGCCCCTCCAGGTACCTACCTACCTCCTACCTCTCTACCTTCCTCCTACCACACCAACCGACCTAACCAACCCACCAGGCTTGCTTGCCCCCCAAAATTTCCCCTGGTCGGCCGGTCCCCCTGCTAATCTTTTAGCTGGCCACCGGCGTTGACCAGCAGTTCGCGCCGCGCAAACGACGGTTGCACCTTTTTCTTTCCCCCCAATTTCTTCCTTCCCTTTTCCGCTATTTCGCCCAAAATAACCAGCTCAAAGACCAACAATCAAACCCTTACCCTTACTAGCAAGCATCCTTCATTCTTCTTGTAACGCCAGAAGTCACCGTTTATCACACACGCGCGCCGGGACCATCAGTGTCCCCGCGAACCCTCTTCCGCCCATAATGGCGAGCACTCCGCCAGCTTCGCCTATCCACCAGCGGCCCTCGTCCACCATCTTCAAGCCGTCCAGGAGCAGCAGCAGACTGAGCATGAGCAGCAAGACGGGACTGGGTAGCCGCGCCTCGGATGAGGACTCGCGCACTGCTGTCCGTGTCGGTACGTTTCCTGCCCCCCTCTGTTCCCTCTCTCACTTAATCGTGTGATTGTACCCTATGCCCTTGCCGCGCCCGACGCTCATCCCGCGCCTACTAGCTGTCCGCATCCGACCTCCTCTGCAGCCGTCAGATCCCGGCTACGACTTGATACCCCAACGCTTCCAGCGCTCCATGGTCCAGACCTCCTCCGACACCAGTCTATCCATAGAATCTCCCCAGGGCCGCAAGCTCTTCGTCTTTGACCGCGTATTTGGCCCCGACGTCGAGCAGGATGGCATCTGGGACTACCTCGCCGACTCGGTCAACGCTTTTGCCCAGGGCTACAATGTGTCGCTCCTTGCCTACGGTCAATCCGGTGCCGGAAAATCATACACAATGGGCACGTCTGGCCCTCTAGATCAGCAAGACGATAAAATGATGGGTAAGTCGCAATCTACCACCGCCGCACCGCCAACTGTGCGCACAACCCCCCCGACTTCCCAGTTTCTTCCGCGATGCTGACATGTCACCTCAGGTGTAATACCTCGCGCCGCCACAGCTCTTTTCGCCAAGCTAGAATCATTATACGGCAAAAACGATGGCTCACTGGGCTCGCTCGGACATCTTCGTGGCAGCCAATTTCTATCGCAGCTCAAGAACCCACGTGGGTATGCCCAGCAAAATCCTCTCGGTGACCGCAACTGGTCCCTGAAGGCCACTTACGTGGAAATCTACAACGAACAGCTCCGAGATCTCCTAACCCCCGAAGCGACACCGCTTGGTGAACGCTCTAATGTCGCCATCCGCGAAGACACAAAAGGCAACATCATAGTCACCGGTCTCCACCAGGTCCAGATCGAGTCTGCCGACGACCTCATGAATGCCCTTGCTATGGGCTCGACCATTCGCCAAACCGACGCCACCGCCATTAATGCCAAGTCCTCACGCTCACATGCTGTTTTTTCATTAAACCTGGTCCAGAGACGCAGCAAGACGCAAACCAACCCCGCTGACAAGCGATTTTCCGTCCCCATTGAGGCCATGACGGGACAGGAAGTCTCCATCACTACGGATAGCAAATTGCATTTCGTCGATTTGGCTGGCAGTGAGAGACTCAAGAATACTGGTGCGCAGGGCGAGAGAGCCAAGGAGGGAATCTCGATCAACGCTGGGTTGGCATCTCTTGGAAAAGTCATTAGCCAGCTGTCATCTCGCCAAAGCGGCTCACACGTGTCGTACCGTGATTCCAAGCTCACGCGCCTTCTTCAAGACTCGCTTGGTGGCAATGCCATCACCTATATGATTGCTTGCGTCACCCCAGCCGAATTCCACCTGAGCGAAACTCTCAATACCGTTCAGTATGCCCAGCGCGCCCGCGCTATTCAGTCTAAGCCCCGCATTCAACAAGTCGAAGAGGGCGACCGGCAAGCCGTCATTGACCGTCTCAAGGCTGAAGTTAACTTCCTCCGCGAACAGATTCGCAACTCTCAGAACGGCGAATCCGGCCCCAAAGGCTCGGGCGCTGGCTCATCCGAGCGCACAGAGCGCGACAAGGAGCGGGAAGCCGAAATGCAGAATCAGCTTCTTGACATGCAGGAAAACTACAGTGCCCTCAGCCAGCGCCACGCGCGCTTAATCGCCGAGATGGCCAAGGCCGGTGACAAGGAGTCTGCGCTCAGGGAAGCCTCGGATTCGACACAAGTTAATAGCGCTACCGACAGACTGAACCGCTCCAACTCCTTTGCTCAGGCCGTCGAGCAGGTCGTTCTCGAGTACGAAAAGACAATTGAGTCGCTCGAGCAATCTCTTTCCAGTACCCGAAGCACGCTCTCCACTACCGAGACTTCACTGCTTGAGAGAGAGACCAAGCTGGCCTACATTGAAACCATTAATACACAGCTTCAGTCCCGAGTCCAGAAGCTGATGGATCGCGAAGCCAACACAGAATCCTACCTCCACGACCTCGAATCTAAACTAGACGGCCACAGCACCGGCGACGAAAAGAATGCTTCCGTTATTATTGACCTGCGCAAGGAAATCGCCCGTGCACGCGAAAACGAGGCTTCATGCGAGGATTACATTTCGACTTTGGAAGAACGCCTCGCCGAGGCTGATCAGGACGGCGAGCTGATGCAACGCGAGATTGATCGCCTCGAGCAAATCATTGAGCGCCAGCGCAGTCTGGGCAAGCTTGATTCTCTACTCTATGAGCTTGATCATGTCGAGGAGTTGAAGCAGCCTCAAGCTAACGGATCCCACGAGAATGCCCGTCGCGGGTCTGCTGACCACTCCCGAAAGCTCTCCCATATTCGCACACAGAGTCAGATTAACGAAACGATTCACGAGGATGACGAGGACGCCGACGCTGTTGAATCTCGCGCCAGTACTGTTAGGGAGGAAATATACGAAGATTCCGTCGAACACGTAAGCCGCCAGGTTGGGACTCACGAAGTTTCTGATGGCGACGCTTCCGTAAAGGCCGCACAAAGCCCGGCTCAGACTAGATACGTCTCAGATAAACTCGAGACTGTCACGCAGGAGCTGGTTGACCTCCGCGTCGAGCATGAAGCGACCGTCAACGATTACGATGCCCTGCAGGTCAAGTACGAAGTCGCGATGCAGAAAATGGCCACGCTGCAAGATGCTGTCGATGAAGCCCGCCACATCCGTCCCGTCCGCGACTCCATTGTCTCGGAAGGCTCGTCCAACCATAGACACTCGTTCCGCTCCTCCGTCGAATCCCAGATTGCCAAGGAGGGCGCCCGCTCTTCTGCTTCCCGTTCTCTGTCATCTGAGCTTTCTTCGGCCATAGAGTCGGCTGATACAGCAGATACTTCGGCCCATGAAGACATGGTCGAGGACGATGACACGGCCACCACTAAGCCTGACGCCTCTAGCGACGACGCGACACAGAGCGAATTGACTGGCGAATTAACACAAGAATTGGAGCGTCTCAAGCAGCTTGCCGATGATAGGGAAGAGGCTGCCAGGGAGCTCGCCGCTAAATATGCGCAGCTTCAGTCTACCCACAGCGAGACCTTGGACACGGTTGAGGAACTCAAGACCGATCTGTCCAAGGCACGCGCTGTCGAAGCTACCTCGCCTCGTACTTCCAGCCCTGTCATCCGTCGCAAATCGAGCCAGAACCTCCTCATCATCGACCGAGCTCACCGCTCCTTTGCCTCCTTGCGTAACATTGCCAGCGAAAATTTCGAGACCCGCCCGGAAGTAATGCAAAATTTCGAGCTGAACCTCAACGCCGCCATGCATGAGCTTCACACCCGCAGTGAGCGCATCCAGGAGCTCGAGGCTTCCGTCGCGTCAACAAAGAAGGAAATGGAGACTAAGATGACCATCATCTCTGGCCTGACTCGTGAGCGCACCAGCTTGAAGGCCAGCCCCATGGACATGTCCATGGTTGCAACTCTGCGACAGAAGCTTGAACAGAACGAGAAGCAGCTGGCCGAGATGGGCGAAGCTCATAAGCAACGAGAGCAGACTCTGCTAGCTGAGTTGACCCAGCTACGCACCGAGTATGAGCAGAGCCAGGCTAAGCACAGAGACGGTGCTGACGCAGCTGCTGTCGACAAAGACAAGCAGGTTACCTCTCTGCAATCTGAGCTTTCTGCCTGGGAGACGAAACACAGCACTGTCCTTGCTTCTATGCAAGCCACTGAGACGGAGTTTCGCAACACCATCCTTGGCCTAGAAGCCGAACTCGCCGCGGCAACCGTCAATCTCGAAAAGGTGAAGGCTGCCTCCTCTGCCGATTTCGACACCATTGCCAACAACGAGCGCAAGCACCAAGACCTTGTCAGCTTTCTGCGCAGTGAGATTGATGAGTATAAGAAGCTCATCTATTCGAACTCTGCTCGGGTTACTGAGCTCGAACAGGCGCATGTCGCTACCAAGTCTGAGCTAGAGGAGATGTTGACCTCGCATAGCACCGCCGCAGCTCAGGCTAGGCAGAGTGAGGAACTTGTCGCCGAATTGCAAGCGCAAATTTCCAATTTCGAGGGCACTTCCAAGTCGCACAAGGAGGCCCTTGACGAGTTGGCGGCTACGCATACCAAGGAACTAGCCGAGATGAAGGCTCACGAACAAAAGGGTTACGAAGAGCAGATGGAGGTCCTCCTGACTGAGCACCACGAATCGACTCGCAAGCTCGAAGCTGAGGTCAATGACGCTCGTGAGGACTTGATGAAGGTCGCGACGCAGGTTGCCACCGCGCTGGGACTGGAAGTCAGCATTGAGAAGCTTACTGAGCGCATTGATGGCCTAGTCAACGACCAGAAGCTGCTGCAAGCTGAGCAGAGCAAGTCGACCGAGATGCAGCAGCATGTGACGGAGCTCACCGCCATTAACGAGACCATTATGCATGATTTGGAGGAAGTCAAGGCCAAACTTGCTGAGCTGTTGGCAGGACCCGTGGCGGAGACGGAAGCCAAGGATGCTGCGGCGCCTGGATCCATCAAGGACCAAATCGCTGCCGTCAAGAGCAAGATGGATGACCTGGAATCCAAGAACACGAAGCACAGCCGTCTGGTCGAAGAGCTAGAGGAGCAGCTCCAGAACAACTTTGATGAGGCACAGATGACGAACAAGCGCCTCAGCTCTCTGCAGACGGAGCGCGCGGCGCAGATCGAAGAGGTCAATGCTGCCAGAGCTAAACTGCAGACAGAATTGGACACGCTTCGACTCGAGTACAATTCGCTGCAGGCTAAGCTGTCGGAAGGCGAAGCCAATGGGGAGGTACGCCGCTCAAACTCTGGCTCGACAATCCGCAAGGCTGCCTCGCACAACTCGCTGCCTTCACCGCCGCCTGCCATTCCCCTTCCGCCTCTGCCGGGCTCTGCAAACTCGTCCATTAACGGTGTACCCGCGTCGCCGCCTAGCCGCCCTCTAAGCAAGGACAACATGAACATCTCGCAGATTACTGAGGATCAGGAGGCTCGCATCCGCACCATCGAAAAGCACCTGTATGCGGAGCGCCAACTCACACAGACTTTGGAAGAGGCTCTAAGCGATCTCGAGAAGCAGTCCAAGAAGGTCAAGACGGACTGCGACGCCTGGAGGAAACGTGCGTCTGATCTAGAGCTGGAGGTCAAGGAGCTCAAGGAACGGCCGGTAGAGTCCGTGCAGGACCAGCGCTGGAGCATGCAGGCTGTTGAAGAGGAGCGCAAGAAGCGATTCCAAGCGGAGCAAGCCCGAAAGCAGCTGGAAGAGAGGATGAACGCTATCAAGAAGGGCAAGAAGAAGAAGGGAAGCTTGAACTGCTTCTAGAGGGGGCTAAGTTATGCGTTTAGAATGTTTCGGCGCGAGCCAGATGCGCCGCCAAACACGCCGCCAGACACGCCGCCTTATACACCGCGAGGTGACGAGCAGACGGTTACGTCTTAGTCTGTTGGCCCTCGATACCCAACCAACACATCCTCTATCCATCCCACCGACTCAAAGATGAAAAGCGCACGACTGGTTTTCTTTATCCACACATCCACACATACCTCTCACCCAGCGCCAGTTTTTTCTCTTACATTTTCTGTTTTTGAAGCAACACGACTCTTGTTTTGATTTTTAGCGTTGCAGTCACGACGAAATGGGCTCTGTTTATATGTATGTACATGGTATGCGTCCGGCCCAATGCATACCCCCCCCCGGAGGTATATACAGTTTACTTCTATTTTTGGCGGCTCTTTTTAGCAGCCCTTTGTTTTGGTTTCGGAGTGTCGTCTTATTTTCTCCATTGAAATTGTATCAGCAGCACATGAACTGCGCTTTTGGTCAAGGATGTGCTCATGCCTTGGAAGGGTTATTTTTCTTCCCTTGTTTTTAGGGGCCGTCCTGTCTGGACCCGTTTGTCCTTTTTACATCTGATGATCGCTTCAGCAACATGTTCATTGCTTGGAGTTTGTTGGTGAACATTGCAATGAAAAGAATTCTCTTGTTACTCTTCTATTCTTTACTTCTCTAGCCAGCCCCTCTTCATTGTTTTCGTTGTGGGATTGTCTAATGTGAATTAGTTGATATTCAGCAATACATACCTCCTGTGCGATTTGAATATAGGCTATTGTGCCATTTGCGTCTGAACCCGTGCTGTCCCGAACATGGTACACGAAAAACAAGATAAAAATCATGACAAGTTTAGTTAGTCATTTAGTCATCCTCACTATCCTCCTCCTTGATCTCGACATGCTCCTCCTCCTTCGCGCCTGCTTCATGCTCCGACGGCAGCGCCTCCGGGAACCAGCCGTACTCGGCCAGGTCCACGCTCATCTCGCCGAGCGCGCCGCGGACGACCTCGACCCCTTCGTCGCGCAGCAGCTCGGCCTGGTCCCGGACGGCGGTCGGGTGCGCGCGCGGGGAGATGACGCCGCGGGCGTTGACGACGCGCTGCCAGGGCACGCTGTCGTGGTCCCAGCGGTGGCCCTCCTCGGCGGCGGGGAGGTGCTTGAGGCAGACGCCGACCTGGCGAGGGCGCTGCGCTGGAAGAAGGTTAGGGAAGTGAGAGGGGAAAGGGAGGAGGGAAAGAGGGGGGACGGACGGGTGCCGATGAGGAGGGCGATGTGGCCGTAGGAGGTTACCCGGCCGCGGGGGATCTCGCTGACGGCGGAGTAGACGGCGTGGAAAAAGGCGGCGGCCTCGTCCGTGCGGGGCATTGGGCGGGTAGGTGGATGTGGGAGATGCTGGTGTGGGATTGTGGTGAGATGAGTGAGATTTGGTAGTGGTGCTGAGGTTGGTTGACGCGGGGAGAGGTTGTCGTAGTTGCCGTGAATGAGCAAGCCGCCTCCGCATAGTAATGTTCATGGCGCCGTTCCGGCCCGGCACTAGTTACGGGAGCTCTTAGCGTGGCTGCAACGAAATATAATGACCCGAGCCAAGCGCTTTCTTTCACGAGTTTATTATTACTAGATGGAAAGGCAGATCCATGGAGCAAGATAGAGAAGCGGGCTCGGGATCAGCGTCCATCTCCCAGTTTCAGTGATTCTTTCCAGGCAGGCGTTGGACCGTGTGGCGCCGGGCATTTGTGTTTGGGGAGGGCAGGACAGGACACTGCCAGAACGAGCTTGATCAGGATGCATATGCCCCCCGCAGATTTGTTTCTGTTAGTCGCTAGCGGAGGTTGGCTCATGCAATAAACATGCAGGGGAGTATATTATGATGCCCCGACGCACCAAGGGCTCCCTTTGCCCCCTCCCACCCTCCCACGGTACAAAGTGTGGTGATGCTGCTCAGCTGGACTCGTATACTTGGGGCTGGCAGCTGGCAGCTGGCAGAGCAACCCTTCTCTTGGGATGACTGGCTGAAGACATTGTCATTGGATGGGACACACATCGCTGTTAAGCTGAAGTGCCCGTGTCTCATCCAGCTGTCTGGAGCTGAGGCCTGCCGGGAGCGAGTGATCCGGGGGATTGCTGCAAGCCACGAATGCAAGAGGATGGGATGTGCACGCAGGACTCAAGATACGCAAGTTCTACAAGTCCACGGAGAGTCTGGGCGACTGCATTATTGAGTGCGTTCGGGACGATGAGGAGGGAGATGAGGTCGGTGCTTAGACAACGGCTGTCGAGTGCATGGGCTGGGTTTACTTGCAACGGGGATGCCGAAGTACGAAGCGCGCCAGTAACAAAGGTTCAAAGCTAATTGGCAAGGAATAATGCATCATTTCGGCGACCAAGCGAGCGGATTCTAAACTGGACGTGCCAACAAGACAAAACTCGCCGATCAATGAATGATTGGCTGGCTGTACGGTATTGAACGGTGGTTTTGTACCTGCACGACATTACCTGTCCGCTAGCGTAGTGGCGCTGTAACTGCTGTTTTATTCCCCGAACAAACCGTGCCTCCTGCAGGGCCCAAGCTTGGCCAAGAGCGGGCTGTGTGGTATGAGGTGAACATGAGGTGAAATGCTCCGTTTTATTTCCCTCCCCTTACTATTTATTGGCCTTTAAAGCCTATTGTTTGACATCGGCGAAGACGGCCATGATGTGGATCCCCGGGCTTTGGACGTCGGCGAACCGGCCCCGGTGAATGCCGAGCAAAGGTAATCCGTACCAGGACAAGCCACCATCTTGAGTCATGAGCCCCGTTGACGAGTATTTCTCCCTACGCGTGCTCCCCTCTCATCTTCGGCGAAGCTGGCTTATCATTCTTACCATCGCTCATCATCGTCATCGTCAACTCATAAATAGAGCCTCACTCGTATCATGACTGCGGAAATGCCCAGTAGCCGCGTAAGCACCGCCACCACACCGACCTCGCAAACCGCCGAGCCCGGCACATCAACCGCTTGTCTGCCCTGTGTAAGTACAAAGGCACTTGCTTTCCGAACAATCCGCTAACCTAGAGAAGCGCCAGCGACATCTGAAATGCGACGGCAAGCGACCGTGTAAACGCTGCGTCGACTCGCATGGCAACTGCGTCTTCGTGCCGTCTCGGCGGGGACAGAGGATCCAGCAACGAGGCGGCAGCCAATGCATAGCGACCCAGGAATTGGAGTCGCTCCCGGGAATCAAGCGTACGCACGACGATGCCGGATTCCTGGCGTCCGACTGCCGCCGGAAATCCCTCTTCCGAAGCTTCACCCCGCCGCCTCCGGCCTCGCGATCCCTCGTCGCATGGGGCAAGTCCGGCCCTACCTTGGCCGGGTCGCAGCACCAGTTTCACCCTCACCCTGCAGTGAACTTCGAGCGCTGCATGTCATCCTATTACCGCAACTTTCACGCCAGCCACCCCCTCGCGCTGCCGCAGGCGAAGCTGCAACCGCTGGTCAAGGACGACGCGCTGCAGCCCCTCCTGGTGGTCATGCACTGGGTTGGATCCAAGTACGTCGCCCCCGAGGCGGAGCAGGGGCCGCTGCTGGAAATTGCGAGGCTGGCCGTGGACGAGGCAACCGAGACGAGGACCGCCAGCGGGTTTACCGTCCAGGCCATGGTCGTGCTGCTGGTCGCGCTGGACGGGGAGGGATACGCGCAGCAGGCGGTGGAGCTGCTGGCCAGGGCCAAGGAGATGCTGCTCGCCCTCGGGATGAACTACGGGAGCTTTGCGAGGAGCGCGAGGATGAGGTCCCGCGTGCTGGAGGAGAGCTGGCGCCGGACCTGGTGGGAGGTCTACGTGCTGGACGGCATGTTTGCGGGCGCGCATCGCGCCACCACCTTTACGCTCTTTGACGTGCCAACCGATGTCGGGCTGCCATGCGAAGAAGACGAGTACGAGAGTGATGTAAGTGGAAAACTTCCAATTCTTACTGAAGCGTTGCCTTGACTGACCCCGCCGCAAGCAAATACCCGAGCCTCGCACGCTGGACGATCTGAACGACCGCGACCTCGCCATGGACGACCGCGAGTTCTCATCCTTTGCCTACCGGATCCTCAGCGTGCGGAACCTGGGCCGCGTCATGCGCGGCGGCGGCGAGGAGGACGCGGACGCGCTCGAGGTGCTCCTCAGCAGCTGGCGGCACAACATTCCGGCGTCGAAGCGCGACTCGCTGCGGCGCGACGGGCGGGTGGACGAGATGGCCTTTCAGGCGCACATGCTCAACCATACGACGTCGATCCTGCTGCATCGCCCGCGCGCGCAGCTGGACCCGGCGCCGGCGCGGACCATTGACGCCTGCAGCGCCGCCACCGCCGCGGACTACCACCACCACCAACAGCAGTACCCGCACCCGGCGGTCAACTTGCACACACGGCACGTGGTCGACGCGGCCAACGAGCTCGGCAGGATGATGACGCACCGCGCGCCTCTGACGCAGCGCACGCACTTTTTCATCTGCGCCGTGGTGCTCGCCGCGGTGGTGCAGCTGGGCGCCTGGTCCGACCAGGAGGACAAGGAGGAGGAGGAGGAGGAGGGGGCGGGGCCCGGGGCCCGGGAGCAGGTGCGGCTGTGCATCGGCGCGCTGCGGCGGATGGCGACGGTCTGGGGGCTCGCGGGCAGGGCGCTCGGGCAGGTGCGCGAGGTGGCGGGGAGGGTGCACCTGGCGAGGGCGCAGAGTCGACAGATGGAGCAGTTCCTGGTGGACGTGGTCGCGGACGAGGAGGTGCTGGGCATGTTTGCGGCGGACGCGGACGCGGCGACGCTGGTGGACATGGAGACGGCCCTGGCGGAGCAGGTGTGAGCTCCATTCATCACTGGGAGGATGGAGACTAGATGCATGTGAAGGATGGAGCGGCCTCTATTTGAAAAAGTGGTACAAGTATGAAAAGCTACGGGGTGGCCTCGTTCGCGGCCTTGGCCTTTTGCACCTCTACGCGCCGCTTGGCCAGGTCCGAGGACTTGAAGCCCTCGACGCCGAGGCCCTCGACGACACCGACCGTGAACCGCCCCAGCAGCTTCTCGTTGCGCCACGCGTTCAGCCTGACCTCCGCGTCCGGCGACTCGCCCTCGTTGACCTTGACGCGGGGGATCCTGTCCGGGCCGACCTCCACCTCGTACTCGCCGTCGTCGCCGGCCGTCTTGACCAGGTGCTCCGGGAGTATGGGCTCCGGCAGGTACACCTCGCCGCTGCCGGGGTAGAGGAAGGCTAGTTGCAAGTGGGTGGCCGGGCGCAGCGGGTTCCTCGCCCGGCCGGTGGCGCCGGGCAGGGAGAGGACGAAGCGCAGCGGCGAGGTGGCGGCGAGGGGGCCCGGGATGAGAGGGGAGCGGATGGCGGAGGCCGGCGTGCCGGCGGGGACGGCGGGGAGGGTGGGCGCCGTGAGGGAGCGGACGGTGAGGATGAAGTCGGGCATCTTTGTAGGATTGGTGGAAGAGTGAAGATTGGTGACGGCTCCCGTTCGCAGGGCCGTGGTGGCCCTTTTATGGACAGCGTGAAGGGATGGCTCAGGCGGATGAGGCGCGCTAGTCGGCGCACGCTGGGATTATGATCTGTGAAGATGACGGTGAGATTGTTCACAACCCCGTGAATGAAAGAATGTCAGCAACGATCCGCGCAGCCTGATGAGGGTGGAGACAAGCTTCCTGTTGGTCAAAGGTCTGTCTGGCCTGTGTTGCAGAGATGTGTTTCTCGCGTTGGATATTTCTCTGAATATTTTTTTTCTATATTTAAATAGCATGCCGTACTTCATTGATGCTCCTGAACGAGTTCTAGATTGAGAGTCCCCGGAACGCGGCCCGTTAATGGAATCTCTGTAGGCGTGAGGTGGGCAACTTGTCGGAAGCTAGCGACATCCCAATGGTCAGATTCAACCTCGACGCGCGCTCCTGGCGACCAGCACGATCAATTGCACCTAATAAGTTGCTTCGCTACTTCTACGAACGCCTTCAGGTGTAGTCTCCTAGTAGTGGCCAGTTCGAGAGACGCTTGCCCTTTACATGGCAGAAGACACGCCGCTGCCACGACTTCACCTTGAACCATTCTCGGTAGAAGCGGACGGAGAAGGCGACTAGAATACTGCGCTTCCTGTTGATCGTGAAAGGTCGAATCATCGATAGCAAGACCCATGTTCCCCCGCGAAGGATCAGGCTTTGTTTCACGAGCCTTGGCTATGAGGCGATCCGTCTGTTGCTAGTCTGTCTGCCAACCAAATTCGGCACTCCGCCAAAGCCCCTACTCGCAACCTCCTTATTAGGGCTTGTCGAACCTGGCCGACAGTCCAGAAGCCCTGGGAATCTAGACCTCGGCAAATAACTCGTGCCTGGGAGGCAAGGGTCTTGTACTGGTAGTAGCCTCGTGGTGGGCAATTTTCGTGGCGTCTTCCAAGCAGTTGCCGGCCGTCTTCTTGCGCGGCATCACCGGCAGAAGCATGGCACATGGAGTTTGCGCCTCCGGCCAAAGAATCCGGAGGAAGGCGCATGCCACCTGTTCGATGGCTTGTTCCTTCCGTGGAAATAAGGCAGCAATCTTGCCCCCCCCCTCCCCCCCTGCATGAGGGCGTCTGCGATCTGCACGGCTGCGCTTCCTGATGGGGTCAAGACCAGGACGCCATCGACTCGCGGCAGTTGAGTTGGCCAGCACTTGGCAGACTTGGCAGGTTGGGGGCTACAAGAGACACTCCATGCGGCAATTAAGAGAAAAAGGAGCAGAATTAACCTGCGACGCGCTAAAGTGATGCGCAAACCGATTGGCAGATAGCAAGGCAAACTTGCAGAGACAACTACCCCTTTGGCAGCATGACTAGCGCAGGACGAGGCCGATTGACAAGCATGCTTCCATGCAGCTTTATTAACTAATTTGGATCAATTCTTGATCTAGCTGTTTAGTGAAAAAAGCGGTTCTTCTTTACAAGTACCGTAAACAATGTGGCTGCCCTCCCCCATGTCAACTGCCTGGCGTCCGTTGAAGGCTCCCCCGCCTGAAGAGATTGTTGTAGTTTAAAATAGGCGGCCATAAGAAGCAGAGTTCTTCCTCGAGGAACTCTTCTTCTTTCTTTAAGAGCGTGATGCGGGCGCTGGAGTCTTGAACTTCCTCACTGGTACATACGGACAACTCACAAACAACCATGACGGACAATCTGGGACCCGGCCTCCTTCGCCTCAATATCGCCCTGAGTACCATCACATGCAGCATCGTCCTGCTTCGATGCTATACGCGAGCCGTGATTGTCAAGGCGTTTGGTGCAGATGACTGGATAATGATTCCAGCTACGGTAAGGCACCACGTCTGACTTGGTGCGGAGAAGATGGTGATTTTGCTAACCGGACCTACTGTAGCTATGCTACCTCGGATACATCATATCCTCCAATCTTGGGGTGAAATACGGCACTGGTCAGCATAGATCGGATCTGTCAGAGGCCAACTATCAACGAGCAATGATGGTACGAGCGGTCGCCCCCATGCCCTTGCATAGGAGTTTGAAGGCGTGAGAGACTCGCTAACGCTCGCCAGCACTGGTGGTACTGCTACTTGTTCTTCAGCAGCGCCATGGTCATCTCCAAGCTGTCCTTTGCCTGGTTCCTCCTGCGAATCGTCAACAAGAGAGTCCACACCTGGATCATCTACGCGGCGTCCATGTGTACCGTCGTCGCCGGCGTCGTCTTCTTCTTCGTGGCCCTGTTCCAGTGCAGCCCCGTCTCGTACTACTGGGACAAGACGGGCGCGGGAAGCTGTATCAGCATCGACATCATCATCGCACTGGCATATCTGTACAGCGCCTTTAGCGTGTTGACGGACTTTACGTTTGCCATTCTGCCGGGGTTTGTCGTGTGGCATCTCAACATCCAGAAGCGTGCGAGGATTGTCGTCATCATCCTCATATCCATGGGTTGCGTGTAAGTGACACGTTGAAATTTTCCATTTTGTTTTCATTTCTCTTTTCTTCTTGCACAAAAGAAGCAGGCGGCTGATACGATGGACAGGGCAAGCGCTGCAGTGGTGGTTCGATTCCCATTCATAAGGTTCCTTAGCGATCATGACTTTCTATGTAAGTTTGCCCCGCGACGATGGATGAACCTGGTACTGACTGACATCGCTACACAGGGGCGACGACTGACATCGCCATCTGGACCACGGTCGAGACGAGCCTGGCCATCAGCGCGGCCAGCATATCCACCCTGCGACCCCTTGTGCAGAGAGTCGGCTGGAAGCTCGCTTTCGGCTCCCAGGTCACCGGCGAGAACAACGGCACCAGCGGCCGCCGCAGCCGGATGCCCAGCTTCCACCTCGCCCCCTCCAACAAGATGGGCCAGCACGTGTACATCAAGTCGGAAGTTTCTCAGGATGCCTCTCGCTTCAAAGGAGATCCGAAACTGGTCATCGGGACACAAGCCACGGCGTTTGCTGCACGTCCGGGGGGTGAGAGCAGGGATGAATCGTTTGGAAGTGGGAGCGAGAGCTTTGAGTGCCTCGAGATGACCAAGGCTGCGGAGGAGGGATCTGTACGCAAGGTATGGCCAAAATCCTTTTTGCATTCGTGAGGACATGTAGTAGTCTACGCTTGGTTTTTTTTTATAAAAAAAGCAAAAAACACTTTGCGAAATGGTGATGGTTGGTCTTGTGTATAGTGCGCTTTACATCGGCGAAGGCTCGGTCCCGCTACGACCATAATAAAGCCGATCGAGTTTCGCGAGAGGGGATGCAGAGGTGACTACTCCGTGGAATCACAGACTACTAAGAGAAAGGTCACAGAGAGAAGAGACTGGTCTGGTCGCCGCTGTTGCGCTGGTGCATGCCCGTGGGCCGCACAGGAGCAGAGAGCCTGTTGATCTATGTACATACGCTGCGGGGAAATGCCCCATCTCAATAAGTCATAAAATTCATCATCATCCTTCCAGATGTACTATAATATAGGAAGTAATATTCCGATGCATATTCTTCATCCCTTCCTTCTGTGGCGTCCATGAGCCCACCCTGTCGCCGAGAGCCCGCCTGCGTGCCCCCCTGCAACCCACAATGAGGGAAGCCCCCCCCCCTCTCCATCCCTCCCCTTTAGAGGTTCGGTTTCTTACACATGCTTGATTTCTTACTTGGCATACTCGACCTTCTCGTCCGCGCCCTCGAGCGACGTTACCGTGACGCCAATCTCCGTCGTCATGCGCGGCAACGTGCGCGCCACCTTGACCGGGTCCCAGATGGACTTGCTCTGCATGAAGATCTCGTCAATCTCCTCGAGCGAGCGGCCGCTCGTCTCCGGGAAGAAGAAGTACACGACCGGGATGATGGTCGCGTTGAGCACCGCGAAGATGATGTAGTACCTGTACGAGATGGTGTTGAAGCCGATGGGCGTGACCTCGGCGAGCAAGAAGTTGAACGTCCAGACGGCCGCGGTGGCGACGGCGCTGATGGCCGCGCGCAGCTGCAGCGGCGCCACCTCGGTGGCGTACAGGTAGGTGAGGCCCGAGTAGCCGACCGTGTAGATGAACTGGAACGCGAAGAGGCAGACGACCGCGACCACGAGGGCGGCGGTGTTGCCCGGCGCGGAGGTGGTGCCGGCGAGGATGGCCATGGCGACGCCCATGCCGGCGGCGCAGGCGAGCATCAGGAAGCGCCGGCCGAGGCGGTCGATGGTGAAGAAGGCCAGGTAGCCGCCGAGGATCTGCGTCATGGCCATGGAGGCGGCCAGTATGCGCGAGCTGGTCGGGTTCATGCCGAGGTACTGCTCGAAGATGGTGGTCGCGTACATGGAGATGAGGTTGATGCCGCACATCTGCTGGAACATCTGGCCCGTCGCCGCCAGCACCGTCCGGTGCAGCAGCCGCTGCTCGCCCATCGTCGTCATCGCCTTCCACGACAGCGCGCCGCACACCGACAGCGAGTGCTGAATCTCCCGGACCTCGTTGGCGATGGCCTCCGACGCCGGGTCATCGTCCGAAAGGGCGGCGAGGATCTCCCGCGCCTCCTCCACGCGGTCGCGCTTGACCAGCCACCGCGGGGACTCGGGCAGCAGCGTGACGAAGCCGCCGACCGCCGCCAGGAACAAGATCTGGAAGGCAAAGGGGAAGCGCCAGGCGACGGAGCTGTCCTTGACGAAAAAGAAGCCGAAGTCGAGCCACAGCGCGAGGGAGATGCCGGCGCCGACAAAGATGCCGTCCATGACGACGTGGGCCCCGCGCTTGCCGGCGCGGGAGATCTCGGCCTGCCAGACGGGCACGGTGGCGAGGTAGCCGCCGGTGCCGAGGCCGAGGACGAGGCGCGCGACGACGAACTGGGCGAGGCTGAAGGCGGAGGCCATGAGGACGACGCCGAGCGCGGCGACGAGGGAGGCCAGTTGGATGACGCGGCGGCGGCCGAGGCGGTCGCCGAGGTAGATGCAGGACAGGGAGCCGAAGATGCCGCCGACGGTGAAGAGCGCGACGACGGTGCCTGGGGGGGGTGCAAGGGTTAGAGAAGGACGGAAAGAGCGGAGAGGGAGGGGGGGAGGGGGTTTACCTTGGATGGTGGAATTGTAAGATTGTTGCGATCCGGTGGTATTGATGGTGTCGAGAGAGGGAAACATCTTGACAAACGAGGGCAGGGTCAGGAGACCGCCGGCGACGCTGATGTTGTAGCCGTAGCAGGTAAAGGCAGGGCAGACGACCAGCCAGATGATGGCCCGGGTCAGCGCCGGGCCTCGAAGGCCGAGATACTTTGCCATTGGGTAATGAATTGGGTGTTGATGATTCGAGATTGTCCTGACATTCGTCCCTTTTTTTTTCTTTCTCTTCTTCGTCCGGTCTGCGGGTGGGCAACGGCTTTAATAAATAAATAAACCTTTATGCGACTGGGAGTTGTCGTTGTGCTGTTCTTTTCGGGATGGGATGCGGAGTTTCAGTTACTTGCTGTCCTTCCCACACCTCCAAGTGTTATACAAGGAAGGGCATGGTTGGTTCTGGGTCTTCTGTAACGGCCCTACAACACCCCCGCCCATCTTGGTGCCGCGTTTCCTTGTTCACTATGGGGGAGGGGATATCTGACGGGGAGATTGTCTCGTAGGTCCCCGGGCGGCGCGAGTTAACCGGTCATCGGCGGACGCCGGCCCAACGGGAATTAACTGCTCACTAACGAAATCTAGCTCCCCGGGTTTCCTCCCAGCAAGCCAATTCGAGGGGAAAAAAAAGGGGGCGCATTTCCGCCCGTTGCCTAACTCATGTTAGTCGGATCGTGAGCAAACCAAGGGCCCGGGGTTGCTTGCCTCGCCCGCCAGAATACCCGCAGTTGTGCCGACTTGAACCTCCCAGCCTTTCTGGGCAATGTGGCTTGCTTTCCTGGGGCATTTTCAGGCTGTGTGAGTGAGTGAGTGTGTTGGGGCGGTCGGGGTGCATACATGCTGCGGGAGTACATACAGTGCATACAAGAGTGCGTCTTATTACGACGACACGCTGGCCTTCCCCACGTCCGAGCATCGTGGGGGAGGCGTCACTGATCCACCGGACATGGCCGATGCAGCAACTGTATGTTGGAAGTTATGTAATGTGCGTGCAGCTGAGAGAAGCTTGTGTGTGATTTGAAATTGAAATGCGAAAAGAGGGCGAGAAACCATGGTCGGTGATTTCAGTTGCGTGATTAACCGGTGGATGGTGAGTTTGCAAACCTCCTTGGCATGCAAGCACGATCGTTCAAACACAAGAACGTCTCCTTCAGTCACGAAAGCCTGGCCTTTGATGAACCGTCTGATGTCCATCTTCATTTCTGTGGTAGTAGCTGAGCGTCATGTGTTCGCATTATAGCACGTCACTGCAATAGCACTGTGCTGCAACCTCGCGTGTGCATTCTACAGCCTGAGTGCTGGCCTACTCGCTTCTGCCGTGGTTGTTGTCGAGACTGGAGTAGCTTTAGCAACTGCGACGTACGCAAGGGGCGATCAAATTGAGCTCCTTGAATTTGGAAGATGTGCCCCAGAAAAACAACACATCGCGGGATGATTGTGGTTTGCTTGATCTGATCTAGCCCAGCACTCCTCAGACTTGCCACCGCTCCTGTTTCGGCAACCGGCGACAACGTAGGAAAGGGCTCCGGGCCTTCCTGGCGTGGAGTGCCCCGAGCCGCCATGGCGCCCTTGGGGCGCTACCATGTCAGGCCACATTCTCCGAGATGTGTGATGCGTTTGACAAAGGGGATGATGCGCTCCTGTCAGGGAGACGAAGCTGAAAGGGACTTGAGCGACGCGTGATCGTCGACAGGCTCATGCAGCAAAGCATCCCAAGCCAACAAGGGCTTCAGCCCCACGCAGACGGGGGAGAGGTGGTGGAGGCTGTGTGTAAGCCATGGACGCAGAGTAATTACGTTTGGACTTGGGGGGGGAGTAAAGTATTACGTCCATGTTGTGCGTGACTGGCAGCCGTGGTAGACGGTGAAGGCGCTATGTAAGTAAGATGCCGGAGGAAAAAATGTACATTGAAATATTAAATAGATCGTCGACCCGAGTCACACACACACGAGATCCTTTCGACTGCAAGTTCTTGGCGCTTTCGACAGGACGTCTGCCATCTTGACCGTCACCCACTTCTTGGCGCGCTCTCTCTACAGAATATCTGCCGGCTTGACCGTCACCCAGTTCTTGTCGGCCGTCACCGGCCAGCCCTCCTTGGCCTGGGCAGCAGCAAAGTCGGCCTTCATCTGGTCAATCTGCTTCTGGTACTTGTCCTTGCGGTTGACCCAGAGGTGAATCCCCCCGCGCCGCACGTCCACGCCGTGGAACTGCATCGGCCCGTCGCTGTCCGGCGTGTCGCCAGCGACCAGGATCGGCTTCTTCCACATGTCAATGTACGACAGGATGGCGGCCCACTTGCCCGTCTTCCACGTCGCCGGCGTCCACAGGAACGGCGTCATGACCAGGCCCAGGTTGGCGCGCTCGTCGTACGCGCCCGCGGCCACCTGCTTGCGCGCCGAGGTGAGCTCGCCGCTGGTCAGGTTGCGCAGCGCCGTGGTCACGCCGATGACGTTCTCCGGCTTGACGTTGTAGCCGTACCGGGGGTCCGACGCGACCATGCGCACCAGCTCCTCCGAGGCGGCCGACACCACGTACACGTCGATGCCGTTGGCCATCAGCTTGTTGTACAGCTCGACCTGGCCGCGGAAGACGCGCGGCGGGCTGACCTCGACCTTGACGAGCTCGTCGCCCTCGTAGTAGCTCGTGTGGACGGTGCCGTTGAGCGCCATCAGCTCGTCCACGTACACCTTGAGCTGGCGCAGCGGGATGCCGCTGAAGATTTGCGCGGCGAACGGGTAGCAGATGGCGTCGTCGATCTCGCAGAGGCGCAGGTAGTAGCCGTAGAGGGTCTCGTTGTGGCCGGGGGTGTCCTTGAAGGCCACCAGCTTGAGTGAGGGGTCCATGGAGTCGCGGGTGATGACGCCCTTGTTCTCGAGGTAGGGCAGCAGCGACTCCTCGAGGTCGAACTGGTAGCTGGTGTTGTCCATGTCGAAGGCGGCGTACCGGCCCTGGTGCGCGTTGGCGGCGATCATGGCATTGAGGGCCTTGGCAGCCTCGCGCGGCCAGTGTCGCAGCGCGGGGCCCTTGAGGCACGGCTTGGCGGCGGCGGTGGCGGCAGCGTCGGCGGCGACATCGACGGGCGTCGCCGAGGCGAGGAAGCCCGTGGAGGAGGCGAGCGCGAGGCTCAAGGCTGTCAGGAGCTTGGTGGTCATCTTGCTTGGGGGTGTTGGGGGCGGATCGACAGGGGAGAAGGGAAGACAAAGGTGCCACGAGAATCCGGGGGGGGGGAAGGACAACCGCTTTTTATCTTTCTGAATTGGCTTCTCTCTCCCAAGACAGAACACGGTAACACAGCGCCAAGAGAACAGAGAGAAAAAAAAAAAAGACAAGAAGCAGGGCGAAGCTGGAGCCGGCGGGCCGTAGCATTGCACTGCCAGCCTTGCAAGGACCAGGCCAAGACAAGATTACCATCTCCACATGAGAATGCCAGCCAAAGACATGCCAAACATTAACCATAGTTTCCCTGCCATTAACCAGTCGGCAGACAGTGGACAAGGACGCCAAGAACGGCGATCCCTTCCCCATGGAGCCCTTGGTCTGAAAGCCATGCGCCTCGTCGCCAGCTGCTTAATCAATAGTTGGGTTGAGCTGCAGATATTCCCGCACCCGTTCGTTTGTCCGTTTGTCCAGCCGGATTGGGGCTTTCCTGTGCTCTGCTGGCTGTCATGGCTCGAGGGATCTTTGCTCAGGGCGCAACTTTCCTTCAGGGCGCAACATGGTGATCCCTGTTGCAGCTCACCTCTTGCCCACGTGCGGACATTGTAGGTCGAGAAAAAGAAGAAACAAGTTACGGAAACGCTTTTGTCATCGTTTCCGTTAGCGTGCGAGGCCTTCTCCGCTGTGGCTTTTCGGGACCTGTCTAAACAACGACCGCTCACGTGCCGGCTTCGTTGTCAATTAACGGTTAAACAGTGATGTGATTGGGAACTTTATCTTGGTCTTGTTGGCATTGATTCATCGCTCCTGCGGACGTTTCTCGCTGTCCGTGCTCGCACCACAAACGGGCGGGCTTGATGCTCGGCGGGCGTCCAGCGACGCTTCCAGACGCAGAAACCAAGTCCAAAGAAGCTACGTTAAGCGAACGGGCGCAAAAGTTCATGCAAAGAAGGAAAAAGAGGGATGGCAATGTATATCTCGGTTTGCAAAAGGCCGCTTGTCAGGCAAACGGCAGAGGGCAGATGGATAGTAGGATTTCGTTATACAGCGCCGCCACGACCCCCTCCCACAGCCATGGTGTATTTACTGCCTAACTATCAAATTCACCTTCTTTTGATTGCGAGTATGTCCGAGGCGGTACTTCCGTGCACAACTGGCATAGAATAGAAGCAGATTGCGGGCTGAAACACGCGTTTTTTTTTTGATACCGATAACAACTTCAACCAAGTCCCCAGCTATGATGACTTTTTGGGCCCGGCTCGGTCACTGCTTTGGTCAACACCTGCATACTAATAACCCACATCGTCACACAAACATGGGAAAAAGGGCACACGAGTCATTGGCCGTATAAACCACGTGTATCTGCATCCGTACTACAGACGTGCTATCATAAATCGTTTTTCAATATGTTATGACCTGGCAAGAGGTTGGCCGGACAACAGCGTGCTTGTTAATGTCAACCGTGGCTATGAAGTGACCATCAAAGTCGAGATTGTCCTCTGTTGCCGATATTGGAAACTTCCTAGGAAATCAACCGAAAAAAAAAATCGTTTCTCGCCTCGTATTAAATACTTGAATTTTTTTGGAATTTTTTTGGAATTCTTTTGTTAACCTCTTCCCCCTGGCTAGGCCCTACTCCCCAACGCGCACAATGACCTTTCCCGCCGAAGACCCCTTCTTGAGATGCGCAAACGCAGCCCGCGCATCCTCAAACGCAAACGTCGCGTCCACCACCACCCTCAGCATCCCCTCGCCGTACCACCTCGCGATCTAACCCATGTCCCCGTGGTCGTTCCTCGTCAGGTAGCCGACAAGCCTGTTCCTCCTGCCGCCCAGGAACGCCGGCCGCGCCATCGCCCACGCCACGCTCGCCACGTGCCCGACCGAGCCGCCGCCCACCACCGACACGAACGGCGCCCCCCGGCAGCAAGAACTCGGGCCGAGTGCGCGTGCAGCGCCGCCACCGCGCCCACGTTGTCCACGAACACGCCGTACACCGGCCCGTCCCGCCGCAGCGCCGCGAGCACGGGTCCGTCGTCGTGTAGTCGACCACCCTCGTGCGCGCCGAGCGACCGGCACAGCGCGGTCTTGGCCGGGGAGCACGTCGCGGTCACGCGGCAGCCGAGCAGCCGCGCCACCTGGATGCCGAAGGTGCCCGTGCCGCCGGACCCGCCGTTGATGAAGACGCGGTCGCCCGCGCCGGGCGTGACGTGCGGCCGGATCGCCTGGTACGCGGTCAGCGCGGCGGTGCCCAGGCCCACCGCGTCGTCGAGGTCCGTGGCGGCGGCGGCGGGGGGATCTTGGCGTAGTCGTCGCGCTCCAGGACGACCTGCTCGGACAGCGCGCCGGTCGGCTTGAAGGGGTCGAGGCGGCCGGTGACGCGGTCGCCGACGAGCACGTCGCCAACGTCCGGGCCGACGGGGAGCACGGTGCCGCTCAGGTCCATGCACGGCGTCTGGGGGAACGAGAGGACGGCGCGCGCGAGGAGGCCCAGCTCCGCGACCTTGTAGTCGGCGGGGTTCAGCGCCGCGCCGCGCACCAGGACCAGGATGTCCTGGCCGCGCAGGTCGCGGCTCGTCGGCCGGGGGCCGTTATGGTTCAGCTCCAGCTTCTCGTCCAGGCGGCCGGGGAAGGCAAGCTGCCAGGCCTTCATCGTGTCCGCCATCGTCGTTGTAGAGTCTTTGACGGTATTGCGACCAGGTTGAAGTGAGAATTTGTTCACGTAGAATTCGCGGGTTTGTTCCTTCCCCAACTCTCTACTATAGATAGTTACGTATGTACACCAACTCTTGCTCGGGCTAGTTGGCTAGCGTGACAAACCCGTGTTTGAGAGAAGCCCATTTCACGGCCAGTCCTCTTCCATTGATGGAATTTCTGTACCAACGGCACTTTCCCAAAGTTGTGTCTCATACCAGAATTTCAATTTTCTGTCTTAAAAAGTACTGATTTCGCCTATTTTCTCAATCTCTTTTATCTCTTATCTCTCATGTCTTTTATGTCTTTTATATCCTTTATATCTTTTCACCCTGCTCTTTTTTTGTCCTTATCCTTTATTCCTACCCTATATCTATGCCTAGCAACTGCCTGCTGGAACCGTGTGTTCATAGTAGATACGGCTTTTGAATGCGACCTCCGTACTCCGTCCTTGCCTCTCCTTTCTTGTCAAATTAGTTTCCGTAAACACTTGAGTTACTTCCGCTGCGTAGTAATATGGGGACATGGAAATAATCGTCTTGAAAAATGACGTAAATCACTGACACAGATTGAAACAAAACTACGACTGCCGTTCGCAAGTTCTAGACCTACAAGTCATGCCTGTTGACTCCATGTATCTGCAGTTACTCTAGAGCGGTCAAAAGAGCGGCTCGTAAGGTCTCAACATCAAGTCATTTCATCTATCGTTGTATACTAAGTCCTATTATTAAAAGCCCTAATTTTAGAAGTAAAAGATGCAATGACATAGCCCATCGACACGCATGTCTTACCTGGGTGTCAGCCACTACAGGCTGACAACATGGAGGATGTGCGTCATTCGTTCCTTGCTCATCCTCACCGACGTCCTTCGAGACAGAAGTTCGAGAAGCGAACAGACGAGCCGTGCATGGAGGAAAGTCGGTCTGATAGACGTGACATTTGTCCCGCAATGTTTCAAGCAGCACCTCTACATCCATCTTCATCATCGGTAGTTACATCGCACGTATCCACAGCAAGGTACACAGTACCAGCCCACGATGATCTGGAGATTGCCGGCGATGGATCATCGTTGACTACTTGTGCAAAATATCATCACGTTTCGATATCCCATACAAGTCGCCAAAATCTAGACGGATGAATGCTGATGAGATGACCGCGGTCCGTGGCAAGAGACATCAGCGTCCTCTACTTCAGCCGGCTGTAACCAATACCTACCTACCCTAGATTACCTGCCCGAGATACTGGCGACCGCGGGCCGCTGCTTGTGGCTGGCTGGGCGCAGTATCAGTAATTTAGTGCCAGGGGTTTGAACCAATCATTCATTTGCCTCACTTTCAGCATTCGATCGCGCGCAAAAATTCTGTGGCAACAATGAACGAACAAGGGACAAGCCGGGACGGCACCCGACCGCCGCCACCTTGATGATACCAGGCACAAGAACAGTCTAATCAGCCTAATCAGCCTAATCACAGGTGACCGATCCCAAGCTAGCCGTGGCAACCCACGATGCATTATCCACCTGCCTGCCCTGTCCTGCCGACATGATGAGCAAAGAAGGCGTCCCCGCAGCTGGCGAGCACGCAACCTCGACGGTCGAACTGAGGAGCTTTGGTAGATGTGTCATGCGCCAAGGCCGCGATGACTACACACTTGCGACCAACGTCAGGGCTGAACTGACTCGTATATGCGCATGGCACGGATGATGGTTCCCGGGGTTGTTGTTTCACCGCAGTACTGCGTAACTTATGCGCAAACTCTTTGGCCTCGGTGCAAGGAAATGACATCTCGGCAATGAGCCAACTGTCAAATGGTTTATGGCGCGGGCCACGAGATAGGCCTGCAGCACTTCTCCACACTTTGCTTCTCCGCACCTGCACACCATCACGTACGGGACCGACACGGCTTGTCTAACTACATCTCAACAGTACTGGCCAGGAAGTACAGAGGTACAGAGGCACAGAGTGCCGGGATGCTACACTCAGCACGGCCCTACCGGCACAAGTTTTACGTCTTCACCTGGCTGTTAATTAACGCTATACGAGCTGCATCCTCACCTTCCTGGACAGGCAAGTCTGAGCCAGTTCTGTGGCTGGCGGTGCATGGTGCATGTTGATGGGCACAGCCTTGTTACTGGTAGTCTCCCGACGGCTCCTTGGCGGACGCCTTATCTTGTTGACCTGTGACTGGTAGTGACAGCGACAGATATGTACTGTACATACCCAAGGTCAAGAGATGCCCAGCCTGAGCCCAGCACGCTAAACGCCGGGGTTCCATCCATCTCATCGCCCAGAGACGATCGCATCTCTTGGTAAAACAGCCACGTTGATTAGTTTCAAAAAGTACACAGATCTCGCCCGCCCGAGACACAAATACCGTGATCTTGTGAAACAATCACGAGCGAAATCGTCACCCCACAACTCCAAAAACCTCGTCATTTTGCTTTGACAGACGGGCTGGCAGTGCAGCTAGCCGCCCAAGGCCTGGTGAATCCAAGACAATCCTTTGTCCGGGGTGGAGCTAGTTACTCCTCGGGGGACAACTCGGATCAAACACTACAACTGCAGGCCGTTCTTTGGCCCTTTTGTTAGCGCCGTTGCTCACCTTCCTAAACCAATGGCCAAAGTTGCATCTCAAGCGGAGTCTACAGTCTTCGGAGCTTGACATGGCCGTCAATTCTGTGCAATTGGAGGTCACAACGTTGCGGTTTCATGGGAAAATGATCCCGTATTCCTAATCACCGAGGAGCTACGCCGGGAGGATGGGCAAGCTCGGCTGAGTATATATACCATGGCATTGGCAGCCGTCGTTATCTGTCTGGCCATCCTTGATCAGCATTCTTAGTGCCAATTGGCGATTTGCAACCATGAAGACCACTCTCCTCGTTGCCAGCTTGATTGCTGGTGCTGTCGCCCTCCCCTCGGAGACGCACACCGTGCACCAGCGTCGCAACCTGGTCCTGGATCCTCGCTTTGAGAGACGCTCGGCTGTTGACGCCGGCTCCAAGATCCCATTCGAGATTGCTCTGAGGCAGGGCAACCTCCAGGAGGCAGAGGACAAGCTCTACGACATGTGAGTCTCGGCTGCATGCCTTGACATTACTCCCCTTTACTAACAAGTCGGTTGCTGCAGCGCCGACCCTACGTCGCCCAACTATGGCAAGCACCTGTCCAAGGAAGAGGTCGTCAAGATGTTCGCCGCCGACGACAAGGACATCGACAGCGTCAAGAAGTGGCTGGTTAGCCAGGGCATTCCCGAGAAAGACATCCACGTCAACCCCACCAAGACCTGGATCACCGTCGACACCACTGCTGGTGTCGTGGAACGGGCCCTGAAGACGAGATACCACATCTACCGCAGCAATGCCTCTGGCCAGGACCACATTGGCTCTGAGGAGTACAGCCTGCCCAACCACCTCGTGGACATTGTCGACTTTGTCCGTCCTGGTCCTGCCATGACCAAGGTCACGGTCCGCGCGACCGGGCCTGCCAAAGGCGATCAGGCTATCGGCGAGCCGGTCCGCAAGCTGAGCAGCGACCAGGTCAAGAGTGTCCAGGATGCCATCAAGGACGGCCCCGGCGCTGGTGGCAATGCTCACGATGCCGCCAACTCGACCCTGCGTAAGACACCCCAGCCCTTGGGAACACCCATGACGTACGCTGAGTCGACAGCAATGCTAACATCAGCTTCTCTTAGCGGCCTACCTGCAAATCTGCGGAAAGGTTGTCACTCCTGACTGCATCGCCTACCTCTACAAGATCCCCAAGGCCGTCGGCACCAACAGCACCAACCGGCTCGGAATCTACGAGTCCCTCGGCGACGTCTACAGCCAGGAGGACCTCGACCTCTTTTACAAGACGGCGGCGCCGTACATCCCTGCCGGCACCGGCCCGACACTGGACCTCATCAACGGCGCCACGGCCCCCAACAGCCCCAGCCAAGCCGGCGGCGAGTCCCTCCTGGACTTTGACATGGCCTACCCCATCATCTACCCCCAGGGCACCACCCTCTTCCAGGTGGCGACTGACCAATACTACAACATCTTTGGCGACTGGCTCAGCGCCATCGACAAGGACTACTGCTCGCAGGACCCCTACTGGAACAACCACAAGATGTGCGGCACCTTTGAGCCCACCAACGTCGTCTCCATCTCCTACGGTGGCCCGGAAGACCCGACTGATCCCAAGGGCGCTCACGTATGTACCCCCAGCTTCTTCGACAACTGAATCGAAAGAACCCATAGCTAACATGGCATTCTAGCGCCAATGCAACGAGTTCATGAAGCTCGGCCTCATGGGCATCACCACCGTCGTTGCCAGCGGCGACGCCGGTGTCACCGACCGTAACGGCTACTGCCTGGGCCCTCACCACGACATCTTCGTCGCCGACGACCTCTGCAGCTGCCCGTACATCACCGCCGTCGGCTCGACCCTGATCCACTCCATCGACCAGCCCGAGACGGCCACCGAGTCCTTCTCCTCGGGCGGCGGCTTCAGCAACATCTTCACGCGCCCTAAGTGGCAGGACGACGTCGTCGGCAACTACCTGCTCCGCCACAACCCCGGCTACTTCGCCTACAACACCTCCGAGGGCAACATCCCCACGGGCCCGGACGACCGCGGCATCTACAACCGGGGCGGGCGCGGCTTCCCGGACGTCTCGGCGGTGGGCGACAACGGGCTGGTGGCGGTGGGCGGCGACCTGGGGTTGTCGGGCGGCACGTCCATGTCGGCGCCGATCGTGGCGGCCATCCTGAACCGTATCAATGAGAAGCGGCTGAGCCTGGGCAAGGGCCCGATCGGGTTCGCGAACCCGGCTCTGTACGCGATGACGAAGCTCCGGGGCACGTGGTTCAACGACGTGACGGTGGGCGACCAGTCACTGGGTGGTGTGGCGAGCGATCGCGGGTACAGCGCGTGCGGCAACAAGGGCTTCTCGGCCGTGGAGGGCTGGGACCCGGTGACGGGTCTGGGCACGCCCATCTACAACCAGTGGGAGGCATACTTCCTGGAGATTTAGGAGGGCCGAGCGAGCGTGTCGGTTCATGTAAGAAATATACATGGTGTATGAAGTCGATGAAAGAATGACTCGAATAACACGACGCGTCTTTTAAAATTACAACTGATTTGGGCAGCCTGGATTAGCACAAGAAGAAACAAGAACAATCACGATAACCACCTGGCCGATGATTGTCATCCGTGATGGGCCTGCTAACAACGGTCTACGAAAAGCTATGCTGAAGAGGGACACTCCCAGGCCCAGGGCTGGCTGTGGCGCTGACGGCAGTGGCGGGCGCAGACTCTCGAGGCCTGTAAGAGGGGTAATAGAGTAAGAGAAGAAGAGAATGGCTCGTCAAGTTGGTTGGATATTGCTCTCTGGAAAGACGCTCTCCTGTCAGCGACGGGGGCCACAAGGCTGTGACGACGATCGCGGGGCAGCCATCGCGTCCAGCTATGGGCGGGGAGAATTGATTGGGGTGACGAAAGAAAAAAAAAAAAAAAAAGTCGCCGAATCGCGAGACGAGATGTCGGCCGAGGCATGGATGGAAGTGTGCCTCATTGGGCTGATTTAAACTCCTAAGCGCTTCTAAATTGAGCCACGTACTGCGCCCCTGTCAGGCTTTTTTTGGTATGAGTGATGAGTGATGAGGGATGAGGGATGAGTGATGAGTGATGAGTGATGAGGGATGAGGGATGAGGGATGAGGGATGAGGGAGGCAACCCGAGAGGGCTTCGTCACCAAAACAAGGGGGACCGGGATTCAGGGGATTCACAAGCGCCACAGATGCACAGAGCCATTGATCAATGAATGAATGAATGGCTGGTACTGGTTTCCGGCTCCCGGCACGGGATATCTAACAAGGAGGACACTTTGTTTTATTAGCTTTTTTTTCCTGTCCTTGACCCCTTGTTTTGTTCTGTCTTGTGTCTCATATTCTTCGTGGTAGCTGGTGGGAGGGAGGGCGGCCCTTTTGGGTAAGCATTCCCGCAACAGGGCTGCGGCCTGGCGCACACAAAGCAGCAAGCAAACCTTGACGCCTTTTCTTGTTTCTTGATATGCATTCATGGTGAAAGATGAAGTCAATAGCCATTAAACGACCAGCAAAGCATAATGACATCAACCAAGGCAAGGGTCTACCAAAACTTGTCTTGCTATTCCCGCTTCCGGCACTAGTATAGACAGGCCGCGTACGTCCGCATCGTATGTATGTATGTACGTGCTTGGAGCATGGCCCGACCGTTTGTCTCTAATCCCGTTCGGCGCGAAATCTTCGCTTCTGATTTGCTGGGGCAACATCCTAATAACATCCTCTGACCCAGGATAAAAGTCTGGAGATGGATGGCAGCTCCTGGATCGCGTGGGATCGGACTTGGTATCGCTCTCGGTATCGGTAGTGGGTGGGGGTTATGGGCGCAGCAGCCCCAGGACGGGATTCAGAAAGGCTTGCGCAATCATTCATTTTTTTTTTGGTATTGGATGCGACGCTGCGATTGTCGCAGAACTTTCTCGTTTACCCTCCTTCTGGGACTCGCGAAATTTGCAAGAAAAAAAAAAAGACAGGCATTTCTCGTCTCGCTCCGTGCTCAACACCGCCATAGCCTTGTACGGATGAACGGCATCCTGTCTTGTCTGTTTAGGAAAGCGCTGCGTTGATACAGGTATAGTCGCTCCTGTGGTTGGCACACACCAATTTGTGGATGCGTCGAGCACCCCCTTGCCGGTACCTCCTGAGTTTGCTATGGGCGAGTCCACCGATAATATCCGCTAACGTCGGCCACCCACTCATGAGCCACACCCACTTTTAAGCCACCTATTATTAATATAAGACATAGTGTAAAAGCTTTAGAATAAATATAATTAAAATTTAGAATATATAAAAACTATATTAATTAATAACTAAGAAGCTAGAGAATTAATCTATAACTAACTTAATAATTAAATATATAGTATTATTAGTTAATTATATATTAAGCTACTACTATATATTTTTAACCTTTATAACTTAAAGGAATAATTTATTAGGATCTATAATAACTATTTAATATTTTTAGGCCTAATAATCTTAATTTTAGCTTTAAACTATTAGATCTAGCCCTCTATAAGTACTATTATAGTTTATTAAATATTAAATTACTTTTTAATTTTTTATTATATTAACTATATTATATACTTATTAGTTAAGTACTTTAAACACTTAGAAAATAAGTAATAAAGTTCTTCTTTATTAATAAGTGTTTTATATAGTATAAGGCCTTTATTAAACACTTTTATTAACTATAGAGGTATTATTTTTAATACTTTAAATAATAGTTTACTTATTAATAAGTATACTATATAAATAGATTATAATCTTAATATTTACTAGTTTAAATAAATATTATTTTCTATTATTCTAGCCTTTTTTATAATAGTATAATAGTTACTTTAAAAAAATCCTCTTTTTAACTAGTAAAGAATTATTATTATTAAGGTGTTTTTTAAGCTTAGTCTTATAAACTCTTTTAATAGTACTAAAGTGTGACAAACGAATAGGAAGACGGAAGGAGCGGCCCGTTATGC